TTCGGCTGTTATTCAATCATATTGGGAATGATCTAGCATTAATTCTATCTTGATAAAGTCCAAAATAACCAAGATCTATATATATGCACGTGACATAGGCAGATCTTCTAGGTTTGCTCCACCGCTTATTGGAGATAACTTTTCTGCCACAAAATTATTTTGCCTCGATAGACGAGTCGCAAACAACAATGGCGCCCCCGACCGAGGAACAGTTGCAGTCCGAGGATTCATATGCATCCGATAACGTCGACATGGAACAACCCGACGTCGAAGACCGCGCGCCAAAGCGTCGTCGTCTCTCAACGTCCTCGAACGCCTCTAACGACTCGTATGTCGCACCGGCGCCGCTCCCCTCCGTCTCCCGTATTAAGAAGAAGGGAGAGGTCGACTTAAATGCTGAGCCTGAGGAGGAGGAGCCGGTGACTATTGCCGATGCAATTGCGCTTGGTCGAGAGAGTGAAGTGTCTACTTTTGCTGCTCTGGATGTTGCACCATGGCTTGTTAGCTCGTTGAAAAATATGGCTATCAAGCGGCCGACTGCTATTCAGAAGGCTTGTATTCCTGAGATTCTGAGGGGCAGGGATTGTATTGGTGGCAGTCGAACTGGTTCCGGAAAGACTATGGCTTTTGCGGTTCCTATTATGCAGCAATGGGCAAAGAATCCATTTGGAATCTTCGCTTTGGTGCTTACTCCTACTCGGTGTGTTTCGCTATCCTGGAATTATACTATCGAGACCGCACACAGTTGCTGACCTTCTACAGCGAGCTTGCACTCCAGATCTTCGAACAATTCAAGGCTGTCTCCGCTCCACAAAGTATGAAGCCCATCCTCATCACCGGAGGCACAGATATGCGGCAGCAAGCCATCGCACTCGCAAACCGACCTCACGTCGTCATCTCCACCCCCGGCCGACTGGCAGACCACATCAAGACATCGGGCGAAGACACAATCGCCGGACTCCGGCGCGTGAAGATGGTCGTGCTAGATGAAGCAGACAGACTCCTAGCGAGCGGAAAAGGAAGCCAGCTCCCAGACGTAGAAACCTGCCTAGCAGCACTCCCTCCAACAACAGACCGCCAAACCCTCCTCTTCACAGCAACAATGACAGCCGAAGTGCGCCTACTAAAGGACATGCCACCTGCCGGCGACAAGCCACCCATCTTCGCCACGGAAATTGGAACCGAAAACCAAGGCAAGATCCCTCCAACCCTCAAACAATCCTACCTGAAGGTCCCCATGACGCACCGCGAAGCCTTCCTCCATGTCCTCCTCTCCACAGAAGAAAACGTCTCTAAACCAGTCATCGTCTTCTGCAATCACACCAACACATGCGATGTCCTAGAACGCACACTCCGCCGTCTCGGTCACCGTGTTACCTCCCTGCACAGCATCCTCCCTCAATCAGAGCGGACAGCTAACCTTGGCCGATTCCGTGCTACTGCTGCGCGCGTCCTCGTCGCTACGGATGTTGCGTCGCGTGGTCTCGATATCCCCGCTGTAAGCCTCGTTGTTAACTTTGACGTGCCACGGAACCCGGATGACTACGTTCACCGTGTTGGTCGTACGGCTCGTGCGGGCCGGACTGGTGAGGCGGTTACGCTTGTTGGACAGCGTGATGTCGAGCTGGTGCTTGCTATTGAGACTCGTGTTGGGCGTCAGATGGTTGAGTGGGAGGAGGAGGGTGTTAGTATAGAGAGTCGGGTTGTTAGGACGGGTGTTCTTAAGGAGGTTGGGTCAGCCAAGCGTGAGGCTGCTGGTGAGATTGAGGAGGGTCGTGATATTTTGGGTCGGAAGAGGAACAAGCTTAAAAAGGTTCGTTGAGGGTTTCTTCAAGTTGAGTCTTAGTTTGAGACTTGGACTTGGATTTGGATATGATTTTGGCATCAATTGATTTGGTTAGCGGTTTATTTTTCCGTCATCTTGCATGGCCACGTTCCTATCGTGTCGATCTGACAATCGACATTCCTTGCTGAGACATAACGTGGTATGTCTCATTGGAGTCTAGACTGTTCAATTATGCCTATGGTATATGGTATCGTTGATTGCAGTGTATAGACTGATTATTCTAATAATACTGCATGTTCCAAAATGGAATAACCCGCTATCATATCAAGGCTTAGCGCTATAGCAGCCAAGACTTGATATACTGGCTGCATGACTCTGTACATCGTCATTCCACTATTCCCAAGAAGCCTTGGGTTGCTTGTGTATAAACGCCAACTCGTTTCATCCAAAGCGGCTCTTTGGAGCGAGTCTGATCAATGCTGAATGATCCAATCATCCAGTCCAAGAATCCGAACTCTGGTTCCTATCCGTTGTACTCATAAGCTTGAGCAACCCATCAACAGCATCACCCCGCTGTGACGGCGTCATAGCATCCTCAACCCCAAGCTCAGCCCTCGGGCCCATACTCGACTCCCGCTCTCGCTCACGACGAATAACTGTAGCCGGAGGACTACTCAGCTGCATCGGCGAACCAAGGGCATTGGGAGGTGTATGTTGGCCATGAGCCTTAGCGCGGTGTTGGGGAACGCTCGAAGACAAAACTGACGGTCGAGCCGGGAGATCAGGCGTATCATTTGAAGGCGTCGAGCTAAACCCAGAAGAACTAATTCTGGGCGTCTTCAAATGGGACGATGTGAAGTGTTTGCGGGATGAGAGGGGTGGTGTGGAAAGGACGGAGAGGGAGAGGCGTGGGCATTTCCGGCTGTGGGCTTCTAGCTCGGAGACGCGCCGGTCGAATTGGTGGTCTGTCACGTTGCGCATTGCACTTTGTAGTCTGTTTCTGAGGAGGCTTGCTTTCTGTGTCCATTGTTAGATCGATATGTGGAATTATGGGTGGGTTCGCATACTTCTTGGATGAACATTTTGCGCGCGTCTGGGTCTTCGGGGACGCTACGCGTTTCTTCCTCGGGGGTGTGAGGCATAGCAGGTGCTCGGCATGTTTCCATTCGGTCTTGTGTCTGGTCACGTTCGGGTTGGGAGTTTTGTGGTGTTTGGATGTCCATCGCGTCGGGGGTTTGTCGGAGCTATTCGGCGCGTTATATGGTTAGTTTGAGGCTCATACTTCCTGATACTTCTTTGCATATGCATTCTAGAGCTTACTTGGCTTTGCATATCTTCCTGGGCGGCGGATGGGGCGCGCTGCGAAGAGGATTCCCGCGCATGCACGTGTCCGATGCTCTCTTCTGTCTCATCCATTTGGTCTCTTGTCCGTTTTTGGCCTGCAAATATGGGAGAGGGGAGGAGTTCCCTGGGTAAGAAAATTGTTGACATTCGTTTCGTGGGCGTTCCTGAGACCGGGAATGACTGTTTGGCGTGTGGCGCGGGGGACAGGCACGCGTTGGAGTCTTTTTCGCCTAGGATTCGCCGGCCATCTTTGACAGGACTATATTGCGCGGTTGTGTTCATCGTGGAGGCTTCGACTTAGGTTTGAGGTGAGGATTGAGGAGAGGGGTGTGAGTGAGGCACGAAAAGGTTGGGCCAGCGCGGTCCGAGAGTGGCTCTGCGGGGGAGTCTCGTGATATGCAGGCAAGTATACCAGGCAATTGGAATGAAGCTCGGATATCCAAGCAGGAAGACAAAACAGAAGGTGAATAAAGGAAGAGGAATGTCCGAAAAGAAGAAAAACGGGCGCGTCGATCGCGTATAGTCCCCGATACCTTACTAGCTTGTATAGAGCACGGACTTGGTACCCACCAGCACGCGTAGGTTTGATATGTTTGAGTTGTAATTCCTGAGGTACTCAGACTGGCTGGTTTGCTGGATTTGTTGCTATTGTATTCCTTGTGTTATTTATTATACCAATACTGCCTGATGTACGCAGTTACGTGATGTTGATATTTGCTTGGCCTGATAAATAGAACCACCATCGGCCATGGAGCGCTAATTCCACTTCGCCCCTTGGTTTGAGACTCAACTCTCTCGTCTTTTTTATGGGATGTTCTGAAATCTTTACTGTGATGCACAATTAGACGAATACACTCAAGCCCCGCGTCCTGGGGCGCGTTCAGTGTCTCCATCGTGTCTGGCGGGTCCACAGGGGCCAATTCCCCAGAAGCGGGCTATCAAATTGAAAATGAATAACATCAATCTCGTGTTGCTCTATTTTGTGCGCGCGTCCTCCAAATTATTAAAGGCAGAAATCATGCTGTGTCGTGGACAGTTGTTGATTAAATTCCAAGACCCGAGGCAGACCAGAATTATATGTCATGGAAATCTAGTACTTGGTATTGAAATTAGATCTAAAACAATCTAATACGATGTTTCGACAGCTCAATTTATTATTTATGTCTATGTGATTGCTCGCAAATGCATATGACTACAGACTCACCACGCTAACATTAAGCCGTCCAAAGTACTTGTATATATCACCAAGAGTAGTACAACCTAAGCAGAGCATGAAGGTGAACATTGAGTAATTGTGGCCTATAATAGTTCTATTGCGTAGACGGGAAGTACAGCATGAAAATCTTGATGTACCTGAACTGATGTCCCAATCTAGATACTTCGTACTTGTATGTGTACTAGGCGTTTACTGTCAAGTCTAAGTTAGGCTATGAATACATAGTTATGACATCCACGTCTCTCGAAACAGAGATCATTTCATTAATATACTACCTTCTTAATATTGCAATGTATCTATAGCTAGTTCAACACTATGCAGAATATTGGAGAAGCTGTGATAAGAGAGCTATCTCTCCGCATGACATCATCGAGTAGGAAATGCGAATCTTCGCGACTTAGGAATGAAGGAAATTGGGAGATGCAAGAAAGAGAATGAAACCATATTGGACTATAGAGCGCATCCTCCTACATCCGAGAGCCCAAGGCCAAGCGCTGCACTCTGAACCAGCTGATCCTTCCCCGCATTTCTTCCCTTCACCCCTTGGGTTTCGATCTTCCTCTCTACAACCTCTGAATATTCTCTCGATCTTTTATACCGATACTTAGTGACACGTTGTGAAATTTGTGTCACAGTCATTCCCTCATCGCGACCATGCAGCTGTCACTAGCCGTCTTGGTCGCCTGTCAGGCAGCGGCTGTCGCTGCTTCCTTGTTAACTCCGCCTGTCCTTCCACTCATTGTGCGAAATCCCTATCTTAGCACCTGGTTTGGTGATGCCAGAGAGGCCCCTTGGAAGAAATGGCCCATGTTTTATACCGGAGAGGAGGTAGGACTTTCGTTGATGGCCCAAGTCCCCAGTCAAGGTGCGGTCTACCCTTTACTAGGCAAGCCGCATGAATCTTTGTCTTCGAGGGAAAGGTATCAGCCCTTGATGGAAACGCAATTGAACAAATAGCTAACAGACAATAGCTACAAGATCAAGTACCCTGAGTACCTCGGCCACAACTACGATGCGTCCACAACCAACTTGACATACCACATTGACACCGGCTCCGCGGACCCCATAGACATCACCGTGTCTTTCCTTTCCCCAATCACTCCATCCTCGACTTTGCGACAGTCGATCCCGGCCTCATACGTCACAATTGACGTCCAGGGCGAGGTTGATGTAAATATTTATATGGATATCGATGGCCGTTGGGTCAGCGGGGATACCCATAGCAAGATCAAATGGGGCTGGGATAAGCTCAAGAATCCCCACGAGACGTCTGACTCTGATCTCCAGAGATGGCAAATACACCGTGAAACCGAGCTTGAGTTGACCGAGACTCGCGACCGAGCCGAATGGGGTACACTTCATTTCACTGGACCTGCTGTAAGTTTCTCGTCAAAAGTATAGTTAGGGCCGTGCGCTAACTTCCAGCCTAGAATGTGAACTACCAGTCTGGTGATGCAGTTGGTGTTCGTCGTGGCTTCGCTAGCAGCGGCGCCTTGCATAACGCCAACGATAAATCGTTCAGAGCTATTCAGGATCGGACACCTGTGTTCGCATTCTCGAAGTCATTCAACTTGGGCCAGCAGTCAAAGACCTACTCTGACAGTGTCACTTTCACCATTGCTCTTGTTCAAATTCCTGTTGTGCAGTATGCGGCAGCTCGTGGACTCACCATGATGCGACCTTTGTGGGAATCGTGGTTCCCTACAACAGAACAGCTTCTGAGTTTCCACTACAAGGACTACGCTCAAGCTAGCTCTCTGGCTTCCAACTACTCACAGCAAGTGGCGAAGGATGCCTATCTGTCGGGTGCCGATGACTATGTCGACATCGTTGCCCTAACCGCGCGCCAAGTCATGGGTGCAACCACCTTCTCGGGAACCCCAGATTCTCCTATTTTGTTTCTGAAGGAGATCTCCTCGAATGGCAACTTCCAAACCATCGATGTCATCTTCCCGGCGTTCCCCTTCTTTTTGTACACCAACCCCAGATGGTTGGCTTACCTCCTGGAGCCGCTGATTGAGCACATGTTGAGCGGACAGTACCCTAACAAGTATGCGATGCATGACTTGGGCACACACTTCCCTAATGCCACCGGCCATTCTGACGGAAACGATGAATATATGCCAGTGGAGGAGTGTGGTAACATTCTCATCATGGGTCTGGGCATTGTGAATTCGCTTCTGTATGAGGACTCTGCTGCAGCCTCGTCCATTTGGTCAACACAGGGCTTAGCCTCGCCAAGCATCGAGAGCGAGTCTTCCGGAATCTTCCCTCTTGGCGACTTGCAGACGCTTTCTGGCATTGCCCACCAGGACGGTAAATGGGGTGGCGGTCAGAACGGCCGGCACCAGGCAGAGAAGTGGGTGAAACGAAGCTACCGTCTTTGGAAGCAGTGGACTGGATATTTGGTGGAGTTCTCTCTTGAGCCAGCCAACCAGCGTAAGTATTCATTTCCAAAACTTGCTTTCGATTTATAGTCTGACTTGTACAGTTTCTACCGATGACTTTGCTGGCTGGCTAGCTCTGCAGACAAACCTCGCATTGAAGGGTATTGTCGGTATCAATGCTATGAGTAAGATCGCCAAGGTGGCTGGTCACGAGTCCGATGCGTCATACTTCAAGGTATTGAATACAACAAGAGGCACCGGTTGGACTCTTGGCTAATTTTTATACAGGAAATCGCCGATGACTACATCACCAAATGGGAACAATTCGGCATGTCTAGAGATGGCTCTCACGCAAAACTTGCCTACGACTGGTATGGCTCATGGACGACCATCTACAACTTGTACGCCGATGCCCAGCTATGCTTCCATCTGGAGGGAACCGACACAGACAAGCCTGGTTTCGTCCCACGCCACATCTACCAGAAGCAGTCCGTCTGGTATCACTACGTGCGCCAGAAGTACGGTCTCCCCCTTGACAGTCGTCACCTGTATACCAAGACAGACTGGGAGTTCTTCTCCATGGCCGTCGCCTCCAAGCCAGTGCGTTCTGAGATTCTCGACTCCGTCGCTCGCTGGGTCAACGAGACCGCCACCGATCGTCCCCTTACAGACCTGCACAACACAGAAGGCGATGGTGGCTTCCCTGGCCCTAACTTCTTTGCTCGGCCGGTTATTGGTGGCCACTTTGCTTTCCTCGCTTTGGAACGTGCTTGCGGAGGTCGTGCCATGCCTGGCCTGTCTTTCCTCGACGACGTCGACGAAGAAACCTTGGCAACCTGGAGTACAGACGCCCAGTCTGCGGCGGCACAGTTCACCGAGCCTTGGATCCATCGTCAACGCGAGGGTGAGCTGTAGGTTTTACTATTTGATAGAATTGGCTGTTGCAGTGGGGTGGGTAACAGGTGGAGAATCGCCGTTGACGACGGATGTCTGTCTTGCATTCATACCCCAGCTTGACTTTGCAGTTTGGCTATATCATTAGCACATAGGCCTAGCTTCCGAGAGTATATCGAAAACACCTCGGTAGGACCGTTGTTGAATAAATTACAGTTCTGGTCCGTTCTAGTTCCAAGTTCGATTTATACTCTACCAGTGACCAGTAAAGGCAACGAACCACAAACGGGCTAGCCAAACACTAAACGGATTAAAGTATAAAGAAACAAACACGTCCCATGGTTCAAATTGAAGATTTCTTTGCGTTCCTATTTTTTGTTTGACTTCTGGATCGAATCAAATTACATTGGGCCCGTCGAATTCAGTCATCCAATTCGCGCTTGCACACAAGGCATATGTAAAGCACACACATAAAAAAACCCGCTCTGATATACCTCTTTTCCATGAGATGGAAGAAAAGAAAACATAGTAAAATCCGAGTTGGCTCTTGAATGCATCCAGCAGAACACGGTAACGGTAACCACCAACGAACCCTCCGCCTTACCCCTCAACTCACACACATGGGAAAGAAGAAAAGAACATAATTCTCTTCCCTAGCATAGGACAGACAAAAAAAAAACAAGGCACACTCAATAGACGGAGAGAGGGACAGGAGAAGATCCGGGTGACAGAAACCGGTTCATCGTGGAGCATATCCCGAGATTTTCAGGCAATTTAGTTGCCACCGAGGCTGGGGAAGTTCTTCTCGTCGACGGTAGGGCCGGCAGGGCCACGGGCAGCGCCGCGGGGAGCACCACCACGGGCAGCGGGGGCACCGCCACGGGGAGCACGGTCACCACGGGGGGCGCGGTCACCACGGGGGGCACGGTCGCCGCGAGGGGCACCACGCTCACCACCACGGGCGGGGCGGTCACCACGGTCACCACGGCCGCCACGGCCACCGCGGGGGGCAGGGCCGCTGCGGGGGGCTCGACGTAGCGCAGGTCAACGTCAAGGAAGTTCTTCTCCTTGCGCTGCTTCTCGCGCTTGGTCTTCTCGCCGGAGCCGGCGATGTAGGACTCCTCGTCGTCCTTGGCGAGCTCCTTGGCCTCAGCCCACTTCTTATCGAGCTTGCTGCCCTCGTTGGCGGCGCGGACGGGCTTGGCGGCGAGAGTCTCCTTCTGGGCCTTCTCGGCAAGGTAGTCGGCGAAGGACTTGGAGTTATCGGGCTCCTCCTCGGCCTCCTCGGCAGCGGGAGTCTGGGGCTCGGCCTCTTCCTTCTTGGCGATCTTCTCGCCCTGGCGCTCGTCGTCCCAGTTCTTCTCGCCGCTCTCGGCACCCCAGCCCTGCTGGACCTGCTTGCGGGTGTCACTGTATTCCGTTAGTCCCAGGTTCGGTGGCTGCAAAAGTATATGTATTTCGCTTTCAATTGCTTCGCGGGGTCGCTTACGTCTGGCCAGTGCGGGACTGGCGGTCACCACGGCCACCACCGCCGCGACGGCGGGCGGGCTGAGCAGCCTCGTCAGTGGGCTTCTCGCGGTTGTTGTTGCGGCCGGCGTTGCGGTCACGGAAAGCTACCGTTATGTCAGTCCAAAATTTCCCTTCGCACCATCACTCGATTGACCACATACCGGCCTCGTTGCCAGCGGTCACACGGCCACCGCGGCGAGCGTTGGTCTCATTGTGACGAGCAGCGGGCTCCTTAGGGGTATCCCGCTTGCCGGAGCGGTCAGCGGTGCGGTCGACAGCCCTCGTGGGGGGAGGAGCGGGTCTGCTAGGGTCGAGCTCTGGGTCGTTACCTGGGAGGAAAAGACAAGGTCAGCTATCAATGCCTTGAAAAACAGAGACATATCATATCGGGTTGATATTCCGATTGAGAAAAGGAATTGTTGTCGTCGGAAAAGATGGCCGGGGCTCAAGTGGTGCTCAAGGGAGGGGAAATTTACCCAGAAGCTCATAGAGGTTCTATTCGCAAAAGTTTCGAATTAGTCACTGGTCAAAAATCCCTAGAAACCCCAATTTTCCTCCAAATTTCGAGGTCGGTATTGCGTCGCCGGGGCGCGCAAGAGAGCTTTCAATTCAGCGTACCTTGGACCGTACGTCGGCCATGACGCCTGTTTTTGCGGAGGCCTTCCGGGGGAGGCGCTTCGACTATCGTAGACCGTTGTCTAGGTGAGGTAATGCGGCACAAGGCAGAACCCAAGGAGATCCGGCCTTCAAGATTGATGATGATGAGGAATAGAGGGAGGTCCACGGTTTGTGGTTGGGTGCAGAGTGACTAATCAGGAAAGGCGGCTTCTGCTCCTAAGCGAATGTGCCCGCGGATGGTGATTGGCTGCCCGCATACTAGGGCTTAGGGTACCTTACATAATGATGGCGTCAAGACATCGAATTACTATGAGAGCTTCATGTTTACCCTACTCCGTATAGTTGAGATATATTCAGTATGCTTACTTGAGTTAGAACACATTGCTGTGGCGTCTGTCATCTTCCTGTGGACCCTGTCGATCTGGTCGATAGTCAATGGTCGAAGGAACCGACGTAACTGTGAATATCCACAGCTTCGATTTCCTTTCGATCTGTTTCGAAGTCGGATACATCGAGTCGAAGCCCTTTCTTGAAAGTGATATGCGCAAACTCATGATTGGTTGAAATGGTCATATGACTGCTTTGTTTTTGATTCCGTGGTATAGGAGACGATCTAGGTTGGGACGTACAGTCGAAGTTTGCAACTTGATATAATCGGTAACCCATTCAAAGAACAATATGCAGTGATCTTTCCGGAATCTGCTGTTTCAGAGAGTCAATCCCCCCCCACAGTCAAGCGGGAGATATTGTTTGGACCGGGTCTTTTACAAGGCCGTCCACCACCACTCGATATTTTCTCCTTCTCCCTGGACTATTTTCGCTTCGAGGCGCGCTCTGCTTAGATAGGACCTTGTTCCTCTTCAGCAATGGAGACCAGGACCTTTGCTACTCTTATTCTCATTGCTGATCTTATCGCTGCTGTTCAGGATGACATTGCCCTAGGTCTATAGATCATATCTTATAAGTTATGGCTGGTGAATATAAAGACTCACATCTTTATTCTAATGTGTTTTTTTTTCTTTCATTTCATTACTAGCCTATTCGCATGCAGTCATATATCTATAACTCCCACATGAAACACAGAACAATGGCAATGTACGAAAACGGCTAGTCCGACAATCCAGGCCAATGATTTCGCCGCTCGGAGCTCGGAGTTAAGCAATAGCAACGACAACCGTAGACACCATATCGAGGCAACAGGATTCCCTGTCATCTTTTCTAGCCAAATATTCGAACCTCAAAAATGAATCTAGACAAGCAAGTGTCTGGCGGCCAAGAATATCGCAAGCGTCGACCTCACACCAAATCCAGACAAGGCTGTCGCAACTGCAAAATCCGCCGTGTGAAAGTAAGCTTACAAATTTTATTAATATTTCATGATAGAATTCGATGATTGATTAAGTCAGTGTGATGAAACCCGCCCCCAGTGCCAAAAATGCATACAATATGGCGTTAGCTGTAACTATTCAGCCCAAAGCCAGGGCAAAGGCCAAGGCCAAGCACCAGAACTACTAGCCTGGCAATCAAACAAAACCGAGAACAACGGCGCAAGCCAAATAGTATTTAACGCCAAGCCAATACCAAAAATGCTCTTACCACCAATTACAGTCGGGCATGGCCCGGACTCATTCATACTCGATCTTGAGAGCCAAGCACGACTATATCGCTTCCAGAAGCAGACTCTGCCCACTATCGGTACACCGAAGGCGGCAGCGTTATATCAGGAGGTTATAATTGGATTGGCATTACCAGTAAGCACATCCCCACTTCACGACTTTCAATGCATTAAACTCACAACGTATCCCCAAGCACCCATTCCTCATGCACACAATCCTAGGCATAACAGCAACATACGACCGCCTCTGCCGAACAATCCCCTCACAATTACCATCATCAACAACACTATCCGTACCACCAATAACCCCCCAAGAATTCCACCACCGCCAACAAGCAGCAAAACACCTAGCCAAAAAGCTCTCAACGGCCATTAACCCGCAAGATCGCGATGCCCTCTGGGCCGCAGCAGCTTTACTGGGAATAACAAGTCTGACAACTATTGAGTCGACAACACCAGAAGAAACATGGCCCCTAAAGCGAAGACCATGCATTCCCCCCAGCCCGGACCACCACCCGCCAGATCTAGATCTAGATATGAGTCCAGACCCAGACCTCCAATGGATGAACCTAACAAAAGGAAAAGAAGCAATCTGGTCCATAACAAACCCCCTCCGACCCGATTCCGTTTTTCACATCCTAAAAGATGAATATCGAGTCTTAACCATCGATCCGGGGATATGTGCTCTATCAGAAATGAATCGGGATTTTGTGGATGTTTTTGAGCTGGAGGGTGATCCCAGAATCAACCCCACGCACAATTCCACTTTGGATATGACAAGCAAGCAAAATCCCTATCTAAAAGCTATATCCCTCCTAACCCACTTCCGCGGACCGAATTGCAGGGATGGTGCTATACCGCGCGATCTGGCGTTTATTGGATTTATGGAGGGGTCGTTTAAGAGATTGTTGCAGGTGAAGGATGTGCGGGCCTTGCTTATTTTGGCTTATTTTTATGCGCCGCTTTGTGGGAGTTCGTGGTTTATTGCTCGCAGGGCGTGGTTGGAGTGTCGGGCTATTTGTTTGTTTTTGGGGATTGTCTGTGTGGATGAGCGGGTTCTTGGGTTGTTAGAATGGCCTAGGGGGATGTGTGGGTTGAATTCAGATTAGGATTGAGAATTGGGGGTTATGTTCTGATGGAAGTGGATGATGTTGGTGTTGATGGTAGTAATGTATTGTTGATGGTGTGGATATTGATTTGTAAATCCATATACAACACATGTAGATAGAAACTTCTCAAGTAACCTCTCCAAAAGCCAGAAGAAAGGGAACGTGAACATTGGTATCAAAACCCTCGCAACAACGCCGGGCAATGCTCAAATCAAACTTTTAGATAGAGATGACCATTTACCATTCCTGGAAAACAGCAACAGCAACAGCAAAGAAGAAAGAAAGAAGAAATAGACCCCGAGGGAAATATGGAACAAGAATTAAAAAAAGACGAGAATAATAGACAGCAATAAAGAGACACATTTTTTGCTTTAAAGGTTCACTGCCGCGAATTATTCTGCTCGTAGTTGAACGGCGTGGGGAAATGCATGCTAGCACTCAACCCGAACGGATCTGTATCCAGCATCGGCTCATATTGTCCGAGGAGATGATTTGCATTATTGAAATCGCCCGGTGTGCTCTCGCCGGCTGACTGATTAAAGCCGGACATGTGCGAGTTCGAGGCGACGGACTGTGGCGTGAAGCCCGGCACGAAGGAGGAGCCATCGTGTTCGTCGTCGACGAGGTCGGCTTGCGCGTCGTATTCTTGTTCTGCTTCAGTCAGTTTGGATTCGATCTTTTCTTTGATGGATAGCATGCTTACCGAGTTGGTCGTAATGTTTCTGGAAAGGAGAGGGATAATATGCTGCAGCAACCCGCCCCCCGCGCGGCCCCATGCGGGATGACTTGGCGTCCGAGGGTTCCGTCTGCGGCATGCTAATTGCCGGCGGCGAGGTTTGATTGAAACTCCGTGGTTGGGGGAGGAGCTGAGGACGACCCTGGCCTTGTTCGACTGGAGACATGGCGCCCTGGAAGCCGAAGCCTGGTGATTTGGCGTGCGATGGGGAGGAGACGTGGGAGGTGGGTGTGGCCTGGAACTGGGGGGATGGGACGCCGTAGGCACCTTCGCGCTGGGCGATGCCGAAGGCTTCGGGCTTGGAGGCAATGCCTGCTGGATGTCTTGCTGAGCGCGCGCCTGGTGCGCTCTTTGGTGGCATTGGATTTTGCTTTGGGGGAGCGCCCGGCGCTCCGGTCTTGAGGCGTAGCTCGGCTTGGACGTCGATCCCCTTTTCCAGGAGGATGCGCTCCAGCAGGGAGTTTTTGTAGCGCAGCATTAGACATTCGTCGGCGGCGCTGCGATGGCTTTGTTGCAGACTCTGAAGCGAGTCTTCATTGCGCTTGATGGTTGTCTCTAGTTGGCGGATGTATTCTGTCCTGCGCTCGCGGAAGGCGGCTTGGGCCTGGCGGTTGCGCTGTTTGCGCTCTTCCGAGGTGGCATAGATCTAGGGATGTCAGTCAATGCTTCATGCTTCATAAGACGATCGAGGAATGCGGGGCCCCAGGTTTGCAAAGATGTTACGTACAGGTTTCCTGCCTCCCTTCCTCTTCTGCGTTTGCACATCCTGAGTCACTTCGGCTTCGGGGTCTGGCGTTGACACGTTGGAACTGATTTCACCATCTGGCCCCGGTTCGTGCTTGGGCACGGGGTCCATCACCATGTCGTTCTCGACAGAAACCATTCTACCCTGTGCCTGCGGCCCGCGCCAACAGACACAGCTTCCCCGCTAAAAGGAAAAAGAAAAAGGCGACAAACGCGCGTCTAGGCGGTTAGAATGACATAAAAGAAACACAATTGAGCAGAGGTAGAGATAGGAATAAGGAAGTAAAGCCGTGAGGTAAAACGATTGACTAAGTTGAATAACAGAAAAGTCTGAAGGGGAGGGGCTCTCGCCTATACGGATTTTTCCTTTCTTTTTCTTTTTTTCTCTGCTCTTTAGCCTCTTTGGGGTCGTTTTCTCCACTTGGCCCAAGGCGCAAATTTGCCCGCGGAGTTCCAAGTGTCAGGCCATTGGGAGGCCGATTAGCCGATACCGGGCCCCCAAATAGTCCACTGGCACCCTGCCCAGGCATGCTCTATGCTACTTAGGCTCACCGTATTCACTACTTACTCCAACTACCACATGACCAAATCACGCGCCCTCCTACGTGGCCCTGAATTCCCTTCCCCGGATTCCAAGGTTCCTACCTATGTACGTAAGGCGTAAGGAACATGCAGATTTTTCAGCCAGCTCACCGTGCGGGGATATTTGCCAAGACGGATCGGACGTGCAGATTTTCATCTAAGATGATCTCATTTCATGATGCCATAGTGTTCTTATAACATCTGGTTTAGTTGGCGTTAGTGCTTACATTGGAGGAACGTGTAAGCGAGGCAAATATGCAAAACGGTCAAAACCAAGACAAAGCAGAACAAAACAGACAAACAAGTCATGGGACTTGGCTCGGCCCTCCAAATGGTCCGGGTTGAGTAGATCTTGGTCTTTTTTTGATCTAACTTACTATCTAACAATAAGTCTATAGAAATCAATCAATTGACATTCCATTCACTCCTAGTCTATATTTACTGTTCCTGTTCCTGTTCATTGTACACCATGCTAACTGCAACCCTCGGCGATCGGCATTACCGCTCGGTTCCCCGCCAAACCCATCACATGCGAATATCTCCAAGCCCGACGCTTCTCTCCTCACCAACTCCTTACTTACCACCCGCAATTTATTCGTCATGGAGAACGTGTCGCCAGCTGGGGACCTGTCTAAGGATGTGGTAGAGCAGACAGGGACCACGCCTGTTGATGTTAAGCCGCAGACGCAGACCGAGACACAGCCGGAGACCAAGGCCGAACCGCCGAAACCTGAAGTAGACGACGATGAAGACTCGGATTTTGACGAGTTAGATGGTAATCCCCTATTCAAACCGTCAAATGTCATGCGAAACCCATGATTAACAACCCACCAGACGTCCTAGACGACTTCTCCAAACCAAAACCAGCTCCCGCACCTGCTCCCGCACCAACGGCAAACCCCGATGCATCATCAACGGGCGTCGCACCGGCAGACTTCGACGAAGATGCTTTCCTTAAACAACTAGAAGCAGACATGGCTAATATGATGGGCGGGGGCGGGGCACCAGCTGGAGCCGGAGCAGGAACAGGCAACCGGGCAGATTTCCAAGCAACAGTCGACCAAGGCGCCGACGTGTTCGCAAAACAACTCGAAGAAAGTGGCATCCCACCGGGTGATTTCCTGAAGCAGTTGCTTGCGGATGTTATGGCTGAGGAAGGTGGTGGTGGTGGTGGTGCATCAGCCGAGGGACTCGCCGCTGCGGCTGCAGCTGCTGGACTTGGCGGATCTGGTACTGGAACTGGAACTAGCTCTGGGTCAGGCTCCGGTCAGACAAACAAAAACTCAACCGCCGCAGGCACTAAATCAACAGACGGCCCGGCCGACTCCTTCAACGATGCCATCAAGCGAACAATGGGCCGAATGAAAGAATCGGGCGAGAAAGCCACCGCAGCTGCAAGTAACGAGGACGACATCTCGGATGATATGCTAGCGCAACTACTCAAAGCGGTCGAAGCAGGCGCAGCGGGTGCAGGCGATGAAGGCGATTTGTCGAAGATGTTCATGGGGATGATGGAGCAGCTTTCTAATAAGGAGATGCTGTATGAGCCTATGAAGGAGCTTGATGGGAAGTTTGGGCCTTGGCTTGCTAAGAGTAAAGCTGAGGGGAAGGTTTCTGAGGAGGATATGGGGAGGTATGAGACTCAGGCTAAGGTTGTTAAGCAGATTGTGGGGAAGTTTGAGGAAGCTAATTATTCGGATGAGGATCCGAAGTGTCGGGAGCATATTTGGGAGAGGATGCAGGAGGTTGGTTCTACTTCTTTCGTGTTGTGGATTGAACGCTGACTTTGACTTAGATGCAAGCTGCTGGTAGTCCGCCTGAGGAACTTGTCTCTAATCCTCTTATGGAGGATCTGGGTGGGCTTGGTGCTGGGGCTGCTGGGGCTCCCGGTATGCCTGACTGCCCACAGCAGTGATCTATTGAATGTGAACGTGGATGAAGATTGGAGAATTGGCTCGAGGTTGACGCTGAACTTGTCATACTTGTTCCTCGGCCCTGTACTGTACATATACACAACTCTCGTCGATACCCTTATTTACATGCAGATCGAATTTGCTCAGTTCCCATCCCTCCCATCCAAATACCCATACATGCATATCCATATCCCAAAGAAAATGAACGCCATCCAATGCTATGCTATGATAACTATAATTTCAAGCAAAAAACCGAACCTCATCCTCCTCATGACATGTCCATATCCTGAGCCCCATTTCCACTCTCAAACTGCGAATCCGACAATCCCATAAAGATATCATCATACTCATCATCACTAAACGGAACCCGCCCCCCATTGCCATCCCCCCTCAACGTCCCGACCCGCCCAGCCAGCGGCGCCTGCGTCTCCGTCTCACGCAAAGCCATCTCCAACGCCTCCTCTTGCGAGATAAACTCATCCAATTCAGCCTCATCCCCATAAGGAAGCATATCATCCTCCCCCCTCGAATTCTCCATCAAACCCAGCCATGATGTCCCCATCAGCAGCCATACTCTCCTCCCAACGCCGCCGATCAGCAAGACATTCCATACGCATCATCTGCTCGCCGCGCGCCTCGAATCGACCGCTATCGCGCTCATTGCGCACGCGATTGAGGAACAGTTTGCGCGTTTTGCTGCGCGCTAGGGAGGGCGCGTTTCGCAGTGGGTTTGCAATTGTGTTTGCGTAGCGGGTTTCGAATTTTGGTTTTGGGCGGGTTGGGGTTGTTGGTGAGTTTGGAGTTTCATTATTGTTGTTATTGTTGGCTGGGAAGGAGAATGGGTCGTTGGTGGTTGTGAAGGGCGTATTGGAGGTTGAGGTTGGGTTGAATGCTATGGGGGATTGGTGGCTGTTGCTGTGGCGGGTTATTGGTTCGCTTTGGATGTTGAAGAATGATTGGGGCTGTGGTTGGAAGATATTGTTCGCGATGGTTGTTGGTGAAGAGTTAAGGAAGCCATTTGTGGTTTCGTTGGTGTTGGTGTTGTTCTCGTCCATTGTACTTGGCTTAGGCGCGCTGCCTCGCGTTGGTGACATTGCCCACGGGGGTGTGGAGATGTTTGTGCTTCGTTGGCCTAGGGGGGATGGTTTGGCTGGGATGTAATAGCCTGTTTGGCGGAAGGGTGTTGAGGGTGGGTGGGCGAACATTTTGAGGTTGGATCCGTCGGATGCGGAAGGGTTGCGTCAATGGATAGTTAAGTGGGTTGGGTTTGGGAGTGAGTACAGAGTGAGGTGGAAGTTGCGAATTATGGTGGAGTATTTGAGTACTTGATAAAGAGGATATGGAGAGAGATATGGAATTGGTAGGCTAGGAGACGGGTCCTGCACATGAATCTCGCGTGTCAGACGCGTGCTGGAATGCGTCACGTGAATCTCGGTTTGGGCGGATCAACGATCAACGATTCAAGTTGATTAGGCTCAGTTAGTTGGTGTAATGTAATTTACAGGTAGACTATACATGTATTTGCACGATTATTGTACTTTTGACTTAAATCCATTGTCTCAAATTACATACATAAAGTTGAAAAAGGCCTTTGCACTTGGCGTCTAGATACACTATACAACATCCAATGCTCCAGAAAGAAAAGATTGTCGAGACTGATGAACTTAATCACAAGTAAACCAAGCGCTTCGACACGGGGAATCAAAAAGAGATGGGCAAAACCGCAAGTAGTGCCGATTTTGTCAGTCGCGCAAGGATCGAGAGTTGCGTTTGAAAGGAATGTGATGGTTGCTGGAACGCTCAATGAATGTGCAAATGTCCAATCTATAAAAGAGAGACTAGGCGAAAGACGCCTAAAATGATAATAATAAAAAAGTCCGCAACCGAAAGAAAGAAGCAACCGTGCCCTCGCCTATCCATAGCGCCTGTGAATTGCATGATGATCGTACAAGTTTTACACTGAAAGTGTCAATCCGCGGCTTAGAAGTTGGAGGCAGCGTTGACAGGGCCAGGGTTGTGATACTGGTCCAGTGTGTTCTTGAAGGGGGTGTTGCCGGCAGGGCTGGGGGCCTTCTCGCGAGGACCGGAGCCGACGGCGGTACCGCCCATCAGATCATCTTCGTCACCGAACTGCTCGCTGCGCTTCTTGTGGATTCTCCAGAAGACGAGGCCGAGGGCACCGATCAGAATGGCACCGCCGACGCCGACCACAACACCGATGATGATCTTCTTGTCGGAGGAAGAGACACCGCTGGAGCCAGAGCTCTTGTCACCGTTGAGAGAGGGGGAGGTGGCATCGGCAACGGGAGTGGAAGTGGTGGTCATCACGTTGGCCACGGTCGATCCGCTACGGGTCTCGTAGGAAGTGATGGTCTTCACGACAGGAGTCTGGGTGGTGGAGGGGGCCTCAGTGGTTTGGCTGCCAGCGCTGGTAGTGGCGGCAGCTTCATTGGTGGACGAGGTGGAAGAAGTAGAGGAAGAGGAAGAAGAAGAGGAAGACGAGGTGGTCGGGTCCGCAACAGCGCTGGTAGGCTCTGCTGACGAGGTTGAGGAAGTGGAGGAAGTCGAAGAAGTGGTAGGCTCGCTGGAAGTAGTGGGCTCAGTGGAAGTCGAAGAGGTCGAGCTCGATGATGAGGACGTCGATGTAGGCTCAGCAGAGCTGGACGCAGAGGTCTCACTGGTGAGATCCAGGATATCAGAGACACCACCACTCTGGGCTGCGACAGCAGTCAACAGCAGAGCGTGGGCGATGAACGAGAGGCTGGAGAGACGCATGATGAACCAAACGAAGGAATATGACCAAAGTCAAGATGTGAGTCGAAAGTCGGAAGATGTCAAAGAATAAGCAGAAATGAAAAAGGAGTCCAAGCGAACGTTTGGAAACACATCAACTGCGCTAGGCCAGATTAGGCCACGCTAGTCTCAGACTAGTACAAGCGCCGAGAGATCTGCAGCTGTAATTGGCTGTGGTTTTCAGACACGCGCTGTTGTCTGGTCATTTTCTCCAGGCATTTCTTGAAGGAATCAGAGAGGAGGATTAGGGGTTCAGGAGATTATAGTAGTCGGAAACTGCATTCTCACGATCATATCATATCTACTTTGGCATACCAAATAATCAACACGTTGTGTATAGAAAACTCTTGACGGTGACGACCCCTCGCTTCCGGGCCCATAATAGTCCCATATTTAGTAACAAACCAGCCTGGGAGATCTTCTGATCTCCCACTGTACCCGTTAGTGTATGCACTGCTGTACAATGTATTTACTCCGTACATGTGTGGCATTCGATGCTACCCTCGACGACTACCTATGTTTTACCATTTGCCAGTTCTTGAATGGCCAATTCTCACGTGGGATGGTTTATTAGCCCTAGTGCCGGACCTTCCAGCTGGGGCCTCCAGCCCCAGTCAAAGAAGCCGACACACCCGGACCTAATATGGCCTCAGTGGCAGTCTCCTATCCCTGCTCTAACTGTGCTTGGGTCGCATGTTCTGGAATTCGACCGGGTACGTACATGTCCACAGGGTTGTTCAGCTGGAATCCAGATAGGGTTCTAGGGGTTCTAGACTCAAGGGACTTGGTCGTCATTGAACATCCTGTCAAGGCATAAAGTATAATATGATGTTTATTATTCTGCTTTGAAATCGAGTAAGGTGCAACATAGAGTACACATCGCTACTGCCACACTATGCTAACGGCTGGCCTAACGGAGTCGCACTATTGATAGTCTCCACTGACGTAGAGATCGTCGACTCTACCCAAACTTGGCGCTGACAGTCTCGAATAGTTGCCTCCTCCGCTGGTGCCGGTGCATTTTTCCCTCATTTGCCTTGGCAACGAGGCAAAGTCGGCGCTAAGACTGGGGTAGAATGAGGGGCTGTCTTTGTGTATGGCTATGTGTTTGACTCGGTGGCTCTTGAATACCCACAATCTGTCCAGATCGACATTGGACTTGGGCAACAATATCATCTATTTGATATTCTTCACGGTCTTTATTTGAGGTAAGATTTACCGCTTCTGGTCGCTATCTTTGGCCTGTGCGTCCCGTTTTCGGCCACGTTGTACACTGCAGTCTCTGCAGAGTATAGGGGTATTCTCTTAGCATTTCCAATGGATGAACCAGGTTCTTGTTCAATTCCATCGCGTTATTGATTATCTATATATCGTTCCAAGTCTGTGCAAATCAATATTCAACATAAGTCAACGCTCGCTCTCCAGAAACTGCGCACTGAATGGATAATCCGCATATCCGGCTTCCTGCATAGCAGCATAGAAACTATCCCGATCATACTTATTGAGCGGAAGCTGATGTTTTAACCGGAAAGGTAAATCAGGATTCGCAAGGAAGTGCCGCCCAAACACAACAGCAACATCATTGCCTTTGTACTCCTCAAAAGCAGCATCAACATTCTCAGGCTTATATCCACCAGCCACAAGAACAGGAGAAGTCTTCTCCCAAATATCTAAAAGGAACTCAAGTCCCTCGGCCTTCTCACAATCAACATTATTAATCACCCTTGACTCAATAAGATGAAGATATGCAAGCTTAAGCCCCTTCAACCGCTCAGCAAGATAAGAGAATTGAGGCACCGGGTCATCCATCTTCATCCCCTGCCATGTATTCCACGGACTAAGACGGAACCCGACACGGTCAGCTCCAACAGCTTCAACCAATGTCTCAGCAATCTCAATCGCGAATCTGGCGCGGTTTTCAACACTCCCACCCCATTGATCACCCCGCTTGTTCGACACATCTTGCAAGAACTGATCAACAAGATACCCATTGGCACCATGAACCTCCACCCCATCAAACCCAGCCCGAATAGCATTCTTCGCGGCAATTCCGAAGTCATGAATAATACCCCGAATCTGCTCCTCGCTCAACTCCTTAGGCACAGCCCTCCCAGCTTCATTTGGAATAGGAATAGCACTCGGAGCGAGAACCTCATATTCACCCTCCTTCTCTAAGGTGGTTGGATCGGCAGCTCGACCAAGCGCGACAAATTGGCAGTAGATGTAGCTCCCCTTGGCGTGCACGGCATCTGTGATCTCTTTCCAGGCTTGGACTTGCGATTCTGTGTAGATTCCTGGTCCGTTGGGAATTCCACCGCTTGACGGGGAGATCAGGGTTGCTTCGGCGATCAGCAGTGTTCCTGGTACTGAGGCGCGTTGTTCGTAGTATGTTTTTGATATTGGGAGCGGCGCGTGGAATGAATCGGCGCGTAGGCGGGTTAGGGGAGCCATTACCACGCGGTGTGATAAAGTTGTTTGGCCAATTTGGAGGGGTTGGAATAGTTTGGAGGGCATTTTGGGTTGGGGTTTGTTGATTGGTAGGTACGCAGAAATTGAGGAGAGAAGTTGGGTGAAGTTTGGATGTTATGTTCTTCGGGTGTTGATTATATGGTGGATCTTTTGATGTGGTTGATTGGTAATGGATCCTGAAAATTTGATGCTTCTATACTTCGTGGACGTGCGTGGAGATGTCTTGGAGGTGTGTTGTGGAGGTGTTCCGAGATTGACTGTCTAATAATTCAACCAACTCCAACGACCACCTCCACACTTGATCCGTGGCTTTTTATCACTGAAATTGCAAGAACTAATTGACAAATTCACTTTAGAATTAACAAATTGTTGACTCTCGTATAAGAAAAATTTACAGAATGGTCTTAGCGTACTACAAGCTAGGATCAACAGTTTTGTAGTAAGCGATCTGTAACCCTAGCTCTTCGGATATGCCTGTTCAATGGCTACGTGACAGCTATGGTGATTTGGTTGAATGTTTGAGCTAGACTACATGCATGCCGACATCATTTATATTAGATTATGTCTGATCTTTTTAACCGTTGCGTTTAGCCTCCCCCCAAATCAAAAAGCGTGATACTAACAATAGCAATATATTCATTGATCCTTTAGAGAACTAGCAAATCTCTGCTCACAGGTATCAGCATAAATATCAAGTCCCTCTCCAATGACCTTCAGAATCGCCCATTGCTCATTCCCCCTGATCAATCGCGCCCAAAGCTTCACCACAGCAAAGCCGAGATAAACACAATTCGATGACAAAGTAGGTCTAGACCACAAATCCTCATCTCCCGACGTTCTCCCTTCTTCAACAATATCACCGATCCAACTAATCAGGCGACTCTCATGCTCTATGAATAATCGTTAGCATAACCCAGCCTAATTTATCGGAGAAAAGCACATACCATCAAGCGACCTCCTAGTCTGACAATCAGAAATACAAAACAACCATTTACTAAGGAAAATTGCAAACTCCAGTCCACAGAGTGAGTGCTGGATACTCCACACAAAGGCATGACTCCTCGCAACGAAAGTTACCCCCAGCTTAACTGGTATGCTCAACGCATGAGTTGCATGCAAGATTGCAGGCAGGAGATGGGGACCGGCCGGTAGTCTCGGCATTTGCAGGAGTCTGTCTGCGATTTGCTGTGGGTCTCGTGATCCAAGGATTCTGTATGGCCCTATATTTAGAGCGAGTCGGACGTATGCTAGTCCTAGTAAGGCTGTTGAGGTGAATGTAACGGGGCCATTGGGATTGCGAGGGTCAAGGCTGGATTCTGGGGCTCGTTGCCATTGGGACGTCCATGCGCGGAGGGCATTTCTGTGGGTGTATTAGTGTATGATATTGGGCTGGCACTTTGGTTTCCTTACCGGATTACCTCTTTTTGGCCATTTAGTAAGATATCATCGGGATCATTGTATGAGCCGAATGCTTGTTGTACAAGTGTAATTCTCTGGATTAAAGCATGTAGAAGAATATAGTTTGCCAAAGGTGATGGCACAGGTTGGGAGTTTAATCCCTGAATGTCGCTGGGAGATTTCATTAATTGTGAGAGGGCCTCTTGGAAAGGCATTTGTTGTGCATTGTCTAGCTTGTGCACGATTGACCATTTCTGCTGATTCGGCGCAATCCATTCAAAGCAGGTGCATGGAAGGCGAAGATGGATTTCGTCGCTCAATAGGACCGGCGGAGTACTGAATGCTATGCCATGTAGATTGAGGATGGCAAAAGAAAACAGCTTGACCCTTCTATCGGATTCCTGTTGTACCCATGAGTGCCAATCTGTATCTTCTTGTGAATATTGAACGCTCTCTTCCAGTTGGCACTCTCTCACGCATCGTGCAAGAAAGCTCTGAAGGTTGAATGCTTCCCGTACAACGTCGGGCTCACGTTGCCAAGTTGCAAAAGCAATAAGGTAGAAAGCGCACCGTGCCTGGAGCATCAATTCTCTTTGAGACAAAGCTTCCCGGCTCTGTTGCGTTTCATGGTGGTTTAGAGTTGCCTTTGCGGCATAAAATAGCAACACTGCTTTTCGATGCTCATGCCGATACTGGGCACCGAGCGCAGCCATGGCTAGAATGATTTCGGGCTCACAATCATTCACTCTAAATGTCGGGATATGAACGACCGGCATATGAGGATAGAATCCATCGAAGAATCCATTCACAAATCGAGTGAGTGAATGACATGATGGAAATAGAGTATCAGTCATCGCCGCACCAGATTGACCGAGAGCTCGTAGAAGGCGATTTCGGTGTTCATCATTGATTCTCAGGATAGGTAATGTTAGAACTCCAAACTCAGCTAATATCACATGTTAGTCTCTTTCTCTGTATAGGAGATAGAGTACCCACCGACTGAGTCTCTTTCAATGGGTAGCTGACTAAGAGACTGATCTGGGTGCGAAGAAGCTTGGTCTTGTACCGTATATCCAGCATTTCCGAAATGAGTAGAATGCATATTAGATTCCCCAGCAAGAATCTGTACAATGCTGGGTTCAGAAGGAAGGGTCCACTCATTGTTGAGGCCTAGGTTGTGACTGAATGACTCCAAGTCTTGTAAGACGAGAAGATCTTGGGCATTGAACAATGAATCCCCTATCCAAGTAAGCATTTTGTGCAGCGTCCACATATACTGGCAGAAGAAGGCATACCTTCAACTCCATAGCCTGGGAATTGTCCCTGCGAATCAATTGGAGCGGTCACACCAGCCCCTTGGGGATCAGGAAGCTCCCAAAATGATGTATTAGAATTACTGGTGGAGGCACCATTCACTGGTGACTGGAGACTCTGGTTACTATGGCCAGTTATAGGCGATGGCTGCTGCGTTGGAGGAGTTGGAGTATGACCAATGTCCTCATGGCGTTTTAGTAGATCCCGCCGGCCGAATGAAGCCCCGCAGGTACATTTATACGGCTTTTCATTTGTGTCTAAGAACATTTAGTCTCTTCCCTTGAAATAACTAGGGGTAGACATACGAATCCGAATATGCCTTTGGAGGTGTTCGTGGCGGCGAAAATGACGGTTGCAGTGAGGACATGTTCGGGGCTTTCTTTTGCCCGTTGAGTCCGGGGTTTCAGGAGTTGTTGAATCCATATTTGGTTAAATGCATGACATTGTGCAATATCTCGGTGGAAACTGAGAGAGGAACGTTGGAGGTGTTCAAATGTGAACCTTTTTTTGAGTGACGAAAATGACTAATGCGGACCTGCGATATCATCGCTCACTAAGCACGATATCTGACCCCAAGCACAGAGACAACCAAAATTCCATCTTAGCTCTCCTATACATTAATGATCATTAAACTTGTAGGACACAAAGGTAATCCTTTGCACTTTACTTGAATAACTTGCTCAGCAGCAAAACCCGAGGGCAGTGGCATCCATGCAGAATTCAGACTGGCTTGACAATGTCCTCAACATGCCCTGCATTGCCTTGGTCTTGCTTCTCGTCAAGACCTCGCACAAAATCTTCGCCATACAGACGACGACGGTACGTTGCACCTCGTGTGATTGGATCGCCCCCTTCAAAGATCTTGTCAACCTGTTTAAGAGCCAAACCCTTTGTCTTGGGATAAAAGACATAAAGCAAAAATATAAACACAAAATTCGACACGATGAAGATAGTATATGTCCTCCAACCAATGTTATCCATAGCGACCGGGGAAATCATCACAACCAAGAAGTTGAACATCCACTTCGACAACAGGGAGATGGCAGAGCCTTTGGAGCGAATGCGCAAAATCGAGATCTCCGAGGGGTACAAGAATGGAGTTGACATCCATCCACCCGTAGAGTAGAAGATACTGAAGGAAAATGTTGACAGGATTGCAAACACCCTGGCAGTGAAATTCTCTGTGCCAAAGCTCAGGGACACTGTCAACATGATCATCATGCACATCATACCAACAGTTCCGAAGATGAGCAGAGACTTTCTTCCGAATCGGTCGATGAGCCAGATAGGCACACAAGATGAGATGAACTATGTCGTTGAGTTTATACCCGAGAGCAGTAAAGCCATGAAATAAGATGTTCCAATCTGCAAGAACAAGCTGCTCATGTAGTAGGTGTTTAGGTTGATGCCGCACATATCTTCCATCGATTGAATACCAAAGCAGATACATCTGCGTCGGAAGTCTTGCAGCTCGCCCCTAGTTAAAAGCTCACGATAACTAAACTCGCTGCCAATTTGGTCTTCGTAGTTGATGGCGCATCGAATAGATGTATATAGAGATATGAAAGACTCATCATCGCTCGGGCTATCTGCGCCGGCTAGAGCAGCCAAGGCTTATTTTGCTTCCTCTTTTCTCTTCACAAGAACCAACCAACGAGGTGATTCAAGCATGAAGAAGGTAACTCCAGACATGAAGAGAGCAAACACAGCCGGAAAAGCCAACGAGAAGCGCCACTGTGCCGTTGAGTTTGTATAAGACATGCCGAAATCCAGCCAGTAGGAGACCCAAACACCTCCAATAGCCATGATTCTTGGATGAGCATGTCTCTAATTGATAGAATCAAGCGTGCTCGTATTAACCCCGTCGCCTACTGCTGTTACTATCCGGCTCACGATGAATTGGGCTTGAGAGTAGAACGATACTTGAAGCATTGTCCCAACTATCAATTGACCGGAATCAGAAATTATCTCTTGCCGTAGTGTATTGAAGACGTATATTCTAGCCTGTGCATCTCATTTTAAATCTATAGGTTATTGCTCCTGTATCAAGACCTTGTAAATGAAATCCCGCCCCGTTAACAGCCACATCCCATAATCTCCTTGACGAGGCCCTCGTTCCAAATTGAAGATAATATCATCAGGGGTGTTGATTTTTCCTAGAAGAGCCCCGGACGCAGGATCAACGACATCAATACCGCCCAAAGCTGCTACCATCAGATATCCATTACGCGTCACTTGAAGCCCATCGGGCCAGCCAGCTTCGGTTGAATAAACCAGCCGTGGGTTGCTCAATATCGAGCCCTTAACATCAAAGGCCCACACATTCCGCAAACTGGAGGGAGAATGGCTCATCGGCTTGCCCGAGGTTGAGTTTGAGTCGGCAACATAGAAGGTCAATTCATCAGGAGAAAATGCAAGGCCGTTGGGTGTGGTGACAACTGAGTTCGAAACGGAGTGAAGGGCTTTCGTCTTTGTGTTGAAAAAGTAGATGCCATTGGGGAGTTCGGGGGGCTGCACACCCGGGAATCCCTGGCACCAGCCATACGGAGGATCAGTGAACCATATATTCGAGTTTGAGTCGAAGACCAGATCATTGGGACTGTTGAGATGACGTCCGCGGAAGTTGTTCACGATTGGAATGGCGGTACCGTTGCGAGGGTCAACTGAGTAAATACCTCGGGCTGGGCCACCGTTTGTGGTCAGGTACAGTCGTTCTTGGTGATATCTCCCTCCATTTACATTGGGAAGCGGTGGGGATATCTCGACTTTGCGTGTCTTTTTCACGTCACAGTTAGCTTGAGACACATTGGTCTTTGTATACAGTCACTGTACCTCATAAGTGTCCACGTTGACCGCCCACAGCCAGCCTGCCTCGCTTGTATCAGCGAAGAACAGTTCATTAGTCTCTGGGACAAATGCAGGTGCTTCGTGCACCCGAGGAGGTTCGCCCTCGAAAGACTGAATCTTTTCGAGCTTTGCATCCGGTCCGATGATGTCGAAAAATGAGGCATCCCATGCGACAAAGTCCGTTGATTTCAACTTTTTTAGGACATCCTGAACATGGGGCTGATCAGATTGGATATCGCAAAATGCGGTCTCTATCAAATGCATTAGCTCAGGTTCAAAACTCAAGTTTTCCAAGTGTAAACGGACTGATGTCACCGGCCTCCCATTCTCCGGGAATGACTGCAAAATTATCTTTCACATAAGAAATTGAGACCTCTTCAAAACCAGCAGGTGGAGCATTGAGAAAACCATGCTCACTAGCTAGCGCGGCTGTATCATGGTGCACTGGAAGGACAGCCCGCTGATTCGACCCCAAAAAACCAAAAGGAGAGAATGCGGAGTCTCGCCATAGCATTGACAGCAAAGACATACTAATATTCATAGTGACTCGTTGCTCATAAGCTCTGAAGATCACAGAACGCGATATACGATTGCATTTCTGCCACAGCTCATGTGGGCCCCTACACTGTCCCCGCACTAAACTCCGTGTTCCTCGGACTTTTGTGCGGCTTCACGTGATGATCCCTCTATACATCTGAATAGCTTCCAATCGGATATTTAGGTGGGGAGCATGACATCTCTTTAGTATTGATCCCCACCGAATTGCCTATGGCGACCCCTCACATAGTATATTAGGCTTTATTCAAGTTTACATGGCTCTCTCTAATATTTAGTGTTATAAAAACGCCCGCATCTACTCCATGTTTGATTCGGAATCGAAGTACTAAATAACTGCTATCCTAACATTCTATTTGTTATCAACCATGACATTTTTTCAACACTTCACCATCACTATTAAGAACGGCCGCCTTGCTGGAAAATTCGCTCGCGTAAGTGGAAGGTGATGTTTGGCATCATAACCTCAAGAGGCCACCGCAATCCTCGATCTACTCTCAGCGGATCCTAAAGGCCGGGCAATTTTTAAACTTCTCCCTCGACTCTTTGGCGGCTGCTCAATTTATAAACATGAAGTATCCGTCACGAATTTCTCGAAACAGGATGCAAAGCCGACGCCATCCTCATGAGTGCAGTTGGAGGTCCCAAATGGGACGGAATGAGACATGGTTTGGAGGTCCCGAAGGTGCCGCTCTACGCCTGCGTGAAGTGACACAGGTATATGCGAATCTGCGACCTTGTGGATATTTTGCAGCAGGAAACAGTCCTCTCGGAGAGGAACTTGTTTGTTCGTGGGACGAAGTTCCTTGTTTTTCACGAGAATTGTGGTCTTATAAGCGCTCTGGAATTGAGCGTGTTATTCGCATAGCGGCACATTTGGCCATCCCCAAGGCGAGCCCGAAGAAGACTGTCATTAGTTCTGAGAAGGCCAATGTTTTGGCTGGCTCGCGATTACGGTGGAAGGTTGTTCAAGAGACAATGAATAGAGAATTTCCGGATGTTGAGATCGTGCATCAACTTGGGATTCGTCCCACGTTCTTCAATGGATTTATTCCTGCCAATAACAAATCAGGTGAGTTGCTGTCTGATCTTGCTGGTGTTATCCCGGGGACACTTGGTGTGTTGCCATCGGCCTGTTTTGCAGACATTCCTATTAAGCAATGGGGTGATAAGCCGGTCAAGGGTTTCTACGAGCCAGTGCATGGATCGGCGCCAGATATTGCAGGCCAGGGAACTGCGAATCCTATCGGAGCCATTCTCAGTGCAGCTCTCATGCTCAGGTATAGCTTTGAAATGGAAGAGGAAGCTACTGCAATTGAGAAAGCTGTCAACCTGACTTTAGATGCCGGGCTTCGGACAAAAGTTATGAAGGGTACAGCTTCCACGACTGAGACTGGAGATGTGATTAGAAAGACATTGTTGGAATTATTAAATGCACAAGTCTTCTAAGGAGTCTCTATGGTTTTATATTGTTATCAATTTGGTTGCTGTCATGCTGGGCTCGGGCAGCAATGCAGCTATATTCCACGACCAAAAATGGTTATCGCTATCAATCCAATATGTAAGATCTTGATACTTCCTTGCAATTGTATGTCTATCACAGCGAGAAGCCTCGATTAAAAAAGTCCAGTGGCAGTAAAGATCAGGGTCATAAAAGTAGCTTTGTGGTGCCGGTCTTGTGGGAGAGGAGGTTTAGATTGGTCTAGGAAATTGGATCGATTTTCCTATGTTTATGTGGTTGGAAGATTGAGAAAATACGGGCGGAACGGCCTGAGCCTGGCGCCAATGATCTAATTAGAGTGTGGCGGTAGCTATATCCGCCCTGTCACTAACGTCAAAGCCATAAATTTCCAAAAATTGGTTACTTAAATTATTCTAGTTGTTCCCAAGATTTCGGGTGATTTGTTGTGGAATAGTGAAAATTTTTCCAACTTCAACCATAAAATGGTTTGGAGGCGACGGTCGAAACTGGAAGCCAAACAAGATCTATAATTGTCTGCGCGTCATCACTCAAAACAACCGGAATTCCCGCAGTGTATAATAAACTTTAGATAAATTCACCGTATGAGGTACACGACATGCTATTAAAATCACAACAACTTCCTTTCTATTATGGAGACCCGATATTACCTGGTGGACAGAGGAGCAGATCAACGAGAATCTCCCTCTTGGAGTCGTACCCTCATAGCTTTGGCCATCACTTTTGTAGCGGTGGCTACGATTGCATTTCTTCTGCGACTATACAGCCGATCTAAGACCACCTGGAAGCCGGCCCTTGAGGATGCTTTTTTGGGCATAGGGCTGCTTTTCTCTTACCTGCTTAGCGCATGCGTTATAATTGGTATCGTCGACACCTTTTGCCTCAAACTACAGACGCTCTATATGCTTACTTTTCTTGATTAGCTGCATGTAACGGCGTAGGGTACAATATTTGGGCTCTACCCCGACAAACACAGGGAAGAGTCTCACTTGTAGGAGCTCCTTTGTCGGTTAAGATCACAAGATAGAACTAACCAGGACAATTCAGGTATTTTGGCTTGGACAGAAGTTTTGGGTTCTAGCCCATGTCTTCGTGAAGATTTCTATAATCTTACTGATCCGCCGGTTGCTATGTATTGTTGAATCTTGGCAGACGATTACTGCCGGGTTGGTGATCTTCACAGTAGCATGGGGCATCACAAATATCGTCGGTAACACCTTGCAATGTTTGCCTCCTCGTTATTTTTGGGATAGGTATATCGACGGACATTGTCCTGATAACCAAGAGGCTTTTTCTATTGTTATGGGATCCCTAGCTCTTGCAGAGGATCTGGTGCTTCTCATTATACCGATCACAACCGTGTGGCGGATGAAGCTTGTGCGGAGTGAGAAGATTCGCATTACAATGCTATTTGCATTGGGGGCTGTGTAGGTTCTCTTCATTTACTGCACTCATCAGGTCACAGTATTAATTGAGACCAGCGTGTGTGTCTTCGGCATACTGCGTGTTGTTGAACTGGTTCACTACCAGCAAGAAAACTTGACGGGTAAGTCGTCTGAGATCTTGGATTGTATACTTATTGACAAAGAATATAGCTAGTGGCGCCTTAGAGGTTACCTGGTCAATTCTCGAGATCAACTTGGGTATTGTATTTGCTTGCCTGGTGCTAATGCGGCCACTATTTCACTCCTGCAAGGCCTTCCTTAGGCGACGCTTGGGTTGGAGCAAAGAGCCCTTGACATCAACCAGTACAGTTTGAGACATTTTTGCTTTCTAGCAATTTCATAGACCGATGAATAGTGGGATTTGTTTCTTCGAATTCATTTTGCAAGCTGGTATGGGTACAAGGTTCACTGTTGGATATTGGATATAGATAGTATGGCTTATGGTGGTCGGTTATGTTGAAGAGGATGAAAGTTGTAGAAGAGGAGAAGATGGCCGGGCGGTCATGCCTATACGCTATGGTCATTATGAGTGTTTAGTTAGCACCAGGTGGCTAAGTAAGCTCCCCAGAGCATGTCACTCGAAGTTCGATGTTGTCCCAGCCTCGGAGATTATGGTGGGGCGTAAACTGAACAGTAAGAAGCAGCAGGGGAGACCAGTGCGGAGAATTCATGGACATTGAAAATGGGTGGATGAATACTTAACCCTTCTATTTAGCTATCTATCGTTGTTTTCCCCGAACATTCTGAACTGAAGTAATACCATTTGCAATTGATAGCCGCCTCGATAATTCAAGACATTCAAGGAATTCTTACTAGTGACACAATCCTTGGTCTGTGTTTTCAAACATGGGCTCAAGTACAAGAAGTGTACGTCAGTGAAACTTTTCATAACCAGGTAATTGTTGATAGTTCCATCTTTCCCGGGCTCAGCTTGAGCTCAAGAATCCTGATCTTTATGGAGATCAAGCCCATGTCAACGGGCTGTGGATTGAGGCAGGATCTAAAAGGTTTGGAATTACAGATCGGCCAATTCTCTCTGGATCAATCTTAGTATTACGCATTAAAGGGTATTGACAAGATCCCGGAACGGGGGAAAAGTGGGCAACATGTAGTAATATGGCAGTCGAGGACGTTGACGATGCAGTACAAGCCGCACACGAGGTTTTAAGAGCTATCGCACTTTCACCTCACGATAGCGTGGAGATCTCCTGTTCAAATGGGATAGTCTTATTCATGAAAACAAAGACGACATTGCCAAGATTCTGGTTTATGAGACGGGAAAGCCTAGCACACGGAGAAAGCCAGTATGCTACCAGCTCCACAAGGTAGTTTTCTGCCGAGGCAGAGCGCATTCAGGGAACCGTGTTTCGACCTGCCGTCATAGGAAGACGCATTTTCACCGTCAAACAACCCATAGGAGTTACTGCTGTGCTTGTTCCGTGGCTATAGAATGATTTTTCGCAAAGTGAGTGCAGCGCTCGCTGCTGGATGCAATGATCACCAGGCCGTCGGTTGATGATATTTATCTTGCGCGTAGTTGTGATGCTCTCAGGCATATTTTGAATCATGGATTTGGACGGCTTATATATATTGGCTATGACCAGATCCAAATGTACCTATTATCACATAAACACCTCTAAACCTACTCAAAGTATCAGATAGATGCGAAAACATACCAAATAATCATCATCACAAATAATAAATACCTAAGCACTCATACTGTTGCCGTATCATATCATTTTACTTCAACTGATTGAAACACGTGATGCAAGGGTAACTTAGGTCGCAAACAGAACATTTTGGCTCTTATAGCCAAAGAAGCGGTCAAATTTCAATCAAGGTGCTGTGGTCGAGGGGTTAAGACACATCGTTGTGGTTATGCAAATATCCTCACATCGTATACCGATGTAGCCCCGGTTCGAGTCCGGGCAGCGCCATAATCTTTTTGCTCCGCCTCCCTTTGTACATTACACATGTAAGATTTCACTTGACCTGTCAAGAAGCTTTTTTTTATTCAAAAAATAGTATCATTTGAAAAAAAAAAGATTAGTAGCACAACAGCGGTCATAACCTTTTACATCGAACCTTTACTTGATCTAACTGATTCACCCAAGGCACTCAAAAATGGACATAAAACGAGGTGAAAAAGGAGGTGATGAGAGACCAAGAAGTCAAACGAACAACACTCACAGTAAAGAAACTGTTTTGACACTTCTTGCAGTGTCAACAGATTCATGACCCCTGTTGTAGTATTGTTGTGTGAACCCTAAGCGATTATCAACTCATACAGATAAAGAAAGTCTTAGTAGGTGACTGTTGTAACCCTAGCTCAATCTAGCCCGGCTTTGTCGTGACCTATCGCCAAACCACATAAGAAACTACACATAAACACACATGAAAAGAATACACTACAATGATCTCCCATCACAAGCACGCCACAAACGCCACAACAAGCCAAATCCTTGCACCCTCATTATCACTCACCTCATCCAACACAAACAACTCTCAAAAAAGGGACTCCGAAGCGCCAGCGACCCAAAACGACAACCCGAACCCCATGATATGCAAGAGCACAGGCAAGGTCACAGCGAAGCCAAAAGAAACGGCCTTCTCCCCGATGTCAAACTCCCCGCACTTCCCCAGACCCCCACAAAGAGCATAAAAGAAAAGCGTCCCTTAAAAATAGCCGAGAGCCGATCTATACCTTCTATTCTCGATTTACCACAGAGAAGCAAAAGCCAAGCCTCATTCCAAGAATGACATTGGTGGATTTCTCCCGTTTAATCCCCTTTTTGTCCTTTTTCCTACCGGCATAACTCCGTGCTGGAGACATCGCCGAAGCAAGGCTGGCGCTTTCTCATGCCGCCTCCGAAAGGGATATTTGAGCCGAAGACTCGGATTGGCTGGGGATATGGGGTGTAGCTTTGGTCCTGGTAGTCTAGATAGTATAAAAGGACGAGGGTCTGCCGTGTCGCGATGTGTGATCTACAAGACTTTCCCATTTATCAACCAGCACATACGTATCTACTTCCCCTTGCCCTCGCACAGGCTATGCCATAGCCATCAGTGGATAGAAACAAGATGGTAAAACTCAACGTCTACGGCCGCGGCCGATCACTGCGGATGGCTATTATGTTTACATGCCAATTAGCCTTTATCTTCTTTGGTGAGTATACTCTATGCTGGAAACTCGGACACGGAATTCGGCCAGCTGATTCTGCTATAGGCTATGATCAAGGCGTCTTCTCAGGAATCGTAGGAAACGAAGATTTCCTCAACGTGGTTCACCACCCAAGCGCTGGAATCCTGGGTATCATAGTATCGATATACAATTTGGGCTGTTTCACCGGAACGATAGTATCATTTGTGATAAGTGACCGAATTGGACCGCGGAAATCAATGTGGTTTGCTATGGTGTGGATTATTGTATGTTTTTCTATTTTCTCTTCTTATGTTTACATTGTAACAACCATTGACATCCTTCGCCCAGGTTGGTGCAACATTACAAACAACTTCATTCTCAAGGTCCCAGCTACTTGTTGCGCGCTTTATCACTGGTATAGGTACAGGTATCGAAACCACCGTCGTACCAGTGTACCAATCCGAGCTATGCGAAGCCAAGAAACGCGGAAAATACGTCTGCAGCGAGCCGCTCTTTGTTGGCGTTGGGATTGTAATTGCTTACTGGTTTGATTACGGCATGAGCTATGTTGATGGGGCTATCAATTGGCGATTGCCGGTTGCTTGCCAGATGATTTTTGCTATTATGGTTATCTTGTTAGTCTTTGGGTGAGTGACTCCGGAGAGGGCGTCCTATTCATTGTATCAAATGCTGACACTGGATATGATAGTCTGCCTGAAAGTCCCAGATGGCTCTACCGACACAACAAACCAGATGAAGCTCTCCAGGTCCCATGTGATATCTATGACAGGGGACCCGAGGATGGGAAAGTCGTCTCTGAGTCTGAGGGAATTATCCAGGCTATCCAGCTTGAGACTCTACATGGCGAATATAAATGGTCGCAGACCCTCAAGCGGGATGAGGTGCAGACTGGTCGACGGGTGTTGCTGGCTTATGGAATTCAGTTTATGAATCAGATGGGAGGAATCAACTTGGTTGTAGTGAGTACATTTCCAACGTTATCCTGCTATATTGGCTTAAATCATTGCATCTCTCTGACATTTTTGAAATTGCAGTACTACGTGACTTCTGGTAAGTATCAGTCTAAATCACGAATTTCTGCCAAGATAATACTGATACAAACAACCCATAGTCCTCGAATACAACGTCGGCCTAACCCGCAAGCTAAGTCTCCTTCTAGGGGGAGTAATCCAGATCATGTTTGTGATCGGTAGGTCCACATGTCCAGATCAAAGAGAGATAAAACTCCGGCTCTCACTAATACCAGCCAGGTTCCTTCTACCCAACATTCTTCTCAGACCGCTTCGGCCGCCGCAAGCCCATGATGTGGGGATCTTTCGGACTGTTCATCTCAATGATGATGATCTCGATTTTGCTCTCATTCAAGGGTACGTACACTTCCATGCCTACGCACCCCCATAGAAGCGGTTTAGTTCCACACAAGACCATTGAACCCACACTGATTCTAACATCACTACTATAAACAGGAACCTCAGTCGAAAAACCAACAGCAACAGCATCCGTCGCTTTCTTCTTCCTCTTCATGCTAATTTTTGGTGCATCGGTGAATTGTATTCCGTGGGTATACGGACCAGAGATTCTGCCTCTGCATGTTCGCGCTAAGGGGTGAGTATCTCATACACCAACCATACTATGCAACACCCTATTTCTGTATTGCAACATTTTCACTAACCGTTCTTTTCCCCAATAAAAGCCAAGCAATCGGAATCTCAGCAAACTGGCTTTGGAACTTCTTCGTGGTAATGATAACGCCAACTTTAATCCAGAATTTGGCCTGGAAGGGATACTTAATTTTCATGTGTTTGAATTTGGTTTTCGTTCCGGTGAGTCTAACAGCAACCTATCTTCACATACTGATATAAGCTACGATTACATGTTCCATGTTTAGCTCTGCTCTGTTCTGCTTGCTAATGAACTATAACATAGATAATCTACTTCTTCTACCCCGAGACGGCAAATCTTACGCTCGAGGAGATTGACTTCCTGTTCACGGATCGGGCGAGATATCCTTCTATCGCCGGGTCGCAGTCCGCTAGGGGTGGGGATGTTCAGGTGGATGGTGCGGATGGGAACGAGATTGAGAAAGACGGAAGTGGAAGTGCTGGGGGAAGTGTCAGCCACGATGAAGTGAGGGTTGGTGCCGGAGGGAAGGAGTGATTCTATCATTTTTAGGGAATACTGATATGTACAGAGGCGATTGCTGATGCCTTGAACGAGTGACGATAAGGAAACGGCGCTATTACTATGCATATAAATAATAATTCTACGAGTGAAATAGCTATAACTACAAAAAAACCCACTGATTGGGCTCCTGCGTGCATCATTCAAATTAGGGCTCAGGGCCATAAGACTACTTCCCTCCTAGTCCTGTTTTGTAGATTGGATTGAGCCTATCTTCTCTAGCATAAGCTTTAGTTTCGATTTCTCTGTCAGAATGGACCCCAAGGACCCCAGGCTTTTGCGCTAAAACGTCAGTTTTTGGGTCCCCGAACATGTCGCACTGATAGCGGCGCTTATCCTATCTCAGGTGCTGTGGTCTAGGGGTATGACGCCTCGTTGTGGTTAAGTCTTGACAGATATCTGCAACATTTCCGATGTAGCCCCGGTTCGAATCCGGGCAGCGCCACTTCGCTTTTTGCCAGGTCTATTTGTGTGCAGATGGACTCCATACTCGGTTGGATTTTTTGAAATTTTTGATTCGGTATCAGATCGTTATTGAGGAGCACGCTAGGACCAATTAGGAAATATTGGAATTGTATGACAGTGCGTTCGTCACTCGTAACATTTTATTTCAGAGTTCTACTGGTCTTAGGCTCACACGACTGATTCTGCTTGTACTTTTTTTTATGTAATGGGGGACGTGATAGCTAGGAGTTATCGATTGAAATATGTGTAAACATTGATGCCGAATGGGAGGATCACGAAAACCCTTTATAAGAAAAACCCCCTTTAGGGCGTATAGCTAAAAAGTTCATATTTTGAGCAGTCTATGATATTATAATGGCGACAGCCAATCATAAATCAGGTGCTGTGGTCGAGGGGTTAAGACACATCGTTGTGGTTATGCAAATATCCTCACATCGTATACCGATGTAGCCCCGGTTCGAGTCCGGGCAGCGCCATATTCTTTTTGTTTCTTCTGGATATAGCTTAGCATGTGATGGATGTTAAATTTTGATTTTTTGTTGTTGTTTTTGACATACCCAGCAGACAAGTTTAGGCTAGGTTGTTCTTGTTTGCTTAGATCTTGTGGGAATTACTTAATATTACGGCTGTTACTGCGGGCCGACTATGTCTGGCCTGTACTATTTGTCCGTAATGGTTTTCTCACGCTGGCCATCGAACCACTTCCTAAGGTGACATAAATATTATGGGAAAAATGCACAGTGGCTGAACTATGAGATTAACATAATTGATAGTTAAACTTAACCTGAATGAGTGGGAAAGGAGCAGCATATAAAGCTTGTGCTTCTATGAGTTGGAGGGAAATAATCAACATACTGAATCCAGGACGTAGAACACACCACAACTTGTCAGAACATTCGAAGTCGTAGAGCGAGAGGGTATCGAGGAGATGTGTGGTCGTCCTACAACCTATGGCCCCAACGTTTGACTCTCACTGTCCAAGACACGTTGCTGACCCAGTTGAGGAATTTCGGCTGTTGCCTATGCGGCATCGCGTACCGTGCTTATTCTGTCCCTTGTCTTAGAATAAGCTGATGAAGAAGAACCTAGAGTTTATCGATGGTTCAATGTAACAGTATCATTCATGTCGACGCTCTTTCCCACTTTCCCTTCTTTCCATCGCCACTAAGAAGAGCCTTAAAAGGGAAACTTGCATTTTCATAGAAACTGTTCTACCATCATATACGCAATCTTTTTGCTGTTAGCTTACTGAAGCAAAGAAATACATAAAAGCCTTAGTAGATCTCCGATCTCCACTACAAGTAGTGGGAGGCAAAAAGATTCTGGCGCTGCCCGGACTCGAACCGGGGCTACATCGGTATACGATGTGAGGATATTTGCATAACCACAACGATGTGTCTTAACCCCTCGACCACAGCACCTTATTATGAGTTGCTCACTATATTTTGACAATATATTCTCGTGTCTCATTTGAGCGAACAATGGTAAGAACTTTGTTGTATCTCCATGCAAAGTGGTAGGTTAAGTCCGTGCTAGAAGTATCTGTGTTTATGATTTCAAAGTCTGTTAATATTATTTGCATTCTTTGTGAAGAAAGCACTAGGACTTGAGTTGTTTATTACGTTGGTTTCGAAGGAGGTTCTTGCTATATGGTATATAATTAGCACGCGTAGGTGGTATGTATCTTTCTCACACTACTATACCTCGCCAGTATCTAGTATACCTGTCTTATTAGAGATAACACCCTACAAGGAAGTATTTGCTATTCGGAAGGACGATATGGGGTAGAACCAAGCCAGCGCGACAAGGGTGAATGTACATGTCCACCAAAAGAGAAAGCGACAGGTTCTCATGTGGCCAACCAAAGATTTAATAAGCAAATTATCTCTTCTATTGTTTTTTTTGCTTTACAAGTCAAAATAATTCATAAGTCGGGAGCCAAAAGAAAACAAAGATAAACTCCAGAACCAGATTACGAGACGCCAAATCCCACCCCCTCAAGACGCAGAGGGGCAAAAAAAAGCAAGCAACCAAACCCCATTCCCATAAACCCAAACCCAAACCCAGACCCAAACAGAGGGCGAGAAACGAAGTGGGCCGAACTGGGTCAGTCAGGCGTGTAAGTCTCAAAACTAAATAAGCAATAGTAAAAACGAAGATTGGCGAAGATGATATCCAAGTTTCGATGTCGATGTCGATGCGAGTGGCTGGACGTCGAGACGAGGTCGAAATCGAGGTCTGATCAATTCATGGTGTATCGGCTCGATGTAATCGGAGGTAGTGACGGAGGTAGTGAATGGAAAGGGAGAATCACGAGTCAATCTCCATTCCCATTTCTACGCCTCCGCCCAGTCCCGGTGCGTGTGAGCTGTTGGACATGGCTTGCTGGAGGAGTGGTACGCCAGTATCCATGTTGCTGAAGGGAGTCAGTTGGGCGTCGGGTCGATCGGTAGCGGCGAGAGGGGCAGCGCCCTCGAAGATGATTGGGGTGCTGCGCAGATTTTGGATGCAGGCTTCCCACGAAGAAGCGACGAGCTGACCTTGCGTCAGATCTTCAGTGAAAAGGTAAAAGGCAGGTGAGGTTCCAGAGGTCGGAGTAGCAGCGACCAGGAAAGCGTCTAGAGCGCGGCTCTTGATGAGGATCTGCGAGTCGTGTAGGTAGGCAGAGAACTGGTTGTCGATGTATTTTGTCCAGCCGCGAACGGCGCATGCCATGTCGTCATCTGTGCTGACGCGCTGCCAGCCAATGCCGAGGAGATGGGTTGCGTCGTCAACGAGTGGCTCTGCGGGTGGTGCAGGTCCGAGGTTGAGGGTGCGGTGCTGCTCGTTGCAGCTGGGGTCGTTGAGGCGTTGGTGGATTGAGGAGAGGGCGATGTCGTCCAGGCCCGGGGCAGATTTATCAAGCCGCTGAGACTTGCGACTAGCGTCACCGGTGTCAGATAACACTGCGTTGGACCGGGAGGAAACTGGCGCGGCGGTGGCCTGGTGCGCCTCGGATTCTTGCTCGTACCATGTGCCGGTCTGACTCTCGGCAGAGAGGGCAAGGCCAGTCTGTGGGTTGACGAGGACCATTCCTTCGCCATAGATAGGCTCTACCTTTGGTGGTGACGGTGTAGGGGCTGTAGGCGCAGTGGAAGCCAGTGCCTCTTCGAAGGAAGCTTCATCACGCGACCTCTTCCGGGATGGTTTTTGGGGAGCTGTGAAGTTTAAGCTCGAGGAAGCTTGCGCAGGGTTGTTGGCGAAGGCGATGTTTGGGTTGGAGATGCCGTTGAAGCTTGATGGAGAGTCCAGCATGGACTGCGGGAACTGAGCGAAGGCGTGTTCCTGGGGAGAGAGGACCGTCGCGGGACCGTCGGAGAGGCGATTGAGGATCATTGGGCACATTGTGAGTGCGAGTGACCCGCGAGATATACTGTTCTGTTAGATTAGGTGAGCAAGACACAAGAAGCTTCAACCACCTGTGGATCACGTCCAAGCGGAAGGAAGGTTGAGAGGTAGAGGTGAAGGTGGAAGATGTAAAGTATAAGAAAGAAATATATATGGGAGAGGGAGGTGGAGTGGAAAAGAAGATATATAGAGTAGAAGAGAGGGAGAAAGGAAGAGAAGGGAAGGAACGGAAGACAGAGAGGAAGAGGTAGAGAGAGTGAGACCAGAGGGATCTGAAGAAGTGGATGATTTGATGCGTGAAATGCGGAGTTACCATGACAAACGGTAAATTACCAGCCAAAAGCAGCGATCCGATCGACAAAAACAGTACCAATACCAACACCAACCTGTGAGGCGATTGGCTAACGCAGCCAAGCCGCCTCCGAGGAGTGGGGCTGGTCCCCGATGGATCCAGCCCCAATGCGATTGGCCAATCAGAGCTGAGGTGACTACGCCTTAGGCCTGCGCGGATGTGAGGCCCGTGGACATCACGTGTAGTCACCTGAGAGCAGCCAAGGATTCACGTATAGTGACATGGTACAGTCACGTAAAGAAATAAGTCAGTCACATGACACAGAATTGTAGTGAACAACCAAGAAGTCTATTGGAACACTATAGAAACACGAATGGAAATAAAATGACCACAGAAACAGGTCCACAGCAAAAACAGACACCAAAGCTCGTGCAAGTCTAACCAAATCAATGTTCGTAGAAAAAAAAGAGTACACCGCCAGTAACACCACATTGTCACTGAATACATCAAATGCGGCTAGAAAAAAAAAGAAAGCCAAAATCCAAGCCCCGTTTTCCATCACACCGGAGCTTGGGGAAGAAACATGGCGGCATCATACAAGGGTAGAGAAGGTGCCAAGGCCACTACATGCTGAGCATCCACTGCTCACACCAACGCTGGGAAACTGCGTCGGCTCCGAAATTAGGCGCATTTCCGGTTCATAGGAGATGCAAGGGTTGATGACTGCATTTAAGCGTTACCGGCGGTGACACCGCCGAGCATGCCCTTCACACGGTCAACGGACGAAGGAGCGTAGCTGGGGGCCATGGAGCCAACAAAGAGGAAGAAGATGAGGGCGGAGGCACCGAAGACGACAAATTTGCGCTGGGCAGGGCGGGCCTGGCCATACTCAGCCCAGGCGCGACCAGCAGAGGAGGTGTACTCGCGCATCTTGTCACCACCCAGCTTGTACCAGACGAGACCGAGCAGAGCAATTGAGTAACCGAAGAACTGGAGGGCAGTGACGGGGGTGTTCCAGATCATCATGGAGGCAATGACGAGGAGGATATCCTTGAGGACACCGCACAAGGTCATGACCAGAGAAGAGGTCTTGCCAATCTGTAGATACTGTTAGTGCGGGTTCTCAAATTCGCGGGCTAGCGGATAACGTACCAGGAAGACGACGGAAACGTTGAGCAGGAAGGCAATGACAGCATTGAGAACCAGAGTCCAGATACCGACGGAGTAGACGTGCTCCATGGTGCAACGGGGGAACTCGAGGAACAGAGCAACGGCACCATTCATGACAGCACAAATGGGAGCAAAGTAGTAAAGAGACACCATGGGGTCCATCTTGAAGTCGGCAGAGCTGAGTAGACCCTGGACCATGACTAGACGGGTAGCCTCGAAGATGATACCACCGACCTGGAACAGGAAACCAACAAGCTGGAACTTGACCTCGCCGAAGGAGGCGATGATCACACCAACTACAATAATAGAGACGTTGGCGAGAACCTTCATGTTGGCAGGAGCCATGCCCATACCCCAGGTAGCCAGCAGGACAGCCACGGGAGTGGTGGCCTTGAGCATCTGGATGAAGGCGACACTGAGGTAGAGGTAGGTCATATTACCGCAAATCAAACTCAGACTGAACATAACACCGATGGGAACAATCGCACGGAGGTAGACACGGCCAGTCATCTTGACATTCTTGCGACCATCGAGGACGGTGGTAGTCCGGGCCAGAATCTGGGTCATGATGGTAGCAAAGGTCAAGTGCCATGTCGTGAGGATAATAGGAAAGCCTGTTAAATTGTTAGAGCTTCCTGTCGCGTCCAGAGGCCTAGGCGGAGGGACTTACGGAAGCCGAGTGTGTCGAGGAGGTACTTGTTGAACAAAATAACAGAAGAACTGAGGGTAATCCAGGTACTGGCAAGATATATCAGCGATTGTGTCTCCGTCTCTGGAACTATCGTCGCTCACGTCACGTAGACCGCGGGGTGTAGGGCTGCGCTGGCCTCCTGCTTCTCAGCGGCGGGGTTGACAGTAGGGAGAGACTCCCGGGGAGTCTCGCCGGAGGCGCGAACCTTCTCGCCTTCGCTCATTTTGAAAGTAGGAGTTTGATCGGAGAGGAAGCGCTTGAATTCGAAAGGTCGTGGCCGAGAAAGGCTTCCTTGACTAAATGCGGAGGAAGCCACGGAGAAAAAAAGTGGGCGAGATAAGAAAGGGAGATAGGGAGGAGTGAACACTAAATGGTTTAACGACAGTGAGACAGTTGGACCAAAACGAGCGTGGATGAAGGAATGATGAGGTACGTACAAGGAACCAAATAGTTCTTCCACAAGGTTGAGAAGGAAATTTGAAAAAAAACCGTCGGGGGGCAGAGACGTTGTTTAGGCGTAAAGAAAACACCCAAAACAGAAAAACACCAAGACTGTTTGCAGAGTTGGTTCCTGTTTCAAGGTATGAGAATTACCGTTACATCTCAGCTAAGGCCACCTGTACTCAATACTGTACTGTTATTGGCTGGACTGTCTGGTACGCCCGTTTCCCTTACCTGAGCCTGGGCCCTGACTTCCATGGGTTGCTCGTGGCGATGCTCCGTTTTTGTGAAAATGCACCAATGAAGGCTAGTTCTACTCCACCGGCTGATTTGGCATATAAGTTAATTCTATCTTATTCAATATCTGTCTGTAGGTATACTAAATAAATGAGAATAGAATAAATAACAGAGTCCCTAGAATACAATTACAGGAATGTACGAACTCGGGACAGTTTGAGATAGAACACCACGCACTCAGTACATGCAGATCCAAATTAATAGAGGGTTACGCAAGCAGCTGTTAGCCAAGACCCACAATGACCCGCGTTCGGCGACCCTCTGGTCCATCCGGTCCCTTACGGGTGGAGAATGCGGCGATCGCCCTGGGCTGTGTCTGACGCCATCAGGGACTCTCTCCACTGTAAGGGCTGGGGGACCAAGCTTTGTTAGTCTGTACTGATTTGTTACTTGTTGACTGTTGATTATTCCTTGGATTGGTGACATGGAACCCATCTTCCAGAAGTTCTATCTTTATACAGTTCACGCAAACTTCAAAAAGATCATTACCTTCTTGGGGCGACAATCAGTGGACCCTATCGCCTGTGCCCTGATGTCTGCGAATCCCGTTCATTTCGAGACCGCCAAATTGATGGGTCAGTGTGAGTGGCCGATCAACGGACTCAGGGTTTTCCCCCTGTTCTATCGGTGCTGGATGCATATGATATGCTGCACAGCAACAGAATACAATATCGTACCTGTAAGCTGTCCGGAAATGGCCATGTTTACTTAGTTCGAATTATGTTGATAGTAATCTCGAACGTTGGAGCCGGATTAAACTACATCTATAGCTCGTAACCGATATTGCGGTAAGTAATTTAACCCAGTCGGAAACGTGCTAATTTCGACATCGGTGGCGTTTCCAGTCCATCTTACAGTATGGCCTTCTCGAATCAATGCCCCCCCCCCTATCTGCCCCTTTTTTCCTTGAGCATTGAAAATGTCCGAGATGGGAGCTGATAACGGCATTCCAGAATTGTCCAATGTCCGCCAAGGGAATTCCAATAACGACTTGCCCGCATGCAAATCGACTTCAGGTCCCTGCTTTTGGAGTCGATAAGCCTAGACCAATAACGGCCATGCACCAAATGTGATCGATTCAATAGTTTGACCAGGGTCTGGGATGTGATGACATTGCCTTACGTGTCCCACGGGTCTGATGGAGACCAATAGACCCTGGAACAACAGAGAGATCGTGTTTGAGGATATAGGATAATAAAATTAAAATATAAAATAGGTATAGGAATATAGTTAAATTAGAATAGGGGTAAAAATACCGAATCAGTAAAGCTGAAACAGGCACGTCCTCCCCACTCCTTTAGCCGACTGCGTCTGGATAGCTTGGCTTGTCACGTTGTCCTCCCACTTCTCCTTCTTTGGTTCCCCCCTTCCCATTTATTACCTCTCCCGCTCCCACTTATCTTCTGCAGACCTCCTGCAGCTGTGCTTTTTCTATGCTGAACGTCGCTCGCAAGACTTTTAAAAGAGTTCCCAGCTTTCAGGACCTCCTACAAGGCAGAATGACCCACCCCGACATGTAAGTATTGACCATCTGTCGGTCAATGTCAATACTGACCATTATTAGTTCTGTTGACGTTCTCGTCATTGGTGCTGGCCCTACTGGTTTGGGTGCCGCCAAGCGGTTGAACCAGCTCGTACGTGTTTCTACTCTCCAATTGTTGTCGGAGGGGCATAGGAAAAAAAAAAAAAGGGGGAGGGGTATTCCACAGAATTCGTGACTGATTGATTCCACAGAACAACGCCTCATGGATGATCATTGACTCCAACGAGACTCCCGGTGGTCTTGCTTCTACTGATGTGACCGATGAGGGCTTCGTAAGTTGCGACTCGTCTCAATTGCCACTTTTACATACTGACTGTTTATAGCTGTACGATGTCGGCGGCCACGTTATCTTCTCCCACTACAAGTACTTCGATGACTGCATCAATGAGGCCCTCCCCAAGGATGAGGACTGGTTCACCCACGAGCGTATCTCCTACGTCCGCTGCCAGGAGCAGTGGGTTCCCTACCCTTTCCAGAACAACATCTCCATGCTTCCCAAGGAGGAACAGGTCAAGTGCATTGACGGCATGATCGATGCTGCCCTTGAGGCCCGTGTCTCCAACACCAAGCCTAAGGACTTTGACGAGTGGATTGTCCGCATGATGGGTACCGGTATCGCCGACCTCTTCATGAGACCTTACAACTACAAGGTCTGGGCTGTGCCTACCACCAAGGTGAGTTTGTTTATTTTCATCGACTGCATCCATACTAATTTTACCAGATGCAATGCGCTTGGCTCGGTGAGCGTGTCGCTGCCCCCAATGTCAAGGCTGTGACCACCAACGTTATCCTCAACAAGACCGCCGGTAACTGGGGTCCCAACGCTACTTTCCGTTTCCCCGCCCGGGATGGTACCGGTGGTATCTGGATTGCCGTTGCCAACACCATCCCCAAGGAGAACACCCGCTACGGCCCCAAGAACAAGGTCGAGAAGGTCAACGCCAACAACAAGACCGTTACCCTCGCTGATGGCACCACCATCGGCTACAAGAAGCTGGTCTCCACCATGGCTGTCGACTACCTCGCCGAGGCCATGAACGACACTGAGCTCATGCCCCTCACCAAGCAGCTCTTCTACTCCTCCACCCACGTTATCGGTGTTGGTATCCGTGGTGCTCGTCCCGACCGCATTGGCGACAAGTGCTGGCTCTACTTCCCCGAGGATGACTGTCCCTTCTACCGTGCCACCATCTTCTCCAACTACTCCCCCTACAACCAGCCCGATGCCTCCAAGAAGCTGCCCACTCTTCAGCTCGCCGACGGCTCCAAGCCCAAGAGCTCTGAGGCTCAGGAAGGTCCTTACTGGTCCATCATGCTGGAGGTTTCCGAGTCTTCCATGAAGCCCGTTAACAACGACACTCTCCTCGCCGAGTCCATCCAGGGTCTCGTCAACACCGAGATGCTCAAGCCCGGTGATGAGATCGTCTCCACATACCACCGCCGCTTCGACCACGGTTACCCCACTCCCTCCCTCGAGCGTGAGGGTGCCCTCACCCAGATTCTGCCCAAGCTCCAGGAGAAGGGTATCTGGTCCCGTGGCCGTTTCGGTTCGTGGCGTTACGAGGTCGGCAACCAGGACCACTCCTTCATGCTGGGTGTCGAGGCTGTTGACAACATTGTCAACGGTGCTGTTGAACTGACCCTCAACTACCCCGACTTCGTCAACGGTCGCCAGAACACCGAGCGTCGCTTGGTCGACGGTGCCCAGATTTTCGCCAAGAAGCAGTAGATAATTCCCCCTTGGTCCGACACATGTTTGTGTGAAGGAATGTTTTTCTTTTGTTCTTTTTCCCTTTTTTTTTTTTTGATACAATTGAAATGAGCTCATACCGTCATGGAAAAAAATATACACGAGGGAGCATTTGAAGCGACATCTGGGAGATGATCTTTCGTTGGCGTTTCATCTTGTTACTTAACCCATTCAATCCTCTACCTTTCTTACTCCTATGCGCTAGAGCTGGGTTGCTCTTGATATACACTATTAGACTGGCTTGATTGGTTTGCTATTCATAATTAATTCAGTTCATGCACTACAGTACAAAGATAGATTGTAGCAGCACAGGCATCGACACATCGAAACCAAATACTTGTCGTCTAATAGGCCATCTCAACCTTCCCTAAACTTCAGACCTCCAATTCATCCCCCCACATAACTCTACACGTACTAACCCAGCACAGACCGACGTACATATCTCAGCCCCCACCAGGACACATATCCTCGCCACACGGCGATCCTAGGCAATCACCAATCGAAGATCGTAAATCCCCGGATGAGGAAAGCGTACGCAGAACAGTGTAATTGTATTCAAAACTGAACTTAATTCTACCAAACACCCCTGGATACAGAGCATACGTATCCAACCATAGATCTACATCTACGGAAGGCACATCTCGGCAAACGAACCTCAACGCAGGAAAGGAAATATTCTGGAATCATTCAAGGTTGGGTGGTGGCGTTGTGGATCCGTACCATGCAATCAAAAGAACAAGGACACTGGAAGTTAGTGCATACATAGTGTGTTCGGAGTGTGTCCGTAGTAATCTCCCATACTGCGTGTACATGTATACTATGAAACAAGTTAAATCCAGAAAAAGACCTAGAAATAAAGTACATGTAAATTATGGAGGCTGACGTATCCCCCAATCTCCAACCCGGTTCATCATTATAGGGCAGATGACAGCATACTCCATAATGTACTCCATCTCCACCTCCATACGGAGTACATGTACATGTACTGCAGGGCATCGGCGTATGTGGGATGTCCGTGTTCCATGTCTACCCGTGGGAGTACCCGGAGGCAAAGCGACGCGTCAGTGATGCCGGGCCCCGGTTTGTGGTTCTCTCCACTCTTTGAACTATTGATAGATTACCGGAAGTGTTTCAGATGGGCTTGTTTAGTTTGCATTCTAGATTGTTTGGTGTGGTTTAACGTGAGACATTCACCAGGGCTGGTTCTGTTCCGGGTCTGGGTTCTATGGAGAAGTATGGGCTGGGTTGTTATCAATGGGGGGCATGGTTATGGTATAGTATGGTAGGGGTGGTCTATTGTCTATATATGTATTCTTCTGTCGTCATTATTGTTATTCCATACTACGTACTCTGTACTCTGTATGGAGTACTATGGGGGTGTAATGCAGACCATACTTTTGTTTGACATATCTCAATACTCATACTCAAATTCTTACTCGTGTATCGTATACTTCGTCAGTCATCACGTCTTGTTTCCTACAACATTACATATACAAACCTAACAGAATACAAACCTGACAAATTCACTCGGGAGAAAGCCACAATCAATAGCTCATAGCCAGCTCACACTTGTCCGCACTTGTCTGAACCCATCCACACTTGTATAGTAGACAAACAGCCACCAATTTCGGATCACCTTTGACATCTAGACAAGCTGGCCTTCACCGACACCCCCCAAGACGGGCGAGACCTCCTCGGCCAAGGCTGCCTCGTAAGACATCGTAGACGCTAAGACTAGGTCCCGGAGTGGGACGCTGGCGGTGGCCGGGCTGGACGAGACACCACACGACAAGAAGGAAAGCTGTGGCGTGACCGGCGAGTCGAGCACATGTAGGGCTGTATTGGTGTTTGAAAGTCGATTTTCGGTATCATCTGTTTTTATATTAGATGGATTGAGACTTGACTGGGTGCCTCTGCGTACCTGCTTGTTCTTCGGGTGAACGATTCGCCCTGCCGCTATGGAGCTCTTGCTCCTGCGGTGACAACGCGAATGTCACTTTTGGCCGTGGTGGGTCGATAGACTGGGACGCTGGACGCGGCTTTGGCTTTGGGGATGTGTGCAGCTGTTGGATTGGGAGGGATTCCCATGGTTTGGTGGATGCTATGGATGGTGGAGCTGGGCTTGGAGATGCGAACATCCCGCGACTGGAAGAGATGTCGAGTTGGTAGGAGAGCTTACTGTCACCGTGAGCTGAGAGGTCAATGTCGGTTGCTGAAAGATCCAAGTCATGGCTCTGTTCGTCCAGGGTCAGTTTGTCGAAGTCAGTTGTCAGTGGGAATATCGGGAATAGAGAATCTATGTCCTCCAAGAGGATCAAGGTTGGACGACATCTGATCATGTTCGTAGCACGAGTCTATTAGTAGAGAGACTGTCTTAGAGAGAAATGCGAATAGGTTGAAGTGCAAGTATTAATAGTCAGACTCAGCCCCTCAACACTAGACCCGATTTCGAGCCTCCTGTTGATCCTTTCCCCCCCTCTCTCTTCTCTCTTCACCATGTGTTAATACTTTTTTTCTACACTCTCTCGTCATGAACGGGGATCTCAGTCTCTCCCAGTCGCTGGGAGGACTTCGGATAGCCAATCCAGATGATTCGCCTCTTGCGACCGCGGATTCACCGGGGACCAATCCACTCGGACGCCCGGGCGGTTCAGTATCAACACAGAATTCCAACGACGACCGCACTTCAGAATTTCCTCCTGCACCTATCGAAGTCCCTACCGTAGAGGACCGATCTTTCGTTCCCGAACCACAGCCTGTGCCAACATATCAGCCGTACTCGGCTCCGCTCTCAACACCTCCAAACCCCAACCGACCCCTTTCCTCCGTATACGCGAATGGTTCGGCCACCTCGGTCCTCCCCCGTGACAATACCTACCGCATAAGAACCGACTCAGGTGCCTCGTCCCAATCTAGCTCTCAGGCGCGGGTAGACACCCGAGGAGGCTCATCGGCTTTGCATGCCGGTGTTCTAGCGCGCGACAACTCCCACAGCGACCGGTCCTACCGAACCGCCCAGATCCCCGGCAACGGTCCGGCGGTAATGCGCCAGACGTCTCGAGCACATGCAAGAAGTGGCGGCGCCGCATCTCAGATGTCTCGAACTTCCTACATGGAGAATGGGCCGATGCCCAGCAGCGAGGATTGGCAGGAGCGCGGTGCGGCGGTTTCTGTGAGGCAAGAGGTGGATGCCAACGGTAAAACAGTCTCCCGCTATATCAAGAAGGGAGTTCGGGATTTCTCCTTTGGGAATACTCTCGGAGAGGGCTCTTACAGTACCGTCGTGTTTGCGACGGATCGCCAGACGTTGAAGGAGTACGCGATCAAGATCCTTGACAAGCGACACATTATCAAGGAGAGGAAGGTGAAATACGTCAACATTGAGAAGGATACTCTTAACCGTTTGACCGATCACCCGGGCATTGTGCGGCTCTATTATACCTTCCAGGATGAGCAATCGCTATATTTCGTGCTGGACTTGTGCAAAGGAGGAGAGTTGCTTGGTACACTCAAGCGGATGACAACATTTGACGAGGAGTGCACGAGGTTCTACGGTGCCCAGATCCTAGATACGATAGACTATATGCACAAGCGCGGTGTCATCCACCGAGACTTGAAGCCGGAAAATGTCTTGCTTGACAGCGGGATGTATGTCAAAATAACTGATTTTGGAACGGCCAAGATCCTCAAAACCTCGCGACGAACGGAGTCAAACTCAAACGGTCTTCCCCCTATGGACAACGAGGTCCCCGAGGAAGAGCGTGCGAGTTCCTTTGTCGGTACTGCGGAATATGTCAGTCCCGAGCTATTGACAGACAAGAACGCCTGCAAGGCCAGTGATCTATGGGCGTTTGGGTGTATCATTTACCAGCTGTTGGCCGGTCGTCCTCCCTTCAAAGCTGGCAATGAATATCAGACTTTCCAGAAAATCGTGGGATTAGATTACGAGTTCCCCATCGGATTCCCTTCCATCGCTCGTGATCTCGTCGAACGTCTTCTGGTCCTGGATCCTGCTCGACGTCTTCAAATTGAACACATCAAGAACCACCAATTCTTCGAAGGTATCACCTGGGGCCCGGATCTCTGGAAACAAAAAGCTCCTCGTCTGAAGTCTTATGTGCCTCCTGCACGCGATCCTATCAAGCTCAACGGCGGTGAAAGTGGTGAGAATGCACCGCCAGTCGTTTCAACCGCACCTTCCAATGCCCCCAATGCCAGCAACCGCCAGCTCCCACGGGTAGTAACCGAGCTGCCTCCGCCGAGTCAGCTGGACATCGAATGGTCCCCAGTGCTCAGCAAGAACAATGAACGCATTTTGAAACTAGGCAATCTGGTAGTTCTTTCATCTGCTGCCTCGCACAGCCCAACTTCCAAAAACAGCAGTGGTGAGTTCGAAGCCCCTAAGAAGTTCTCTCGTTTCTTCTCCGGAAGTGCCACCAAGAAGCGACAGCGACTGGTCATGGTCACTTCATCTGGGCGGATCATCCTGGCTGCGTCTGGTGGTGATGATAAGAAGGTTAAGCTTGAGATTCCTCTCTTGGCTTCAGGAACGCATTACCGGAGCACGACTGACTCCAAAGGACACTCATCCTGGATTGTGGACACGGTATGTAAATCACCTCCCAACAACAAGGACATCATCTAACACAACCACAGAGAGAAAAACACTACGTCTTCGAGGACCCCAAGGCCTCATCTGGCGCCACAGCAGTTCAGGCCCAGGAATGGCTGGACGCCTTGGACAGATCCCGAGAAATGGCGTCATTGCAACAAAGCGCCGGTGGCTTCGGCGATGATTTCCAAAATCTCTCATCAGGCTTTCCCAGTCCCGCCAACACACTAGACCGCACCTCCGACATGCAGAAAGATGAGAGAGGGCCACCCTCATCCGGCCGGAACCATCTGGTGAAACACCAGGCCACCGACTCCGAGTCAACAAAAGGAAGAAAGAGATTCAGCAAGCGCCACTCAAAGAATGGTCTTGCCGCCGTCTTCTAGTGGCAAAGAACCCCAAGCATCTTGCTCTCCACTTGACTCATTTCTTGTACACCTTGTTTCACGCCCTGAGGGTTATTTTCGTTCATGGGCAATAGGTGGTATCTCACCCGACTGGGATCGAGGTTGAATACGACACCTCTGGCAGTCTCCCCTTCCATTCTTCCATCCTCCCATTTTCCCATTGCTTTCTCTTCCATGCGCCGCATTCGCACAAAGACTGGATATCCCCCTGGCATATCGGTTACTTGACCTACCCTTTGCATATTCCAGTGACGAGCGTGTTTGTTGATTATATCTTTTCTCATTTTTCTATTTCCATGTCTGTTGGGGGACCCTATTTTCTTGCATTTAGATTCGGAAGGGAGCATGCGCATTTTATCTTTGCCGTCTGCTGTGTCTCAGACTGTTTTCATTATCATTTTCATCCTCTCCCCCAATTCCGTGTCGTGTGTCCTTTGTCCTTTTCTCATCTCGTTTTCTGTGTCGTCCACTGTTATATATCCCTGATTTGATCTGAAGCATACTGTCCACAACATCGAGACTTTTTCTGCTTTGCTCTTTTCTTTTCTTTTTGATATCTGTTCGGGAACTGTGTTACGTACTTTGAGCTGGTATTGAATCACAGTAGACCTGTTGACTCTTCTTATATTTCCTCTTCTCCTGCCCTCTCTCTCCATCTCTCTCTCTCTCTCTCTCTCTTATATTGGTTCTCATTTTGGGCTAGTCGGTCAAAAGGTCATTTGCATTCCCTTATCTTTTCTTGTTGTGTCTTACCTCATCATCTTTCAATATCCTTCCCTGCCATCTCTTGATGCGACCTCTCCATTGTGACTTTCTTTCCTTTTCTCCTCTTCCTTTTCTCTCCTGGTATACGCTCCCGCTCCCCCATTTCCTTATCTCTCATCACCACGGCGCATAGCTTGCTTCTTCTTCTTCTTCTTCCTCTCTTCTCTAGGCTGAGAATGTCACCCCGCACTTCAACTTCTGTTACAATCCTTTCAAGGACATATTTTTTGTCAATATCATCTTCAAATTCGTATTTCAGATTATTAGTACCGCGTAACAAAAGTAATATTCAGAATACTGTACTCGAAGGCATATATACACACAAAACATAAGTCGTAACAGGGAGATACATCTAAAAGTCCCCAGACACATAGCCACCTAGATAAATAGCCAGTCAAGACGAGAAGAATCCAACTCATCAATCCAATCAAAGCTAAGATCGATGTCATCACCACCACCGCCATTAGCACCACTCTCACACTCTCGACGTTTAGTATCCTGTTTCTGCCACATAAGTCTCAAAACCCAAGCAGCATTCCTAACATTAACACTAGTCAAAGCCTCATAAAGCGAGCCCAATTTCTCCAAAATAAGCCTCCGCTGCGAAGGACGACACTCAGCACCAGCAATAAAAGTAGGCCAAATAAGACACTTGAAATGCGGATCTGACGGCGGGATCAGACAAATCTGCGTAATGAGATTCGTAGCAATGAACGAATGATCAGCTGGTAGACCGACATCCGACCAAGGCGGATCAAAGCCTGGTCGTTTGCGGGATAAGACGCGACTGGTGTAGAGGTAGACGGCGTCTTGGTAGGAGGTTGCCAGGGCGAGACGGTATGTTAGATCTGGGATGAAGAATACTGCTTGCATTTCTTCGCTCCAGGCTATTGGGTCGAAGTTTCGGATTCCTTGCAGGAGGGTTGCGAATGTTGATAGGGTCAGTGGTTGACCTGGTTGGATTGTTGTTGGGAGGGCTGTTGGTTGGGGGGTTGCGGCTGCTATTTCCGAGTCGGGGTACCAGAGAGCGTGGACAAAGAATATTACTTCGAGGAGGTAGGCTGGGCAGCCGACCCAAGAGTTTTCTTCTAGGCGTTTTAGGATTGAGGGGCCCATTGAGGAGGAGTAGAAAGGTTTTGAGAGCGCGCCTGGGCGGGCGAGTGTTGAGCCCATGATTTCCATGCTGGGTTCGTTAGCTTGAGCGTGAACTTAATAGGTTTGGGAGGGTTCTTACATTAAACACCCGTCTAGGGCGAATGCGTCCAGGTCTTCGAGGATCCCTCGTCCCAGACCATTTTCAGGTCGGTCTTTGAGGAGTTTCTTTGCGCCCTCTATGTGGTAGCTCCATGCTCCGCTGCCTGACTCGATGATGTCCAGGAAGGCAAGTAGGACGATGGCGGCTAATGTCCTGCCGTCCTTTTGCGTTGCTGGGTTGCCAAGGTCTAGGGATAATTGGCGGAGGGCACGCTGCTTGAATTCCAAAAAATGTTGGTATCCTTGTGACGTAGGTTTCCTCGAACTTGCTGGCGCGACTATGTCTTCAATTTCCTTCACAGACAAATGCGAGTCCTCCAATGGTTGACTTTTGGATGACCACGGCATGGGAGATGAGTCGGACTCCGAGAGGAGCGAATAATGAAGGGCCCCAAGGGCGGAGATACTGTGCGCAAGCACCGGGGAATGGTTGACCAGGGCTGTGATGTCTCTAAACGGATTTTTAGACTGAGAGTAGAGCGCAAAGTCATTAACCATGTATTGGTTATCTTCGTAAATTGTCAGCGTAGCCATTCATTTTGTGCAGAGAACATCTCACAATGATATACATAGTACCGCGAGTACTGGCCGAGGTCTTTAAATAGAGGATCTACCAATCCCCATGGCGCTGGAACATGGTCGGTGCTGGGAAGAGCACTCCGCGAGACGTGAACGACAGCATTGTCCTCAGTAGTATCGAAATCGACCTGTGCCGCTTCATCTCCAGAGATATTCTCCAATGCCTCCAATGCCCATGCATCGGTCTCCGGACTAGGCTGGTTCCCTGAACAATGCGATTCGGCGTCCGAGGAAGACTCAGCGATGGGGAAAAAGCCGAAGCCACTGCCAGGCGCCGTAGGGTCGGATACCTCAGCAGACCGGCGCTTTGGTTTGTTCGATGGCTTTTCCACATCCTCAAAGCTGCGCCCCATCATCTTTCCTCGACTAGCCACACCACCCTTGACCCAAACGAGCGGCTTCTGATACCCCAAACATTCCTTCCCCGCATCTCGACACTTCCGGCAGGTGGGTTGGCCATTGTCGCAGATGATGCGACGTCGTCGACAGGTGTAGCAACCTTTGGTCATTCTCTGGACCGCGTAGGAGAAACGGCGTTTCTGATCTGGATTGGGAAGAATCGAGCCACTTGAGTGTTTCGTTCGGCGCCACTCGCCATCGTCGGCAATGGTCAAGACTCAGTGGGTTGTTGAAGCCACACGACCATAGCTATACAGTCTGTGGTTTATCGAGAAGGCTGGTAATAAGTCGTCGCGAATGTTCGATGTTCTCCGCGATGATTCAGAAAAGCTTCGCGGGGAAGAGCTGACTAAGAAGCCGGATCTTCAAGGCCGAGGTCTCCTCGTCGACTCTTGCACTCGCAGATCCCCATGCTTTATATTTCATGGTGAAGTCTTAGAAAATCTCCAAGATGGCGTGGAGTACCTTGTTGTTCCGAGGCTTGGAGGTGAGTCCTCTTCTTCCGCCACGCCGTTCATCACTGACAAATTTGCCCATCGCAGGTCTGGCTCACTGCTCGAGTATGTCGAATCAAATTCGCCTGTTGACTCTGATTCATATCCTGATATCGCTATTACAGCTCCTCCGAAGCCCCATCTTCCATCGCATGGTGGGCCGAATTCACGAGAAAGTCCAACACGTCCGGCACGGTGCGCCCCAGGAAACCAGACTCGAGAATGAGGGTAAAGCTCTATGCGATTATGTGACAAGAAGCCATGGCTGACTTATCGGTGTTAGGCTCCGGGCTCAAGCAGTTCTTCAACTACTTTAAAGAAGAGCTCAAGGATCAGGCGAAAGGAAACCCGCGCAACAAATTGTGATACCCTGGCGCTTGTTTAGTATAGGACACCAATGATACCCATTTTGAATACTGTCCATTTTCCCGAATATTGTTTCGTCTCTCGTCGATTTCGTCGATGTCGGGCTGACAGTGGGATGCCTCTGTTTCACTCCATGAGATGTATCCCTTGTTTCGCCCGGAGAACGAGGTTTGTACAATGTATGGGCCCTTTCTACTATTCCCAGCTGTTACCCAAGCCCGGTTGGGAGTTTATCATTGGGGCCTACATATACGGAAGTTGGGATTGGCCAAGTAAACCGCGCATACTATCTCTTTCTGGCCATTGGGTGGCAATTCACTTCTATTACCTACACAATGGTTTAATTCAAGATAAATGTGTTAGCCTCGTCAAGCACTCTATAGAACCAAGTTAGATCTTCCCGGAACCACCTTCGCTAGCATCCTGTTTTGATTGATCCAATTTAACAACCGACGAGATGGATTCACCAAATGATCTACCAACCATTGCCGAGATCGAAGCGTCGACAAATATCTTGAGCATAGGAACAAACACCATAAAAGTAGTCCGAGTCAAGGACCGCTTTGCAGTCAAGGTCGCACGTGGGATCCCACCTCTAGAAGCCGAGAATATAAAATTTGTAGCAGCAAACAGCAACGTCTCCGTACCAAATGCCTACGCCAACTTCGTCGTTCCAGAGACCAAGAAACGATATATCATCGTAGATTTCATCCCTGGATCTGATTTGTAAAAGCTATTGCCATTTCTCACACCCACCGAGAAGAATAAAGTCAGCGAGCGAATCAAGGAACAGATCGACGAATTCAGATCTATACCACCACCAGATTACCTGGGATATCTGGATGGCACGCCTTACGCCGAAGCTGTTCTCTCAATGGTACATATATCCGGTCATTAGGGGGCCATTTCAGCATCAAGACCAAATGAATCAGGGGATATTGGAGAGATGAGCACTGTCAGAGTTTCCGCATTATGTTCGGTTGTTGTGGGATGATTGATGCCACTCTTCAGAGCCACAGGTCTCTCTTCACACATGGTAATCTGCAGCCAGAAAAGTATCCTTGTGGAGAGAACAGGAGGAAGTTCTGATGGAGATGAAGGTGCAAACTTCAAAGTTACTATCCTTGATTGGAATCCGCCAGGATGATACCATTGATTGAGACCGGAGGCAGACACAGAAAGTCACTAGGCCTTCTATGGTACGTCGACCTGGGGAACCATGTACTGTACCTGCCCAGGTGTGTGCAATTGTTGACTCATGTGTCGACTCACTTCAAAGGTTCCAGGATATCGCTTGACTCTTCTACTTTATCCTTCAAACTTCATCCTTCATCATCGAAATCTACAAGTCTATCTCCCGTTGATACGGTGCTTCGCTGAATCAAAATGCATTCTCCGAAGATGACCAAACACAAACAGGCGAGTCTCTCGAATATTTTCGAGAGTCTTCAAATCGAATCCCCCATCTCCTTCTCGCAAACAAATACACAGCCCGGCTCCAACAACCTCGCTAAGTCCCTGCGCTAGTACATGCAATCAACTCTTCATATTGGTGGTGGAACTGTCTCGCCTCCTAGTTTGCACAGTGTGAAAGCTCAATTTGTGGTAGTAATGAATGATGCCTATGACTACAAAATTGGCGCGAACGATTTTGATCCTGACACTATCTTCCCTGAGATCGTCTCCCAGGGAAATCAACTATCCTCCTGTCTGCAGACGCAACTCACACCTAGTCAGGAGGCTGCCTTTGAAGATCACATACTGCATTGTCTTGCTGGAATGGTATATGGCTCCAACATGATCGAACGCGCTGGAATTGGCCGAGACATCACACTGAAATTGTGTATGGCAATTTTTCGGGGCGAAACAATATCAGAGGATATCGGAGAAGCCGAAGAAGAATTCCTGGAGTTAAAAGGGAGCTTCTACGCAGCAACCTTCAAGCCACCACCTCTGCTGTTCTGCACAGTCGACGCGAAGTTGTGCAACACGCAAGGGCCGCTTCCTACATCATGACTCAACTTTGTGTTGGCGACGAAGATCTAAGTGAAAAGATCATTGTGCAGGCTCATGACATCCTCACCTACAAAATTGATTCGAACAATACACCTTGTGGGAAGAATACAGCGGTATCTACCGGAAAGATGAAGTTTGGGCCGGTCTTCATCAATTCCGCCATCACACTCTCGTGCCCTACAAATTGAAAGCCATGGTACGAGAACTTGAGTCAGATCTCACAATCGCTATCGAAAAAGGCAAAATTGATCCCATCGCTCTTGCCTCCAAATACACACGTCTTCGTCAACATCCATCCTTTCATCGACGGCAATGGACGTATGTGCCGATTGATTCTAAATTCCATCCTCCTCAAGCTAGAAAGCTTCATCGTGTGTATCGGTGATAAGGAAGAGGATCGCTCTCTTTATATGGAAGTCGCTAGTAATGCAGGTGCCCTTGAAGATACGTACGGGGATCTCGATGAAGACGAAAAGCCAACAATGCATAAGGAGCTAGGCAGTTTTGTCATGTGACATGTGAAGAAGAGTATGCGCAAGCTTGTTACTACTATGCGGCACTGATCATCATTATTATGATTATTATTATTCTTCTTCTTTGTTTTGAATTTGCTTTTCGGGACACCAAAATGAATGTTTTTCTGTTACCGTTTAAGCTTTTTCTGTACATGTTTTCTCGTACGGTTTGGCGGCGGGTTATACAAGGTTGGGTGGAGAGACACTCATGTTATAGCTTGGAATATGTAGCTGGGTTGTACATGGAAATCTTCAGACAGGGTCTCTTCCTGCGGGAGAAACAAAAAGAGTCACAGGGCCTCAAAGGCCAGAAAAGCCCAAGTTGATTTTAAATCGAGTCATTCCGTTCGAGACTGCATTTGCATATATATGCCCTACAAGCAAAACCGGAGAGGCATAAGCGAGTTAGCACCTGGGGTTATTGTTGATCTAAGTGTATAGATGCTGTAGGGCTGGCAGGGAGGAGGCTGTCTTCTGCAATTTTCTGCTTCTTCATTTTTCGGGTTCCTGTTCAGCTGTTGGTCAAAGATAGCCACTGTGCATGGATGGGGATCCATGTCTGTTGACCCGGACTGCTAGTATGCTGCATTACAGTGGAGTTAAGTAAGGGTGTTGCATGGTTAATTTTATGTTGCTCCGTTGATATCCATAACATTATGCCTCGAAGCGTTTGATTTATTAATATTGATTCTAATCCAGACCCAATGCGTGCGCTGATAGTACATGGTATCATTTTGAAATTCGTGGAGAAAAAAAAAAAAAAAAAAAAAAGCCTGATCAAGAAAGCAATGGGATGAGTATTACATCCTAGCACTGGGCCACTAATCTATACTGTGAGTCTAACGATCCCAGTATAACTCAAATGACTCACTCATCATCATAGTCGTAGTCACTTTCGTATTCTCCATAATTTCCGGCGAAGGCATCATCAACACCGTCCTCTTCGCCATCGTCATCATCATAGTCATCCTGATCATCAGGGTCAGGATTTGCAGCCTCGCCGTCCTGCTTGATTGGCTCTTGGGTAGTCTGCGTGGCAGGAGGCGTGGGGAGGGGCACGGGGAGGGGCACAGCAGTAGCAGAGGGAGGAAGAACAGGCTTGGAGTCTGATGGAGTGGCCCGTCGAGAGGCTGCCTGTGGTTCGATACTGGCACTGCGTCGTGAGATGACACTTTGACTGCGACTCTGGCTGCGGCTCATGCTTTCGGCCTTGGCGTCGGCTCCTTCTCCGCCGTAAAGTGTGTCCAGTAGAGAGTAGTTAATCTTCTTACTGTAGCCCCGGCGCTCCAGCATGCGACGAGTCGCCTCGGCAGGAGTTGATGCGCGGGAACGGCCCTCTTCACCTTCACCTTCAAGATAGGTGACATCACCAAGACGACCACGGCGACGCTTGCGAGGTTTGCGAGATGTTGAGCCGCCTTCTGATTCTTCCATGGCACGCTTCAAAGCCTTAGCCTGTTGAGTGCGGAGATATTCTTTGTTCTCGGTCACCCAAATTGATTCCTTAATCTCCACTTCAGCAGGTAAGAGGAGACAATTGGCAACTTCAGGATCATCTTCGAACTCGGTGGCATCGATCTCAGTGCTATCGGAAATGGGGGGCCGCTGCGGCTCGGTAGCACTTTCAACCAGGCCTGAGCCTTGAGCCAGCATTGTTCGCATTTCATCCTCCAGGGCCGCTTCAGATGCAAGCTCCTCTGCGGGAGGCTCTGGTGCAGGTTGTCGCTTTTTGCCCTTGGAGCCGGTTGCTTCGGACTCAAATTCTTCTGCCACGTCGGTGACGGCTTTCGCAACTATCGATGAACGTCGACCCGTTAAAGCCGGATCTATGGGAAGATTGGGAATAGCAAATCCGTCCGCATCTAAACGAGGTGGTGGGACTGATCCAGCTTCGCTTTCATTGAGGTCATCTTCAAATTCTGCTGCAGTTTCTGGTACCTTCATCTTGATGCGAGGTTGCCGACCTTCTCGTCCGCGAGTGAAGGAAGGGGGGTCGTGAGTGTTTTCCAGTTGGACAGAACGAAATTGATCAACGGTCAGTTCACCACTCTCGGTGGAACTGAACTCGTTCAAACGTTGACTGATGGTGATTTCCGTGACTTTGACGACGTAGACAACTTCGCGCACCGTTCGACGGAAATTGTTCATGCGCGCGGCGAGAATCAATGCCGCACCACAAAGACCAGCTGGGCGTCGTCCAGTGGTCATCCAATCACGGTTCATTCGCTGGATGATTCGGACTGCTTCACCCGCAACCGCCATTGTAGATTGTCCGAATTCCAGCTGTTTGGCAAAACGGTATATTAAGCTTTCTGGATCGATGGGGTTCATCAAGAACACGTTTCCACCCAGACGGAGCTCATCCAGGAGCGCCTTATAAGTGCGACCGAGTTTGAAGACATTGACCATCAAGACATCAGCAAAATCAATCAGCATTACTGTGTTGCCATTTTGCCTGCGACAGGCAATATATAGACAAACTGCAGCCACAGTCTTTGTGCGACGACCTTGAATAAAGTTGAGACCAACGGCAAGTTTGAAGACCTGACCAGCAGCTTTGGTTGCACTTTCGGGAATAGTGAGAGCTCGAGAGAGTTGAAGCATATACCGATTTCCATTCTGTTCGGTCATTTCGCGACTTTCCATTGCACCTCCTCGCTGGAATCCGGGGCCATAACTGCGGACGTGTGTCTGGTCTTCTCCGACGAAAGATCCTTGAACGACAGCTGCCCCAGAGGAAGATTCACCGAAGGTCACTTCTGAGACGATGTTTGACTCGCTAATGACTGTACCACAGCCTGAGCAGACCTTCACTCCCTCATCTTCGACAATATGCGGGGCAGGACAGCCTGGATTGGGACAGTTGGAGGTTTTCGGATGTGTAGTTGGTCGGGGAGCGGGAGGGCGCCCAATAGACTGCGGACGTTTAATAGGAGTTGGGCCTGGGGGTTTGAGACTCGCCAGGCGGCCGACAGGTGCCCTCCGGGGAGGCGGGATTGTTGGACGCGCGCCGGGTTTGGGCGCAGGCCTGGGAACAGACATCTTGAGGAAATGTGGGAGGTTTTAAGGGGAAAAGGCGCGCTCGGTAGAGGAACCGAGGTCCTCAAAGCCTCAGGAATTCTTGTCAGAGTTGGTCGCAGGAAATATTTCGTATCACCGTCGCGGCAGTCGGCGATAAGGAAAGAGGAGAAAAAGTATTCGATCTTATGTAAGCAGCTGCATTTGGAGAGTTACATTCCAGTGTCAGTTGGAACAAGTTGAGATGAGAAGACAATGGAGATCAATAGATTGCCTGGTTCACTTCCTCAATTATTGTCTTCATATCGCTTTGACTTCATTCTGCTCTCTTTCACGTCGCTGTCCCTCGGTCACCTGACTTTAATTGGGTCAGATACGCTAGAGCAGATCAGGACTAGTGGCATCAGACGCGTGCCTGTTCCTGACCAGCATCTTCACTTCATCACTTCCTTGAACACATGGCAACAGGTAGTCGACTTGAGAACTCCGGGATCTGGGATCTATGACCCGGGATCCGAGCTCATACCTCATGACTGACCCCATCGCTGGCATACTGGGCCATGACCCCCGAACACTTGGAATGCGGCATTTCTGCGTGATTTGGGTGGAATCGCGCACAAATGTCGCATCTTCGCCATCTCTGCTTATCCACACATTTCTAGGTTTTTCTTTTCTTCTTTTACTTAATAAAACATGTTCTGACTCTTTCAAATATTCGCCTTCCATATTATCTTTGTGCTTGGACATTTAACCTCTCTGGTTCGCTATTTCTTTCTACATACCCGCGCGCTACTCCTTGTCTGTATAGAGTGATCCCACTGTCGATCGGTTTCAGATATTCGAGGAGTATCTTTTATTTCCGTTTATCCCCCCAGGCTGGAAAGCTTTGGCATTACGTCTACCAAGCCAAGCCTCGTGCCTGGCCCCACGCAGAGATCTCTGCCGATCATGACTTCAAGATCGAAGAGCCAGATCCTCGATCTAGAGGCCGCCAACCACGAAAATGATACACAAAGAAGCGTTTTCTTCGTGAGCAATGTGCACTGCGCATCATGCGTAGCATATGTTACTGAAGTGCTCTCTGAAATCTCTACCGTCACCGGGATCGAAGTCACGATCTTAACGCACGAAGTGCGTGCTAGTCACAGCGCTACTGTTCGACCGACCATCCTTGTAAACGCATTAATCCACGCCGCGTTCGAAGTACAATATGTAACGACCTTTGACTACCGAGGAGCGCTCGTCTCGGAACTCGATACTTCCGCTTGGAACCACCGCGGCTCAGCACTTCTCTCCACACCCCGCAACTCGGTTTCTAGTATATCATCGAACATCAAAGAGCGAATCCAGGCCAGCAGACAGAAACGACATATCGCCAACTGTGATGCTTGCAAGAAAGAACAAAATGTGAACACTTCTCCTCATTCTTCTCGAACAGAGCTGGGATATTTGGCGGAGAAATCTTCACACGCTGGCTATCGTCGGTCAAGTAAGGGTCACGAGCGCGATGTCTCTTTCTCAAAGCTTAAGCCAACGCCAGAGAATGCATTACAGGAGACAGCTTCGGTTGTCTCCTGCGAAAAACAAGTTGAACGCGACGTTCCTTGCTCAGAACAGCCCAGATCGAGCCCTCCGGATGACGAATTTACGGCACTAATTAGTATTGGAGGAATGAGTTGCGCATCATGTGCCAACAGCATTACAAATGAAGTTGAACAACTCGACTTCGTGAAGGAGATCACAGTCAACCTTCTCACGAATAGCGCCACATTAATTTACATTGGACCCAGGGAAAATGTTGACAAGATCATTGAACAAATCGAGGATATCGGATTCGAGGCGTCGCTCGACGAGGTGAACCCTATTCCTAAGGCACCGACCCCTACAGAGTCCGCCGAAATCTATACCAGCGAGATTGCCATCACTGGTATGACCTGTGGCTCTTGTAGTGGGGCAGTGACTCGCGGACTAGAAGAGCTGCCGTTCATTCGAGAGGTTTCTGTCAACTTGCTTTCCCATAGTGGAAGGGTCGAGTTTGAAGGCCGCGACAACCTTGATAAAATCATAGAAAAGATCGAAGACCTGGGATATGACGCTGCCGTCAATAGTGTCTCTCCAGTGATAGGCGTCCAAGAAAACTCTCAACCCGTCCAGTCCAGGACAATCTCTATCCGAGTGGATGGAATGTTCTGTCACCACTGCCCTCAGACTGTCTTGAATGCAGTGGAATCACTTTCCGATGTCAGCATTGAACAAGCCCTGTCCGAGAAAGATCCCATCCTCAAAGTCACATATGCCCCACGACCATCTTCTCTTACCATTCGATCTCTTATATCCACTATCAATGCGGCGAATGACGCATTCCGCGCACATGTATACCACCCGCCCAGCATTGAAGACCGTTCTCGTGCAATTCAGCATCATGAACGCCGCCGCCTGTTGTTACGCCTGCTATTCGTATTCATGAGTGCGATTCCCACTTTTATAATCGGCATTGTGTTCATGTCTCTTGTCTCGTCCGACAATCCCACTCGAATGTATCTAGAGGAAACAATGTGGGCCGGTAGCGTGACCCGTACAGAATGGGCACTGTTCATCATGGCAACCCCAGTGATGTTCTACGGCACTGATGTATTCCATGCCCGGGCCATGAAGGAGATCTATGCCTTATGGCGACCTGGAAGTCGGGTTCCCATTTTGCGGAGATTCTACCGTTTTGGTAGTATGAACCTTCTGATCTCTGCGGGCACATCTGTTGCCTACATCTCATCCCTGGCCGTGCTCATCGTTGATGCGGTCGTTGGTACCAAGTCCAGTGCTCACAGCACGACCTATTTCGACTCGGTGGTTTTCCTGACTCTTTTCATTCTTGCTGGTCGGTTCCTAGAGGCATACAGCAAAGCCAGAACCGGCGATGCTGTCACGTCACTGGGTAACCTTCGACCCTCTGAGGCATTGTTGATCGAAGACACATCCGTTATCAATGGAGATGCCTCCGATGGAACTGCTATAGAGGGGATGAAACGCACAAATGTTGACCTCCTCGAAGTTGGTGACGTCGTCAGCATTCCTCATGGCGCCTCGCCTCCTGCCGACGGAACTGTCATTGACACCTCCTCATACCAATTCGATGAAAGCTCTTTGACTGGAGAATCTCGACCAGTTAAGAAAACGCTTGATGATAGAGTGTATACTGGCTCTGTGAATGTCGGCCAGCCTGTACGCATTCGCATTACCGAGCTCGGTGGTTCGTCGATGCTTGACCGAATCATTGCGGTGGTTCGTGAAGGCCAAAGCAAGCGTGCACCGCTCGAAAGAGTTGCCGATCTTCTCACCTCGCATTTCGTCCCTATCATCACGCTCATTGCAATCACCACCTTCGTCATCTGGTTGGCTCTTGGTCACTCGGGTGTGCTTCCAACAGGTTATCTTGATGTCGCACATGGCGGCTGGACATTCTGGGCTCTTGAATTTGCGATCGCAGTATTCGTTGTAGCTTGTCCCTGTGGCCTGGCTCTTGCTGCTCCTACTGCGCTATTCGTTGGAGGTGGTCTAGCAGCAAAGCATGGTATCCTGGTCAAAGGCGGAGGCGAAGCCTTCCAAGAGGCTAGTCGCTTGGACGCCATCGTCTTTGATAAGACCGGCACACTTACCGAAGGCGGCAGCCTGAAGGTTTCCGAGCACCAAGTTTTGACTAGTGACCCGGAATTTGCGAAAGTTGCATGGGCGCTGACTCGAAAGATGGAAGAGAGTAGCAACCATCCAATAGCCCAGGCAATCACCGATTTTTGCAAATCCCAACCATCCGCCACTGTCAAGTACTCCGATGTCTATGAGATTTCCGGACAAGGCATGAAAGGAACCTTCACCATCGCTGGACCTGAGCACGAAGACGAATACGAGGCCGCCATTGGCAACGAACGTCTATTGCACAGCGTCCTATCTCCCGAAACAGATACATACTTCGTTTCCAACCTGCTGTCGAAATACCAATCAGCAGGAAAATCAACTGCAGTTCTCTCCATCCGCCATGTCAACTCCCAATCCCGCGAACCATCAAAGTTCACCCCAGCAATCGTGCTGGCGACATCCGACACAATCCGCCCTGAAGCCGTCGACATCATCGCCCAGCTTAAGAAACGCCGTGTCGATGTTTACATGTGTACAGGCGATAACCAAACAACCGCCCACGCTGTCGCAGACATGCTAGGAATCTCTCGATCAAATGTGATGGCCAATGTCCTACCAGCAGAGAAAGCAACTTTCGTCCGCCAGATCCAGGAAAAATCTTCAGATACACCTGCAAATAATAACACCAAGCCAATCCGCCCCATCGTCGCTTTCGTCGGTGATGGCGTGAACGACTCCCCAGCTTTGGCTGCAGCAGATGTAAGCATCGCGATGGCCTCCGGTTCAGACGTGGCAATCAATTCCGCGAGCTTCATCCTACTAAACTCAGATCTGAGCACCATCTTACAACTCGTCCTGCTGAGTCGCCGTGTGTTCAACCGCGTGCGCATGAACTTTGGCTGGGCGGTTATATACAACATCTGTCTTGTGCCTGTTGCGGCTGGTGTCTTCTATCCCATTGTCAGTGGACACCATTATAAGTCTGTCGGCGGGGAGATGGTCATGGTTGATGAGCATTGGAGATTTAGTCCTATTTGGGCTGCCTTGGCTATGGCTTTGAGTAGCATTTCTGTTGTTTTGAGCAGTCTTGCTTTGAGGATTGACATGGGCAGTATTATGAGGGTTTTTGGAAGGGGTAAATAATGGAAGGGAGATCGTTGGTTTTCGGATTTGTATCTATTTTAGCGTTAACTTATTTTGAACCTGATGCATCTGAATGAATTATTATCAAGTCTCAGTTATTGCCCACTCTTTGTAGTTGAGTAAGCCAATGATCTACTTGATTCCTATTAACTAGACTGCCCCCAAATCTCGGCAATCCGCTTGCTAAGCTCTTTAGCAATCTTCTTCCGTCCAACTACTTCTTGCATGCGGGTCGATATCATAGTCTCCCGCGCACTAGGCTCAAGAGCCATATATGCCTCGATCAAATGCCGCGGCGTCGGCCAGATTTGCTGTATTTCGAGGGCCTTCTCGCCCGTCACACCACGGGTACACATCAGCATCTTCAAGAAAACATCCCGAAGCGTAAGAATATCGGACTTGGAAGTAAGCGCCCCGAAAGTCGAGAATGAAACGCCGTATGTAACAGACGAATCTTGAGAACGGAGATTGTCAAGAATGGTAAGGTAGGAGTCTGTGGCAAGACGGCGGCCGGGGATAAGGGCGACTTTAGAAATGGGAGTTGGCGGGCTGGTATTTTGAGTTGTATTGGAGCTTGATTCTGCTTGTCCAGCGGGAGTTGAGGGTGGGTCTTCGACTCCGTACATCTTTCGTAAGAGAAGTGTCATACGCGCTAGATAGCGGATTGATTCGTCGAGATGTTTTGTCTTTTTGATGAAGTATTCATTGAGGACTTGGGTTGATGCGATAGCTGATGCTACCATTTCTTGGTATTGTGCTCCACTTCCGCTTGTCGAGTCGGGGTGCGTGATTGCGAACTCTTCGATGAGGTATATGACGTTTTTGATGCCTGAGCGACGGAGACGGAACTTTTGTTCATGGAATCGTCCATCTTTGATAGACCCGACTAGGTCGTCAAGACGTTTTCGCTCGATGATCCAGTCGAGCATCACTTCGTCGCCTTCTTCGCCGTGGGCGATGAGGTAGTTCGGGTCATTGCATTTAGCTACCCACATTGCATCGCCCACTTCCAGGGCGCGGACTTGGGGTATGATTCCTTGCTTCTGGAGTTCGCCTGAGATGTAGTCACGATCGGCTGGAGTGCGTACTTCTCGTGTATCTAGCACAAGCTGGATTGTGAAGCTTTTGGGCGGGAGGAAGACAGGCTCGATGTTGGCTATGTCCTGCTCGGTTAGATCATCTTGGGCATCTATTGGTCCATTATCTTCATCTTCAGGTAGTCCAGTGCCCCCTGCTGTATGGCCGCTTTGCGATTGAGAAGTTGCAGATTGGGAGTCACCGGCGAAGGATAGCGTGTTTTGGGCACCAGGCAATGTCTTTTGGAGACGTTTGACGACCTCCCAACCTTCTTCAGAAAGCAGATATTTCCGCAATGGACGACCGTGCTCGTATACAAGGTCTTTCTGAATCAGTGTTTTCATTGAGTTCCAAGCAGTGTAGAACTTCGTCGGGTCAGGAGGCGCTGTGAATGAAGTATCGCAGTATGGCTGAGCCACCTCGATCAACTGGGCCTTGGTCATGCCCTGTGATGCATTCTCATCCTGAGTTCCCAGCCCTAGCATAATGGCATATGGACCAGACCGCAGTGCTGGCACATAGGGCTTGACTTTTCTGGGTTTCTTTGCGGGTTGATCGGAAGTCGCACCATCCGATGTTCTTTTGCCACCTATCGAATTTGGTGAGCCTCTATCTTCAATTTAGAATTTAAATAAGAGCACTCACCTTTATCTGGTGGTTCCGGCATGGGGAGTCCATTTTCTTCACAATAACTCTTGAGTTTGTCTGTTAAACGGTCACATAGTTTTGGCCCCAGTCCGTTCAGCTGCTGCGCCTGAGATGGATGCTGAAACTCCAATGGACAAGATTTCATCGACTCATAAGCCTTCTTATACCTGCGAGCAATCAGACAGGTGAATATCATTGGGGCTCTGGATATACGAACACCGTCACGCCCTTGCTGTTCCGTTCTCTGGCTTGATCTAGCCATTCCTTAATCCACCCCAACAGGAGAGGATTAGCACACTCTTCGCTCATGGCGAGTAGAGCTCCAGGGACAAATTAGGCTAAGCGAATGATCTAAGTCTGGTGACGCGAACTGATGTTTCCTCTTTGGGAACGCGACGCACACGTGCGATAAGAGATAAGACGCCCTTATCGATCTTGATATCACGCGACCAGAGCCAAAGATCTAAATAAAGGCAAAAAGAATTTACCTTGTGGAGTTTGTTGCCGTGGCACCGTGAAATGCCATTGCCGCTGTATTAGCGTACTCGCCTTTAATTCCCGGTTGCGTGACGATGAGCGGCTCTTCCTATAGAGCCTATGACAGTCTTGGTAGCCTCAGCTCAATATATTCCTATCCAACTAGATGTTAAGTACATACGACCACAGGGTGTGGAGAACAGGGCTTCCCGTCCGCTCAGCCGTACTTAAGCCACACGCCGGTAAGTTAGTAGTTAGGTGGGTGACCACTAGCGAATCCTTACTGTTGTATGTTTTTTGCCTTTTTGCTTGCCACTGCACTATCCTCACCACACAAGCTACACAGTTCAGTATCCCTGCACAACACCATGATTCTTAGCGGACTTGATGTCGTCAACCGCCAATTAGTGCGGAAGCTACGCGGTGTCACCCAGCAACAACCATGCGGCATCGACCTTACTCTTCATCAGATCTCCACATGGACCTCCGCAGCGATCATCGACTTCGATAATATGAAACGCTAGGCGGCCGAAACCTCCAGTTTATCTTTCGACAGCACCAGCCATGCTATCTCACTGCACCCGGGCGCGTACTTAGTCGATTTCAACGAAACCGTTCAAGTTCCACGGGATTGCATGGGAAGCATTTTCCCGAGGTCATTGCGAGGTCTGGGGTCGGAATCACTGCTGGTATCGTCGACGCCGGGTATGAAGGTGCTCTAGGCGCCTTGATCGAAGTCAAGAATCCCCACGGGGTCGTTCTGTATCAAAACGCCAAGCTCGCCCAGATTGTATTTGAGGAATTGAGCGAAGCCGTGGAGGGATATAATGGTATCTATCAGTCTTCGACGAGCAGTGTCGGACGCAATGGGACTGGCCAGCCTTCAAACGCCTGAGTCAGGGAGTTACAGTCAACTGCCAGTTAACATAATTCACAAGGTTCTGCTACAGCACAATGCTGCGCCAGGACCCCCTGAACAGGGGTCTACCGATCCCCCCCAACGCAGCTGCAGTCCTAGAATCTGAGCCTAAGGATACTGCGAGGGCAGCCGCTCGGTGAATGAATCCCTTCAACAAGATATCTGTTCCTGTAGATGGTCCAGCAGAGGGTGCAAGACGTAGAAGTGAGAGTGGGCGGGACCTGAGGGACGCCCTGACCGAGGGTCATAGAATGCAAAAGCGGATAGATGGACCTCGAGCTTGGGGGATATCGCTATCGCAAAATCCAAGCTAGACAATGGCGGAAGCACGAACGATCTACGATCTATTTGTGTGGAAAACATTAGCAATGAACTGATCATCGAGTTCATGAGCAAGCATATAGGGGACATTGGTAAGAAAAAGTATGAGAGGAAATGGAAAATTTTCAAAGAAGTTGTTGACTATAATTAAGACGACTATGCAGATGTCCTTGGAGCGACGGTATTGGGCGAATGGCGGCTCATTTCGTCTTGGGAGCGTTCCACGAGGTACGCAACGGATCATGAGAATTTCCACCAGGAAAGAGAATGATGATTTCCAGATCTATTTGAGGTCACGCCGAGAGGAAAACATATTTCTTATTTTATAACAAGTGATACTTGTTTCTATTTTCCAAGACATCGAAGTAATCCCAGACAGAGTGTATTCTTCTGGAATCTATGCTCGACTGGGCCATATAAGCAGTCGATACAAGGCCACACTCTATATATTCTAAAAAATTAAAAGAGTGGATTTTACCTTACACATAACTGAACAAAGACAAAAGATAGAATGAAAGAACAAGTTTGGTTGTGAATTGCCACTGCCCTGATCCACGAGATGACGTCGACAACCCTGTCAACACAGGTCCCGCATACATCATCTCCTACACTCAACATGTTAACGTCCCCATGTCTTCACACAATGTCCAAACCCGATGAATTAGAAAGTGCCCACGATGGCGATACTGCACGTAAGGCCGACTGCCAAGTCAATGCTGAACCAGCGACCCCCGAAGGCCCAACTGACAGCCATGTGCTGTCGCAAGTCGAACAGGATGAAAAAGGCCTCGCACAGAAAGCCGGCGACACCGATGAAATTACCAATGTCGGATGGGGCGTTTCGCCCGACGTTATTGAAGAGTCCTTAGTTGCTGGGTTGTCGAATGAAGACTTGTGGATGCTTATTCGGCGATTCGACCAGGTGCGCTCTTCGACAATCATCCTCTGCACTGGCTTCCGAACTAATATAGAGATTTGCAGCAAGTCTACAGAGTCAAGGCTATGCCTGATACTCCCCTTCAAAACCTGGATCTAACGCGAACTGATGACGATGAATTTTCTCCGGATAAGCTTCGGGCTACGATGGAGCGATTCTACATCACCGTTGTCGTGGGCTTAACGAGTTGCGTCAAGCATATTGCTCGACTTCGGTCATGGAAGGAGCCGCGACGAACGTCGATCTTTGGAGCGGCAAGACTCACTTTCAAATGCTATCTGCCTTGAGAATATTATCTGATATCGTACAGGTTTACCTCGCTGCATGGCTTCTAGATCTATTAGCTCCGACCATGTTTGCAGTTCTACTTGCCTTAGTGGTGCACAAACCACTGCGACCGCTGATGTTTCCTCCAGCGCCAATAGCTCTCGTGGACAAAGATACGGGTGGCGTCCAAAAACCAAAAGCAGGGATCCTTGGCTCCCACGACAGCATCACTGGCGCACCTGAGAAATTCAAGGGTGAGGCAGCTGAGCAAGAAGCAAGCAACTTGGTTGCAAGTGTCGCCAGCGTGGCTGTGGGCAGCGCAGTTGGGAAACACGACCAAGGAGTGCCCGATGATGCACCCTTTGAAGATGACGTGCCTGATGCCATGGATATCGTCGCCAATACTGCTGATGCACAAAGTGCCGCGCATGGAAGAGTACCGACTGATACGCATGACAAAACGCGACAACCTATGCGACAGGGAGTGATGGATGCAGCAAACTTCGCGATGCAAGTCGTGAGTGATATCACAGATACATATGAGAAATTAGGAAAGTGAGTGCAAGACATGTTCTGTGTGTATGGCTCATGCTCAAATCCATCGATCTAGTGCTCTATCGGCAACGGCTCCCTTCCCTCGACTAAAGCCTCGCCTACGTCTAGCAGCCGTGCTAGGACCGGCATGTCTGCTTTCATTACTGACAACAAGTTATGCTTTGATGAAGATCTGTACGCTTTTTGCTGGGTTTGCATTCTTCGGAGACCCGATAATCAGACGAGGAATCAAATATCTGAACCGCCAGTTCCCGAAGTGGCAGAAGGTCATTGAGTTGCAGAAGTATAGTTCTCAAGTCACTACAGCCTTTCATATACTGACAGTCCAACAATAGTTCTCTACTCAAGGGGATTCCAACAAACGCCCAGGTGGCTGTTACCCTTCTCCGCATCGGCGAAGCCAATGCATCACCACTACCACCTCCCCCAGCTTCCCAAGAAAGAGCACCCTCGCGTCCAGCCTCGTTACACCACGAGAAATTGACCCTCGGAGCCACTGATGCAGAAATCAAAGATGCCGCATTAGTCAAACCTGAGCATGAGGAAACTTCCGAGTCCAACTCCGAGTCAGAAAAGGCCCACAAGAAGACACTAGCATCAAGCGTCCTTGGATTCTTCCGGGGAACGACGGCCAGCGGAGTCGAAAGTAAAAGAGGCATCGACCGCCTCCGAGCAGCAGTTGGCTCACGACACGCCAAGAACCGAGTCGGTGTCTTGCGTCATAAGGGCAAGATGATAACGCCGGTCGGGCCAGTCTCATTCGATGCCCGCTACAAGGGCAAACGTGGCACAGCGGTCATTGATTCGACGAAGGAGCCTGCGCTCCTCTACTTCACAACCGATACACTACAAAATGGAGACATTGAGCTAGAGCATCGAAAGCCAGGATCCGTTCTGTTCACCATGCCCGTCTCCGATATCCAGGAAATGAGAAAACTGGGTGGCATGGGATGGAAGGGGAAGTTGGTTGTTGGATGGGCGCTTGGTAGTAAAGAGGTTGTCGATGGGTTGCTCATTACTGGAACAAAACCTAAGCAGACGTATCAGCTTACGGCTATGGGGACCCGGAATCAACTTTTCAATCGGCTTATTGCTATTGATGGACAGGTTTGGGCTAGCTGTTGATTTGTTTGGAGAGGATGCGTGCTAAAACGATACCAGGTTTGGAGGTAAATCCCCAGGGGGTTTTCTTTGCTTTATGGCTACTATGTACGGTGGATTTGGATTTGGATCTCCTGAGTCGTTGAATTTCTTTATGACTGTCAAGATCTAGCCGTCCGCTTTTCGATATACCATATTTGCATTGACGAAGAACAAATAAAGCGAGATTCTGGGGAACCTGCTGTATATGAGAAAAGAATTGAAGCCTCTATGATCGAATGTTAAGCTGAACTCCATCTACATAGGGACCTTTTTTGGGTCACGTAAAAAGTTCCGATCAATTCCACAGATGACAAGTATGTGGTATCAGGGAATCTTGATGAATTAAAGACGAATGGACGTTCTCTCATCAAATACACTCCCATTAACCAGCGAAGAAATCAACAGCAATGCCTACGCAAAACATGAAGCGCCTTGTTAAACACATCAAATTCCCAGTCAAAAACCTAGTACATCCCATTCTAAACAATGAATAAATTAGCACTTCACAGATCCCCCACCAACAAGACAACCCAGAAAGGAAACTCACATCAAACTCCTCATCCTCAGCCTCAAGAATAACATCCGCCATAACTCCGATAGCCAAACCCCTCTGCTCCTCACTAACAGCCTCAACATCAACAAGCCCAGCAAGCGCCTCCCCAACCCAATTCTGACAATTCCAATCCCAATTCGAGGGCTCATTGCGCACAGCCGTGCGCGAACACGCCGCATGAATCATAGCCCTAGTTACCGATTCTGGGACTGTACATACGGGAATCCAGACGATGGGCTCTTCGGAAATAGGGTTTTGGGGGTCCTTTTGGAATTTGAAGAATGGGTGTGCGCCTACTACGTGCAGCCATTCGTTGTCGCCTGTGTCTTTGTTGTAGAGGGCGTGGAGGGCTGTGTGTCTGTATTTTGGGAAGTCTACTGGTATTCCTTTGTAGACTAGGATTGAGAGTTGGGTTGGCATTTTGTTTTATGGATAGTGTTGGAGGGTGCTGGTAGGTGTGGTTTGAAGGTTGAGCGTGGTTGTTTGCTTTGATGGTGGGAGGTGGGGATGTCCGCTAGGCTGAGGTGGTTTACCCCTTGTCTATATCTGAGTTCTTATGCCGTGTCTCACTTTGATAGGCTGGTTATTCTAAGCGCTTGAATATTGAATGCAGCATGAAAGCAGGGGCGCCTTATCTGTACTGCAAGTAGAGTAATTATGTGAGTTGAGATGAGGAATGTGAACATTAGATAGCAACCGACCGCGGGGAACTTGATTCCATTTTGTTTTCAAAATTCATTGAACTTATCTAGACCTGGTTCTTTCACTGCAATTCCTGCTTATAATCCCTGACGGTCTGCTCAAATGACTCGTCACGCTTGAAGCCCAAAGAAATAGCCTGAGTATTATCGAACTGTGTCGGCCAAGACTTCAGAATCGGAATCACTGCAGGATCCTCTTTTTCCGTGAGAAGTGCCAATGCATCCTTGCCGCCCACCTTCTCTAATGCATCCATCATGCCCTGAACCGTGACACAAATGCCAGGCACATTAATCTGGCGAATATGCAAAGGAACCGAGTCGGCAGGCAGGCGGAGTGTGATAAGAAGATTCTGCACAAGTGTCTTGGGTGAGCAGAGCCACGACTTGAACTGTCGGTCTTCAATAGGAATAATGCACTTCTTGCCGTCAAGAGGCTCACGGATCATACCCGACAAGAAAGATGAAGCCGCGGCGGTTGGTGCACCGGGGCGAACCGAGATGGTAGGGAACCGCAGCGTGAATCCGGTAATGAACTTGCGACGGGTATATTCATTCACCAGAGTCTCACAGACGATCTTCTCAGCGCCATAGGAGGACTCCGGGGTTGGGATGACACTGTCGGTGACAATCTCCGGCAAGGGTTGACCATAGACCGCCTGGCTGGAGGAGTAGATGACCCGCACACCTGGGCAAGTGTGCCGCAGTGCCTCGAGCAAATTGCGTGTGGCATCGATGTTGACGCTCATGCCTAGGTCGAAGTTGGCTTCGGAGCCTGACGACATGATGCCGTGGAAGGCGTAGACGCCATCTAGGGAAGAGTCGACAATGTCCTTTGCCCCGGTCAGGAGATCAGCCTTGACGGCTTTTGCATTCTGGGGATGTTGAACGCCCTTGGGAATTGGCGGTTGGTTGATATCGGTTAATGTGACGCGGTAGGATGGGTCGTTCAGTAGTTCCTTTGCGAGCAGCTGGCCGATGAAGCCGGCGGCGCCAGTGATAAGAATATGCATTGTGAAGATGTTAATTGTTAATTGAAAGTCAAAAACAGGGAAACAGTATTATTTCAGTAAAATCGTCGCAGCGCATTTCTCTCCGCATTCGCAACAAGTCCGAGACGATCTGTGGAGGGTCCTCCGCACCGGACTTGGGCCGGTGGACTCGGGAGTCCGGGGTCAATTGGGGCATTGGATGCAAATAAAGGAGTTTTCTGGTGTTGACTACACAATGAACATATTATTAAAACATCAAGTACATGAAGAGTGAGAAGTAACTTTGATATGATATACAGGAAGTAGAGAGAGAAAATGGAGTCAGTGCCACGGAATGCATTTCGGGAAAGTCCAGTCCGGGCACCTGTTTCTGTTGAGATTCCTCTGTTCTTTTGCTCTTCTTCTCTGTAACCTCTCAATATCCCCCGACATCCGAATTGTTGCATTCCTTGATCGTCGACTCGAATCAGCTCAGCTCGCTCGACTCCGAGCTCCCCCCCCACTCCCCAGATTTCGCCCCCTGCGCATGCCCGGAGTATCACCGACTTCCTCAATGGAGGTCTCTACTCCACTGAAACGCTCTGCTGATGACGCTGACTTGGAATCTCCCCGAGAGAACAATCGACGCTCTGCACCAAAGATATCCAAAGCTCGTGCCTGTGAGTGTCTTCCCCACATTGTCTTCGACATTGTTAACTCGGACTAGGCGCTGAGTGCAAGCGCCATAAGATTCGCTGCGAGTTCCGACCGGGTGAGACGACCTGTACGAAATGTATTCGCAGCGGTATCAAGTGCGTCGTGAATGACTTCTCGCAGAAATTCGTCGATGATGACGGGATGTACGTGCGCTACTCGCGAACCCCGCTCCAACCGCTCAGGGAAGCTCCCAGGGCACTTGCTAATCCAATGCTGGTATAGATGGAAATCCCAGGCAAATGCGACAATGCACCAGCTGCAGGCAGCTGTCTCGCACCTCTTGCGACAGGGTGGATTGCCCGAGCTCTCGACATATCCCTCCGGGGACAGTCAGAATGGCCCCAGTCCTGCTGCCTCGCATCATGCCCACCGTCCCTCGATCGATAGATCACAGACACAAAACAGTCATCAGGAGGGACCGGGGGTAGTCATGGATGTCACTCGGGAACCGTCGCCAGAGCAGGACCTCCAAGACCCGGAATTGGTGCCAGCCCCCATGCGCAGCTTATACGAAGTGACGAAATTACGGAATTTGAGAAACAATCATGTCGAGGCACCCAAGCAGACATTGCTGGAAGAAGATTTCATCTCGCGCGGGTTGATTTCGCTCCATGAAGCGGAGGAATTATTCGCCTACTTCAGCCGCACTATGAACCAACTACTCTGGGGCGGGATAATCCTGGTTCATCGCGATCTAACATCAGTCCGTCGCGCATCAACGCTTCTCTCTGCAGCGGTTTTGACTGTCGCAGCACTTCACATACCCAATCGCACTGAAACCTTGAACCGGTGCTATGGCGAGTATGTTTCGCTTGTCTCTAGCATGGCCCTTACGAGAGCCCACACGCTGGATGATATCCGTGGACTTTGCGTGGGCGCATTCTGGCTTTCTGAGTTGAGCTGGAAGCTATCAGGACATGCAGTGCGAATTGCGACCGAGATGGGTCTCCACCAGAGCTACCAGCGCCTGACACGCGGACACACGGATCAGTATGAGCGGGCTCAGCTCTGGTATTTGCTTTATGTCTGCGATCATCATTTTAGTATTGCCTACGGTCGGCCACCGGTGATTCACGAGGATGTAGTGATTCGCAACTATGAGACCTTCCTCGCGCTGCCTATGGTCGTACCTGGAGACATTCGACTTCTGGCCCAAGTAGCCCTATTTATGATCTTGACTGAGGCTTACAGGATGTTCGGCAGCGATACTGAACAAGCGCTGACCGAGGAGGATTTTGGACAGTTGCGCGTATACAACGTTGCAGTGGACCAGTGGCGGCTCCTCTGGCAACCTCGATCTGGTAAGTGATCCAGTGCGTCAATGATTATTGCTGAATCTAACATTTCTTCAGCTGATAGCGCCTATGTACGAACTTATCCCTCAAAAGGGGTGGTTCTACACTACCATTTTGCCAAATTCCAACTGAACTCGCTTTCCCTCAGAGCGCTGTCCCCATCCAACACCCCCGTATTTTCTATGGACCGCAAAGAATCAGCCAACATCGCGATTTCCTCGGCTATGGCATGTCTCAACATGGTACTCGAGGAGCCTGATATCCGAGATGCGATAGTCGGTGTTCCCATCTTTACTCACACTATGGTTACATTCTCCGCCGTGTTCTTATTGAAGGTCGCCATCAACTGGAACACAGCCTACCTCAGTATCAATGCGCGCCAGGTGCGACGACTAGTCGAGCGAGTAATTGAGCTTATGAACTGCGTCTCTGCAGGCGAACGACATCTAACACGTCACATCGCGCGTGGGCTGGGTAAGATGCTTGAGCGCTTCGACTCGTGGGAGACAACCTGGCAATTCCGAGGGAGCAACGAGACACCGGTCGTCGAAGGACGCGAGGTGCCCGGAGGCGCAAACGCCATGGCACAGGGATTCCCTCCGCCAGATTTGATTTATGGCATGGTCGGCACGTACGGATTCGGTCTTGACGAAAACCTGCTTGACCCGAGCATGGCGGATTTCGAATTCCTAACACAATGAGATGAGCAAGAGCAGAGAGCAGAGCAAGAAAAAAAAGTACAGAATACCCCAGCGAGACATAAATAGCACGGAATGTAGCAAGAATCCTGGCGACACGCACCACCAACAGCCACGCACTTGTAAGCTATCAACTTAACCCTAAACCATGTCGTCACCGTCACCTCCGCTTATGCCCCCTCTCCCTTGGTTCGACCCCCCTTCCCTCAGCTTGGAGCTCTCTCTTTTCTTTCCCTCTTCCCTTTCTCCTATATATTCCTCACCCCTACCTACGCTCCCCCACAAGAATTCTCCCTGCTTCCCCCCTAATTCCTCACAATGTCCACCCGCAAGAGAGGTCGCGAACCCGAGGAGGAGCTCCAAGCCCTCCCTAGTGATGACAGCGAAGAGGAAGAAGAGTAAGTTTCTAAGTTCTAGTTTCTGTTCTACCTCCACCCCCCAATTACGATTTCAATTTATCCCGTCGACCTTTGCGCCGACACCTCGCGCATCCTTCTACCCCAATTCAATGCAATTATAACAGTCGCGCGTCAATTGTGATAGACTAATTAACCTACTATCCCTCACGCGCAATCCTGAATTTCAATTTCCAAAGCACTGACCCGACACCCCCAAATAGGTATGAAGACTCTGAACCTGAACTAGAGGAAGGAAGTGGCGAAGAAGAAGAAGAAGAGTCAGCCTCGGCCTCAGACGAGGATGAAGAAGAGGAAGAAGAAGAAGAAGAAGAAGCTGCCAAAGCACCAGGTATGATATCTCTCTTTATTCCCTCTCCAGCCCCAAATCTTAGCTCTTCCATACCACAATCCACACTCAACACCACGCTAACAACGACCGCAGCCCCAAAGAAACGAAAAACCGCCCCGAAAGTTGTTGACGACGACGAAGGTGTCGAAGTCGCCGAGAACGGCGCCAAAGACGAAGACAAAGACGAGGAAGAACTCGCCGACGAGGGAGAGGAGGAAGCCGTTGATGCCACGGCGGAGAAGAGCGGTCCTGCTGCTGCGGCTGTTAAAGCTAAGGGTGGTGACGTTCCTAAGGAGTCTGATCTTCCTGAGATTGAGGAGGCTGAGAAGGATGAGTAGGGGGCTTAGTGATGCTTTATTCCACTATTGATCTGAGATGTTTTGAGTGTAAGATGGCTTTGTCTCTGGTGTATGAGTTATAAGATAGGAATCTATTGAATGGGGTTGATTTGATTTTTATTGATTGCTTTGGGATAGCACTGGATTCTATCCATGATAGCACTACTGGAGTAACTTAGGGCTTCTGTAGATCTCATGGTAGATGGTGGTTATAAGTTAGATATAGCGTGACTAATTCTTGCTAGTGACCAATCCCGTTTAGTTTTCTTTCAGACTGGGGCATAGCGCATATCAAGCGTTGGTAACGTCTACATGACTGGCTAATTATCTGTCGGATCCATATCCATTGAGTTTAAATGTAGTTCTTGGATTGTTTAGATGTAGCGGCATGGGATAGAACCTGACAAAATGAGTAACGGCGCTTGCTACCAATAATACAAATGAATCCTAACCACATCTATAGTGGACCCGCTGTACTGCACTTTCAAGTAATTGATGAGAAATTCGTAGGAAATATGTACTCTAAGAAAACTACCTAGGAACAATGGATTTGACAAGAGGAAATGGAGAAAAAAAACGTGTCATCAATCAAGGATGGTCATTAGCCCTGTCTGCGCCCGCTTTCTATCTTGATATCGACATCCAGGGAAGACATTAACACTATGACCTCGTAAAGCTAAGCAATGTCGTCCTTATTTTGTTACCGTGCGCAACTTAGGTATCGCTACCACTGCTGCGGAATGTCGCGCAGAGCTGGCAGTACTGGTGAGTGAGGTCCAGGACGGGTTGAGGGAGGTTGGTGGCTTGGACGATGCTGCGGACCTTGACAGCACCTTCATCTTCGATGAGCTTGCGGACGAGGAACAGGAGCTCGGGAGAGAACTAGAACTGGTTAGCCATGGATAAAGAGGTTATTTGCGCAAGAGGAAATATACCTCGGAATACCAGCGATATTGCCAGGCGATGAGGCGGATGAGGGCACCAAGCATGCCTCGTGTGTCATTTCGCTGCTCGTACAGCTTCAACACACCGCGCATAGCCTTCGGCGAGAAACGAGTGGCCAGGCAACTCTGATAGGCCTCAATGCTCTCGTCGAAGTGGTGCAGTCGCTCTGCGAGCTCACCAAGAATTTCCCACTCGGTCGCGGACTTCTTGTACTCCATCGCTTGTTGACGGAACTGGGCCATCTCGGTTCGCCAGATGGTGTAGATGCGGAGGTCCTCATAGAGAACCATGAAGAGGTTATCGAGCCACCTTTCACATAGACGCTTGTTACGGAATTGTGTGTATGTGGCGTGCGATGGATCGGGCTGTAAGATAAAAGTCAGTATGTGCTCATATATATGTCTTGTAGTATGCACTTACATCCTCGTTGCCAGACTTGACAACCTCTGAAGCCACTGTCTGCTCGGGTCTTTCGAGAGGGCTCTGGGTGTGGTTTTCATCGCCGTCTCCATTGGGTGTTTCTTCTGTGGATCCAGCCGCGCTAGGTCCATTCACTGAACCAGTGTCATCCTCCTGTTCAGCGCTATCTCCGTTCGTCTCGGCTTCCAGTGACTGGACAGGTTTGGGGACATGTTGCCGCTCAACACGATATTCTTCCTCCATCACGAATACCTCGCTGCGAACCTTCAGAAGTTGGTCCCAACCGATAGCAGCAGCAATCTTGGTTAGAAGATTGTATGCCTTCAAGAAAGTACCCTGGTAACTAGCAGCATGGATCTTCCGGAGAGAAGGGTGGACAAAGTCATGAGGGTCTCCCTGCTTAGGCTGGCCCTCGTCGATTTCATCGAGAATGCTTTCGGCAAGGATGGGAAGCATGATACGTGATGGCTGGGGCATGCGGGGTGTGTCCTTGTCTTGATATGTGAACATCGGACAGGAGTTGAGAGTCAAGAGCGCCAGATCCCACTGCTCCATACCAACATATACCTCCGCCAGACGTGCCCATGTGCTGAATTCACTCGGGGCAGCAGTCACGGCCCGCTTGGCACATTCAAGCGCCATATCGCCTTCGCCCTTGCTCTGGCAGAAGTTTGCCTGGCAGTCTAGCAAAGCGTAATCCATCGGTACATCTTGTAAAGCATCGTACATCAGTCGCACCGCTTGTACTTCCTCGTCTGCCATCATCTGTACACGGGCGAGCAGAGACGAGACTTCCACATCCTTCGTGCGGAGCTTTTCGAATAAATTGATACCGGAGGTGTAGCGACCGGTGGTGTGAATGTACTTGAGGACACCCGATGTGAGGTGATTGCTCACAGTGTTGGGGACCTGGGTCTCGGGGTCGGAGCTCAGCTGGCGTCCTGCGCAATGTCAGTACTGGGTACAACGAATGAAATGCCGGGTGTTCTGTACCTAGGAAGAAAAGCTTCTCGGCAGCATCCAAGAACTTGTGTTCCATCTCCGTATTTGTCACTGGGTTGAATCGTCGGACTCCGACAATCTTCTTGACAGCATCTCCACTTCCGTCATCGGCGTAAAGGTAGGCTCTTAGCACGGCGCAAAGGAATGTTTCAAGCCAGAGGCTTTCGGTTGCAACCCGCTTGTCACCCCGTTCGTCGATGCAGTAGCTCTCCAAGCTTCCAGGGATCTTGACTTCAACGCGCATGTCGAGGTGGGAGAAGGCATTGTAGCAGCTGTATAAATATCAGCACACATTGACAGCTATACCGATAGTGAGTCTGACCAGTAGATTCCTGATACCACTTTGTGTGTCTTATCGAGGGGAGAGAATGTGAGGGTGTTCACGTAGGCGGCCAAGCTTGCAGACGAGGAGGCATCAATTCCGGTGACATGATGATAAACGCCGGTCTGTCATAGATGGAAACGAGTTAATTATTTGCATGGATCACACATATTCAAAGACATAAGCGTACTTGGCGAGTTGAATTGGAATTGGCCTTGGGTTGCTTGACCAAATATACCAAGTCTGGGGGGCCTAATTCCCGCAAGCTCTGCAGAGATTCTGTTCGCGCATCAACAGCAACAAAGATATCCTCCTCTTCATGGATTCTAAGGAGTAATCACGAGGTCAGTCACAATTCCTGCAATTTGCGCACTTGCAGCTATCGCCCATTTGGGGCAATTGCCATGCGTGCGCAGCCCGGGGAACACGTAAACGGGGATAGAGCGACATACTCAGGGACAGCGGGCGCGACCATGGCGCCTGCAGAAGCGCGGTGAATTTAATGAGGGTATCTGAAGTAAAACAGAATAGGAAAAGTGAAAGAAATCCAGGGGGTGCACTGAGGGGTGAAGGTGAATCTGGACTTCAATTGTACTGTTCCCCCAAAGAAAGGTGTCAGGCCATAAGGCATTCAGGCATCCAGGCAACATCTTCCCCGATCTGGTCAACGCGTGATAACGTGTCTGATAACCAATCCCGCATTCAAGGGTTTCCAGCCCTTCTTTCGACAATCTAATATTTAGAACCGAATGACCCCCGAGCTCGCGTCATGTCGAGCTGGGTCGCATTGAACGTTGAGCCTGATGAGGCTGTCGAAGAGGAGGTTGACGACACCAAGGAGCTCCAGATTGAGGAAGCTTTGAAGCTATACCACAGTGCTTTGAAACTACACGCGCAAGGCCCCGAGTTCTACTCCCAGGCAGCTGAGGCATATGAAGCTCTTCTCAACTCTGAGATCTTTAAATACCCAGAGTCCATCTCCGATTTCAAAGGGGGCGCATTCGAGGATGCGCAGACCCAAGAAACCTCTGATGGAATCGCAGAACCGATCGGCGAATTCAATGTCAACGATTCCACCTCCAGTTTATTTCAGACCCTTTACCTTTCCTACAAAAACCACGGCAAATATGTCCTTGATGCGGTCCAAGAATCTATACGAACAGCACCGAAGACACCCGAATCCGAGAAGGAATCACAAAAGAAGTTGACGGAGGCGTCAAGGAAAGCGCTGCAATCCTTCGGAGATGCCTTGGAGCGAGATGATTCAGATCTGAATTTATGGAGACAAAGTGCGAGACTCAGCAGTACCTTGCAGAGCCATCGCTTGTCGCGGTACTGCTTGGAGAGCGTACTAGCAGATGATGACAATCGCCTGGAATTGCGTCCGGAGCAGCTCGGCCTGGAGGAGATATTTGCAGAGCAACGCCTTCGAAGCACCCTAGAGGCCCTTCTCGACAAGCTGTCTGCCTCGCAGATTCCCGTCAAACGACCCAAGAAGGCTTTATTGAAATATTTAAAACAGCATGAGGATCCTTACCCAAATCTACCTGCTATGCCGGCCAATTTGCGGGACATCGATTCGTCCAAAGCACCTCTCGCAATACATACTTCCATCAGATATATCACCCCCGCAGCTCTGACCTGGGAGTCGGTTGGAAAGGCACTTCTCCACGCCCTCGATGAAGATGATGAGGCCTCGCTTTCCGCTGTTCCAAGTCGGTCAATCGGCATTGTTCTACCGACAAGAGGCTCTGAGGCTCCTGGCTCACCGACTGCAAAGCTAGAGGACGTGGAGATGACAATGGAAGACGATGGGCATGAGAAAGCAACCGAGGAGAACGAAGTCGACGCGGAAACGCTTCAGACAACTGAGCAAGAAACAAGAGCCGAAGACCCCGAACCTGAACCCGAGCAAACCAAGGAGCCCGCAGAGCCAGTCGAGGAATCCACAAGCATCGATCAAAGCGCAGAGAAGCAATTGATGGAATCATTAGAGCGCCAATCAGCACAACCTCCAGATCAGCAGGCCGAAAATGATGAGACCAATGCTGAGGACCTTGACCCGAACTCTGCAGCAGCCGCTCGCAAACGATCGTCTGCGTCAGCTGCCAACGAGGAGCCAGAGGGAGGACGGATGAAGAGCAGACGGACACGTGCCCGCGAATCGAACGCCGACGCCCTGGTAGTGCCCGAGGAAATCGCTTTTGATCAAGAAAAGTACTACGAAAACCGCCTGGAGATTTTCGTCAACGCCGATGATTGGATGTTCAGCACCATTGATTCTCTGTTTTCGAAAGTCGGAACCGAGGCTCTGGGGGGCATCGCGAGTATAAGGGCAAAGTGCTCGACAAGCGAATCAACAGATACACCCGAAGACGTTGAAACACGATTATTCCAGGATTTACGCGGTATTATCAAGACATGGGATGACGAAAAGTCTCGATTGATGCAACAAAAAGACGAACTTTCACCCTTGAAGAAGGATATCCACGGTACAAGCAAGTCGGGCTTGGCTGTGTTCCTCGAACACTCACGGAAGGGTGCCCGGAAACCAATTGTTGCGGAAGATCTTCCCGCCGGGGAGCACCTATATGACTTCTCTGACTCCATTAACAGTGAATGGCGACACCCGCATGACACCTCTTTTCACTGGGTCAAGTGCCTTCTGATGCCAAACTTTGGTCGAGAAACCCCAGACTGGTCGACTGCGCAGTCGGCATACAGGCGATTCCTGTGGCCGAAAGAACTGAAGAGTACTTTGGTGGATCTCTTACTCCGTGAAGATGAGTTCATCTACAAGAGGTCTGCTAAGCTGATTGCCGATCTTGAAAGCCGAATTCTTGACGCAAGCAGTGATGCTCCTTTTGAATATAAGGCCAGGGACTTCTTCGAACTTGAGATGATACAATCTCTCTATGAACTTCATTTGGATATATTTGCTTCAATTGAAACCCTCGGCAACAAGACTATGTTGACACGACTCTCACAAAGTGACAAGCTGAGTCGTTGGGGCATGCTAGCCCGATCAGCCGTGGATCATTTTGTCGAGAACGGACCGTCTGGTGATTGCCAAAAAGACATCACACTCCGTCATTTGTGGACATCTGCATTCCATGTAAATCTTGCCGGAGAGGCAGAACGGGAGCATATCTTGCTTTGCCTCCAAGACCTGAAGCAAATCCTACAGACCCTTGGAAATCCAGACACCAACCTCATAAACAATTCCACCATGTCTGAACTGTCTGCGGCTGTGATAGACCAAGAAGTGTTGAAGCTCAAGTGTATGGACTTCTTTGCCAAGGTCTTCAACTCTGACTCGGAAGATCCTGTGTCTCTCATCGAGGCAATTGAACCCATTCTTGAGCCCTCGTCGATTGAGTATGCGGAATCATTCGAGAACGACACGAATCGTCCAACATCGCACCTCAGCGAAATGGCTGCCTTCTTGGACCGTGGAGATGCTACATTGCGCCTATTTTTGTGGCGCAGACTTCTAGAGGCATACCAAGCCATCGACTACCCACCTAAAGTTGTCTCCTGCTATCTGCGAAGCATCGAAGTGGTAATGACAGAACTTGAGGCCGCGAAACACAGCGAAGAAACAAGTCGACACCGTCAAGTATCTTTGCTCAGTTGGCTCAAGGCTCTGGATGGCATCATGGCCAAGGCTATACCACTTGTTCTTGAAGAGTCAGACAAGGCCTACGAATGTTTAGACCAAGAGCATCTCCAAACATCCATGTCTGCAGTATCTCGCCTTACTAGACTGTTGCACAGCTTTGTCCTATTTGAGGATTCGGTGCGGGTCGGCCAAACTTCTGGACGTGACCTCCGAGCATCATTAACGAAGTCGCTTGAAAACTTCAAGGATAGGATGCGAGAGCTGTACGTTCGCTGTTGGATTCTACAGTATACCCTTTTCCTGGAGGCAATTGCTCAGAACAAAGAGCTTTTCGACGACGCGCTCGAAGATCGGATTCACTTCCTTCGTTCCGTCCACAATGCATTGGGCGTCCGATCAATGTGCCGGTACTCACAGAGGAAGTTCTTGAAACTTCTCAAAGCTGAGCTCTTTGACCTCGAGACGAAAGGAGACTATGAATTCGATGTGTGCCAAATTCTTTACGATCTACACGGCATCAAGTTTTCTCCATTCGATGGAACAATGGATCATGGGTGTCCTTCGGAGAAGCTGGATCGCCCTACAGCTATAATGATGATCGATTTTGTTTTGCAACAAGCAAATAAGATGAACATGAAGGACTTGTCAAAATCCGAACTGAAGACGACGATCGAAAAAATGCAGACAGCAATTGGTATCGCCAAGGCTACGTCTTCGCAGACACCACAGCTGATTTTCAATCGTCGGATCATCAATGCCTATCTTAAAGCCGCACTGAACCCATCTAACCTTCTCCGAGCCGTTCAAGGCATTACAGAGCTTTCAACAACAGTAGTTCCAACTGAGAATGCAAAGATTGCTGCTAAGGGATGGTTTTTCCTTCTTGGCCATGCCGCCTTGACCAAGTTCCGTTCTCAAAAGCGTCTCAGCCCTGGTTCAACAAGTGAGCTCGATGATGCCATCAGCTTCTTCAGGCAGGACCTGGAACATGGATCAGGAAGATGGGAAACTTGGTTCAGACTGGCACAGGCATACGACTCCAAGCTGGATGAAGATATAACATGGACCGCAGACAAAATTAACAACAGCCGCGCGGATCTAGCAACACTCCAACGAAACGCTATTCATTGCTATGCAATGGCCGTTTCAACAGCAATCAGGACCGCAGAGCCAACGGCAGAGACGAGAGCCTTGATGTCGGATCTTTACTCTGACTTCGGTATTCGTCTGTACTCATCTTCTCGCGAGCCGCTGTCCATGGGTGCCTTCAGCGTAGAAGGTTTTCCTCGGCATTTCAGCAGCGAAGAGAGTCAGCAGATGTACAAGGGACAGCCTTTCAAAGAAATGTCGGAATACTCGGTGTGGAACTTTGCCAGCAACCTTCTCAAACGGGCAGCCGTTGACAAGTCAAAACGATGGATGTAAGTAACAGCCTGTGGTCTCGCACAAAATTCAAGGATGCTAACGTGAACAGGACCCATTATACGCTTGGAAAGTGTCTCTGGAAGATGTACAACAGCGACGATTCTCTCAGGACGAGCCCAAAACGGGTTGAGATGCAAGAGGTGCTGGATGCTCTTTTCGATGCGATCAATGCACTGCCACAGCGAAGAGACTCGCGCTCTGACCCGATCTTTGAACCGCACTTCAAACTCTTCTCTTTTGTGCACAAGCTAGTTCTTCGAGGAAAGATGACGGTTAGTGGCATCCTTTTTGGTTTGAGTGATCTGTACTGACAATTTTATTAGCCTACCGAAGGAAGCAAAGCCTTACTCGCTACCCCTTGGGCCAAAAAGGTCGATGTTCCTGAGAATATGGATGCATGGAACTCATATATGATGGAAGTTCTTCGAAAGTTCAAGAGTGCTGATAAATCCAATTGGCATCATCGGATGGGCGTAAAGGTATGTCTCCCCTCTCCCGTCTGTTTCCAGCGGTTCCAACATTGATAATCCATAGGCTGCGCATTTGGTTTACGACGGTCAACCAAACCCTGCTGCTGCGATTGCTGCCAAGCACGAGTTATCCCAGATCTTCACCAAGACACTCACCATCCAAGTCTGGCGCCCTGAATTCGAACGCCCAGGTAGACATTTCGTCTATACCACTCGATATGTATACTTCTTCGTCGGCCTGCTTGATCAGTTAGATGATCGCGCAAGCTTGGATCAACTATTACGTCGCCTGAGAAAGAAGCAGGGCGATTTCCTCAATCACACCACACTCTGGGAGGATAGTTGCCTGAAGTATGCGAAGGTAAGCCCAGGTGATCCGAATATGACCCTCTCCAATACTAACAATTCTAGCTCATCCGCCGTGCAGCAAATATCAACGAAGGACATGAAGACGGCGTCTTCAAACCAATCGGATGGGAAGAATTCTCCACCAAAACAGCTCGCATGGAAAGCCTACCCAAACTATCACCAGAGAGCCAACCCCTCCTGGAACTCCTCCGCGAAGCCCTGGAACTAAAGAAACTAAACAACAACCTGATGAAAGTCACCATGTTCGAAGATCTAATCGCAGATCTCTACGCCCGCGTCTACGAAGTTAATATGCCCCTCCTAGTCGAGCAAGTCAACGACGAAAACAAAGAAAAAATGAACCTTACCCACCTTCTCATGACAGGCGAAGCTTCCGCCGAAACTTCTACACCACCTACTCCCCTCCCTACTTCTGATACCCCCGCCCCGCGTGGCCGTACTAAGGGTATTGCCCGTCGCGATATCCAGAAGCGGGCTGATACGATCGTTAACACGAAGCTTGCTCGTCGTGCTCCTGCGAATCAATTGACCGCTCCGGGTGAGAATGACCCTCCCTCTACGCCGCATGGTGCGTCTATGCCTGGTGTGGTGTCGACTCCTGCTGGTGGTGGTACAGGCAAACAGCCTCCTGCGAGTGGAGATGGCGCTGCTGGGCAGAAGGGTCAGCATGATAGTGCTGACGAGAGTGACGTTGGCGAAGGCGAAGATCAGACGATGCTCGATGAAGGGAATTCGACGCTTTTCCCAGCAGTTACTGATGCGGAGGAAGGCGGGACTGGGGATGAGGGTGCTGATGAGGGTGATGGGGAAGATAATGAGGATGAGGGCGAAGAAGGGAATGGCGATGATGATGGAGAGGAAGATGAGGAGACGCAGGACGAGGAGGCAAAGGGCAATCTTACTGCTGAACAGTCTGCTAATGAGACGGAGACTGAGCCTTCCGCTGGGAAGGCGGTTGCATCTAAGGGTGACCCTGACGCAATGGAGATCACCTTGATTGAGTGATTATTGACTCGGGGTTCATCAGAAATGTGAATTTTTTTTTTTGCTTATTTCAGATATTTCATGGCGCAGCGGTTATTTTGCTACAGCTATATTTGAGCTGGGTGCTGGCGTTTAGAGACGGGTCATCAGGGTCGATAGCCTACGAGCTGGCATGTACAATATTCGCAATCACTTTATCCAATATCCAAAGATTGGTATTCTTATCCAAAGATTGGTATTCTTAATTGCAGGAGGGAGTATCAAAAATATTCCAATAAATCATTGCTCCCCAAACGCCTAGCCCGGGGGATATCATTGCCCATAGCCCACCAATCCAAACATCCGGTAGTTAAAATTCAGTATCTTGAACGGGGTGAGAAGAAGGATAAATCGTAACAGTCGTGTCAACAAATTGGGATAGCCTAGATGTCGTCCTCAGGGGCGAGATCCCATTTGCGTGTGCCCATTTTCCTCTGCTTCTTGATAGGAGATGCTCCAGGCGATGGAGGAGCAAACATGGTATCAGCAAGCTTCAGCTGGTCCATGCGCTGCAATGCATTTTCGATGTCACTCTCGCGGCTCAAGACATTAGCACGAGCAGGGGTAGCGTTCTTGGTCCTTGGCTTTCTGGTCGGAGATTGGGAGTGCATCTCACGCTCGAGGGCGATGAGGCGGCGACGGAGATCATCATTTTCCTGCTCCAGCTCTTCCATGCGTGCATTTGAACTCGGATCTTCAAAGACTATAGGCGAAGATTAGTCTAATGGTTATACACAAAACGTTCACACGAGACGACTTACTCTGGAATCCACGGGAAACTAGCTCGACCTTTTTGTCGATGTGTTCATCATTGCGGCCGAGCTGAAAAGCATTAGCATGTAACACATACCAAAGTTTTGATGTGTACCAACCTGCTCGTCCCAGGCATTTTGCCAACGGCGCCTCTCCTCTTCCATCTTTTCATCCATCTCTGCCCAGCACTCTTCGCGAATGTCTTGCTCGATCATAAGACATCTTTCTTCGGTAGCACTGAGTCTTGCTTCGATCTCAGACCGTGCAATTTCTTCTTCGGCGAGCTTGACAGCAAGGCCGTGGCAATCGCGAGTAAGCCGTGCGATCTCACTGGCCGCTCTTTCGAGCTCCTCTGCCGTGTCATCATGCACAGAAGCACGGCCACTGACTGAGCGATGGCTTCCAGACGCAGACATGATAGACTCGGTGATTGAAGGCGCTCTGGGCACGGTGACCTCGCGAGCCAATGCGGAGTAGCGCAAGATTTGAGAAGTAGCGTTGAAATCACCCAGGGGGTCAGCAGTGACAATCATGATCGCCTTTTGGGGATATTGTCCCCGGGACATTTGATGAGGTGAGGGAAAGGAGTTCGAAAACAGGAGCTCGGTCAACTTGCACTGGCGGTATGGGACAAGTGCGGTCTAACATGATCAGTTGTGGTTCAGATGGTAGCGAACAAATCTTCAAAGCTTACCTTCATGCCATCCTGGATGTTGCTTTGCATCTGCAAACACTGACCCAGATACATCAAACTCTCGTTAATCTTGCCAGCTTCGGCCAGTGTGGCACCCGCTGTCTTGGCCGTTCTCGCGCGCTCAGAGCCTAATGGTGTTAGTCAAACCCAGCATAGAAAGAGCGAATATACTTACCCGCCAGATCAACGACAGTCAGAGCGTTTCCGAGCCAGTGGGCCTCGCCAGTCCGCTTGGAGTAGGTACGCTTCTTAACTTCCAGGGAGAAGAAACCATGACTCCGAGAGCTAACACTATTCATTCCAGTGCCAGTTACCTTTCGTTCCGTTAAGCCAACGTCCAAGATAGCCAATGCTTCTTCATAAGTACCACAAGCAATTTTGCGCAGACCTGCGACTAATTTACGGTCAGGTGAGCCTTCGGTTGGCTTAAAGAGCAGCGGGCGTCGTCGATCCTTTTGGTTGTTGCCGCGGGACATGGTTCCTTGGCCTGAGACAATTGCGGGTGAAAGGAGATCAAAGATCCGGTCGTTGTACACTTCATACATGGATACCAAAACCACGAAGTCGGCATTTGACTCCATATCCACCGTGAGGTGGCTCATGTCGGGAAGTCGAGGAAGCGCGGCTTGGCGTTCACGAATGTTGCGGCGGGGGAAATTCAATGCGGGGGCGGGTTCCTTGAAGACATAAAGTCGTTTAGCTATTTGCGATTCAAAAACATTGGTGTGGGTGTAGGGCAGAGGGTTGTGAAGTCTCGGGGTAACGGGGCCAGTGTGCTCGGGCGAGTCCTGGCCTAGGGCAGCTCGCGCGGTGCGATGAAGACTGGCTATCAGGGCATCCACTTTGCGGGGGCTTCCAGACCTACTCCGTGGTCTTGGGATACACGAACTAGGCGTTTTTGGGCGCGGCGTTGACAATCCTTGGGGGAAATTCAGGGCTTGAGGACTTCGTACCGTTAAGGGTGTGTTGGCACGACCAGGGCTCATGGGTGTTTGTGCTCTTGAACTGCGTCCGGCGGGTTCACCATAAACAGCTTCCAAGAAAGTTTGGGCGGAAAATAACTGGGCTTCGGACGCATCCGCAGCGGCCAGTGATGCAAGCACGATGGGGGTGATGCTTCCATCCTCGGTCTTGACAGTGGGTTCCAGGGAGCGGAATATGACATCGAGCGCCATCTGGGTCATTCCTCGTTCGGTCTTGGATCCTAGGATCGTGTGGCTCTGTAGTTCTCCACGTATTAGATTCGATCTCGCGCCAGGCAGGTACTCAATACCAGACCTTTCCACTTCCTGTCACTCCTAGTGTGGCAACCAGTCCATCGCGGTTCTCCTTCAACACTCCCCGTATGATAGGCTCCATGCCAGTGTCGTGGAAGACATCCAATTGCGAGGCAGCCTCCTCAAAGACTTTAGTAAAACCGAACTTCTCAATGGCCCTCTTTCGGGTATCATTCGGTGGTTGGAGAGTGATGTGCGTTGGCACTGCGGAGACAATATCTGCGTCATCCTGCGATGTCTCTGGGGCCTCAACTGCAAGGAAACGCTCGGATTCGTCTTTCTGGGCAATCGGAGGTCGCAGACGGAGAAAGACCTGAAAAAGCGACGCCTGGGGCTGTTTTGGCGACATTTTGCTGGACAAGAGAACGTTGAGGTCGAAATTACAGAAATCAAAACAGGCAAACGCTGCGAAGCCAACGTTCCAGAACGTCTACAGATCGACAGGGCACATGCCGCTTTGGGTACTCTGTTGCCGTGACAACCACATCACGTGCATAAGCATCTACACGCGATTTTCAGCCTCAAATGACAATTTGAGGATTATCAACGAGCTATTGGTCTATATACGGACGTCCGTATATTAAAGGCTGCTGTGCATATTCAACACATGTAGTCTCAGGTGCGGAACTCGTCCGGGTCCAAATTATTCCAGCGCGAATAGTGTGAACGCACCTACGGGGAAGTACATTGTTAAAAAGAAAGTGTGAATTCAAATTCGACATTCTCAGGAAATATGCTGGGGAAATTTGACATATCGGGTTAGCGTCGGCGAAGTCGTCCTAACTATGAAATGATCTATAAAGGCGAGAGTTGGAGGTAATCTGACCTCGCGTTCAAAAGAGGAGATTCTGACCGAATCATAAGAATCGATGCAGTGGTGATTAGCTGGATAGTCTTTAGACGCATTCCCCAGATGCAATTATACGGGAGTGTGCCTAGCACGAGGACCAAGACTAGTACAAGAGACAAGATGACGGTAGATTGGGCATATTGCAGCCTTAGCTATGATATCAGAGATAGCGATAATCATGAGAATGGGTTCGATTCTTATTTTGATCTGATCAGATTTACTTTGACATACAGGCCTTTGTGGAAAGTTTGATACATTTTGCTTGACTAACGGTCACCAACATATGGTTCACCGATCCAATGTTTTTTCTTTCTTGGTAAGTATCAGGTTCGATCAGCTGTCATGCTCATCTCATTCATTCTCGAGCCATATATATATTGGTTTTCCTTCGTCGGTTTGGTGCGTTGGCGCGATGGTAGGAACATACCTGCGCTCTCTCGGCCCTTTTCTTGCCTGAATACGAGTCAATCACAAGTGGGATATGCTTATACCCTGGATTTCAAGAATTACGCCAGTAGCCTTGAATATTTTCTTCCGGGTAGGACTTAATGAATTCTGACCTTTCATGTCGATAGTGCAAATTATGGCATCTCTTCATGAAGATACCTATAGCCCTTATCCATAACATTCATTACTGAATCCAAACATTCTGAAACTAGTCCGTCCTACCTTCTACATTTATTTATCAGGCTCAGCAGATTGACATAATATACTCGTTCCTTTGCGTGGCATAGCCTACTTTCGCAAGCAATACAATAGCATCGGAAATGATGAAATCTTCAATATCTTATTTCTTCTAGCGCCTAAGTGCGACAGCACCCCCTGACGATAATATAAAGAGCCAGACTACCTAAAAACTTGTGGTTCATAAACGAGTCCCCACAGGTGCAAGCTGTGTCCCGAGACCTCGTATTTGCCTGCGCCATGCCAAGCCTCTCTCGATACGAAGCTTCTTTCTTGGACCCTTTCACGCTGATTGGCCTATTCTTACCACGCCTTTCCTAACTAAGTAACTCGTTTTCGCTTCGTCGGGGCGCATAGCATGGGACGGCTCGATCTCGACATGAAGCTGTATTTATACCATCTTGTAGCCCACCCATCTTCTCGCAACCACATGGACTCAACAGAGCAAGCACCCAGCGTCTGCCATCAGAAATTCTCTTATTATATTGGATTGCTTATCTATATCGCCTTTTGCTTGGCGTTATACTGTACCCTCGGTGAATATTCAACTATATTATTAACCGCCATGATCGAGGCAAGGTCGTCATATCGTGAGTTCTGTATTCAAGAAACCACCCACGACTGTCTAACAAATCCAGAGGAGGGAAGCTTGTGGTTCTATGCGCCAAACAAAGGAGCTACAATCGCATTTGCAATTCTCTTTGCTATTTCCGGAGGTATTCATGGCTACCAATGCTAGTATGTTTGGTCATCCTCTCTGGCGCTAGGAACCCAGATTGATCTCATTCTACAGCAAATTTAAGTCCTGGAAAGTCACTGGACTTCTGCCATGGTCCGCCCTTCTATTCACAGCTGGGTTCATAATGCGCACTATTGGCGCATTTGGCCAGTGGGGTAACGTCGGTATCTTTATTGCTAGTACAGTTCTACTCTTGGCTGGGCCGTAAGGAGCATTCGCCCCTGATGCGATATCAATCCTGCTAACAAGTCCCACTGGCTCTTCTAGTCCCGTCTATGAAGGTGCTAACTTCTTCATCTTGGGTCGCATGCTCTACTACATCCCATATCACTCACCCATCCACCCCGGCCGGGTATTCACAACATTTGTGGCCTTGGGCGTCGCTATCGAAAGCATTACCGCGAACGGAGCTGCTCGAGTCGCAAGTGCAGATGCCTCAGAGAGCTCACAAAATACCGGCAAAGCATTATTGAAAGCAGCGCTCATCATGCAAATTGCTTTGATGGCAGGTTTTGTCGCTTTAGCCGGCAGATTCCACTTTAATTGTTCCCGAGGGGGAGTGTTGAACGACAAAATCAAACGGACTCTGATAGTGCTGTATTGCAGCTGCACTCTTATCACAATCCGCACTATCTACCGCACGGTGGAATATTTCACTGCCGCGAGTTTGAATGCGTATTCGGATATCAACCATATCAGTCCGGTTCTAAAACAAGAGTGGTTCTTCTGGTTCTTTGAAGTCGTGTTCATGTATAGTAACACCACTCTTCTAAACGTCTTCCATCCCATGCGGTCGCTTCCACGCTCAAATAAGATCTATCTTGCCGAGGATGGGATTACTGAGATCGAGGGCCCGGGATACGAGGATCCTCGCCATTGGCTTCAAACGTTTGTTGACCCATTCGATATCTATGGACTGATCACAAAGCGAGGTAAGAAAGAGAAGTATTGGGAAGCGAACCCGACTTCGCAGCCAGGCAAGCCTGTGATTGCCAGCCCGGATGTATGAGCTTATGCATGTTTATATTATTTTTTGTATTTCAAATGTGAAGAAATTTGATAGATTTTATTAAACCTAGTACTATTTATGTCCCCCATATACTCCATAGGATATTCACATTTCAAAATCAACATATGTATCAAGAAAGCATAAATCACCAATCATCCTCGTCTTTACCCATCTCCTCCTGGATTTCCCAACTATAGCGAGCAAACTTGCTGGCCTGCCGGATTCGCTCTCCATAAAAGAAAAACACAGGAGGAACTATACAAAAGACCGTAGCCACACCTGCAAGCACAGTCATCGCAAGATTATTGCCCAGACCACTGAACATTTGCTTAGTGAAAAGCGGGACGACACCAGATACGAGGGCGCGCATGAATGCAATCGCAGCAGAGGCACTGGCCGAGTAACTCAGGTAACTATCCGAGATATACCCATACAGCGCGGTATCCAGTTCTGTGAGTCCATATCCCACAAGCACAAGGGAAAACGCCGGCACGATCCATGAGGTGTGTACATTCTGTGGAATAGTCCAGGCAAACCACCATAAGCCAATAGCCAGAAAGGGAGAACCGATGACAAGCCCAGCGAGCTTGTGTTCAGGTTTGATTTGACGTCCTTGGCGACGAAGGTGATTCAAGATATATGAGTCGAGGAATCGAGTAAATGTGCTCAGGATGGTTCCCAGACCGATTGCGATAAAAATTAGGGAGGCATGGGTTTCGCTAACTCCCATTGCCTGGAATATTGGTTGAAGAGATTCCGTGAATATGTAGATGAGCGACATGACCACTGAGATCATCATTGAAACAGTGAAGATGATCGGCTCTTGAAAGAAAAACTGGGCTGGACGCATGAGAGAATCCCTAACAAAACCGTTCAGACTTGGAATATGATCATGGTTGAGAGATGGCGGGATTGACTGCATGTCCGTGATAGTGCGCAGATGTTCAACCTCGCGGGCCAGCAGCAAGGAGGGCCGAGATTCACGGATCAGACAAAGACCGCCGGTGAGAACACCGATGATGATGGCGAAGATGTAGAAGTTCCATCGCCTGATAAGTTGGTCAGGACAGGGATTCACTCGCTCAAGCTTTAGGTGTACATACCAATCGAGATCTGCAATAATGTAGCTGCTCATGATCGGTCCCAATATCAGACCAATGTTGGATGCAATGGTCCAATAGAACATGGCCCATATCCGGGCGTGGGCATTGAACATGTCTTCGATGGTACCACCGATGATAGTGTACGGAATTGCAGAAAGTAGTCCAGCCACGATGCGCATAACAATGATAGCTGAGATTGGATGCACCAGACCGATGATCATACAGCAGATAGCGCTGAGGCCGCTACTGAAGACATACATCTTTTTGCGTCCAAATGATTCCGACCATGGGGGAAACAGAATAGTACCCAGGACCTGGCCGAGGAGAAATCTATCTCGCATTAGCATAAATGATAAGCCAATCTCACTGAGGTAAAAATTGGTGACAATCTTACATTGTCACGAATATAAAAGTTGAGAGTGTTTCATCCAAATTATATTCATATTTGGCTTGTGCTGCTGCTGCCGACTAGTACTTGCCCGTTAGTACCAATATACAGAGCATGATAGCTTTCACTCACACCTGCGGTACTAGATGCTGTTCTGTAAAAATAATTAGCTGCGAGCAATTCCCTTAGTGTCGGATTTCACCATACATGAAAAGATCCAACAAACACACAAGAATAATGTCATAAGCTTTCCGGAAGCCAGACCAATTCCGCGGATGTCTGGGGTGATTGCGCGTCCATCGTACATTTCTACCATCCGGGGTAAGCTCCAGAGAATTCTGGTAAAGAAGCCTATGAATGGAGGGCTTGGCCTCGTCTGATGATGTCGACTCTGGAGAAATAGCATGCATATTGGGCAACCGTCAAGTAAATCATAGGGGAGAGGTTGTTGATTCGGTATGGAGTAGAGGTACTGAGCCCTGGGGTATCTCACATTTGACAATCGTACATGCCGACCCTTGAGAACACTATATCCGAGGTGGGATTTCTGCTTTTATCATGTTACGCTAATGTTCCTGGTCGGACATAATTTTGGAAACCTTACCCTTCGGAATGCCCCCTTGGGATCTGCGGATGTGGAGTTGTTCGAGTCCGGTTCCTTATTAACACGCGTCAGTCACCTAAAAATGCGCCGAGGAATATCTGCTTGTGATCTACCGATTACCTAGCTACCGAGAGACGGTACTATAGTTGAACATTTTGTGTTGCTCTCAAAGAGATCTACATGTAAATCCCGGGCCCTGCATAGTTGACACTAAAGTGGCGTTTATCTTGCCAAGGAAAACATCCATTAAAGTCCATCGGATTTTGTCTAATGACCCAAATTGACAGGGATAGCTAGCTCGGCATTCCTCAAGGTGTTAAGGTAATTCCCCGCGCACCTTCAAGGTGACTTTCTCTTTGAAAATGAGACTTGATCTGAAATAGAAATGATCAACAAATGATGTCAATTTTGTCTTCTAGATACAATCCGTAAGTGAATCACAGGTTGAAAGCTATTGTGGATGCTTTGAGAATCACCAGCTGAAGAACCAAGCATATCAGCACCCGATCCGAACCCTCACTCTGAGGATGAACTCATGCATCGATCGGCAGCTATTGTTTCCCGCTAGTTCAAGCCCCTGGTAGAGCATTGTACCCAGTGAGAAAAGTATAATAGGGTTAATCGCAGAATAACTTCCGCGAAATAGACCAGTCATGTTATCTCTGCGGCAGTGATAGAGGTCCTAGTACGAAACATGCCGAAATATGAAACCGTCCCAAAATTTGCGTAGGTTAACCACAAATACTGTCTAATTCCTAGGTAGATTGCATCATCTCACTTCATAAACTTGTCTCGTGGCTTAACGGATGATCTGCATCGATCTGTTTTTATCGGGATTGATGGACCCATCATAGGCTTCGGCGAGAACACGCTGAGCTTGTAGTCTCCACCGTCAGTCTGGGCCCTGGTCAAATCAAGTTTCAGATTATATTTCGGTGCGTCAAATGCTGGAATACCTCTCTATGAAGGCTTCCATTTAGATACGCCCGTACGTACTCTACAGTTATACACCTGATCCATGCCTCAGCGGGAGTAGTTTTCATTTAATATAGAATTCCCCCTTAACTGAGCTCTGCTTGTTAGTGTATTTTGTGATCCTGCTCAAACTTAAGAGATGATTGCAACTGTCACTACTTCATCCGTCTATTACTAGTAGCTGTCTAGATATTCATGAGCCCCACTGTACTATACCACGATGGGTGAGCACGCAACAGATCTAGAAAACAAGCCTTTTGATCCCGTTATTAAGTCTGCGTAGGCAACCAAAACCAAAGTTCTAAGACACCTATATTCCCGCAGTCTTGATGTATGAGAATTTGAAATGCATTCAATGCGATAATGATCTCAATTTTGTAATTGCCTCTGTCTAATTTGTGAGGACTCACATGGACTGTTGTATTGTGCTGTTTGGTCAGACCTGGATTCTGACCCGGTCCCTGTCCTGATCCATACCCCATACGTGAAATATGAAATGTGGGTGTTTTAGCCACGTTGACGACCTGATGCTTCTCGCAAATAGTAGAAAATACGGAGTAGCGGGGACAATAATGAAAAGTGTTCTCATGATGTCCATTTATATCAAGCAGAAGCCTGGCTTTTCATCTCATGGTGAGATGGGAAAACCCTTAGCAACGCGTACTGTAAGGTACAATAGACTAGCAATTCAATGAGTCATAATAGTGTCATAGTAGGCGTGAGACTGATAGTTAAAGTCTTGAATGGAGCACAACTGTCATTTTAGGAAACGAGGTCGTTTTCTTGAGATAGCTGATGGCCATTGGTCTCAATACTGAATTCCGCCCATTGAGTAATAGGCCCATGCCCTTACTTGATATTGAGAAGAAAGAACAACTGGAATGGTAAAAGAGATCCACAGTTCATTTAAATCCGTTGTCTTTCAAGATATCTCTCGCCACAATTCACTAAAGGGGGAAATCTTCACTGTATTTATATCAGACTTTGTTGTGTGGCAAGGCCGAGTACAGCTGGCGTAGAAGAAAAATTACAAGAAGCTTGGTCTACCAGGAGCTCAACACAAATTGTAAGGATAGTACAAACATGATGCTTCTGCAGTTCACAGCATTGTATACAAGGGCGGAGTGTGGAGATCTGCGCCAAGCCGATCTCCGACGAGGACACCTCTCCGCATCAAAACACACGACCAGTCCAGGCCAACAAAAGGTACGGTATTCTCTCTTTTTCTTGCCTCGCTGTGGAATATTTTGGCGACAATACTAACCCATTATAGTCTATTCAGCGGCATCATCACATCCCCGACCACGATCCGCCCACCATGTTATCCTCCCTCTCTTCCACCATGGCGAACGCTCGCCACTCAATCGCACAAGCCTTGAACTTTGCGTTGGTTCTATCCACAGCCTTCATGCTATGGAAGGGTCTGTCTGTGGCCTCCGCATCTAGCTCGCCAATTGTCGTGGTGTTGTCTGGGTCAATGGAACCGGCCTTCCAGCGTGGTGACCTATTGTTCTTGTGGAACCGGAGCCCTCGCGCGGAAATTGGAGAGGTTGTAGTCTATAATGTCCGAGGCAAAGACATCCCGATCGTTCACCGCGTAGTGCGGACATTCCCTGAGGTCGAAGGGCGCGTGAACGCCAGGAAGGTGAAAGAAATTACAGTGTAGGCCTATCCGATGCCACACAACCAGAGTTTTTTGGTCCTTTAAGCTGACGCAAATTTCCAGGGACACGGCACCCGACTCTCACATGCTCCTTACCAAGGTAGGCAAACGCGACCCATTTGACTTGCTAAATCCGCTGACAATCTACACACAGGGTGACAACAACCTTGCCGATGACGTCGAGCTTTACGCCCAGGACCAAGACCACCTTAACCGCAAGGAAGATATTGTGGGCAGTGTGCGTGGATACATTCCCATGGTGTAAGTGATCCTCCTGAAAAGATATCGTGGATATACGGCTGACAGGGAGGAACAGAGGATATGTTACCATTATGCTGTCTGAGCACCCTTGGCTCAAGACGGTCATGCTTGGGTTGATGGGCCTAATGGTCATGCTTCAGCGAGAGTGATGGATGTAAGGGAATATAAAATGCGCAGATAGATTGGAAATTCCAGCATAACCACCCAACTGTTTTCCTTAGGCGCTGTAGGGTATACTCAAACCGTAGGGCTCAATATAAATAGATACGCGCGTCCAAACTCGCGTGTTGGACGCTTATCGGGGACTGACGTCTTTGCCCCCCACTAGCTTCTAGCTTGGATCCAAAGCCAATGGCAACTTGAGTCACAGTCTAATCCTAGTCCTTCTCTTATTCTCCATTTTGATCTTAGCTTTGAACTTTCGAGAGTTGCATTGACGCGTTGATCTGCGATTTCCTGAACCTCCCTGCACCCACACCCCGCCAGATTCCACATTCGACGTCAAAATGGGCAGCCAGAAGCGTATAGCCAAGGTACGGGCCTGTGATGACCTCTGGATTAATATTTGCCAGTGTGCTAATCCTTGATATCAACAACAGGAGCTAACTGAGCTCACCGAATCCCCTCCGGCGGGGATCATGGTCGAGCTCGCCGACGAAGCCAACCTGTACGAGTGGAAGGTCCACATGGAAGGCCCTGAGAAATCACCATTCCACGTATGTCAACTACGAACCCCCAGACTCCCTAGAACATCTGTCAAGTCGCGTTCGCCGTCCACAGTGCGTCTGGGGGAGGAGGGGTCTGCCCCGCGAACCCGCGCCTCCAGCTCCAACTCACCAAGCAGGTTCGCTAACCCCTTATCCGACCAACACAGAACGGAAAATTCCTAGTCAAGCTCTCCTTGCCGACCGAGTACCCCTTCAAGCCACCAACCGTCTCCTTCGCCACGAAAATCTACCACCCAAACGTGACAAACGATGACAAGGGAAGCATGTGCCTAGGCATGTTACGGGCGGACGAGTGGAAACCTAGCTCCAAGATCTCAGCCGTTCTCCAATTCGCTCGCCAGCTACTGGCCGAACCCATGCCCGATGATGCTGTCGAGGGGAGGATCGCTGAGCAATACAAAAACGACCGGGCTCGCTATGAGGAGGTTGCACGCGAGTGGACTCGGAAGCATGCTTGCTGATGAGTATGAATGTGTGTGCTTTGCTCGGCCGGGAAACGGGGTGATTTCTGAATAGAGGACTTTTTCTCTGGGGTTCTCTGGAGTTGGACGCGGAACCATGCCTGCATGCCGGAATCTTGTCTTGATCGATGCACGCTGCGCTGCGGCACGGGGTCAAGGATTGGAATATTCATGCTATGGCTTACGAATTACACGCTCTCATGTTATTGTTGCACTCTCAAAGCGAAATATTTATTCACCATTCTTGTGTGTGTCTCGATTGTAGAGTGAGATATCTTGGGTAAAGAGTGTCGAGGGTTCTCTTCGCGGGCTGCTTCCGTCAAGAACTGACGGCTTTCTTGGTGCCCTAAATAGTCATCTATACAACTATGACTGCTCAGGCGAAAGTGTCGAGGGATTACTGACTGGCAATCTAGACCATTCTCCCTCTAGATCACAAATCCGAATGTTATATGCAACTTTCTTTCCTGCTGGTTATTTGAATTGCCTATTACAAGTGTCCAATTGCATATACGAGTATGCCAACCTTGGAATATCAAACAGAGCGGAATAATCCCTCGTTGGAAGCATTTCCCCGCATTTGCCCCAGAGTCTTTATTGGGGTACATAAACCTGGACTAAACCAACCTCGGGAATAGAGGCAGTATAAGAGAGAGACACATCCCCCCGTGTTCCTAGTTATCGGAGACTCACATTTAAACCATCATGGCAGTGATATCGGACTCATTGACTTTCCTATCACAGCACCTCCCAGCATTCCTAGTCCTCACTACTATATTCTACCTCACAAGAAACTATCTCACACCAGGAGCGTCTTCAATACCCGGACCATTCCTAGCCAAATTCTCCAATATCTGGAGACTCATCGATGTAGCCAAAGGATGCGCCGAAGTAACACTTTACAAGCTCCACCAGAAACATGGAGATTATGTCCGGCTAGGGCCGAATGTAATCAGCGTGCGGGATTTGGATGCGTTGAAAATTATTTATGGTATTAACAAAGGATACCAGAAGGTATATGCTACCCAACATATTTATTAAGAAGGTTTTTGGCTAACTTCATCACAAGACGGATTTTTATTGTGTTCAACAACAATTAGCAAAAGGGAGACCGACGCCTACTCTTTTTACTACAACTGATGAAGAATTTCATGCCGCCATTAAACGGCCTATTTCGTCGGCTTATTCTATGAGTACGCTTACTGAGTTTGAACCGTTTGTTGATAAGACTATATCGACGTTGTTTGGAAAGTTGGATCGGTTTGTGGAATCGGGGACGGTTTGTGATATTGCTGCTTGGTTGCAGTATTGTATGTTTCCTGTTCCAACCTGTTCCGACTGCAAAGTTTATAAGCGACTAATAAAATAATTCTAGATGCATTCGATGTCATTGGTGAATTGACATTCAGCAAACCACTTGGATTTCTCGAGAAGGGTGGTGATGTTGATGGGATTATTGTTGCGCTGGAGCATATGCTCGATTATTCGGGCAAGGTATGCATCGTCTGTTAGCAGAAACCAAAAAAGCCAGAGCTAATATCCAAAACATCTAGATTGGTCAGATGCCATGGCTTGATTATCTATTCATCAAAAACCCTCTCAAGAACCTCTTCGGAGGAGGCTCCACGGGCGCAGTGGCACGATTTGCACGCGCACGACTCGACGAACGACTTAAGCAAACAAGCACATCTTCATCCCCACACAAAGACTTTCTCGCCCGTTTTCTAGAAGCAAAAACCGAACATTCAAACATAGTCAATGACAACCAAGTCTTCTCATACACCGTCAGCAACATGAACGCTGGCTCAGACACAACAGCTATCTCCCTCCGCGCAATCCTCTACTACACCCTCAAAAACCCACGTGTTTACAAGAAACTAAACCAAGAACTCAACAACGCCTTCGAAGAAAACAGAATCTCATTACCTGTTTCGTGGAAGCAAAGCCAAGAACAACTCCCTTACCTAGATGCAGTCGTTAAAGAAGCTCTGCGTCTACATCCCGCTGTGGGGCTAATGCTTGAACGGGTCGTGCCCGCTGAGGGTCTACAACTTCCTCATGGGGGCCCATTCTTACCTGCTGGAACTGTTGTTGGGGCTAATCCATGGATTATACATCGACACCATGTCTTCGGGGATGATGTGGAGGCCTTTATTCCAGAACGGTGGCTGAGAATGGATAGTGAAACCGAGGAGACGTTTCACGAGAGGAGGCAGAAGATGTTACGGGCGACTTTTACATTTGGGGCGGGGCCGAGGACCTGCATTGGGAAGAATATTAGTTTGTTAGAGATTTATAAGCTGATCCCGTCGCTTTTCTTGCGTTTTGCGGTGAGTGGGTCCATTTTTATATATTATGTGAGGTGTCTAACTGGTATTTAGATTCAGTTGAAGGATCCTGATGCTGATTGGGAAATTTTTAATGCGTGGTTTGTTCGGCAGAGGAATATGGATGTGAGGTTAAGTCGCACAGTCTGGTAAATTTTGCGAGGTCACATCGCGTCGGAGATATACATCACTTTGTACTTGAATTGATTGGTGCATCTGTGGATACATTTCTATACACCTCACAAGCACACAATTTGAAGAATCTGGGAAATTATGTATTGTTTGTAGGAATGTAGACCTGTAGAAATGTGCTAGTCGTCGCCAATTGCTTCCTTCCCATCGCATAGCCTGCAAATGAACAACACGCTAATAGATCACAAATAAACATGAGCTTGTCATGTCTTGATTTCTTTGGCAGAATTGACAGGTAATAACGATCCATTTTCCTTGACAGCCCACCTCCCGTTCTTCCCCCACGACCGTGAGAATTTTTCGAAAGCATCCGTCAGTGCGGCCATCTTCGGCTCCACATATCTCGTCCACTGTTGAACAACATAGAGCAAAAATGCAAAGAAGATCACAAGAACCACAGTAAGTCGGAGCGGGCTCGGTTTGGGAATGTACGACTCCGGATTTACTGTCCCATCTGCTAGCAAACTCGGCTTGAAGCCAATTGACATGGGCAAGTAGACAAGGTAGACCAGGACAGAGCGCATGAGAGGCCCATGTATAAGGTAGAGCGGGAAACTGATCGAACCGAGCCATAAAAGTCCCGGGTGGGAAAGAATCCGTCGCAGGAAGGGTGACAGCATCACGCCTAAGCAGATCATCTGTGCTCCTAGACCAGCATAGTATCTGCTGATATCGGCGTTTTTCGGGAAGATGGTCTGGGCGAGGGATGCGAGCTGGGAAGACCATTCTGCTTGGTTTGAGTATTCGCTGGGGTAGGAGCAGATATAGAAGCCTAGTGTGACAAGTCCATGGGGAAGTATTCTGAACAGCACGCGCGGTCGAAGGGCAGACAGGTTGTAAAATGACATTTCGGCCATTATCATGCCAGCGAAGATGTTGATACCGACAGTCCCTGAATTTGTCAGTTCTGCATATATATTAGGAATGACTTAACAATTACCATCAAGTGTTAACCAAGCAAAAGCGTAGAGCACTATTTGGGCGCAGATGCGAAACAGCGGCGTGGTATTCACCAAGGCTAGCAGTGTCATGAAGACATACAACGAGCCACGGAAGAGATGTTTCAACGCCCATTGTGGTTGATCATAGGCATTATCTCCATACAGCCAAGTACCAGCCACCCCTCGAACAAGATCAACGATGGCATTGATCAAAGAAGAGCTTGGTTTGGGACTTGTTGCCCTCAACCAGTATGCATCTACCTGGCGAGCCAATTGGAATACCCCAAACTGACACAAGAGCCAAGCCAGAAATGTCATTAGGGCCGCGGGGAAGACAAGTCTCCCCTTGCGCCGAAAGGCACCAGTTGATAAGGTGCTGAGGGCATCGGCAGTAGCTCCACGGCGGGCTAGCTGGAGTGGCTTGAGGGCATTCACAAATCCAAGTAACACCATGAAGATGGCCACCCAAGCTTGACCCTGAATCACCAATCTGAAAAATGGACGCTGAAATAGGGTTGATGTTCCGGTTTCCGCGAAGGATGGTGGGATCAAGTATGTCGCAAAGGAAAGGCAGGCATGGCTCGCAACTACGAATAGTGCGGCAATTCCCCGAAGGCCCTAGAGAGGGAAAGTTAGAAGCCGTTTCCTGCAGGGGACAGAGAAGAATAATTACATCGGCCCAGCTACTGGGGCGGATGTGAGCTGGAGATCTGGTCGCCGGGTGGACAATGGCCATGTTGGACAAATGGGCTCATTGGTACAGGTCAATAGTGAAATGCAGCTGCAGCTGGCACCTCGATACATATGTACCGAGCATTGGACTCGACATCCGGAAGCCGTATAAACGATGCAAACGTACAGATGAGAAATGATAGAAATGATAGAAATGATATCCCAATGATTAAGTTCAGCGGCGCGGAATGGCTGACATGACATGTCCGTTCCGGCTGTCCGAAAGCGAACATTCCAACTTGATAGTTACGACTAACGTTATATGTATATTGAAAGATTCAATTTTTTTAATTAAAATTTCAAGCCTGGAAACGGATAATCGACGGCTAGACTGGAGCCCAACGGTTTTCTAGAAACATTCAGGGGCTTACCGTATTAGATCGCGGATCGCCGTGTAGCCGTGGTTCGCTATAGATGTGATCTATCACCAGTATATACCTCTACCTGTATACCTGTATACTCGTGTACATCTACCCCAGAACAATCTCATATAATAACATGCAGATATCACTGACAACATCTACACAAAAAGAACCTTGGAATATTCTGAAACCCCTTGGATTATTACGTCACATGGCACTAGGCCCAATCAGGGCTTGTTGATTTTGTCTCAACTTCACCCTTCTTTTCTTTTTCCACAGTCCTCTGGCAGGCTGCCCCCCGGAATTTGCCAATTACTTTCTGTCTCTCGTTACATTCCTATTCGCTCTTTTTCTCCTCTTAGTGAGGCCTCTTTAGCTACATTCTCAGCCGCCGGAGTACGCGCCGAGTCTATCTCCATCTCTCAACTTTTCGACTTCCAAATAGCCGCCCATGGTCTTGGACCACTCCTTCGCAAATTCCCCTTCAGTCACGATAATCAATGTCCAGCGGGATCTGGGTGCTAAATCGTGGCCATGGTCACAGAAAACGCAAACTCTCGATACCCGCCTCCGGCTGAATTCGATCTGCCCGGCCGGCGCAGAGTACCCCTTCCACCGCGATTGGATTCTTTGACGATTGATCCGCGCGCGCGACCTTCAAAATCAGCACCAAGAGGCTCGTCTCGCTCTCCTCGCTCTCCGCATCACCCGCCGCATCACCCACCGGACCCGCGTTCGCGCTCTCCTCTTCCCCGATCATACCCTCCCAATCATGAAAACCCATGGCCGCCTACTCCGCCCCGTTTAGGCGCCCCCCCGGGTAGAGACGAATGGAAAACCCCCCGATCTACAACTCGCCCTCCTATCTATGCTACACCTCCCGAGATCCATCCTCCGAAATGGGCCTCTCGAGACGGCGAATTCGATAGATCTAATCACCGTAATGCTCCGCCCAACCGAGGTGGACTTCGTATATCTATGTCAACGTCTCGAGCGAACACGCGACGACCGCGGACGCAAGAATCCATGGAGCGTCGCCCACAGGAACTCGGCCCTCAGGACTTGCCCCGTCCACGATTCCCGATCAATGGGCCTGCCGATGAAAACGCGCCCCGTTCAAGCGTCAACTCGGGCGAGACCTCGCGCTCCAGCACCGAGCAAGCAAGCGGAACAGAACGCAGCAGTGTTTTGACCAAAAGCAGCTCTTTCACCGATCTCTCACCAGACACCCCGGACGCGCCTTACGGCATGGATAATGGAATGAGCGTTGAAGACGCGATTTCTATGTATCTCGATGGCTTCAGCGACGTGACCGAAGAGCCTCCATCACCAAAGTCTCATACGGAAAGTAAAGCGCCATCAATAACGCCCCCTCCGTCACGCGATGCACCACTGGATGATGTGCCATCGAACTTTACACAATTGGATGATGTTCCACCCATACCCCCATTACCAGTGTCTACACCCAAAATCACAGACCCCGAGCCGGTGCTACAAGATTTGACATTTTTGCCCAACTTAACATACTCGGAACCGACACCTTTACAACCAATACTTCCAGAATCTCCGCCAGAATTCACATCTCTTGAACCCACACTGCTGGAATCACCGGAACCTTCGTTATTGGACCCCATCACCCCAGAGTCCCCGACATCAGAACTTACTCAGCCTGAATCTCCGGTAGCTGAAGCTCAACCTGCACATCAAAGGCAGCCCTCGAAGGTGTTTATCCCAGGATTAGTGCCTCCGCGATTCTTGCCTGGAGTTGGCCCGCGAGACGAATATGGGTTCCGAAAAGCTACCCAATACGTGACCCTGGATGAACACGAGGCCTGGAAAGGTACTTATTCAAACCATGTGGATCATCGGAGATCAAAATGGATCGAGATGCTCAAGGAGCATGGGCTGCCAACGGTAGATCCAATCACTTTCCCACCGCAGTCCTCCAAAGTGAAGCGATTTGTGCGCAAGGGGATTCCTCCCGAATACCGAGGTGCAGCTTGGTTCTTTTATGCCGGCGGGTACGAGCTTTTGAACCGAAACCTGGGCCACTACGATACACTTGTGGAGAGTGCGATGAATTCGCCGAGCAATGACGACAAGGAGCATATTGAGCGTGACCTCCATCGCACATTCCCCGACAATCTTCACTTCAAGCCAGAGGTGCCTGAACAAACAGAGAATTCTGGGAGCAGTAACCCCAATTACTCTAATGTCACCACAGAGACACAAATGATTCAGTCTCTACGCCGAGTCCTGTATGCCTTCGCGCTGCATAATTCCAAAATTGGATACACCCAGTCTCTTAATTTCATCACGGGCATGCTGCTGCTTTTCTTGCCCGAAGAAAAAGCTTTTTGGATGCTCCATATCATCGCTTCAGACTACTTGCCTGGAACCCACGAGATCAGTCTAGAGGGTGCGAACATTGACCTCTGGATTCTCATGGTACTGCTTCGGGATTCTATGCCTGGAATTTATTCCAAGATCGCCGCAATGGGAGGCACCCCGTCAGGACGGGGCAAAATGCCTCCTTTGACCGTGAATTCTCGGCTGCCAGATATCACGCTCGGACTGACCAACTGGCTTATGTCAGTCTTCATTGGAACTCTGCCCCTGGAGACTACACTCCGAGTCTGGGACGCGTTCTTCTACGAGGGCTCGAAGACCTTCTTCCGTGTGTCCTTGGCCATCTTCAAAGCCTGTGAGCGTGACATCCTAAGTGTGACAGATCCCATGGAGGCATTCCAGGTCGTGCAGACCGTTCCCAAGAAACTGCTGGATGCCAACACGCTCATGGATGAGTGCTTTATTCGCAGGCACCGAGTTGGCCAAGGTCGCATTGAGGAGCTACGTGCCCAACGCCGGATTGCCGTCCGCGAAGAGAAGCTGCGACGATCGGTTGCCTTCGCTAAAGGCCATCTGCATCCCGCGACGGACGACTGCACTGGTCGAGCGCGCACCCCAATCCCAGGGATTGAGCACCGGGTCGTAGGTTCCTGGCGGCATTTGAAGCAACACACATTCCGTTGAGTGGACCATTGCTCTCTCGGTCTCTCATTAATTTCTGTAATCATAATCATGGGTTGAGCGTGGCCCATCTGGAGTTGCATTCTGGGCGCTTCAAGGCGAACATTTGGAAGGCAAAAGGGTTTTATTTGAAGGCCTACAATTTTTGTACATAGATTAAAAAGACTGCCAAGCAGGCAACCCACTTGGCAACTTGGCGAAGCTGAAAATTGAGGTTTCATTGGAACTATCGATCGCAAACCCTACAAGGCTGATCATTGGCGATCGCGGTTCTTTGCTCCCAGGTCCATGTCGTCATGATTCACACTACCTCCTTGCTTCCCCTAATTTTCTCTTTGCGCACTATTTTATTGTTTCTCTCCCTGAAATTACATACAGCATGCAGACATGAGTGGACAGGCTGCTAGTTATTACAATACCGGCGAGGGCTTTGGCCAGGGCCAGCCTCAACCGGGCTACAACTACAATGCACAGAACCATGGGAATTACCAGCAGCCCCAGCAGTCTCAGTACCAACAGCCCGAGTTTCAGCAGCCTATGGGAAACCAGCAACCAAACTATCAACAGCCTGCAGCTGAGCCCAAACCTCCCCCGCCGTACCAGCAGAACATGCCGCAGTCTGGATACAGCTTCGACGAGGCATTCAAGGTTGAGAAGCCCAAGTGGAACGATCTGTGGGCTGGTATTTTGGTATGTTTGTCACAATCGCAGCTCTGGAAGCTTATATGACCGTAGGATTAATGTCTCTGCAGCTGATCGCAGTCTTCCTCGGATACGTCGCCGTATCTGGACTCACCATCCACAAGTATGCGACGAACAAAGGCTTCAGTGGAGGAGGGATCTACGATGCGGCCAATGATTTCTCCTTGAACACCAATACCCTCGTCCTCTTCGTCTTCGTCCTCGTCGTTGCTCTCGTCTTATCCTGGCTGTACTTTATGGGCGCGAGATACTTTACCAAATCATTCATCTGGGCGACCGGCATTCTGAACATTGTTTTCGCTCTCGCGACCGGCATTTACTACATCGCGCGCAAGCAGTATGGAGGTGGAATCGTCTTCCTGCTATTTGGTGTATTTGCGATCATCTGTTTCATCAGCTGGATCCCGCGCATCCCATTTACTGCATTCATGTTGCAAACCGCCATGGACGTGGCGCGTGGATACGGTCATATTTTCCTCGTGAGTGCGCTCGGTGGAATCGTCACTGTCGCTTTCTCAGCCTGGTTCTCTGTGACGCTTGTCTCGATCTATGTCGCCTACGAGCCTGATTCCTCTGGTACCAATCCTTCCTGTGCGAATGGCGGGTGCAGCACAGCTAAGGTCATTGGATTGGTTGTCTATGTGACCTTTGCCATGTACTGGCTCAGCGAGTGGATCAAGAATACCGTGCACACTACCATCGCTGGTGTGTATGGGTCGTGGTACTTCTGGAGCAAGTCTGCTGGTGGTATGCCCAAGGGCTCGACCCGTGGCGCTTTCCGACGTGCGACTACCTACTCTTTTGGTAGTATAAGTCTGGGCAGTTTGATCATTGCATTCATTCAGATGCTGCGCCAGGCATGTTCGATCGCTCAGCGACACGAAGCCCAGCAGGGAAATCTCATTGGCAGTATCGCCATGTGGGTATTAGGATGCTTCATCTCGCTTCTTGACTGGCTCGTCACGCTATTTAATCGCTACGCGTTCTGTCACATCGCACTGTACGGCAAGGCGTACATTCCCGCTGCGAAGGACACCTGGAAAATGATGCGCGATCGGGGCATCGATGCCCTTGTGCAGGATTGCCTCATGGGCCCGGTCCTGACCATGGGCTCGACATTCGTTGCTTATGTCTGCGCTCTGCTGGCTTATCTGTATCTGCAGTTCACCAAGCCTGCGTACAACAATGATGGCGACTTCACTGCCGTCATCATGGCGTTCTCTTTTTTGATTGGTCTGCAGGTCTGTCAGGTCTTCATGACGCCTATTGGCAGTGGCGTTGAGACTATTTTTGTTGCTATGGGCTGGGATCCTCAGGTTATGATTAATGACCATCCTGAGATCTATTACAAGCTCATTGAGCTTTACCCTCAGGTGCAGCAGGCAGTCCATGCTTGAGTGGAGGATAGGCGGATTAATGCCGTTGTGTATAAATCAAAAAGATGATAATATGGATTTTGTTACTTCCAACGTCATTCGCTGGCTATCGTCATGATCATGACCCAGGAGCATTCAATGGAAGTACATCTCAATTAATAGACAATTGAAGAACAGATACATTGCCATCTCTTAACATTGCCGAACCCAATTAGAGGTATTATGATTGCACGTCTACAAAGACTTCTGGCGCCATGGAAAGAGGCACGGGGAGATTCGTTACATAGGAAGGACACTAGGCATCAACTGTAGGTTGCAACAATTACCAGACATGTTTCATTTATCATTACAACTCAATCTGAAAACAAACTAATCTGAACCTCACCAAAAAAGACTCCAATATCAACTCCCAAAAAGTCCCATCAATCCCATCACAAGTACAAAAAAAAAAAAAAAAAAAGAACCTCATTCCAAAAGGACCCCTTTCAATACGAAAACATCAAGCACCACCTTACAAAGCAGCCATAAGAGCCATAACAGCAGCAACACCAAGAGCAGCAACACCACCGTGCACGGAAACACTCTTAGTACCAGCACCCTGGAAAGAGTTGAAACGGTTGGCGTCAACACCAGAAGGCGACGGCGTAGCAGCAGAAGCCTGCGATCCAAAGACAACAGACGAAGAAGCAGCATTAACCATCATGCCGTGCGAGTAAGAAGCAGAAGGCATAGCACCGGAAGAAGCAGCCATCATAGCACCCATGCTCGAGCTGGCCGGCACATCAACAGGGATCTGCGAGATGTGAGCCATGGGGTCGCTGGGTGTGGGAGTTGCCTTGCAGCTGCACTCGGTGCGAGTTTCAGTCACATAGACGACGCGGGGCATGGCTGGCTCGGCGGGTGCGTAGGCGCGCTTCTCGTTCATGTTCATGTGCGCGTTGGGCGCTTGCACGCGCTCCATTGGTGCGCTGGCGTGGCGGAACGGGGTGGCCTCGCGGCTTGAGGTGTCTGCGCAGAGGCTGTCAGTCAGTTTGCTTAGGTCGATGCCTGTGCATGCCTCTGTTGAGTTGCTTAGGGCGGAGAATGCATCGCTGTTGCTGCAGGCGCAATCTTGGGCGGACTTGCCGTCACAGTCGGAGAATGAGGTGTCTCCGTTAGCGATGGCCGATTCCTTGGTTTGGTGTTAGGATTTCGGTCTGGTTTTTACTTCGGTTTGGGGTCTACTTACGATGCAGGACACGACGTCGCTAGTGGTTTGGGCAGCCACGGCGCCGATGAGGACTGTGGCAGTGATGAAGTAACGCATTTTGGATGGTGATTCTTGATATTAGGGTACAGTTGAGAAAGAGGGTTACTAGCAGTGCGGTCTAGTATGGGAGAACGAAGGTGAAATAAGAAGGGGATTAGGACCAACCGGTCGGGCTGGAGAAATGATTGATGATATAAATACAAGGTAGTTTCTACAGCATGCAACAGACAGGGTCAACAATCGCTCGTGAATGACACCCCTTGATCCCTTAATGGTGGGTGCGAATGAAGTGATGACGTTCTGGCATGCTCGTGGTGGATTGTCCCTGATATAGGTACAGTGTTTATGCTGAGAGGATAAGCTTCAGGTGGCATTATTGGACTGATTCCTACAGGCTGACTCGTAGACAAGCACCCCTCTTGTTGTCCTGGAATGACACCAGAATGTGCCAGTTGCCATGTCCCTGTGGCGCTTCCCTTCTTATCCCTAGGACCCTTAAGCTCCGCGGAATGTTGACCTGAGAGATCAAGGCACTAGTCCGTTGGGTTTTATTTGGACCGTCACTGCTCCACAGGCGTAACAAGACAGTGATATCTCCTTCAAATCAGGAGGAGACATATTTCGTCCCTGTGCATCGATCCACATGTGATGACATCTATAGTTGAAACAGTGACTTCAAAGCAGTCAGCTCTAATCAATTTGTTTCCATTCTGAGAATTGACTCCATGTCGTACTGAAAGTGTCACATGAAATGTGAATGCATCTTTGTGGTGTGGCAATGTTGCACCTGGGACAGGTACGGCCGGAATGATCAACAGGCACTTAAGGAGGATGTTCATCCTTGAACCCTTAATTGGAAATCCCATTGTGGTCGGCCACTTTTTCGGCAGTGGTATGTGCATGGATTCGATCAAATAGAATCAGGTTTCGTAGGCATTCGCGCCAAATAATTCTGGCTCTGGTCCATATTGGCCTGCAATATCGCTAACATCACGAGCTACCTAGTATCTTCTGTTGACTATGGCTCTACATGCTGATACTTCTTGGGTCAGGTTCTTTGTAAAGATGGTTTGATAATATTAGGAAGCAAGTCTGTTCCCATTAACATGGGCTCGTGAATGGTAATTTGACATGGAATTCAGCTTTGATCGAAATACACGAAGTTACTTAGAAGATCCCGCAGCCCCAACCATATTTCCATATTTGAGCGTATTCATAGTCGCTGCGAACTCACTAGATGCAGGCGAGACTGTCAAAATCATAGCTGAATGAGAATCCTCGGAATTTTGGAAATGTGGGCGCAGCACCATAGTAAGAGGCGATGATCGGAAAGGAATTCGGGCTGAGCCTTGAGCCCGGGCTCGAATAACCTCCTTGAGAGCTAGCAAATCAGTGTTGATATGCCTTCCTACTTGCTTCTCCTGTGCACTCTGGTTCATTTTAGGCCCGCCCTTATCATTGTAGTACTCGGATCCAGCTAGGTCCACAAAAACGAGCTTTCCCCCAAGACATGCATGCGTGCCAGCTATAGTATCGAAGACTTGCGACTCGTGTTCTTTTGCTGACTCCACGAATGATTCAAACTCTGCTTTTTTGGCTTCTACAGCATCGATGCGCGCTTGGTCCACCTGATACTCGGGATTGGGAGCATACCCTCCATCGGAATTTCGTATGACGGCCCGGCTCTGCTCTTCAATATACACATCCGTTGCATACTTGCCGATGGGGACCAGCTCAGACTCTCGTTCAATCACAGCATCACGCGCCACAAGTAAGGTCTTTGTCACTATCTCAAGCTCGATGACTGCATGGGTTCTGGAGCTTTGATCATGCACAGACGACATTCCAGTGGCGCGAAACTTGAGTCCCTTTTGAAGTTCCCGAGATAAATCCTCAAAGCTCCAGCATGCTTTGGTCACGATGGGCTTCACTCGCACTTTTCCATTCTCAAGCATCTCCGTCTTGCCTCGGATGTAGACTTGTCCATCGGGGCCTTCTCGGACGAAGCATTCACCGCCATCATTCAGAAGATCATATGCGCTGTTTCTTCGTAGCTCATATATGCGAACTCCGACACCTAGTGGATCACGTTTGTTCGGTTCGTTCAGGCGATTGAGAGCGTCAACAAGTTGACGAGCCGTGGCTAGGCAGAGTCCAAGGTCATCGATCGCTTCATAGTTGTATCCAATAATCGTATGAGTCTTCCCACTTCCAGAATGGCCGTATGCAAAGACATTACAAGACTTTCCTTGCAGGACTTGCGGGAGAATGGGCGCCATCACGGCGTCAAAGACTGTTTTGTTGGAATCGCTCATTTCGAATATGCCTGTCATTGAAGAACCACTCGTCCATTCTTTCATTTGAGCTGGAAGTTTGTTGCATTGTGATGGCATGGCAATTGAAACTGATGAAAGTGTTGCATTTTCCCGGTTGTGCTCTCGCTTGATCTCTCCTTGGGAGGATTCGGCCGGCGTAAGGCCTCTCCATCTTGTAAACACTCGAAAATTCGGCATTTTGAGCATAGAGGTGTGATGGGAATGTAGGGAGGTCTTGGAGTTTTGAGTCACCAGAAGTGGGTACCTCGTATTGCGAGGGTAACGTCCAAGCAAACCAGTTGGAGACCGTGATACAACTAACAGATGATCACGCGCGCGGATGGGATAATGTGGACCCTAGACAAGCAGCGATTCTATATGAGATGTGATCTTTTTGACCTGGGGTTTCTCTCTTAATCAAGCAGATATGGAAACGCTGCTGTGATTCAGTTTGAGTCCTTTCAATGACCCGAGGCTTGCTGGCGAACTCAACGAATATCATAACTAGTTCGAATCTCTGTGTCAGTATTCACTAGTATGATATTACAAAACCGGCGCCTAGTCACCACCGTGGAACTTCCACATGAGCTATGTATATATCGGGTTACCGGCGCTGCGAGGGTATGAAACGGGTAAACAAATAATCAGAAACCAGCGTCAGTAAGCAAAGATGGATATGCAAACACCTTTGAGATTTTACAAACAAAGCCGAAAGCCAGACACTGGAAAACATCGGACTTGTTGAGGTCTGCTATTTTGTACGCCATCGCGTTCTGCGATGAGAACCTGGTGCAAGCCCTGATGGAACGGGGCAGCGATACACGAAGGCCAAATTACAGATATTTTTCACCATTGAGCTTTGCTATTGCCAAGAAAACCTCGGAAATTACCGGCTGTTACTCCTCCATCCAGATCCCAATTCAAAAAAGACTCTACTGGAGGATGTCACTATCCGAAACCGTCTGCTCCGTCAGACTGTACATGCAAGTCTTCAAGACGGTCAGAGCCTGTTGTATCAAGCCACGAAAAATGGTGACAGGGAGATAGTCCAACAATTGCTCGCCTATGAAGAGACCTCCATAGGGATATTGAGAAATGCGTTTGAAGTTTTATTGAAATCCAGGTTATACTCAAGTCGTCTGCCACTGCATGTCGTTATACTCTCTAGAGAAAGCTTGGATGATCTTCGCGGACTGCGCGCATTTGCTGGGCTCAGTGGCTTTGAGCAGGTCCTCAGTGAATCTAAGCGTATCCCTTGCAGCTTGCTTTAGGGCAGCTTTGCTTTTCGAGGCCATATAATTGGGCAAGTCTTTGCTCTGGAGACGAGACGTTTGGCGCAAGATGAGGGTAACATCGTTGCAAATTTCGCTTAGACAGCAGGTGATTAAGGGTTCATAGAGTGCTGTTATTGAATCCACCCCCCCGGTATTGGTTCCGAAATAAGAGCCTGAATGCAATAATAGATGCTGAGCAATTTGCCAGAGTAGAGCTCTTGATAGCCTGGCAAATACGTGGCATTATTGCGTCTGGCGGAGCGTTTACCAGAGCTCTGCGATTGAGGAGATTGTGTCGGCGACTCTAATTGAAAAAAAAAAAAAAAAAAAAACAAACAAGGCAATACGAGCGATTGCGATGGATTCAGAGATATCTTGGAATATATGAATTTTCTTCTACCTGACAGTGCTATGGAAACATCTTGGCAACAACGCCTTTTTAATTCACCTGTCCACTCTTTCTCTTTCCACCCTTCTCTCAATATCCCACAGGTTTCAGCGCCCATAAAAATCTGAAGCTGCCTTAAACAACTGAAATGCGGATGATAGATTATCGCATAGCTCGGGTGGAACCATTGACCCTACAAATGGTGACAAAACCCCTCTTCTTCTCACCGCGGTTCCTTGCTCTGACGAGGTGTTTGAGTATGTGACAGTAATTCTCCCCAACTTTGATGCTCTCGAGCCTGTATGCATCCCCCTTCTGCTTATCGGATTGCTTCGTATCAGGCAGCCATGCTTTTCCTGCGCAGAGCAAGATACAGGGCTCCTTGTCACGCATAACGCGCTTCGACGCACGGTGGCACTCGCGGATGACGGCATCGAGACCCTCGCCGAATGGGTGACTGTGTCGGGGCTGCTGCAGAGCGACAACTATGCCGCCCTTAAAAATTCGGCCTGCCAGCTGCGTAGTAGCTTGGGTCTCGCTATGCAGTCGCTCCAGTAACGGTCCTCGAGTCTCGAGGCGGGAGCCGTGATTAGAACGCTCGGGATATCTATCCAAAGCTAGTGGCCCCGTTCTAAGAGAATGTGTTGAGCAGAAATAAGATCACTTGTCGACCGATTGCCACGGAGGCGTGACCGTGCCGCTTGAACTTGGCCCCATGTATTTGTACTTTTCAAGGGATCTCTTTAAAAGTCCAGTCCATTTAATCGCTATACTCCCTATTAGTGCCATCCTCCAGTCACCCTTCTCCTATCATTAACCCGGACAAAGACTCTTTCTCCCGTTAGCCGCCAGACCCGATCCTGCATGCCACGTCAGCCAAATAAAAGATTTCCCCCATGCTCTAGTAGGCCATCCCTCAACAAATACTATTGCATAATGATGATACGTCCTTGGGATTTGGGCAATGGCCTCTGGATCAACCTGATTCCTGGCGATACGTGCCAACATCATAACTTGGTCTACACTCATCTTTGGGTGTAAAATGATGATTTACGTCCTATCTTAATCTTAATTTAGGCGAAGTTCAGGCAACAGTCGGATAGAAAGAAGCAAGTCTTACAGCAATAACATACTTTCATTATTATGTTGACAATCTGGTTTCAATACCCTGGCAGTGAATGATATTGTGATAAAAACCACAAGCAAAACATAAGCAGTCAAATAAAGCAAATTCAAACCATCGATGGGTTCCTCGATCCATAAAATGTTCCCGGAGATGGCCGAAACCGCATTGGGGCTCGAGTGCGCGGCTCATATTTCCTTACTTGCCTGAGCCTCCGGAGTGCCCCCCTAAAAAATTGCTCTCATTTGACTGTGATGGAGCTTTGGCAACAGAGTTCTGCCTTTTACGGCCGGGTTGTTTAGCCGTGGGGCTAGATTTCCCTCGAAGGTCTTCCCTCAACTCTTTCTTGGCAGCAACACACAATCTCTGCGAGCTCATGAGCGGAACGACAGAAGTCAAGATCAAGCCATCGCGTTCCAAGGAAGAGAGCCCAGGGAAAATCACAAGAAGAGGCTCATCTGGATGATCAGCCTCCATTGAATCTTCAGCACCCACGGGAAACTGGAATAGAAAATCCTCATCGTGGGACCAATCCACAGGATCAAATTCTGTCTCATATCTTTTCGTAGCGTGCTGGATAGGACGCCAGACCTCGATTGCCCTTTCAACAACATTCTTTATCTTCACTTTCAGCTCACCATACTGGGCAGTTGAGAGAAGTTCATCGAGATAGTGAGACACTTTTTGAACAACAGACTCGGCTCTAGACCAAAGTTCAGCTTCCTGCAAATCGCGATCAATAGAAAGCAGGACGGAGCGATAAAAATGTTCCTTTTCGTTGTCGCTTTTCACGATCTTGTTCAAGCTCCTTCTGAAATGCCCGGTATCGGACGGGAAGTAGCTCGGTTGAAAAATCTCATTATCAATTTCCCTGGATAGAATGCCCAAAATCACAGCCAGACGCATTCCCTTAGCGGAATCGGAATTCGAAGCGCACAGGGGGACAGACTGTCCTTGGGTAGCACCATCTCGGACAGCCTCATCAGCATCTAGTCTGAGCTTCTTCCAGGATCTATCATTCTTCCACGGACGTTAGTCTCAGGTTCAGCTCCGCCCATGAGGCCAAGATTATGTGTGAAATAAACATACTGTGAGTTTCTCGTCGTTCAAATTATGTTGCAAGACGGTCCAGATTTCATCCGTAGCATAGTCCCAAAGGCCCGAAAAATCATCAATTCTGAAACTCCGAGTCAGTAAGCTGGAACGCAATAGGAAGGGGAAAGCACTAACATCGACTGTTCATCCACTTGTTGAGATTTCAGGATAAAGGCATCGAGCTTTTCAAGTCGACCGCGTGCCTCTCGCATCGTTTCATCAAGCGACTTTTTCTCCTTTTCGAGGCTACCACTTTTCCTCTGTTCAACATCAAGGAGGCTTGTAAGGTTGACATGAGTAGTCTTCATTTGGTCGATCGTTCCATCGCTTTCTTTAAGTTTTTTCTGAAGAAAACTAATTTCAAGATTGTGTTTTGCAACCATCGAGCTCATCTTTTTCTCATCCTGAGATCTTTCCGATAGTTGTGTTTGTATCTGGCTCTGAAAGTCTTGAATCCTTCGAGAGATTTCAGTCAGAGACCTTTCTTTTTCTGTAACCTCTTTGTGAAGAGAAGCATTCTGCTTTTCTGCATTTTCTTTTTGGGTGGTCAGGGTTTGATTCACTGCAGACAATTTGCTGAATGCGAGCACTTCATTCTCTTCCTGAGCCTTGACATCCTTCTGCAATTTGGCCAGCTTGTCATCACGAATCCGAACTTGCTCCTGCTGCTCTTTGACCTGACTATAAGTCGCAGAAGCTTTCTGGAAGTCAGGATCGAAAGTAAGTTGGCTAAGGTGCTTGATGATCTTCTTCAAGAAATCATCATTCTTCACCTCAGTGGAGAAGGACCCTCGTTGCGTTATTGTTTGAGTTGTTGTTGAGGACATAATGACAATAAAACAGTGGTTTGAGGTGAATGGAAATCCCAGAATTTACTCCAATAGTGGAAATTGCGCTGATTTATAGTTTCTCGCGACCTGAAAGCACGTATGTCGATGCTTACAACTTCACGTTTGGTGTCGAAAGACAACGGTCAATTCACCCACGCGCGTATTTGAAAAAGCCTCAAGACCCTGGGAGCTTGGACCTTTCAATGGCGCGTTGAGCTGTCTTGCATATGCAAGACACAGGGTTCCAAGCCACGTGTTCTGGAGCGAAAGGGTAACCGCTCCCACGCAAATGTACGATACAGCGGTTCATCGGCGATGCGAGTCATGAGATATGCCTTGCGCCCAATGAGATTCTCATTGTTCAGGGATTTTCTGCAACAAAACCGCCTCATCAAGGCAATTTGCTTTTTGTCAAACAAGGCGACGAATACTCGAGCCAATTTGCAAACAGGATTGTGAGGCATCCTGGTGAAGTACGGGTGGGCATGACGCGTAACGAGTCCCCGGAGATGAAGGAACGGCGTGAAAGGGGTTACGACCCCTGACTCTGCGCGAGGCTGTCTTTAAGCCCTCCGTTGCGCTCGGTCAAATTGCGCGCCACGGATCGCTCTCGTTGGTCTGGTGCTTGTCTCCTCACTCGTTGCGTGCCCTCACGTGCTCGCCGTTCTGTTCTGTCTCGTTTCAGGGCAATTGATTGTACGCCAGCGCATATCTCCAGTAATTTTGGGTACAACGTCCCGGAGAGGCAGGTATTAGGAAATGCACGTGAATTGACGATCTTGCAGTTCCTGGGAGCCTGGAGGCCATCTCAAACCTGTGGCCCTAAGAGAAAATGGTGAGTATTAGGCTAGAAAACCATGCCTTAGTTTCGCCATAGTAATACTAAAATGCGACTTCATTTTATCCATTCGTGTACTTGAAACAGCCGGCAGAAATAGACTCTCGAAGCGATCATGTCAAAGCGTGCTTTTCACCGTGTGGGACGTGGCTGATTTTCGCGTGCTGCGCTTAACTTGAGTGTTCTGGCTCGGGTCGATCTGGTTCATTGGAAGATGCTCATCGTACCCCACACCGGACCGACACGCTGCTCGATGTGGGTGGTCTGTTTATCTGGGTTCCTCTTAGCGCCACGGGACGGTGGGCTCGGGGGGACGTAGAGCATTCGCTGATTAGCTGGCAATGTGCTTGCGCCGCCGATTGCGCCGCCAAGTGCGATATGTGAGAAGACGATCTGAATGGGGCAAAGGATACACGAGCACTTATGTGACCTGCACCTGCAGTGATATTCGAAGTAGATGGGCTTTGCACATAGTGCTCGGGCTTAAGGGGAGGGGGGGAGTTCTCTCACTGGTTTAACTGTTGTTGGTCTTGTCCGCTCGATTTGAAGCTGGGGTGGTCATTGTCAGCTTATTCGGCTAGAAATGATGGGGCTTTTGCCCCTCATTTTCCGTGCATGCAGACTTGGAATAACAACCTGGCCGTCTGCGACGATACGGCTTGTCCGCCATGAAGCAAGTCAGAAACACCAGAAATTTTAGGCGTCTTTCAGAGTTCCAGACTCGGAAGGCTCGGAGGGACTTTAGACGCTATCTGAGGACAACAATGACCACCCATGAAATACTCGGCACCCAAGCCACGAGAAGGCTATCTATCCTCAAGGGTGTTCGAATGCCAAGAGACAGACAATGGTACATATTTATTGGAGTTTGGGTCTTGCGCTAGGTAGGCACATCAACGCATGATCTAATGGACAGAATCGACTAGGACAGAGGCCGGAGTAGGCGGTTTTTATACCCACCAGCGACTCATTATCGATGCCACCAGTAGTCAGGTGGAAGCTATAACTGGGGATTGCATATGCATAGGGGGACTTTAGCAAACAAGACATCTGCTCGCTTCGCATTCGACTCGAATGACAGGAGTATGACGGTCTTCCTTGGGATCCGAGTCAGCAAGGCCTGATCAAGTTGGATGAGATGTTGTAGCTAACCTGTTCATGTATTCACTTGAGACAGAACGATCACTTAGCATCGTGGTCATGTCAGCTTATCAACTCGATCACTTTCGATGCTTTACGACGATGCAGTCACCATTCATGCCATGTTGTATTCAGGTCGTCGCACTCTCCGCCTGTCGCTTCGAGGAAGCCATGCGGGGTGCACCGGGCAAATTTCCATGGTGAATCCACCCGTGGCAAGAAAATTGTACAATCGTATTGAGATATCGCTTCATCTAGACGGCGAGAGCTTGAGGCACCGCCGTCGGTGTAAAGGCGGTGAGGATGGCGGAAGACGCGATGGAGCGCGTCGTAATGTCTTCTTGTCTGACTCGGCGGGAATAGGTTACTCGTCACAACATTGTCGCAGGTAGCGATGGGTTGCTCCTACAGTGACATGAACACCAGTAATAATGTTCGTGTTTTGGGTATATACAACAGTAGTACAGTACGTCCCGAAACTAGCGTCACCACCTACACTCTTCGATTGTTTGTCAAGCACTCACTTCTCGATGGCCGGGATTACCAAGGAGATTGCACGTAGCACTACTCACATGAGCCCAAGCTACTCCCAGCAGGAGCATAGCATCCTCAACAGTTGTTTGGCTGACGTGAGTTGGATAACAGGGATTGCAGCGCGTTGTGGTCTGTACCTCTGTGGCAGGGACTTATTGGCCAAGGGGTTCGAGCGTATGACTCGAGGGCACCCCAGTTGATATCATTATAAAGGCAGACAATTCCATCGGCCAAAAAGATCGCAGATCCAGTAACCACCCAAGGAGACACCAACGACCACCAACCCTAAATTGGCTAGAAAACGGTTAAACCTACCCCATGGATGATACTGGAAATCCCAATTTTCAGCCCCCGGGCGCGGTTGATGATATCGAGAGGTTTGATCATATGAGAACCTTGAACAATATATCCGAGATTCCGGTAGACGCTGAAACGTCGACCTCTAGGTAGGTGCTAACATTGCCCCAGGCCTCTTAAGCCTGAATCTAACAAGACTATATTGTCAATAGCACCGACAAGCTTTCACCAGACCTCAACGCAACTCTGATATCTATAGCGCAAGATTCGGGAGCCTCAGATATGTGGTTCTGTTGTCAGTACCACTTCGGTCCTCACAATCCGGCACTCTACTCTGCATGTATTAGTTGTGAGGCGTCTCGTTGCCGATACTGTTGGTAGGAGGAATGATGATGATGATGATAAGCAAAGAGTAATGTTTTTGTCGCGACCGCATGCTGTACTAAAGAATGGGAAGAGAAGAATATCAAATTGGGTATAACCATCGTCGTCAGACATCTCATCGCTACCAAGGAAGCCAAAATAGAACTCCAAAAACAAAAAGAAGCAAAAGGGAAAAATGATACCAGCTCAAAATTTCTCACTAGTAACGCACCGCGTCGCATTAACCAATAACCAAGCCAAAATCTTAACAATAAGCGTCAACCCTTTCACAATAAGATCAAGACCAAAGAACAAGATTCGCAGTATACTGCGCGTAATCCCAGGCAATTTCTTGCCCTCGCGCTTCCCACCTCCATACCGCCCGTACTTTTCAAGATCGAACTCCTCAACAACAATCTGTTGATTCTTATTCTTCTTCTTGCCACGACCACCGTCCTGCGGCTTCGGCTTGGAAGATGTTTTATTCCAGAACGCGAATAAACCTTTCTTATCAGAAGAATCTTTGGACTCTTTCTGTACAGATTTGATCTGCGATGCAAGGAACATACTCTCAGCTGTGTCTTCGCGCTCTGCAAGGGTCGTGACCAATTTACCCTGGAAGACAGGCATGGAGTGAGCCGCAGCGGTGTAGGATGTAGTCGGTCGCGGCGGTTTAGGTGAGCCAAGGACCATATCTGCCAGGATCGGGTTTGTGGCTTCATCTGAGACAGCGACGGCTAGGATTGCCGCGATGAGGGAGTCAATTGCATAGAGGGATGGAATAGTTGCTAGCACGGCTGCCGGGGAGATGCGGAGTGTTTTTGTGCCGAAGTCTAACGAGGCAAGTGGTTCATCTAGGTCTGTTACTGGGAGTGTTGAGGTCCTAGGATTTGCTGCTTGCTGTGCGGCTTCCATGGCTGTCGATGAGACTGGGCCGGTTACTATGATTGTTGGTGGTTGGTGAAGTGAGCTATCGCTCGATGGTGCGGAGACTGTAATGTGAACCCTCCCGGAGGACTGGGAGCGCACTGGGGATAGCGGGATACCAGCTGCGCCGACCAGAGCCGGCGGCTGGCGTCTTGACAGTGAAGGATGTCTCAACTCATAGAATCGTTGGTGACGATTCCAGGAGAGTTGGCAGGACTCTTGTGCGGCGGCTCGTTTCAACGCATCGGTTTCAATTTCGGATGCTTCAGAAGGACCTAGATGATGCTGCCTGCTGATCTCTTCTGCTTGGTCAATGGCTAGCATGGCGGCCAGTCTGGAGAACAGGAGAGTGACGAGGCCGTCGTTGGGATGTTCGCGGCGGATGCGATCTTCCAGACTCATCATCATGATAGGAACGTCATTGTTTGGTCTTGATGGGTCACTTCTACTAAGGGATAGTTCATCGGTGGAATATGTCTGCAGAGTATAGAAAGGCTGCTGAGAGTTGCCAAATGTGAACGTAGCAGGTCCAGTTCTTAAAAGAATTTAGTAACCACAATGGTGTAGAGTGTTGAGAAGAACTTACTTTGTCATCCGCAGACTCAACGTGCCGACAAGGCTCTCAGGTCTTTGTCCATTGGCAGTCTCCCACAGCATCATCAGTTCATCATTGGAGGAGTATCGGACTTCCTCCGGTTCCCAAGAACCAGCCGGGAAGTCAAGCACACTCGCGGGAACAGTTTTCGGCGCAAGAACATGATCAACGTGGTTACTTGTGGTCAACGTGAGCTTGGGAGGCTTGCGAGTGGACTTGGTATGCTGTGGGCTATTCGGCATCTGCTGTTGATATGACTGCTGATTGACAGGCAAACTCAGATCAAATTGGGGGAACATTGATCTCATAGGGATAGGCGAAGCTGAGGACTGCGAAGATTGTGGAGAGACAGTGGACGATGCAGTATAGCTGCTACTGCTACTGCTATGGCTTTTTTGTGAGACCTCGGTTTGCTGGTTTGATTTCTTAGCTTGACGATTCTGACTGTGCATGGACTGTGGAGACATGGAGTTCTGGACGGTTTTCGTCAACGAGGGCGGCGATCTGGATCTCTCAGGATTTCCAGGTGGCGGGGGCGGAATGGTTTGAGTATCTTCGATGATCCGAAGCAGTAGAGACTCGGTCTTCGCAGGGTCTTTGATCTCTTCAAGAGGAATCGGGGAGCCCGGCTCAGCTTTCACAGCTGCTTTCTTCCCAGCCTTTCGAAACGGATTATTAGACTTCTTCATCTCAGCCGGAGGAGGCGGGAATAATTGGAATTGGTTTGTTTTAGCACTCATTGTGCCAGTTTGGAGATATTAAATGCAGAAGTATGACAGCATGGAAGGGAAGCACAGAGCGCGAGTGCAGGGAATGCGAGTGAGATATACCCCATTTTCACCGAAACAGTGCTCATCTCGACAAACCAAACAGAGAACATGGCTTGTCGAGCTATGTGACAACCCTGCTTGTACGGTGGGCGCTTAACTCATTTCGGGTGTGATTGGCCGTGATCCTGGGATAGGCACTTCGTTCTGCAGTAGCGGCGCTTCGACTCTGACAGTTGATTGGTGTTCGAACCTTGGGGTTCTATAATTATCGCAACTCTGTTATTAGATTGGCTGATTATTTTGGCTGTGAAGAAGTCAAGGAGTAAGCTCACTCTACCCTGCATGTCGGATCTAGCGAGATTGGAGTATAAAACGGGTATATGACGCCCGATTTCGCATCTTGGATAGACTCTGTAGAGGCGCTTAAGGACCAGGGTTGTGACTGACTATGAAGATCTGTACTTATTGGCGCAACCAATATGACGATCGGCCAACCTTGATCCAATCCTCGATGTTCACCCCATCTCCAATTCTTGACACTCACTTTTTCATGAGCAATTTTCGGGCCTGCAAATAATGACACAGACTTTTTTTTAAGACTGTGAAGTGGTGTATGAAACGCGATTTTTATTGATATTCTTTTCTATGTCACAAAAACTGTTTACATAGTAGAGCCCTCCAGCTCCTCCAAGCGGTGCATAGCCATGTCCTTCTCGAGCAAAGGAATAACGTAGGGGTCGAAGGTCTTCCAGTACGGGTTGTTGAGGTGGTACTCCTGGGAAGACTCCTTCTCGTAGCGCTCGACAATGGTGAAGTCCTGCTTGTCGAAGACGGACTGCATGACGAACCACGAAATGGTCTCCTTGTCGTTGGAGTAAACGTTGGAGGCCTCGACGAGCTTGGCCTTCAACTTGGAGATGGACTCCTCATCGGCCTTGGCGCGGAGGTCTATGATGATTAGCGTCATCGGATAAGATAACGGAAGTACATGAACCACACGTACGGACGACAATCGTGTAAACCATGATGCAGTATGTTGATGCGGGGTGATTGAGAAGTGAGGGGCACAGGTGACGTTTAAATAGCTGCGACTCGTATTTAGTCACTCGGTGAAGACTCGGTGAGCGCATGGTGGGCCTCTCGTGGAAATCCCCGAGATTTACCCCAGGTGATCCCGACGTTTTGATTTGCAGATTGCTTTAGATCCTCGTTAATTGATGCTTTGGTGCTATCAATTGGATATCTATACATTTCTTATTTACATGATAGTGTACATTTAGTCGCTTTTCTCTTGGTCTTGGCCAAGTGCCTCGGTATGAACCGTGTAGGTAAGTCCCTCCGCCATGGCGATCGCACCCTCCATGTTGCCCTTGTTGTACAAGAACAAACCTTGGAGGGCAGCGGCACTGGTGTTCAGGGACCGATTGGCCTTGTGACCAGCCTCATCTTCAATCAGACCGAGTTCCTGGAGCCGGTCCAGGAACATCTTGCGATAAGCCCCGTCGGTATCGAGCTCTTCGTAGAAGCGGTTCCAGAGGCAACCAACCTGGTAACGAGTCACCTCGCCCAGGCGAACAGTCATATCCACACGACCGGGACGGACCAAAGCTTCGTCCAATCGTTCAACGTGGTTGGTAGTGAGGAAGATGATGCGCTCCTCTGCACTTGCGACTCCGTCCAGAGCATTAAGCAATCCCGAGAAAGTGACATTGGCTCCGCGGTATCCATCCGCATCGCTCTGCGTGCGTCGGTTAGAGAATGCGGCATCCACATCTTCCAGAAGCACAAGGGTCCGGTTCGGAACAATCGTGAGGAGGTGGTTCAACCGATCGTCAGTCAGACCACGCTCACTCAAATTCAAAATGGCAATGTCGTAGTCCAACTCGCCTGCCAACGCCTGAATGAATGAACTCTTGCCCGTACCCGGGGGACCATATAGAAGATACCCTCGTCGGTATGGAATACCACGGTCGTGGTACCATGATGAACTCGAAATGAAGTCTTCTACGTCCTCTACAATCCGTTCCTTGACTCCTTCTTGGAGAACCACGGATTCCAGAGGTCGCTTCCGACGAGGGTTTCCAAATGGCCGCCACTCTGTTCCCCAGCTATTATAAATGGTAGTCTTGCCTTCGTGTGACTTGGCGGCGTATGCGTGGGCTTCGGTGAAGAGGTCCTCAAAGATATGGCGTTGAGAGTAAAGGGTAGTGAGGGTGATTGTTTCCCAGGGCTTTCCAGTTTGAATATCGCGCGACTTCGACTCGCGCATACGGTTGACAAACACAAACGCGTTTTTGTATCGAAGAACATGCTTTCCCGGTCCCGGTACTAGTGAGAAATGTGTGTGGATAGCTCCGTTCGAGTGCTCGACTTTTTGTGTTTGTATGGAGAGGTGGCGCATGCCGGGGGTGATTTTTTGGAGGAAGCGGTCCATGTAGCCGGTGCTAGTCGCTGCAGCTTTACCTGCATTGAGCTGTGACTGTTGATAGAGGGTCATCCAGTGTAGAAACCATGGGTAGGAATCATCTTTGATGCTGATCTCTACGTCCACCAGCATCCGCCGGCGGAGAAGTGCGGCGCCATGTCGGACACCTTTTTGCGCAAAGGTCAATCCGGCTCCTAATCCAGCGAGTCCGAAGCCCTAACCGTGACCATATGTCAGTAAAGCGAGTTGAATCAACGAGTAATTCATTACCTACCGCGGTGAACAAGGGATTGCTCGTTAGCTGTGACAGCAGGCTTCCGTCGCCTTTTTGCGCCGACTGCAGCGCCTCAGTTCTCTGCTGGAGAATCAAATCCCCTGCAGAGGGCGCAGGCGCAGGACTAGAAACTCCGTTCGGCTCCATGCCAATAGTTGATGCGAAAGGCACAAGTGGAAGGAATTATCGATAAGGAGGACGGTCGGAGTTACAACGGGCCGACCGCCCGACATGGCATGAACACAAATGCAGGTAGGCACTTGGATTCCTGAACTCCACAAGGTGCTCGTATTTCCAGACTATTTCCATGATGCATCTAGGGTGGCGCTCCAAGGTGATGATCGGTCCGGCATTCACATGGGTCCGTCGGGGCCCAAATAGCCCGCGTCGGAGTTATCGGGATTAGAGTGCATTTTTTGCTTCATCTCCCTCATCTCCCCCTGCGTAAGCTGACGCCTTTGTTCTTATTGAATTAGGCGGGTGTTTAAAATGAAGCTGCACCCCATGCGTTTTTTTTCCCAGCATTCCCCATTTCGCCGACGCGCTCCGCACCAACGCGCTCATTCGACAATTCGCAAGATGTCTACCCCAACTGCTGCGACGGTGCTGTATGCGCTGACCGTTTCCAACTCCCCGGTGCGACCTGGACCCGAGGATGTATCGGAAAAATCTCACCATACAAAGTCCGGGTTTAGAAATCCATGGGAGTATGTAAATCTGCAGACTATTGCTGTTTGCGCCAGAGAACTAACCAGTGGCTTTGGATGGCAGGTCTTATCGTGATCACAGCCCGAAGGACATCATGGGAATGCTACTGTAAGGGAAATAGCGATAGTTTCAGTCAAAATAGTACTGATTCGAAGCTCCAGCTCCCGACGATTGAAAGGCGACGCGAACTCGCCCGACATGACACCACCAGCTACCCGCAAGCCCGAATTCCTTCCTACTCGTGATACACCAAAGCTTCGTGCAACATGGCTTGGGCATGCATGCTACTACGTTGAGTTCCCTAGCGGGCTCCGAGTGCTGTTCGATCCTGTGTTTGACGCTCGCTGTGGGCCATATTCCTTCGGCCCGAAGCGCTATACCGAGCCTCCATGCAAGATCGAAGATATTCCTGTTATTGATGCGGTCGTTATATCTCACAACCATTATGACCACTTATCCTATCCTACCGTCAGTAAAATCGCCAAGCAACACCCCAATTGCCACTTTTTCGCGCCTCTCGGAAACAAATCGTGGTTCCATGACTCCCATATCTACAACGTAACAGAATTGGATTGGTGGGATGAGCGAGAAATTGCAATGTCACCAGCAGAGACAAAGGCGACAGAGGTTGAGCTGGTGGGAAATGCTTCAACGGTGGCAGATATCAAGGCGCGTATAAGCTGTATGCCGTGTCAACACATCACGGCCCGTGGTCCATTTGACAAATGCAAGACACTTTGGGCATCGTGGGCTATTGAGTCCGGTGGTAGCAAGGTGTATTTCGCTGGGTAAGTCAAAAATCAAGTAGGGCAGTCACTGTCACGTGGTATTTGGCTAACCCTTATTCAAGAGATTCTGGTTACCGCTCCGTGGACGAAGTACCTAAAGGAGAAGATGATTGGGATCCCAAGTATAATTTTCCTATTTGCCCTGCTTTCAAACAAGTCGGTGAATTCCGAGGTCCATTCGATCTAGGTCTCATTCCCATTGGAGCCTACGCTCCTCGCCATATCTTCAGTTCTGCCCATGCTGATCCTCATGATGCCGTGCGAATGTTCAAGGACACTAAATGCAAGAATGCCTTGGCTATGCACTGGGGAACGTGGGTTCTTACGGAAGAAGATGTCCTTGAACCCCCAAGAAAGTTGAAGGAGGCATTGAAGCGTCACGATATCCCTGAAAGCGGTGTCTTCGATGCATGTGAGATTGGAGAGAGTCGGGAGTATTGAATAAAACTAAGGGTGAAAACCCTCGATGGGAGGAAGCCTGCCCGGACGGCAGGAACGATCTTGTAACTACTCCATGTACCATAAACCAAATCATTGTTCATCGAATGCATATTGTTGTTCGTCTACCTGTACGCGTTTTCTTCTCTTCACACACGCCCTCATCCTTTGTTTATTCTTCTGTGATTCTGTTTATTATGATACCTCCTCACTTCTACTCTTAATTACAGTTTCCTGATTCTGCTGAACCTGAGCCGCTCCCCATTTCTTTTCTCGCTGATTTGATCCACGATAAAGCCAGACGTGAAGCCGGCATTGAAAGCAGACCTCAGAAATTTTGCCCATACCCAAACCAAGTCCCTTCCAGTTCACCTCTCGAGACATTTGTCTAGAGAACAGGGATTCTCCAGTACGCCACCATCGGTGTCGCACTACACCTTCCACTTTATCTTTATCTTCTCCATTTTCTGAAGAGGAAGTCCTTTCTTCTCTAAACGAACGAGCACTCTCCGTTCTTCTCCCTTGTCTACAGTTGCACATAAGAGAGATGCATGAAGAACGTAGTCTTCGCTTGCAGTGGCAATTTCCTCCAGTTGGGATGTGCGACCTCATGTCATACCCTCAACCGAGAGATCCATCACAGAGACACTTCGCATCTCGCTACCCTGCTGAAAGAAGTCCTTCTCCACCTTTGCTACATCGTCGCCGCAGAGCTCACTCGTTTTCTCTTGATGAAAGCCCATTGGCAAGTCCAACATCGACCAGAGACGAAAACCTTAGCCCTACATCGCCGACCGACCTATACAACCTTCAACCTACCTCACCATTGACCTGGCTCTCAGAAGCGCCTGCTGGCCGTCAGGATAACATCACTCAGTCTGCACTGAACTTCTCAACCAACTCACCCAGCGAGTCAAACGGACTCTGGCTGCACCGCAATATTCCAATCGACCGGGAATACACTGTATGGGGCCAAATTGGTCAGTTTGACGTGCCAACATTGCGTTCAGAGGCAGCTACTCCGCGTGTCGATATTACTCAGTTTGATTTCGGTTTCACTCAGCTTGAGCTAGCTCCAAGTGCCCAATCGCAGACACAGGACGACGAAGATGCGGACATTGACCGAACAGCTCGGGCTCTTGATTTCATCAAAACATGGGTTCATCCAGCGTTAAGGTCGGAGACGATAGAAAAGTGGAAAAGGGATGGCCTGCTTCCTAGGAACCTTCCAATCACTACCGGTCAAGATGCCACAGCTCCATTCATTAAAGTCCCGGTATTTGCAGCTCCTGAAGTTCCAGCTCCTGTGGTTCCAGTTCCACTCGTTGAAGCTCCAGTCCTTTCAGCTTCCAATCATTGGACTCAAGTGACTCCTCCTCGCCGCCCATCCCCTCGGCGAAATATGCCTCTATTCTATCCTCAGTATGGTCAGAGCTTGAACGATCCCAAAAATGTTGAGTTGGAGGAACGGCTGATGTGCACGCAGCGATCTGCTTCTCAAGGTGCTGTCACTCGTACTCCTGTTACTCCTGTCAGTCCTACTCGCTTTCTTGTTACTCGTGGTACTCCAGTTACTCCTGCTCGTGCTACTCCTGTCAACCCCATTACTCCTGCTTGTCGCATTCGCCCTTATTCACCAACTAGCAGCTTGAATGACGACCCTGTGACACCTCCTTGGCACCCAATACCAGACTCTGACAGTGAGTCGAAGGGTTACTTTGGGAAGATGGACGACTCACCGACCGACAACATTGTTAGAACGTTACCCATCGGGCTTCCGTATCAAGTAAGCCCATCCTCGACTCAGGGGGCTGCCGGAGGCACCCAATTTGTCCCGTCTCGGCGTCAATTGCTGCCGCCATTCTCACCAAGGCCCTCATTCAGCTCGAATGGGCCTCGGTCGTTCCCCACCATGGAGGGAATTATGAAGAGCAAGGAAGAGAGCGCAGTCGCATTGACCGAATGGACGCCTGAGATGTACGCAATAATTGCGGACACCACCCCGCGCTCGCGTGAAGAGCGGCGCAATGCATTTGGCCCGGAGTACAGCTCCCGCCGGCGAAACACTCGGGTCTCGCAGGCCAGTCCAATTGAACTGCTCAACATTGACACCACCGGGCTAAATGTACTGACTCGCACGGAGGTATCCGTGCCCAAAATGTCTATGGCTGTGCCTGCCCGTTGCGCCCACTCGCGCGTTCGTGAAGGCTTGCGTAAACTGACCAATGGGTTCAGACGCAAGTAAACGAATGCTCCCATTAATCTGTACAGCAAGATGTAGATTAGCATCTCATAATCTCTCACCAAAGAAATGACGCCAAAGTAAGAAGAAAATGAGAAAAGCACAAAAAGACCCCCAATGATCCGATGTTCATGAAGTGTTGCCATGTACTATGATACCCATTTGATGATTGTCTGTTTGAGTATTTTCCATTTATTAGCACCTGTAAGATATGTTGCGCCTTGATCTATCAATGAATTCTGTTTGAGTGCAAATATTCCTTGATAGAAGTAGTCGATAGTGATACCAAGCAGGACTAATAGGAAAAGTGATGAGTAGTAGGCTGACACAAGGGACTCTTATTTCTCACGACCTGTAGGCTCTGAAAAGCGGAAATTGGACGCCAGCACCGTTGAGCGCAAACAAAGAAAACGGAGAAACTTAGCAGAAAAGAAACTCGCAAATTTTCGTGAAGCACGTGCTACTTAATCAACCACGCGACGCTCCATCCACACAATATTGACTCAGGCCCTTCTCCCGGCTGAGTCTTCCTTCCTTTCCATGCGTCCTAGCAGGCGCTGGGTTCTCAAACCATTGGTCATTCTAGATCCTCAGTGAGTATGGACAGTTGGATACTTTTCAGAGGGCATGAAGCTTTCCTGTACTTCATTTGATCAACCGATACTGACACATTGGAGTGTTTTAGATGATGACCGCAACTCAGAATCCCTCCGGGGTACTCGGAGTTAGCTACGAAATAATTTGCTCCTGCACCTACAATGCCAACAATACTCGCTAGTTATACAATGGTATTTGGTGGAGACAATTGACTCTGAGAGTGATTACAAGCCAGGTCAGCCCTGACTTATTGCGAGCTTTGCTATGTACAAGCAGAAATAATAGATATACATTGTCCATGTGCTAACTTGATTTATTGACACAGGCGATGATTTACGAGCCTCGATGAACCTACTTCGCCGAAATCCAATCCACTGCGTCAATGTATCCTTCTGCGTGGAGTTACCAATGACGGACGAGAGCTACAGACAGTTTTATGAAATTTTGAGAATTCGATGACTATGAAATAAAAAAAAACCCCGGAGGAAAGAAGATTGTCTATGAGAAAAGTGTTGATGGGGATAATATTGCGAGCGTTGGACATGGTGACTTAGGGCTCGCTGGCCGGCACGTGATGCGGCTCAACAAATCGCCGGCCGCTCGCAAGTCGCGGTAGATCGATCTTTCCCCAGGATGAAATTAATTCGTTTCAAAGTTCCTTTGTCTGGCCATGTGACTTAACTTCGATGTCGCTTTGGCCACCACTTAGGCTTCATCCATCCATGGAAACGGACGGTCACGTGCAGACAAAGGGCCAACGCTGACGACATATCTCTGAATACATTCCCTGGGATTGATTGAAGTCTCAGGAACTTGCAAGCAAGGTGCACAATGCGGCATACCTTCACCCGGTGTTGGTTGCTGAAACAGATGACATACGCTCAGCATGGCCCAATGCTCCGCCCCCGTTGAAGGGATAGTCGGTTCATACACTGGCAATAGCTTCGCTCTCCAGGGTTTTATCGTCAGCCTGTTGGGCATTGCCATATACAGCTCGCTGGAGTTGATTGTCTTGGTGTTTTCAATATTTCATACCTACAGCGGACTTTACTTCTGGAGTCTTCTCATAACAGCCCTTCTTGGCATTATTCCCGACGCCCTGGGTTTGCTTCTGAAATATTTCCAACTTGCGCCCATATGGATCCCAGTTACATTGTCGACTGCGGGATGGTGTATCATGGTGACTGGCCAGTCGTTGGTTCTCTACTCCCGGCTGCATCTCGTGCAACAAAACAAACGAGTCCTTCGGTTTGTCTTGGGTATGATCATCTTTGACGCAATTGTCTTCCAAATACCCCAGATAATTGCCTCATATGGTGTTGTCTATGCCTGTGATCTTGACTTTGGTCGCTTTTTCAACGTTTGGGAGAAGGTGCAACTGACCGTCTTCTTCGTCCAGGAGATTATCATCTCCAGCATATTCATTGTGCAGACTGTCAAACTTTTACGCAGCTACCCAACGAGGAGCAAACGGAAGACAAACATCATGTATCAACTTCTGGCAATAAATTCTGCTATCATTTTGATGGATATATCTCTGATTGTGATGGAATTTCTGGGCTTGTTCATCATCCAAACTGTGCTCAAAACCTTCTTCTACACCGTCAAGTTGAAGTTGGAGATTGCAGTTTTGTCGAGGCTGGTCTCTTTTGTACAATATGACTTCCACCAGGATTCGTCTGGATTTAGTCGAACAAAATGAATTTGTATAACATGATATCTGCCCTCTCAAGTTGCAAATAGTAAAATTGCGAGTATAGTTGGGATGTTTGTCTAGTTTGTTAGGGGTAGGCGCTAGCCATATTTGGACTAGCGTGAGGGAGCTCCCACTTCGCCTGGAAATTTGATGGAATGCGGGCGAACAGCGTTGAAGTCGGAACTCCTGGATTGTCATTTATCTTCGTGGTTTATTTTCTGTTATCTGGAAGGCATTTACCAGATTACTCCACTTTTAGTTCCAGCTCAAATTCCGACAAACCACCGCCAACATGCAGGCTCCGGTGGTGGTGATGAGTTCGATACCCCCCATTGCTTGGATCCCCTTTACGTGCTAACATGTCATCCAGACACCAATGCCGGCGACCGTCAGGTCGGCCGCCGTGCGCAGTTGTCTAACATCACTGCGGCTAAGACGTACGCTATCCCCCGATCCCCCGTTGCTTCTCCCTGGACGATGCTAATTCGGTAAACACCAGTGTTGCGGATATCATCCGGTCATGTCTCGGACCCAAGGCGATGTTGAAGATGCTGCTCGACCCTATGGGTGGTATTGTTCTGACCAACGATGGCCACGCTATCCTGCGAGAGATTGAAGTGTCGCACCCCGCGGCCAAGAGCATGATCGAGCTCAGCCGTACCCAGGACGAGGAGGTTGGAGATGGCACCACAACGGTTATCATCCTTGGTATGGCTACATGTGGGATACTGTGATGGACAATGACTGATATTTGATAGCCGGTGAAATGCTGGCCCAGGCCCTCCCCCAGCTCGAGCGTAACATCCACCCCGTCGTCATCATCCAGGCTTTCAAGCGTGCCCTCGCAGACGCCCTCCAGATCGTCGAGGAGGTTTCGACACCCGTCGACATCACTGATGACAAGGCCATGTATTCCCTTATCCAGTCCTCTATCGGAACCAAATTCGTGTCTCGGTGGTCGGATCTCATGTGTAGCCTCGCCCTGGCCGCTGTGCGCACAGTCTCTTTCGACGTTGGTGGTGGAAAGCAGGAAGTAGACATCAAACGTTACGCCCGTATTGAGAAGATCCCCGGTGGTCAAATTGAGGATTCCGAAGTTATTGATGGTGTGATGGTCAACAAGGATATCACGCATCCCAAGATGCGTCGGAGAATCGAGAATCCCCGTATTCTTCTGCTTGACTGCCCTCTGGAGTACAAGAAGGGTGAATCCCAGACCAACATTGAGATCTCCAAGGAAGACGACTGGAACCGCATGCTCCAGATTGAGGAGGAGCAGGTCAAGCACATGTGCGAGGCCATCCTTGCTTTCAAGCCCGACGTCGTGATCACTGAGAAGGGTGTTTCCGGTAAGGAATCCAACGTTTCAAAGAGATGCATGATGACGTTCTAACATTTGGGGGTTATTAGATCTCGCGCAGCACTTCCTGATGAAGGCCAACATCACAGCCCTCCGCCGTGTGCGAAAGACCGACAACAACCGTATTGCCCGTGCCAGTGGCGCCACCATCGTCAACCGTGTCGACGACATCCAGGAATCCGATATTGGTACCGGCTGCGGTCTGTTCGAGATTGAGAAGATTGGTGACGAGTACTTCACATTCATGCGCCAGTGCAAGTCCCCGAAGGCCTGCACAATTCTTCTGCGTGGTCCTTCCAAGGATATCCTGAACGAGATTGAGCGCAACCTGCAGGATGCCATGTCCGTTGCCCGCAACGTTATCTTCCACCCCCGCCTGTCCCCCGGTGGTGGTGCCGTCGAAATGGCCGTCTCCGTGAAGCTCAGCCAGCTCGCCCGCTCCATTGAGGGTGTCCAGCAGTGGCCCTACAAGGCCGTTGCCGATGCCATGGAGGTTATTCCCCGTACATTGGCCCAGAACGCTGGTGCCAGCCCCATCCGTGTGCTTACCCGTCTGCGTGCCAAGCACGTTGAGGGCCACACCTCTTGGGGTCTGGACGGCGACTCTGGCAACCTGGTCGATATGAAGGAGTACGGTGTTTGGGAGCCCGAGGCTGTCAAGCTCCAGAGTATCAAGACCGCTGTCGAGGTAAGTTATTCATATTCTGCGCTCCTCCATCCTTGCTGCAGTTTACTAACATATATATCAGTCTGCTTGTCTTCTCCTCCGTGTCGACGACATCTGCAGTGGAAAGTCCGCCCAGCAAATGGCTGGCAGCGGTGGTGGCGGCGAGGAATAATTGATAGACGAAAAAGAAAAATGATCCTTGGACTCGAGGTCCGTACATAATGCTACACGATTTGCCTCTGAGGTTTCTTCCTTCTGTATGAACATCTTAGAAAACAAATTCCACATGGGTATCTTCGTATCATACACAGCTCGCATCTATAGATATCCCAATCTAGTCATCATCATGAATAATAACACCAGCAACCTCCTGCGACACAGCACCCTCGGCGCCCTTAATCCCATCAGCACTGGTATCCATATCCGGGGCAGCTAACCCCGTCACAGCAGAATCACCCTTTTGCGCAGCACCACCCTTCTTCCCCTTCACATTCTTCCTCTTCTCCCTCCTGCGCCGATTCTTCTCCGTCTTCTCATCATCCTTGCGCTTGGCCTCCTCCCGCTCCTTCTCCCAACTCTCATTGTCCTTCTCCTTATCAACCTCCGACTGCATCATCCGCAGCCGCTCATACTCGCGCCGCCGACTGGCCTTGTATACGTGGAACTCGCCGGATCCCGCGCCGGCCGACGAACCCTGCACATTGGCGACAATCTCCGGTGGCGGCGCTAGCGAGCCTGATGTACGCGATGTTGAGGGATTCGGTAGTTGCAGGTCTTTGCTTGGGTCTTTGAAGAGTGTTTCGATTTGGCTCGCGTGCTCTGAGTGTGGCGTTACGGCGCGGCGCTTTGTCGGCCGCTTGCTGCGCGGGTCGGCGCTTGTAGGGATCGATTCTGGTCCTGGTTCGGACATTGTGGCGGTTTGTGTTTGGGTTGGGTATGCGACCGCGGTGCTTTGCGCGAAGTGGGAGGATTTGCGGGATTTTCTTCCGTTGTGGTGGCCGGGAGGGGCTTTTTTGGTCCAGTCCAAGTTATATCCCGTATCTGCTTTAGTGTATAGTTGTCTGATTGTCTTAGTGTCGGACTCAAAAAAGGTGAGCCAGTCGAATAACAGTCTCAGTCGAGAAGTGTAGAGATGCGACCTTCAACTTCGGGAGCCGCTAACCGGAAGCGGCTAGCGCTATAAATTGCCTGTTCCTTGCGAATGTTATTCCTATCGCGAATGACTCGCTAGTGACTTGCTAGACAAGCTTGTGCAGAAGGCTGGCTCTAAATTGGAGTATAAAAGTATCCAATAGGTGCATTACCTGTAGTATATCTGACGGAGCTCTGTCTAATGTTCATTATAAGTTTCTACTAAACCGTAAATTCATGTCAATCTGGACATATGATAGCTGTATGATAGCTGTTCCTTCTCGTTCTGTGTTCGTGTTGATAAAAACATAGACCCGATCCAAATATCGACTTTGATGGCGGGTTACGTATTTAAACTTATGCTCCCATGGATTGATTTCGCAACTCTTTCCGCAGCTTTTTCCAATGGTCTTTCCATTGCTCCTCCAGATCAGCTTTCCAACGCTGAAGTGAAGATTCTAAATTACAGTATGATCACAGGCTGCAGGATCTATGGAAACGGGAGCTTCTTTGTTAAAATTGTACTGGATATCCCGTAGGCTATTTCACATGGGTATGTCCTAAGTATCCATTCAATCATGGAAATCCTCCCCACAGAACAACGCCATAAAGGGAATATTGCGAGGCTTCAACGAGGATAAAAATATAACAATAAAAGGTAAATAAGGATAAATTTCCAGGTAGGATCCATGTTGATAGAAAAACACCTCTCATAGAAGAAACATGAAGATCACTAGAGAATGCACAGCTGCAGATCGGCAAGCTCCGAAGACAGTATTTTTGTGTTGTAGAAACCCGAGCCGAGCGATTAGATGGAAAAGTGCTAAGTTGCTGTCATTGGCGTCAGACTCGGGAGTAGGCTTAGCGACAGGTTCGGTGGCAGGCTCGGCGGTGGGCTCAGCTGCGTAAACCTGATCTGTCTTAAGCGGCAGTTCGGTTGCCATTCTCGGACTTCTTGGCGGGTCGCCCTCGCTTGGCCCTGGGTTTGTCGTTGTTCTCAGGAGCCTTGTTGTGGCGTTTGCGCTTAGGCTCCTTATCATCGGGCTGAGCAGGAAGAGGGTTGGCCTTGCGAGTGCGCAAGCGACCAGCACGCTTCTTTGGCTCATCCGCAGTAATTGCAGCGTTGTCCTCAGCTTTCTCGGCAGTCTTAGCCTTGGAACCACGCCTCGGCTTCTCCTCGACTTCGGATTCATCATCGCTAATGTTGGCGGGCTTGGGACCGGGCTTGGAACCGGGCTTCTTGCGCCCAGCAGCAGCAGTCGCAGATTCGGCATCGGTTTTAGCCTTGGGGCCACGCTTCTTCTTGGCGGGCTTCTCCTCTTCCTCGGCAGATTCATCACCTTTGCTGCGCTTCTTCGCGGGAGACTTCTCGTCTCCAGAGTCCTTGTTCTGTAATGGTGTCAGTCTATTGTAATCATGTATGGGAAGTAGGCATTGAGGAGACAAACCTTAGCGTCGGCCTTCTTGCCGCGAACGCGGAAGCCAGTCTTGCCAGGGCGGTTCAGTTCAACATCCTAAATTTCGTATCATTAGCTATTTCCATCGTGGTTTCGATGACGATTCGATTTCGACATGATTTCTTACACCCTTCCAGTCCTCATCGGGAATGTGGCCATCCTCAATGGCACCACGGACCTTGTCCTTGAGCTCATCGCTCAGCTCCTCAAATCCGTCGAGCTGCTCAAAGTTGTAATCATCAGTGCCCTCAATCTGGATGGATTCCTGCATATGAGAAATGATCTTCGGAGTCAGACAGCCCCTGGGTCACGTCAGTGCGCTCTTTATCAAATAGTTCGGACGATCTATTGCGGGTGGTATAAAAGGGACACGGCAAATTAGGCAGATGGACTTACCAGTGACGCCACATCCAGGCTTGGATGCGTTCGTTATCAGTCCAGGTGCCGACACGGAATTCATTCTTGGGGATTTTATCTCCAGCTTTCTTGCATTCCGCAGTCTGGCACCCAGCCCTGCCACTGCGGGCGAGTTCTAATCATCATGTTAGCTGTGATGTCATCCAATGGCCCCAAAAGCAATTCTCGAAGCGAAGCGCGTAGGCAAATTATTCGAGAGATGGAGAACACGACGATCGGGATAAATCCATTGTGTGTTCTTGATAAGGACTTGAGCACGCAAAGTCCACGATGTGGCACGTTGCTGACACCCAGACAGTCCAGGGGACACGAAATAGCATTTCGCGTCGAGAGAAATCAACACTAAACAGGAGAGGTAACTCACCAAAGCGATAAGTAGGCATTGGAACGATCGGAGATGATGCAGATAGTGAAGAAAGAAAGAGGAGGGTGGTGAGATAGTTCGATTTATAGACGCTTTTCCTGGAACTGATGCTGTAACACAGGAGATGGGATGAAAAGGGCACAAAGCGACCGGAGCACGAATTCGAACCTTTGCACTTCTTTTTCAAAAAAAGCCGTAAAAATAACTGTAGGAGAGTTTTGCCTAACAGGAAGAGACGGGATTAGGCGGTGCGACAGCGGAATGTGATGAGGCAGCAACCCACTTGCGGCTAAGGCAGAGATAGGTACCACTCCGTGAGTAAGCTTGAAAATGACTCTCTAGTGAATCGGTAGAGACGATATTCGTAGATCAGTGAGCAACCAATTGATTTGCCATTTTATTCTCGAGAAACAGAGGGATTCTTCTCGCTATTCGCTTTCACAATAGCCTCTCTAATAGAACGTTTCCTACAACGGTCTCATCAGTCTGTCCTTTCACATCTCTGTATCAGCGATCCTTTTCGAAGAAAAGACTATTGCATTTTAAACTGAGCAGGGAAAAAAAAACAAGCCAAACAAGAGAGTTCAAAGTAAGACGAAATTATCGCATGAAGCGGTACACCTGCCTTAAGGGTACTGTACTCTGATAGCTCATATCTCCAATTTCAGCTGCTAATTATTTCAATATGGAGATAATTTTTCAGACGGAAGAGCCATCACAATCAAAGGCTTGGATATCTACAATATAGAGAGTAGAAAAGAGATGAATCAACTTGTTACAACCACCGAATCCGGAAACGGGGGCGATCACATATTTTTGACTGCAAAGTCTTCTACACAGAAAGAGACTTGCAATGAGAGAGATAGTAACATCAACAATATAGAGCAAAAGCAATGCATTAAAGCCTTGGACGGATAGCAGATCTAGCAATAGCAAATGGCAACAAGAACAAATGAAAGTATGTATAAAATAATAATAGACTTTTGGGGTATATGATGGGGAAAATATAATTAATAAGGAATTATAAAAGTAAGCAGAAAATAAGAAGAGACTTTTGAGGCAAATGAAGGAGGCAAAGTGACCGGGGCGGAAAGACACCACGATAGAGGAACCGAAAGAGACGAACATAGACAACTGAGGTAAGAAACCGAGTCATTGCCTACACCGATGAGGGACACAGTCAGTTTGGAGGCAACCAGACAATGATCACAACCTTTCAACCCCGTGGCTCCGGATGAGAGCCTGGGGATCGGAATACAGCTTCGGTCTCTCAGGGATTAGCCCAGATCGCAGCTTGAGCATGGCATCTTTGAGGCCATGGTTTACGCGCATTACCGACCAGAAAGCATCGGAGCAACCTTATGTGAGCAAGTCGTACGTCTCAGCAAAGAAGCGTAGCATCCATGTTTGCAAGGGATCGTGATTGCTCTCATCATATTCATCAGGGAAAATCAAAACGGTAATCTCGAGCAACGGCCTGAGGTGGAAAAGATCTGGGTACGTATTCCACAGATCCTGAAGTTTGAGTGTAATTAGGGAAATCAACTCAGTCAATTCGAAGCAGCGGGCATGTTGGTACAGCTTCCCCAAGCCAAGATTCACGGCCTTGAGGCCATTGGTGTCTTCGACTCCTTCCAGCTGGTAAATTCGACCAATGTTGGTAGGCTTGTAGACCTGTATAACCCTGAGAGAAAACTCGCGGTCTGTCAGGAATGACCGAATATTGTCAAACACGATCTTGGGCTGGGATTGAACGATACTCTGGAATGCGTTAAAACATACGGTGGAATCTGCAGCATTGAGGAATGTCTGGTGAAATGCTTGGCTTACTGACATGTTGAACGTTTTCTCGCTTGTTTCTGGGTCATATTTCGTCCTTTGAGTAGAAAGTTAGCAAAGGTGTTATGTTGAGATTTAGTGAAGTCTAAAAGTCCCCAGTTCATGCCCTCCTTCTTGATTGAATCCCCACCGACCTCGAGAGGTGAACCTAAATCGAACGACGGAACATTACTACGGGCTGTCCATTGAGATTGCTGCTGCAGTATATGAGAACCGAGATCTTGAAGTGTTGTGCCTGTCAACTTTGTTCTTCGGGTATTTTAGACTTCGTAATGAAGCCAGAAAGAAAGAGAAGCGAGAATATGGAGATCTTTAGTGTGAATGAAGAAGATGACGATGGTAAATATACAGACCAGAAAAAGATGAGAGGTATCTGTGTCAATTGCTCTGTATCAGACAGTCACACTGTAGCCTAAATAAGTTGAAACAGCAGTGATTGACCCATAAAATGAAAATCGGGAAATTGTGAAATGAGCGGGAGCATGGCGGTGTATGGCATATGGTTAGGCCAGCATTACAATATTACGCGGAAAATATGTGAGGCGGCCGTATTTCTCGATTTCTGTTTCTCAATCATCATATCAACATGTGGTCCAAGAGCTAAGGATGCAGCACAAAAAATGCTGCCTCGAGGAGCAGATCCATGAGAACAAATGCAACAACAAGGCAACGCAACATAAGAAGCAGATATAGTCAAATATGGCCTAAGAAATGGCTCAAGTAAAGGAGTGTTCAAGGAGTGTAGAGTGGCCCAACGCAAGTTACTGTACGCCGATCCAATTCAAAATGAATAGGGCTGGTTCTTCAAACCAAAAGGCGGCCAACCTCGAAAGAAATGAAGGTCAATCTGCTGTCAAAGCAAGAACGCAGACCAGTAATTCAAATTCGTGGCCAATGTGCCAATTTGATTGATGTAAATCACCTCCCTTGTTCAATTTCATCTCAAAGTCCACGTCACGCAATCTGATACAAAGGAAATGTGACAGCCGCCTAGAAAAATCTCGGCGATCGCTTGGTGCTAGTAGGCGAGAGCGTAAGTACTCATGGCTCAGAGTTGGAGGAGAAGTCAGCAGTAAATGAAGGATCTGAGAATGAGAGAGAAGGTGAATCGTACCGCAATTCAGAGAGATCGTCCATGTGGTTGCACATTGCCACAAACAGATCGAAGAACAACTTGCCGCCATTTTCCATCTCCATCTGCAAAGTTCCACTGCTCTTGAAAGTCTTGCGGCTGCGGATGATGAGAGCCAGGTAATGAGCGCGCAGTCGAGAGTCTGTATCTGGGGTGTTGTCATATGCGTATCGAGCGGATCGCAATATCACATCGGCCGGGATTCCACTTTGGAGGCCCTGCTTTCGGAAAGCAATACGCTTGAGCTCTTCCAGGCCATACTTCTCGGCAGCACAATACACCACGGTATCACGGAGGACAATGTCTCCCACTCCAGGGTGGAAGAAGGTTGCCTCGCTCGACCCGCGGCCACCAGTTTCGTTGGTGTCCTGGGCGTTCTCGAGGGACCAAGAGTGACGACGCTTACCGTGAAGCAGGCGGGGGAAATAGTCACCCTTGTACAGAAACTCGAGAATACATGACAGAATTTCAGGTTCCCTGTTGTGATGATAAGAATCTGCAAACAAAAGTTAAGTGGCATCGATTCGTACTCATCGGGCAAAGTCAGTTCCTTAGCGCCATTCTCCAGGAATTGCTCCTTCAGAGCGGCACTAAGAAATGGCGAAACGGATAGAATATCCTCGTGGGCGGCGAAGAGACGCTGATCACTGCCCACAATCATCGTGACGATGGGGCTGGTAAGTGGACTAAGAAATCAGTCAACAATCGGCCCGCTTATTGCCATGGAGCGCGAGGCCGGGACAGTCCAGCAACTCACCTTTCCATCGAGGAACTGTCCATCTTGGGATGCGTCTTCTCCTTCGCCTGCTCCTCGTGTCTCTTCTTAGCAACCTTGACGTTCTTGCCCGCCCGGTTCTTAGTTACGAAAGAGCGCCTGAACATAACGGCAAAAGGAAACCTGCTGCCGAAAGATCGTGAAGCAGAATATCCAAAAGCAAATGGAAGAACCTATAATAATCAGAAAGAATGATATTAGTTGGTCGAATGAAGGAGTGAGTGACGCTGCTTATCATGCACACGTAGCATGTGAGTCTCGGAAGCTCTCCACAGAAATGGACCCCCCGAAACTTAGTTAAAAGACGAGGAATACGCGGTTCTGGGATGACTTCGCAATCGAGAATTCTGACGAGATTCTCTTTGCGGGCAGTTACCGACTCTGGCAGGCGTGGAAGGAAGAAGAGGAAGAGAGAACGGAGAGGGGGTTTAAATGCGGGGGTCAGGTGATATCAAATGTGATTAGACACGAAGTCACCTGGTGAGGCTGAGATAGAATGTGTGGCTGCAACGTGCACATGTTGGCGCTAAATGCTCACGTCACATTGGCTACTCGCGCACTAGTGACAGCAAATCACGGGAGGATATCTAAATGCTGACAGGCAGTTAGGCATAGCAATAACAATGATCATTGACTAGTAACTGAAACAGTAATACATTTCGTGATGCTAGTCATGTTGAATGGCAAGCAAGAAGTAGAAACTAGCTAACCAAGACACAGTCAAATTCTCCATCGCCAGCGAGAGGAAAACAACGGGCCTGACTAGCTGCTGGCATGGCTGCAATCCAAATATCTTGTTTATCCGAGGCCCTAATAGCCTTTTCTAGCAGCCTTTGGGGACCTACAGAAGGGAGCCACAGCCAGCAGCGCCCAAAGTAATTCCGAAGCTCTGGAAGTGACCAGCAGTGACACCATACATGCCATTTCCAGCAGAGCAAGAAAGATCGCGCTGGCCAGAACACTTGAGAGTGGTGGCCTGGAATCCAGAGCTGTAGACCTCCTGTTTACGTAAAGCGGTGGTAAGTGACTGTAGGCATATTGAAGTTTGAGAAGATTACTTACGGTTCCATAGTGCTTGAAGCTGTAAGGGATGTTGACATACATGTTCTGGTAGTATCGTCAGTAACTGCCTAGATGATCATAGTCTGGGGGGAAAAGGAAAACTTACAGGAACACCATCGCCGATGTTGTTTCCACGGTACAAGGTAGCCTTGGCTTGCGAGCCGGCAAAGTTGGCCCAGGCCTCGTTGCCAATGGGGAAAGCAGCCATAGCATGGCTGGTGAGTTGCTTGTCAGGGAAGTTCTGAGCCAGTGCCACGTGGGAAATGTATGTCAGAGAACCACCTAGAGAGTGTCCAGTCGCTTCCAAGGTGTAGTCAGGATATTTTGCGATAAGGCTCTTCACTTCGGCAATGACCGTGTCGTGGACCGCACTCCAAGGACGGTTGATACCACTCATGATCTTCACCCCCGAGGGGAAGGTCACACCGGAGAGAGACGGAGTGACGAGGGTGGTACTGACATCGTTCATAATATCAGTCACTATGGTAGTTAGCAATGAAAATTGTATGTCATATAAAATCAAGACAAGTCTCACTAGTAGTCGAGCCCCTCATGACGACAGCGATGGTCTTCTTCTCCGAAGAGTATCCCACGAATCCCTAATGATGTTAGTCCGCTCTACTTAAGAATGAAACGTGGTTGGTTACCTGAGTGTCCGTCAATGTATCCTGGATTGACTTTGTAACAGTGATATCAAAAGCCTTGCTGCTGCAGCCAGTATACGCAGCAGAAGAAAGCTGGGCTGCACGGTGAAGAGGAGTCCAGAGCGATGTGTCTTCAACTGAGGTTAGTAAAGCTCACAGAACGAATACATGCAATAAGATGAACGTACCTAGGCTTGCTCTTGCTTCCAGCACAGGTGCGGCGAAGACCTGGGAGATTATGGCAATCCCAGCCAGAGCAGTTCGGGAATCGAGGAACATTTTGAAAATGAAGATAAATAGAAATATTTGATTTAATAAGATTGATTGAATAAGCGGAATTGAATGGGCCAGCCGAATTTTATCTGCTGAAGAAAGAATATTTCACCGGGCCATCTTCCTCCTTAAATACTTCTGGTACCCTTTCGACGCTTCATTCTAAACATCTGTGCGCCCCATATATCCCGGACTTCATACCCGATACTTGACCACGAGGTTTGGATCGGAAGGATTTTCTGAAACAGGACAAGAGCGCGTCAGGCTAAAACAAACTGCTGCATGGTAGCTATGCGTACCTCCCTTCGGGGAATTCTCCGTTCTAGCACTTCAGCTCTTGGCCGGGTGGAGACGGAAGGAATGAAAACAAGGACCCTAGATCATATAATTAGAAGCAATTGTGTTCAATTTTTCCACAAAGAAACACCAAATTCATAGGAAATTGTTGATAAATCAATTCTCTAGTAGTTCCTAAATATGACATGCGACGTCTACAAAAATGAGAATGAAGGACAATCGGTTGATCAAACGTGGCTACCAACTTTCAAGGCTTCGGACGACCGATCCCAATGCGGAAGTAAAGTTGAGCCTAAATCGCCGGTTCGTTCAACGGTGTGGGGTTGATGGATCTACCTCAAAAACGAGACGGTCTCGGAACAGCCTCGGTCGTATTTCGACATATCAAAGCTTGGACCGGTGATCAATTCGGACGCTGTAAATAACTAGTTTCCACAGGTGCCAAGATTCCATGCGGAAATCTTGGATATCGAACAGATTGATGCCGGACTTCAATTTTCCGAGGTTCAGCCGACTCATAACTCATTTTTAAGAGATCATGATAGCACGTTTTTGCTCTATCTTCCAATAAATTTCTATTCTATGGCTCATCTATCGCATTGTTGTTCTTGGCTCAAATTTTGGTGTCATTTTAAGTAATAAATTGATAGATCACATAGACGAATAATTTAATTCATGGCCTTTGTCACGCTAGATCTGTGAGACCCTGAAACGACGAATGGGGCTTGAAACTGACTGGGCATAGATGAAACTTCACTTTGACCCCAAGAGAGAAGAGTTTTTCCGGAAAGACCTAGGCTGCATATATCCAATGAAAGTGCAAAGTTCATTCTCAAGACCAATCGGTAGTTGAGGATTCGGCAGTTGAGGACCGAGGCACTCATCGGGAGGGGCTGAAAAGCCACCAATTGTTCCATGTACGGAATTAGATTGTTTGCAATCTGCAGGCATCTATATTAAAAATACGGGTCTTGCATTGAGCCCGGTGACGACAGGTCACCTGGACCTGGGAAAGGGAGTAAAATCATATCTAGGCATTGCTATGATCACAACGGGAATGAAGCAAAAAAAGTACCAAGCACTTCACTATCTAAAGGTTCAAGTAATATCTCTGCGAAAGGTGTCTACCATTGCCTAATTCGAGTTCTCATGAAATTAAATAAGCGAGAATAAAGGCTACAGTAAGTTAGCGTTGCCAATTCGCGGGGTTTGGTAGCTGATTACACGGTGTGTCCCTAGGGTGTAGATGGTCTCTTGAAGCTGCCCTCGTGTCAGTGCGGTTCTAGTCCTTGCATATCGTTCCACCATTCACGATGCTAGACTGGAGCGGGGTGCAGATTTGAGTATATGGCTTCTCGTCAACAGGTCTGCAAAATACCGAGGCAGTTTGGAAACTAGATGACAATATGTTTGGCTGTCGGTAGTTACAGCATTTTTGAAGGTGGCGCTGGTCTTAAATCCTTGAAGATGCGGGGAAGACTAGACCAAAATCGCTGAGCCATGCATATTGGAAACGCAAAGCATTGACAAGTCCTTTGACACTCTGTTCAGATGCTTGTTCCAGCCTCAGAAGGATTGTTCAGTGTTACATTGAATGCATAACCATACATTATTATTTAAAACGAGAATGTACAGCCACAGCTATTGTAATGGGATAGACAATAGAAGCTCTGTTGGTGCTAATCATTAGACCAACTTGCTTGATACTCGGCACTGATGTTTGGACTAAATCCTTGGCATAGCGCTCTGACTCTCCTGCTCATCTCGCATGCATCTATAGCCAAAAGTAAGATCCGGAGATAGACCCATTTTACTTTTCGCAGAATTTATCATCTTGATCTTAGTACCTATATTACTCCTTGCTAATTTCGATGGGCGTTGGGCTCCAATTCTGCGCGACCTCGTTACCATTTCTCGCCACGTCAGTCAGGATATACTTCTCTAGATTCTTAATGTCAATTTTCCCCGCTTGCCAAGGACGCGGTCACCTTCTCGTTTGTATAGTATTCCGAGCCTCGGTTGCTTATTTTATGGGAGGCGCTGGGGTCATCGTCATCGCGGGATATAAAGTCTCAGACTACTATATAACCTGCACGAAAGTCTGATCGAGAGAAAGATTAATTTTACGGGAGATTTCAGGCCTACAGCACCTCATACCATGGGTAAAACCGGTTATCTAATTGAATCCTTAAATCTTTTCCACAGACGGTTGGATTATGACGACCGACGGGATTCGACTATCCCCCGCCCTTTGACACTGGCTAGATCTACATACCAAACTAATCCTCATCCAGGCTGAGAACATCTGTCTCGGTGAATGACAGACAGAGGTACTTGAGCATCTTGGCGAAATAGAAAGCACAAAACAAGTATAAGTTCTGCAAACTTCCAAAGCACAGCAGCGGGGCGATTAGTATCCAGAGCTTGGAAGATCTTCCACTTGTATTCTTGCCAGCTGGTATCACCCGTAATGCGGTATGCGGGTCAGATGCTCTCAAGAGGTTCTGGGTATGAGCGGTAGGATGGGTCTTTGATGAAATAGCCGTACTTGGCTGCCTCGGAGCGATATGTTGCGTTTTTGTTGTACGCTTTGTTGTTGGGGTTGACCGTAGTATCAGACAGAGTCATCAACGCGATCGTAAGTACTTGACTTCTATCTGACGCTTAGTCTCGGCTTGAATAGTCGGGCAACTTATGAGACATTCAGTGGAACACTTTACTACGCTATCTAGACAACGGAAACTTCATGTTTTTGAATACAAGTGGATGAAGCATTCCCCAATCCTACCTTTACCTAACGACAAGGATGAATGGCGGGGAGTTCAATGGGATAGGGTACCTTGTATGAAGCCGGCGGCCACTTCTCGGTCAAGTGGCGATCTTTGTTAGATAGATTTGATCAATCGTCTCCGAAGGCCCCTGTTCTGTACATTAAATGACGTGTCAGATATAGGAACTTCTGTATCCGTGCTTATATCTTCTACCATAGCCACTGTTAGTTACCCACCCCCGCTAAGACCCTCATGGAATTATCCGCAACACTTCAAATTTTACCAATACTGGCAGTGGACCGAACTACAGTCCAAAATATGAGACAATTATTGCTGCGAAAAGATGCACAAGAGATATAGATATCGCTCGCTGACAGTCTGGTCTCGTTCCAAGCCAAAAGCCGGAGGACACCCGAGTGAACGACTACCCCATTCAATTTGGCTTGCTGAGCGAACAAGCGATCCAGATTACCGATACGATTCCAAGCTTGATTCTTCAACACCTTCTCTCCGGTACCTGGAAGGCGAAAACTATCACCATATCATTTATCTCTCTTGCAACCATCGCCCAATACCTCAAAACCCACTCGGAGAAGTCTTCTCTGACCGAGCCATCGCAAGGGCGCAAGAACTTGATGCCATTTTTGAACGCACCGGGAAGCCTGTTGGCCCACTACATGTTCTACCGATAATAAACGCATTAACCTAGAGCATTGCAACACAAAGATATCTCATTGTACCGTTGCTTTAGTATGATTATGACTAGTCGCATCCTCCTACTATCATAGTTTCAATAATAATATGTAGTTCAGGAGGTAGTTCTCTTGAAAATCAAGATTCTTCTCGCCTGTCCATCTCTAAAGCGTCGGTTTCAGGCACCTCGTTTTAGTGGCAAATTGCTCTATGATAGTTTCTTTTCGTCAATCCTTTTCGTATACGGATATGAGCCTTCAATAATACTCTGAATACTATGACACTTCAAACTGTTGACTTTTGTGTGTGTAGATAAATACCGAAAGATCTTTCTGCTATTCGATATCTCTTTTTTGTTGATGACGTCCTTGATTAAATTATAGACGAGCTATCCAGTAATGATTCCCTTGAGGTCAGAATACAGCCGTTCAGAATCTTGAAATTAAGCTTCAACGGAGATGTGGCGGTGCGATGATGCGGTGGCGCAGCAGTGGAACCTGCGGGGATAGTGATATCATCACATGAGAAAACAAAACAATGGCTTGACTTGTCATACGCAACTCCTCGACTATTTTCTCTAAATATTTGATCTAGGTGCTCTCAAAGTTGATCTATCACCAGAACACATCGCGCCCGTGCCCTTGCTTGCAGCACGCGCCCGCTTCGTTTCGGCCTACCGCAAAGCCCCATTTGAGATACCAAAGAAATTAAAACCTTCATTTCTACCCATGCTAACTGGGTAATCTCACCAACTCCATGGAGTATTTCAACCAGATCAAGAACCGTCGTCGTTCTTCGCAGATGATCAGTGCGCCCAAGCCTGTCTTATCGCCCGAAGACGAAGCCTACCTACGTTCGTTAACCGCTGAGGAGGAAACTGTACCGATTCCAGCGGAACCCAAAGAACACACTCCAAATGAGGCTTCTCAGCTAGCAGAGACGAGTGAACATGCTGTGAATGTCCCTCTGCCAACTTCACCCGCGGAAGATTTTGGAAAAGAGCTTGGGGAGGAGGAAAGGCGTGAGCGGAAGGGGTCACAACCAACTCTGACGAGATCAGATACACCAAAGCCTGAAACTGCCCAGACACCGCAGAAGAAGAAGCGATGGAGCGCCATGTTTTGGAAGAATAACTCCGAGAAGAAGGTCAGTTCATCACTTGGAAACCTTGTGCTTGGTCTGGCATGTGCTAATATCTGTCGCGTATACAGGACAAAGAAGTCAGCGAGTCAGACAAGTTGCAGATCGAGACCTCGACTCCTCCCGCGACCTCGGACACCTCGAATAACGGGCAGAGTGCAGAGAAGGACAAGGATGCAGAGGACATGACGGATATCCTCGAGCGGTTGAACCTAGCAGCAGACAACAACCGAGTCTTCTCTATTAGCGACGAGACACAGGAGCTACTGCGCAAATTCAAGCTCATTTTCAAGGACTTGATCAACGGAGTGCCGACTGCCTACCGTGATTTGGAGATGCTCTTGACCAACGGGAATCGGCAGTTGCAGGATACCTACACGAAGCTTCCTGGACCTATGCAAAAGCTTATCGAAAAGCTTCCTGAACGTTGGACTGAAACTCTGGCCCCAGAGATGCTGGCTGTTGCAGCTGAGCGAGCTGGGAAGAGTGGCGTCAGCATGCAGAATGTGGGCAAGGCAGCTGCAGCTGCGGAGAAAATTGGTCTCAACGTGCCAAGCTTGAAGGAGCTTGTATCGAAACCTGCTGCCCTTGTTGGTATGCTACGATCAATCATGGCATTCTTGCGAGCTCGATTCCCTGCCGTTCTGGGTATGAATGTGCTCTGGTCACTTGCGTTGTTCCGTAAGTATAGTTTTCTGCTAACCTCCGACCATTTATGCTGACTCTCTTATCTCTTAGTTTTACTATTCGTTCTATGGTATTGCCATAAACGCGGACGCGAAGTCCGTCTCGAGAACGAGCGTCTCGTAACAGAAGAAGAAATCAACAAGCTCAATGAGGATGCCTCCGCAGAGAGGATTCGTGCCACCGAGACTTTGACAACCACGGCACCCCAAGGTGCCTCTCCCGAGGAGATCCGTGAAGGTGTGAGAAGGGTAGAGGAAGCCAGGGTCGCACCTTCTGTTACCCCTACTGAGCCTGAAAACGAAGCTGAAGAAGTTGTCCGACCAGAGCCCGTACCCGCCCGGTCGAAATCCCGGCTATCGATCTTTGGTCGAGCAAAGACAGAGCCCATGCCCAATAATGCCACTCCTTATCCTGGGACTTGATTTTGGTCTATCATGCGGAGTCGTTCTGTATATGGGGTCCGTGGTTGCTTCCCGAATCAGACCATGGCTCTGGGTAGACAAACCGGGATTCACTGCAAATGGAGCCTATATGCATATCTGTGATGGGTAGATGATATATGTAGGGATGATAATTCATGGATTGTGTTCACAGCCTCATCTGGACTAATTTTTCGATCACTTCCAACGTCTTCTGTACCTAGTGATTACCCCTTTCTATTCTGTTCACAATCATAGTTTCTCCTTTCTGCACAAGTGGAACGTGTATCAATATTATTTATTATTCAATACTGCAACTTTTGTGCGGGCGTCTTCAGTATCTTAAGGAAAAGAACGCGTGGTATTTGTTCTAGGTTCCAAGACCTAGTTTCCAAGGAAAGGTACTTCGTGCCTTGTGGAAATGGAAGTGAGCTTGTTCGTCTAGAGAAATCCTCCCCGGCCATTTTTATTACAATAATTCCGCTTTCGGCCTATCTTTGCCGTTGAGGCTCACGCTATATCATTCAAGCCCCAAATAGAACAAGAGGCAGTTGTTCTATTGTAGTTACATGTATATATCGCCATATATCAAGCGCTGCAATCTGAAATATGACGCCGACAGCAATGTCCTTCCCAGCATCTTTCATGAACGGCACCGCCTGGTTCGGTGTCAGCAACGGCATATAGTTTTGTCTTTCGAGCACAACTAGGGCAGGGCCATAGCGGAGGCCCTTAAGCACGCAGCTTACACAATCACCAACTGCGAGTACAGCTCCCAAGAGGGTACTGCAGGAAACTCATTCGAGAAGTTCGCCTGTTGATTTGATTCCGCCTTCGCTTGTACAGTAGAAGACAGTCGATTAGAAACAATGCAACTATTCCTGGATAGTGCATCGAGTCTAAAGATCAGACGCATTCAATGTTGCAATGCAATCGGAGGCGCACCCATCCATGGGTTGTGTCGTCAAAGCCAGGGCCGAGTTTGACCGGAGGGACCTCGTGGTTAACAGCAAAGGGGACTGTGGATTCGAATGCATGTACCGACTGAAGGGCATCAAGTGCGAGCTACTCCCTCCGTACATCAGACTGGCCGCAGGATGAGAGTTTCGCTGCTCCCGATAATGACCCTGGCTATGTCCGGTCTAATTCCACTGTCGCCGCTCATGAGCACCCTGGCTGTTTCCACTTACTTCGATGCAGAGCCGTTGCTGCGTCCCACGGACCTGACTTGCAATGTTCATTCTCGGTTCACTTACATACACGGGAAATATCTACGCTCAGACAGCGCTTGCCTAAAATTCTCTGCCTCGTCGCCAAGCAGCTGGATTTCCAAAGCGACCTCATCATGCGCCACACATCGATCTCTCGATATATCTTCCTTTTTGACCGTCCTTACCTGACAGACCCTCTTATCTTGTCACATCCCCTCACTTAGTTTCCATCCCTTAGCATATACCGGTACCTGAATGGGCAGGAAAATGCTTCTGGGATGAAGACAAGAATAAAAGTCCCACATTCGGCTTTGTAATAACATTCCGATGGACCGATATGTTATCGATCTCTTTCCTCGGGGTTTACGAGACACTGACTGGCTTCAGACGCCCAAACCGGTCAACCTGGCCATTCGACCTATGGAAATACGCTCATATCCTAGGAGTCTTCCAAGTGACACCATATCGCCTTGTGGATCACGGAATTCTGAGCTATGCCACGCAGAAATGCATAAGTGGTAGCCGGCTACGAATCTTCATTATTCGAGGAATAACGAAGAAGGATTACTCCCTCATGGCGCGGAAAGTGCAGAGAAGGGGAAATTGTCGCTATGCGACAATTTTATTCGAGCGCTGCTACCTCTTTCCGAGCTACGCCTACAGTCGCAATTTGGGTAAGAAGCCGGTTAAGAGAACAGTCAGGGGAGGTTATATTTAGGCGAATAAGGTCACTTTAATGCCGGTGCAGGCTTGCTTTAGTTCGAGAAGGCTCAATTTGTTCTGAACAAGGGCTTACTTCATTTACAACGATGCTCACCCTAATAGTATCAGGGCTCACCTCAATTTCTAACTAGGCGGGAAATTCACGTAATGTATTGTAAACCAATAATACAAATACGTCGCCCCTCGTATAGCATGCAGTGACTGCTTTATTGTGATCATTTAGTCTACTCTCCCACTGAGGACCATCATCCTCTTCTTTCCCTCTTTTCCCCGTCTGCTTGGCTTCTCACGCCCCCAATATTACTCGACCGGCATTCACCCTAGCTAGTTGTTTGACTTTCACGTCATTCACGTTAATTAATATTTACGATCTCCCCCATCTAACCTTTAAGCCTTCCATATCTAGTTCCACATCCATTCAACGCCCATTGCCCACCAGCCATGTATACCCTGGGGCAGCTCCCACCCGAAATTATCTGTCTGATTGGCGAGCAACTAAATTCACAGAGTGACCGCCTACACCTGATTTTTAGCTCTCGGCACATGTATAATATGCTCCTGCCAACCCTGTACTCACAGGTCCGCCTCTGTGACGGCCATCATGACATTGAAACCCTGGCCCCATTTTTAAATACAATTCTACGAAGTCCAGCCTTGGCAAAAGAAGTCCAGCACCTGAACGTGCAAGATTGGGGATACTCTCCGTGGGAGAAAGACCTCCAAGCTCGATTTGATTACAACGAATACGATTCCAACCTCATAGAAAATGCCGACTGTGGTATTCCCTACTCCGCCGAAGAGAGAGAGTTCCAACTCCAAGGCCTGAGAAAGGGCGACTCCGATGCCTGGCTGGCTCTTCTTATTCCACATCTCAACAACCTCCAAAGCCTCGACATAGCCTGGCCATATGAAGAGAACAAAGTCAATTTGATGTTCTCCAAAGCAGCCGAAGATAAGGGCTGTTTATTTCCTCATCTTCAAGAAGTTTACGGCGCACATTGTGACACAGAAGGCGGAGTCGACTCATACTACATGAACCCTTTTTTCAACTTCCCGGCTATGCGTAAGGTGAGCGGAAATATGATCGTGGAATTTGAGAAGGAGGAGATCCCTGGGACTCCCGTCAAGCGCTGCTCTGGAATCGAGGAAATCGATCTCGCGCTGAGTAACAACGAATATGGATTTCGCTTTTGGATCCAGTCTTGCATAGCGTTGCGTTCATTCCGTCTCGATGTTGGTGGCCCAATAGTCAGTAGTATTTCAATTCAGTCTGGTTATCTTCAAGAGTCGCTTTCATACCACAAGACGACCTTGGAGAGATTCTGGCTTCGGACGGATGAGGAAAGTGATCGTGATGAGGACGGGGGGTGGATTGGCTCCTTTGCGGAGTTTTCTGCCCTGAAGATGTTGCATGTTCCTTTTGCAATGCTGATTGATAATCTGGAGGCTGAGACGCATTGGGAGCTTGAAGCATTGTTGCCGCCATCTTTGGAATCCTTGTATCTATGCCAATGTGACTCGGACCTGGTCATCTTGGCTATTGATCAAATTGAGACTCTGTTGGGCTTGCGATGTCTGCCAAAGCTCACTTCGTTAGGACTTGAATGTTATATGCCCAAGGAATCAATACGACACAGATTGAGTCTGCTCTCTAAAACTTGTGAAGAAGCGGGTGTTACCTTTGTCAACTTACCTCCTGCGCAGCTGGAGACTTGGGACTATTTGGAAACAGTTTGGCCTCGTCATGCTTGAAATAGTTGACAAGATAAATGATTTTTTTATACCGTTGAAATAGTTCCTGATTATGTGTAGCATTGAAAACCAATTGAATTGTGTGTGTGTGTGTGCTTGAGAAAGAGAGAAAGAGAGAGAGGCATAATCAGGCAGGGAAATTTGGAATTGGGCTGAGGCGGGTGAATATCATGTCAAGACAGACTCGATAATTCCTACGTGGCACTGCATAGAAATAGTAGTTGTCATTGTTTTCACAATCCTTCCAATTCCCTCATTTCCCGCAACCCCTCTCTTGGTTCGAGTCGACCCACATTGTCTCGATAAGGCCAAGCTTCAATTCCAGGAGCCAGGTGAGGGAGGCCCCGTGGCGTATGGACAAAACCTTGACTCCTATCGTCATCGTAAAACTCACAGAAAACGGCGCTACTCACAGAACGAGAGAACTACATGTGATCGCCAGTCCTCGGCGGAATTTACTGTGATGCTCAACATAAAGGGTCTATGGAGCTTCCCGAAGGAGTGGAGTCAACTGCCGACAGAAATGAATGTTGTTCTACACGTGCAACACGTGCATAGAGGTTGCAGGAGAGTTTATTGAGTGTGCTATTCTTGTATCCAAGCAGGCGGTAGACTTCAATCTAAGACAGAGCTCTCTGGAACCTGCAAATGGCATCAAAAATGTAAGATATACGGAGCTCGCTGTTCCGTAGAGGCGTTGGAAGAAAGTGGAGCCAGTCATTGGAAGGTCATAGAAGTGGCCAGGTGGAGGAATGACAATGAAGAATTCTCGACTGAAAACATATTAGCGTTGGAGATATTGTTTCTCGAGGCTTCTGATTCGCTTTGGAGATAGAAAATTTTCCATAGGACTGCGGGGCAGAGATGATCTTGCATAACTAAAAAAGGAGACGGAAAGATCTTCCGTTTGTCGCCTCCGTGAAACGTGTCTCCTCACCGATAGAAAGATAAGAGGGCGATAGATCTCATGCAGACTATTTCCCTTACCGCTCCTATAGTTAGGCCGCCGAGCATGAGCAATGCATATAGACTTGGGAGTTCAGAAAAGGACCTGCAGCTTGCCGGTCTTGGACCGAACATGCCAAGCCGGCCGGAATGGAGCATCAAATCGCCACTGGACAAACATGAATAGGATCTGAGCCTCGAGCCAATAGATGAGGTGAAAATTTGAGCTGACACAGTTGAGCTAAAACGAGTCAAACAATATGATTCATCGACGGATGTGTCATACGTTCAAACAGTAAGCCCGAGAAAATGAATCATAGTCATCATCGTGCATATCGCAAGGGTCAGAGGCTGAACCGAGCGACGTCCTTGAGGTCTATCGTCTATCGAACGGTCTGTTGGAGGGAAATCCTGTAAGCGCTGGAGATCTCCGGTGCAGACTCGTACAGGCTGGCCACTCTGGACCCGCTTGCCCCGAGGTTGAGATGACGACTGGTTTGTTGTGTTTGTTAAGTGCAAACTGTACCCTGAAAGAACAAAACGTCAAAATTTATATGCCTTGTACAAGTAGGATATGTAGAATACTCTTCAATATGTAGAATATTCCCCAGAATAAGTGTAGCAATGTAACGATCAAGTGAAAAGAAAGAGTCGGTGAGCGGCGCCAACGAATGGGCTGCCGTCGTAGTCAGCCAATCACGGGCGCCCCCCACCTCCGGGAAAAAAGTCGACTATCGCCCTTCTACTCTTCTTCCTTCATTCCACCCATTTTCCATCCTCCAACTCATATCAAACAGTCAACTTACAATTAACTGAACCCTTCAAACATTTTACTTACAAGATATCGTCGAATAACCAGCCAAATGGCTTTCGTTGAGCTGTAAATGCCTCGCTGGGGAGCCATCCGGCTCCCCAGTCCTGCAGCTCCGATCCTTATTTCGACTTGACGATATCTGTTCCTCTTTCAACGCCTCCTCCGAAGCGTTGGAATTGCCCCAAAGTACACTCCCAGAAGGAGCACGGCGTTCGCATTGAACTGCGGGTGCTTTCACCAGAAAATTCTCCCTACCTCCGCTCCGCCTCCCCACCCTCTACCCACCTCGGCCCTCCCTTTTATGAACGACCTTGGACCCAATTACGAATATCTCCTCCTCCTAAAGAGATCCACTCACCACTCCTCCACTTGCTAAGCCCGCCTCAACGAAAAGGGAGCAGTAAATTCCCGACCACAAACCTCCACCTTTCCTACCTTTCTCGAAATGCCTCAATCCTCTTACTCCTCCAAACGGGCACCCAAGAGTTCAGCTAAAAACGCTCACCCACGCCCTACAAACCTCGAGAGCCACTTCATGCGCAACTTGGATATGTCTCCCAAGGCCAACCCCCCCCTAAAAAGTCGGCCAATGGTCGACCAACCGATAAAAAACGCAGAGCATCGTCCTCTTCAGTCTCTTCGGTGTCCTCTGTCTCGTCCCTTGAGGATTTAAGTGAGGAAGCAGATGATTCGGAAGAAGATGCGGATGATGAGGAAGAACCAGCTGTCAGGGCCCCGTCTTATCGTCGTAGGGACAATAAGACGGGGCGCCAACCTGGACGAGCTAAGAGAAGACGTGTTATTTCCGATGATAGCAGCAATCTTAGTGACACTGATGAAAGTTCTGACGATGTTTACGCTGCAGTGGACTACATCACGGATGCTGAAGACGAAGAGCAAGACGTCGAAAAAATGGAAGAAATGATGATTATGGAATCTGAAAGATCACAGCGGCCGATGCCTAGCTCAGAAATCAACGATGAGCAATGGACCATCTCCAACGTGTTTGATGACCACATGTTTTTACCTGCGGCTTCTTTCTTCGACGAGGAACACTTGTACTCCGCCATGGATACTTTTGGAGAACCAGAAATGACTAGCGAGGCTGTCGAGACTCCAGTTGCTCGACGAGTCCACTTCGAGGAGCGATCTGACTCGTCCTCTGACAGTGACTCCCACACCGACGATGAAATCCCCGGTGACTTTTTGCAGCAGGACAGCCTGGACCCACAGCTGCGTCGTATGATTGAAAATGATCACGAGTCTTACCGCGCCAACCACCGCAGGCAGTCTGAAGAGATCTTCGGTGATGCCGATTACGGCCACGGCAACATTTATCACGTTGAGTCCGAGGGTTCCTCCGAGGGCAGCCTGAGTGGATATGAGAGTATGATGACCGGTCATCAAAGTTTTTGTTCAGTTTTGCTAACCTGCTAAAGGCGACGATGGTGATACCACCGATGAAGATTTGCCCCCACCTGCTACCATCACCCACCCTCGATCCCTTCTTCGCCGGGACTCATCCGACTCATTGGCCCCTGTGGGTGACGACAAGAGCGACAGTGTCCCTCGCCGCCGTGGCCCCATAATGGGAACCTTCGTGGCTGACCCCCACAAGCCAGTCGCTCTGGTTGACTGCACTGGAAAGCACCTTGTCATTATTCCTGCCTACGCGTCCTCCCGCCACGACTGGCTTGAATCCGCCGCCAACAGCATGCCTGGAACTGCCAACACCAGCCCTCGCCAGACCACCCTTCACCTGGTCGACGAGAGTGACACCGATGCTCTCGCCTCTCCTCACCAGACGGACCTCAGCCCTATGCTGGCATCCAGCGCCAACCTCATGATGACCGCTCTTGGCAATGACCTGACACCCGGAGGCCAGGTTATGGGTCCTCCTGAGGCATTCTACCCCTCGCAAGACTTCACTATCGATAGCTCATTCGAAGAGGATGAAGATGATGACCCCGAGTCCACCCTCAATGTAGATGACTTTATCGATTTTGGCAATGGCTCATCGGACGAGGAAGATGACATGGACAACCAATCCGAGGATGAGGTCCAAGCCTCCCCAATGGGACCACCATCCGCCAAGTCCATCGGCGCTCGCACTCCCACGCGCAAATCAGACTCTCAGGCCCCTAACAACGAAGAACGCTTCCTGAACCATCTGGACAAGGGTATCGTCACAGCCTTCCGCCGCAACCACAACCGCTACCAGGCTCTCCTCCGCCTTCCCCAGCACCGCGAGTTTATGCCTGCCAACTCCCCGGCTCGTCCAGCAAGTGTCTTCCGCCACGCAAAGAACAACGACCAACGCACGCCAACCCGCAAGCGCAAGTCGAGCGGCATTGCGGGTGGCGAAGCCGTCCGCCGTAAGCTCATGGATGCCCAGCAACGGCGCAGCACCCAACTCCCAATGTAAACAACTGGTGCTTTTGATTGTCGTCTAGACACCCCCGAACCACACATGCACCCATATTTTACCCTTTTATGGCCATGTCCGCGGTTCTCATTACGATTTCCACGACTTTTGGATTTACAAGATCATGATACACACGGGCGCATCTCCTATTCATTTTTTGAGTCGCTGGCTGACTCGACTCTGTGGGCTGCTTTCCCCACCCCACCTTGAACTGGGCGCAAAAGCTCACACTTCCTGGTATCATTGCATTTCTGCTGCGGTAAGGATTGGAATCTGGTTTTCAGTGATTGGATGCCTTTTTCTCTAATTCCCGGCTTGCTTGTCAAAAGGTCTATGTTGGTTCTTGATATATTGAAAGGCCCAGATTACTTTACTTGTCTTGCGATTATTATTATTTTTTGCACTATCTATGCTTCTTTTTTTTTGCATGTCTTTTTACTTTCATTTACCTTTCTCCTTAACTTTTCTCATGGTGATACCTTTGGATCTGGAGTTAAAAAAATTCGCGGATTTCTGTTTTATGAGGGATGGCTATGTGTTTGCTCTTTTATCACTTATCAATTCCAAAAACATTCGAAAATGATCTTTTCCTAGTACAAGTATATGTAGTATGTACAAAACTTGATCAATGTTCAAACTTTCTGTATCATCGCATTCGTGAGGGAAGTTTGCTGCAGACTCTTGAGCCTCGGTCTTGTGGGCACATGCCTAATTCCGGGGTGCATTCATATTCCTTGCTTCGTTTGTAAATCACCCTACTTGAAGATTGAATTCCATCAGAATCTATAATCAATGGACCTGCGAACGATATTCCTGTTCAATTCATGATTGGAAAGCTTCAGGGTATGAAAGAAATCTCTGAATCCTTTGGTCTTCCAAAGATTGCGAATGAGCTTGATTTGAGACATATCTTGCCCATGTCGCATGGCCGTTCGGCGCGCCAAGATCTTTAGTTCATGTAAAACCAAGCTAGCCCACCATAAGTCAACTAATAGTTGAGCTTATTGCTACATTTCAAGACAGAGCGAACATAGATCACTCCACTAAAGAGCCTCGGTGTGTTTTATGTACTAACAGATTGAGAAGATGGGTACATGTAGATGCGCACATCACCTTCATGAATCACGCATTATCAAAAGCAGCATCACTCGTATCCTTCTGTCAGCTTTCAACCCGCTCCATCTGAACAGCATATCGGCAGACTTCAACCCAAAAATGCTGATTTATCTCTTTCTTATCAGCTGCAAACCCAGACATTGGGAGATAGCAGTGGATTCATGCACGGCTTAGCCCCCCGTGCCTTGCATAGCACCATGCACTTTTACAGGCTCTCATTTCTCATGCAAGATCAAAGGGTTTTATGTAATCATTTGTTATCTGAAGGGATTCTTTGTATAATAAACATGACTAGCGTGTCCAGGAATATAGATCTTGTACACAACTAAGTAACACCTATCAGATTTGGAGATATTTATTGTACCGGTTTGGGTCAGTCTGAGCCGGCTTTAGGTTTTGAAACAACGGGACATTTTCAAATGTACAAGTCTACAACCACCGGTACTAGTTAATATATATTTTGGAGACCTTTTCGGCAGAAATTTACAGGACTACTATGACCCTAGGTGGAAAGCCCCAAAGATCTTGTACTGTTTAGGGCTCGCTAGCTACAAGACATGACTGCATAAATCAGAAATAGAAAAAAGAAAAAGAAAAAGACACAAGCAAGAGAGGCGGCAAGTAAGCCTCAGCGAATGCTCTACAAAGAATAGCTTTGGGTTACACCTGCACTACAACCTCAAATTATCCCACTGCACACACCATAATATATTAAATGCTCGGCGAGACATAGCTTCGCAGTATAAATTATGCCTAGACTCTAATAGAGCAAGAGTACAGCGTCACATCCTCTGTCGGTGTGGCGTCGACCAGATTGGCTAGTATTTTTAGTTAAGCGTTTCAGGTTGGACGGAGTTAAGCTAACAAATCCATCGTTTGATCCAAAATCTTGAGAGAGCCGAGTGACATATTTCATTCTTTATTTGAAGGTTTAATTTATCAATGGACAGGGTTTCCAGAATTTGAATTCCCAAGGTCCCAAAGAGCGAACATTCCAAGCCAAAATGCCGCAGTGCCGGAGTATCGGAGACTGGCTTCTCACGGAGTTTCCGTATACTTCGCGGAAAACTTGCACGATTGACCCGAGATAATAAAACTCATGCTCATGCACATGCTGCATCGGTCACACACCCGTGCAGAAAGAATTCAAGGCATTGAAACGGAATTGAAGCCCCAAGAGAGCTGTCGAGTTGTGATCCACCAGTGGACGTTAGCGTGCAGGTTCGTTGGCGCTTCTGGTCTGCTTCAGCCTAGGGGTCCACAACTGCTTGGCAAAACAAATCAAGAATCAAATTGAAAGGGCACCCGTTCAGGTACCCGACGCCACAGATGTCAATAGACCAGTTAGGCCCTTGGAGTGGGCAGATTGTGGCACATTCTCACGCAACTACTGTTCGAGCTTTCAGGGGTAACCCCTTAACACATGTGCGAGAAAAAGAAAGAGGGAAATGCAATAAATCGGATATGCAGAGAATTTTACTCTGTCCTAACATGATTCCACCGGTCTTTGTTGGGCCTTGGGGTGCCTCTTTGTGATTTGCTGAACCCTGGCGCTTCGAGTGCAACAATCACAGCGCTTCTCCACAAAAGCAAAGCTCAGAAGATCAGCGACGATCACGCACGGATGGCACCGGCAGTCGAATAGAACAGCGAAATCCGAGCATTAGATTAACTCACGCTAACGTCTCAGGGCGAGACGCCAAGTAGCACTCCGTCTGACCGGTCGCATTTAGATCCTAATAGAAAGTACTGGTCGACTGCTGGACTAGAAACACGGGAATCATTTGAATATTAGATTTGAACAGTGTTGGAGTGTATACTTAGAGTCGAGTCAAACAAAGAAGACTTAGGGCCCTTCACGTAGACCCGGTCTCAACCGGTGCACCCCCAATGCTTTGCAATGCATGTAGCCGTGCCGATCAAGCGCCGTTCCATTGTTCAATGCTATTTTTACTCTTTTGTCTTCCTATTGGCTTAATTAACTACTTTGTCGAGTCGACGAACATGGCAAACCCCCGCAGGCGCTCTGTCCTGCAAGCCCTAACTGGTTCCCCGATGCAGCCTCTTCAGGCTGTTCCTGCACTAGTCGGCGCCGAGCCTGGAATGGATCCCAGTGTCCTCTTTTGGCTGACGAACGTTTCATATATGCCTTGAACTTCATGCCGATTGGAGGAATCAGCGCCCCCCTCTAGTAGCATGTCTTACCTGTTCCCTAGCTAGATACCGTCAGAGGGGAAAGGAAGGACCCTTTGTCTGCGATCATGGTCCACCATGGAGTCTTTAAGAGCGCTTTGCCCAGGACCCTGGACCACTTCCAGTCTGTCATTGTTTTTCTTTTTGGCTTCAGGCCTTCTCCCACTCGTTCAGGGATCTGTATTTCTTGTGCCACCCTCATTATTCGTTGGCTTTCATTGACGCCTTTCATTGTTGCTGGTCAAACAATCACGTCGTACTTAAATCACTGTATTGACTCTTTTCTGCCGAGAGCGTATTGACATCGTGCTTGATAACTCTCTTCTTTTCTTTTCTTTTCTTTTCTTTTCTTTCTTAATTCTTCTTTCTTCTCCTGTCTCGTCTCCCACTTACCCGCCATTCGTTATTGACGTCCTTCAACATGAAGGTTTCTTCTTTCGCGTTCTTCTCTCTTCTGGCCTCTGTCCAGGCCACTGGATCGGTATGCCACTCGATAACTGCTTGAGGATACCCATGCTAACATCCACAGTACTGGGGCTCTGAGAAATGCTACTCCAGCCCGGGTCGATCCCCTAACAAGTGTAATGATCACCAGCAGAAGGGTTTCAGCTGGTCTGATCTCGCTGCCGGTTCATTCTCCAGCTATGGTGGCTTTGAGTTCTCTGGCTTCACCTGTGGAAACGGCTTTGGCTCCAGCCTTGGCAAGCGTGGTGTAAGTTGGTTTTGATATTGACATGTCGAGACATCATGACCACCGGCAATGTACTAACCTCACTTTAGACCCAGAAGTGTATCTCCGGTACTGTCTCCCGTGGATCTTCCAGCTCTTCCAGCTCTTCCAGCTCTAGCTATGGCTCCAGCTCTGGCTATGGCTCCAGCTCTGGCTATGGCTCCAGCAGCTCCGGTTCTTCGGCTCCTTCGTTCTCCTGCGGCTCCGAGGAGAGCGGCTTCTCTGTGACCAACTTCCACATTGCTACCGAGAAGGAAACTGAATTGCACATCATCTACAGCATGCCCGATGGATCGACCTGTAAGAACACCGCTAGCTGCCACTCCGGCGGTACCACTGTCACCAATGACCAGTGTGGTGGTGCTACCTCCGTTCAATTCGAGCTTCCTGAGGACAGCGAGACTGAGAGTTGTGGATTCGGTATTTACAGTGTTGGCTTTGACTGTACTCCTGGTACTACTAGCACTGCCTCTGTTTCAGTTTCAGTCCCTGCCACCTCGGTGCCATTCACCTCAGTTGCTGCTGGATCTAGCTCCGTGCCCTCGGTCTCGGTTCCCTCATCTGTCTCTCCTGTCACTACTCCGGGTGTTAGCACCCCTGTCCAGATGACCACCTCGACTGTCTACACCACCAGCGAGATTACCATCACTAGCTGTGCTGCTAGCGTTACCAACTGCCCGGCCGACTCGACTACCGTTGTGACTTCGACCATTGCTATCTCCACCACGGTCTGCCCAGTTACTGAGACTACCCCTGCCGCTGCCAGCTCCCCGTCTCTGCCTTCCGGTCCTAGCAGCGTCTTGCCTGCCAGCTCCAGTGCCCCATACTCATCTGTCTGGTCGTCATCTGCTAGCGCGACACCTGCTGGAACTCCTACTCCTTCGACCCCTGGCGCCGTGACTACTCCTGGTCCCGTTACCACGCCTGCTCAATGGACTACCTCGACTGTGTACACCACCAGCGAGGTTACCATTACCAGCTGTGCTGCTAGCGTTACCAACTGCCCGGCCGACTCGACTACCGTTGTGACTTCGACCATTGCTATCTCCACCACGGTCTGCCCAGTTACTGAGACTACTCCTACTGCCGCTAGTTCGGCTTCTCTGCCCGGTGCTCCCAGCCCCAGCAGTGTCTTGCCGGCCAGCTCCAGTGTTGAATACTCCTCCTCTGTCTGGTCTGGATCCGCCAGCGAGACTCCCTCGGCTCCAGCTCCGTCCGATTCTGCTTCAAACCCCGCTGGAACTCCTGCTCCCTCCACTGTTGATGCCGTGACCACTCCTGGTGCCGTCACTACTCCTGCTCAATGGACTACCTCGACCATCTATACTACCAGCGAGATCACCATCACTAGCTGCGCCGCCAGTGTCACTGACTGTCCTGCTGGTTCCACTGCTGTTGTCACATCTACCATCGCTATCTCGACCACTGTCTGCCCCGTCACTGAGACTATCCCGGCCGCTGGATCTTCCTCTGTGCCTGGAGTTCCCAGCCCCAGCAGCGTTCTTCCCGTCAGTTCGTCTGCCCAGTCCACTGGTCCCAGTGAGACTCCCGCTCCTTCGGAGTCCGGCTTGCCTCCTGCAGGCACTCCTGCTGTTCCTAGCGTGACCTCCGCTGCTTCGTCTCCCGCTGACACTCCAGGTGTCCCTGGTGAGGCCACCACCACCGTTGTGACTTACGAGACAGTGACCACCTGCCCTGTGACCAACACCGTGACTTCCGGTTCCTCTACCTTTGTGACCACTTCAAGCACTGTGTCGACCGTCACTTTGACTTCTACCTCCACGGTTTGCACCCAGTGCTCTGCCACTGCCACCTCTGTTGCTGGTCAGAGCTCCGTCATCCCATCTGATACTCCAGAGGGTTCTAGCCCTGTGGGATCAGAGACCGTCCCTGTCCCTACCGGTCCAGGCGTCACCAGCTCCATCACCTCCAGCGTTGCTGCCATCTCTACCCCTGTCGTTCCTCAGGGCGAGACCACCACCGTTGTGACATACGAGACTGTGACGACATGCCCTGTCACTGATACTGTCACCTCTGGATCCTCTACCTTCATGACTACCTACAGCACTGTTTCTACCGTCACCCTGACTTCGACTTCGTCTCTGCCCAGCTCAGTCGCTGCTGGTAGCACTCCTGCTCCATCTGGAACCGAGGTTGCTACCAGCCCTGCTCCCACTGGACCCGCTGTGACCAGCGTCGTTGTCAGCTCTACTCCTACAATCCCCGAGGGTCAGACTACCACGGTCGTTACCTATGAGACCGTCACTACCTGCCCTGTCACTGACACCGTCACTTCTGGATCCTCCACATTCGTGACTACCTACAGCACTGTTTCTACCGTCACCCTGACTTCGACTTCGTCTCTGCCCAGCTCAGTCGCTGCTGGTAGCACCCCTGCTCCCACCAGTGTCGGTGCCAACTCTACCCCTGCAGTTCCCGAAGACCACACTACCACAGTTGTAACTTACGAGACTGTCACCACCTGCCCCGTTACTGGCACCGTGACCTCAGGCTCATCCACCTACCTGACCACCTCCAATACCGTCTCCACAGTTACCATGACCTCAGTGTCTACAATCTGCACCAAGTGCAGCGCTACAGCCACAGGTACCTCCGACGTCTCTGCTGCAACTACCACCGCTGTCGCCGTCACCGGAACCTCCCCAGCATCGAGCCCAGCTCCCTCCGCTCCCTGCCCCAACACTGTTCCCCAGTGTATTAACACCTGGTTGAGCCTGGTGCCCAAGTGCACATCAAACAGCGACGCCTCCTGCTTCTGCCCCAACAGCGAGTTCACCGACAAGGTCATCTCCTGTATCCAAGCCTGGGGAGCCTCCAAGGCCGAGGTCCAATCTGCCCTCTCCTACTTCACTGGGATCTGCGCAACCTGGGTGCCCCAAAACCCAGGCATCGTCACCGCCATCCCGTCAACAATCACCCTCGTCCCAACAGTCGTCCCCTCAGTCGCAGTCTCCAGCGACGTCGACGCAACTGGTGTCCCAGCAACCCTCACCCCAGCCGCACCTCTCACCTCTGCCCCGGCTGTCCCCTGCACCACTATCACCTACTCGACCTACACCTTGACAGTCCCCCAAGTCAGCTTCATCACCAACACAGCTACAGGCACTGGCGTCAGCGCAGGTGCAACAGTCGGCCTCGTCCCCGCCGGTCCAAGCACCAGCGCCGCCTCCCCAGCCAACACAGGCGTCGTTCCAGCACCCGCATCCGCAACCTGGGTCACCGCCTCAGCAAGCGCATACGCCTCTGCCAGTGGAAGTGCCTCGGCTAGCGCCTCGCCAGTCTTCAACTCGGCGTCCAGCTTGTCGGTTGCTAGCAGCCTGGTACTGGGCTCGTTGGCAGTTTTCTTCAGCTTGATGCTGTAAGGAAACAGGCTTGACTTTCCTTTGACGGATCTAATTTGATATGTCTTCCCTGATTCTTGTTTCCTCTTTGAATTTGATTGTCTTCGTTGGTGTTCCCACTGCTTCGGGGCGCTCGCGAATTGACTGATATGGATTTGGCTGCGAGGGATGCCTTTTGTATTGTACTTATTCACTCCCTAATCGAATGAAGATAGACCTCGTTTGGCTTTACTTGATTTTTTCGTTATGTGTTTTAGTAGTGGACTTCGGTGGATATCAAATATTTCAACTTCTCAGGCTCAAGTTATAGAGACATGTACATTGCCATTCGATCTGTTGACCCCCTTTTTCCCACTCCGCCCATTTATTGCTTGCTAATTGTGCTGGTATCTTACCGGCGTTGTTCGGTTGGGACCATTGAAGCTCCACCTTTTTGCAATATCGGAATGATTTCTTCCTGTGCCTCGACTTTTTCTTCACGTGTCGGCCATATGAGAGACCCGTCTTCGTTCCCTAACCAGGTAAGCCTTTTTCTCACTGTCTCATGGAGAGCTGTGTTTCCCTCTTTATCAACTACACCGAGATCTGCACCGCGGCTAACAAGCAAACGGGACGCTTTGTATTGACGCAGGTTTCTCGCCAAAAAAATATAGTGCTGTCCATCCTTTCGAGGATTCAATTTGGTTGATATTGACCCTGTTGTCAGCCCCAGTCACTGCTTTGGCAGATTCACCATCTCCATGGTTGTCAACCAGTGCTGAATAAACTCCAGAATCCAGGATCCACTGGCTATGTGCAGGCTCGTGACATTCTCAGTGTCCAGTTATCAAGGACCTCGATAACTACTACACATGATTCCGTGTGAAAATACATTTCCATTGATGATGATGATGATGGCTTTGAAGGGATACCTGCCAGCAGTGGTAAGATTCAAAGAACCCTGCCCACATCAGATGAAGATAGATTAGACCCCTTCGTAAACCAGTATTAATCCATCGGAGGCACAAATCAAGAACAAAGAAAGACAAAAAAAAGAAACCTCCATAGGGAATCTAACAAAAAAGATAAAAGGAAATAGACCCACCGTCCATGAGCATCACCACGAGCTCGCCCGAGTATCGCCCTCACTCCTTCTCGGCCTGCTTTTGGTGGTTGAACAAGGTACCATCAAGCCACTCCATGTACTCAGGAATACCTTTCTCAATGTCACGGAAGACCATGCGCGCATTCTTGCAACGAAGGCTGGAGATATCGGCACAGGTGGTGTTCTGGTAACTTCCCTTCAAATGGTGAGGGAACTGGACGTTGCGGATGTATCCCTCTGGACTGCCGAAGTGGCCAACAACCTGCGTGGCGACCTCCTTGAAAGATCTTGCCTTGCCAGTGCCGACGTTGTAAATTCCCTCGGCTTCGGGGTGGTCATAGAACCAGCAGTTTAGGCGAGCCACATCCTCCACGTGAACAAAGTCGCGCTTCTGCTGTCCAGCTTCATATCCCGCGTATTCTCCGAAAAGCTCGACCGCCTTGAACTCCATGCGTTTGTTGTAGAATTGGTTGACAACGCTAGCCTTGGTGCCCTTGTATTGCTCGGCAGGTCCGTAGACGTTGAAGAGGCGAAGACCAGTGACCTGCTGACTAGGATTCTGCTTGTTCTTCACGGCGTACTGGTCAAAGAGCAGGTGGCAGTAGCCCTTGGGAGTCAGAGGGGCTTCTTTGCCGTCCCTGTCACTGAAGTTTGGGCCAGCTCCATAGACAGCAGAGGAAGAGGCGTAGATGAATCGGATCTTCAACACCTGGCACCAGTTGAGCACTTCCTTTGCGTAGGTGAAGTAAGCATCCATTACATCAGCGCCGCTGGCTTCGGCAGATGCGCCACCGTAGTGGTAGACAATGCGGGTCTGCGTGAGGAACTGCTTGTTGCGGCTGAGAGCCCTGAATTCAGTAGTCCCAATGGTGGAGGTTTTGTTGCAGATAGCAGCACGGAAATCGGAGGGCGAAATCAGATCAGTGATCTGACAGTCAGCTAGGTTGCGAAATTTAGCGCCATCAGTGCCAAGGTCATCGACTACGACGATGTTGCTGAAGCCACGGTTGTTCAGCTCCTTGACCAAATTCGAGCCAATGAAGCTCGCTCCCCCAGTGACGACAATCATCGTGCGTGGCTGCTTTGGCTCAGTGGAGGTGACCGTATGGCAAAGAACCGTAGAGGCAGGATGCCGGTAAGAAGAGTGCCTGACATGCTTTCGTAGGGGGGGGAAGGGGTCTCATAATAATCCCATCTCTTCATGGTGAGCACGTGCACAGAACAGAAAGGATAACGACGATGGAGAAATGTTTGGAAGGCACGACTCCAGTATCACCGGGCATAAACATGATCTTGGGTTACTTCGTCAACATTCTCTCTCTCATTTTATAAATGCGCATTGTATATATATATATATATATATTTGTATATGCTAGGGGCAATATTCTATTAGCAAAGAAAGATACATAGAACAAGTACACAGAACACAATCCATCTAGAAAGGGAGATTATATAGCCTTACGAGGATGCAGCCTTCCCGACTTGGGATAGTGCATTAGTTTCTCCTGTTGAAGGCGGACACATACAATAGGCGGGTAGGAGCCCAGCAAGTCCTAACAGGGAGGCCGTTCAAGTTTTTGACATAGACTGTTTGTCTGTCCCAATGAGGGAAGTGGATACCTGACTCGTCAGGCTTGCAGATCCCCCGGTTGCTGCCTTAATTTGGTGCCTTGTACTCTGCCTCTTATATGTCTACTCTGTATGTCTAACGCCAGACTGGCTTTGTATCTGAAGCATGGCAGGCCTATCTGGCTGGTGAGCAGTGGCAATTCTCAGTCACATCTTGAGCGGCATTCATCTGTGATCAAAGTCACATGCTACTCATAGAACTAAATCTGAGACATCCTTGAAGGATGTCATTACCTATTGACAAGAACCGTATATATAATTTGGTCTTCACTGATCACTTTCATCCATTGAATATTTGCCAATACCACATCTGCAAATCCATCCGCCTAGCCTTCCATCTCCAGACCGACTCACTTATTTTTCTCAGTCCGAGGATAATCTCCCAGGTGACTGACCTCCGTGCATTATCAAGATGATAACCAACAAGAGACCAGCAAGACTAATTCTAGGAGGCCTGACCATGTACTCCTCCATAAATATGGGGTCTACGATACCACCTTCGTTCCTGAAGGACGTAGTATATCGTTGAAGAACGGAGTCCTCGGTAATCTGAACCTCCGATGATGCCTACCATACATCGACTGTCTCCCCTTAGACAGCCAAAAAGAAAGATGATTCAATGTGATCTTCCTTGTCCCATAGGGCTGCCAGCGCGGCAGAGAAGCGGATTCTTGTCGATCCTTCAGAGTGGGACTGACTTGACATAGTGGGGCGAGTAGTGTGTTTTCCTGCCTAGTGTCATAGAAACTGGCTCGTGCATTTACTATAGGGCGGGGATTGTCATTGATGATGCTGTGTTTGGTGATCAAGCGACGAAATGCGAGCTTGTATCGACGAAGATTGAATATGTTCATCTGTGTGGGGCGGTGTCTGGGCGTATCAGCGCGGTACGAGGACTATCATCACGCCCGTCCGGTGTGATATTCTCGACGTCAGCTTCGCCTTGTGGTGTTATTCTTGGCCCTGTTATCGATGCTGGTTGGGTGCCTTGCTGCATTCAAAGGGCCGGGAGTGTACAAGTACCGCGGAGGTGAGCACGCATGCGTCCGCGGAGGTACATGACATGCAGATATCGAGTATGTGAGTTCAAAACATGGGACAAGATTGTCAGCCGACAGGAACTGGCGGGCAATGTGTCGCGTGCAAAGACTGTCGGACGATCTCCTCCACCGGTCAACTATCTCCAAGGGGTGAGAACAATGGGCGATCTCCTGGTTTTTGGGAACTCCGGCAGTCATCGGAGCAGGCCGACCCATCGTTCCTGAGCGAAACGGGGCAACAGTTAGCCGCGCTAGGCTATGTGGTTCCATTCACCGAGGAAACCCCGTTGAGGCTTATCGAGGAAGTCCGACCCGATATTCAGGTCGGAGGGGTGCAAATTAAAGCCACTGAAATTGATGACGAATGGCTCTCTGTTCTGGGATTATCGACGCCACTGGCTTTGGTGGCTGTCAGGGGGAGATTCGGAAGATAGGAGAAATAGCCATGTACCGACAGAACTTCATGCAGTGACAGATCCAAACAGGAACAATAATTGCCAACTCCTTGCAAGGCGATCAATATTCAATAGTTCAATTGAATGTATACATATGACAGTGTTGAAATCCTCTTCTGCAGTGAAGATCTCCTCCCTTATCTCGTTAGTAACCAAGTCCCAAAGATAAGCCAACCGGCCTGGATTGGCTGAACAATGAGGCTTCGAACAATGTCCCAGTGATCAATTCACTCTACTCAATACACTACTTCGGACTTCACACTAACTCTACATATTCATATGATTTTGCGCTATTGGACACTTCTCCTTGCCGGTTAAGATAAGCCTTCTCTACACCAGTAGGCGTCCGTAGAAACACCACACTCCAGCCGAGGTGTGAAGGTTAAGCTGACAGGGATACCAACGTCCGGAGCTCCGGTAGACACGTCTACTTATATTGATTGTGTCTCCCCGGACTTGCCAATGCGTGTGCCCAAATGTCTCAATACACAGAGACCGCAACCTCACTATGGTGGCCCGAAGAACGGATCAAGGCCACCCTGGACACAAAGTACATTGTTAGCCGCCTGCGCCAGGAAAATATCCCGCGGCTGTTTGAGTTGCCGCGATGGGGCGAGGGGTTGACCAGCGAGACGTATATGGAATATATCCTGCTCAAGGCTGGTCGGCTCTTTCTCATTCTGGATGCCATTGGCATTCCCAATCGCATCTTTGCGCTTGTTGATGAGTCGTGTGATGATGATGATTTGCCCGTTGCCGAGCACAGTGTCGATCTTCTGAAGCTTTGTCCCCATGGGGAAGATGTCACTATCGATACCCGCTTCTTCCATGCGCAATGGCGGTTTTTGGTCCGAGGCATTGGGGAAGGTGATCATGTCGTCTATACTGAGAATGAGGGTGTGCCTGTTGAGGCCGTACGCTCTCATACGAGTAGTGGGCTACATGGTCGCGATGATACCGTTGACAAGGTTGTCCTTGCTGGTTCGGTCTGTCGAGTTTATATGCGCACTCAAGTGCAAGTCGGCGGTGCGCCACACTTCTTTTCCTCGACGGAGGTCCTCGCTGAGATCCGCAAGCTGAGGAAGCTCTCCCATGAACACCTCATCTCGGTCTTTGCCTCCTATCTCAAAGATGACAGTGTCAGCGTGCTGTTCACCGGCGCTACGGCGGATTGGACTCTGCACAGCTTCCTGACTGACGAGCCGTCAGCCTTCAAACGACTGTCCAAAGAGCAACGCCGCCAGACACTCATCACCTGGCCTCACTGTCTGGCCTCGGCAGTCGCCTGGCTTCACGCCAGTGGTCATTCCCACGGCGCAATCCGGCCATCAAACATCTATGTCGACGCCAATTACCACATCTGCCTCGGCCAATTCCAAGCCCTAGACTCCCTCCTAAGTCCTCCACACGTGAACGACCTCGAGGCATACAACTACTCAGCACCAGAACGCTGGGTTCGGCCCCCTGCACCAGCAGCAGCACCCCAAAAACCGCCGCCGCCACCCACAACCCTCCTCCAATCCGGCGGACGAACAAAACGGCGCCAAAAGCCAGCCCGGCTAGCCCTATCCCCTCTAAACGAAAGCCCACCCTCAGCGGAAAACACACGCCCAGACTCGGCCGCTTCAAAGGGAACAGTCATCCGCATAGGCCTACCAGGCTCACCATCGCGCTTCTCCTTTGCCTTCTCCTCATCCTCCTCATCCTCAGGCGCATCATCAACAGCCTCATCAGGAGCAACAGATGCAACAATGAGCCCACCCCAAAACCAAACTACAAAAAAAAACCGCCCCTCCTTCTGGCCACTAAAATCAAGAGCAAGGTCCTTCCTCTCCTCCTCCTCGACCTCCTCCTCTTCAAATGCCTCCTCAACAACCCGCTCCTCAACCCCTACCTCACCTTCAACAACATCCCTAGCCCCAAGTACCTCACCAACAAACACCCTCCACCCCCCAAGCTCCTCCCTCCGCCATTCAAAATCGGCACAATCCCTAACACCCTCCTTCCGCTCCTATCGGCCCCCAACACCACACTCAACCCTCTCAAACCCAATCCCATCATCATCATCATCATCATCATCATCATCATTAATCCCAAAAGACGCTCCAGCAGACCTCTTCTCCCTAGCAGCAATAACCCTAGATATCCTAACAACCCTGCACAAACGAACCCTAGCATCATTCACAACGCACCGCTCAGCACGCAACAGATCAGCAGGCCGCGGCGGCGGAATGGCAGACGCATCCTTCCACCTCTCCCGCAACAGCGTGCAGGTCCAATCATGGATTGCGTTGTTGGAGGGCGATGCGCTGAAACGCTGTCGCCGGGATAGGAGGTCTGATCTGTGTTTTTGGGCTGTGCCGCGTATGCTGATTGTTGTTCGGGCTATGCTTGATGGCGATGGGGGGAAGAGGCCCAGTGCTAAAAGGGTTCGGAGGTGTTTTGGGGGCGCTGTTAGGATTGGGTTTGGCGGGGAGGGGGTTCATTGTGGGAAAGGTGGGAATGGGAAGAAGGATGGTGGGAAGGAGAAGGGGGAGAAGGAGAGGGAGAGGGTTGATGGTGGTGGTTATGGAAGGAGTCTGGAAGTCATTGGTGAAGAAGGTGTTTCTTCTGGGTTTGGGTCTTACGCTGCTCCTCCTGCTTCGATTGCACCCTCTGTTGTTCCCTCTGAGTCTGCTTCCGAGTTTGATTTCGGGTTTGACGATACGGGTAGTGGCACTGAGAGTGTTGTTGATGAAAGTGAGGATGAGACTGAGCATGAGCGGGAGAAGGGACCTCAGATCAAGATTGCAGAAGAAGACTGCGAGGAGGATGTTTCAGACGACGAGCCTGAGATCCATGTTGATCGGGTTTCGCCTCAGTTGTATTTGCCGGATTTGGATGTGAATATTACTGGGATTGAGGGGTTGACGTTCACTAATTAGTTCGTGTTTCTATCTTATGTTTTATCTATGTGGGGATGTACGATTATGTCCAACGGCAGTAACTTATATTCATTTGTGTACACGTGAAAGACAGACCTGGTACCATACCCTGTATGTAGACACCAAAGACGCCAACTGCTTCCGTGTAATGCAGTGTTCGAACGTTCTATCAGAAACCATGGATGCATATCAATACAACTCGCAATGTAATCACAGCCAAAGGGCAAGGGCACCGAGCATGCCAGAGAGAACAATCGAACCGGCGAGGAGACGCTCCGTCATGGGGGAGCTGGCGGACACTGCGAAAGCAGCACCCTCCTTGGTCGAGGAGGAAGTAGCAGAAGCTCCAGTGCTGCTGGCACCACTGCCACCGCTGGTCGTGGCGCTGGAACCGGAGCCCTTCTTGTAGGTCTGGCCCAGGGTGGGAAGGGGAGCGCTGGGATCCACGTCCCAGCCACCAGAGGTCGAGGCAGGGCACTCGATGGACAGGCCGGTGGCGGACTTTTTGTAGTCAGAGAGGGCAACACCAGTTGGGTTCAAAGTGGCCCATTGAGACTTCAGATTGTCAAAGTCGGGTGACACAGGGGTTGGGGTACCCTGGCGAGTGAAACCATCCTCGATCGAGGTGGCAGTAGCGGTAGCAGGCTTGACACTGGGACCGTAGCTGATCAAACCGTAGTTGTTGGTCTCTTCAATCCACTCATAGATGATAGATCCAGACCAAGTATCGACCATCTGGTCACCAAAGATCGCGGACTGATCCTCGAAAGTACGAGGCTTGGGAGTGTTGCACCCGGTCTCAGAGAAGAAGATGGGAATGGGGTAGTCAGTCGCGTTCTTCTGCAGCATGTTGTAGCCGGATTGCTGGTAGCTGGAGTCACCACACCACTCATAGGCATTGAGCGAGTAAAAGTCCAACCGCTCAGAAGTATTCGTAGAGCAGCCAAGGTAATTCTGAAGCATAGGTCTCAAATCGGCAATGTCCGCCGCGGAGTAACCAACGGGGATCTCGCGATAACCCTTCTGGTCACGGTACGCCTTGACATCGCGGGCAGCGGCCAAGACATAGGGAGCAGCAGCGGAACCCTCAGCAGTGGTGAGGACTTCGTTTCCAACCAAGACACCGGCGGTGTTCTCATACTTCTGGAACTCATCGAGAACCTCCGTGAAGCGATCAAACTGGGTCTGGTTCCACTGGGGGGAGGTCTGCTCGATCTGGGTGGTAAAAGTGTCCAGATCAACCCACAGGTAGATACCGGCATCGGCCAGAGCAGTCATGCAACCCTTGTGGTTGGCACTGGGATCGACATGATACACACGGATAGAGTTGGCGCCCAGCTCGGACATGCGGGCGATGTCGCGCTTGCATTGGGCCGTGTCAACCAGCGGGTCCGAGGGTGTCAGCTGATAAGCAATGCCTGGAGGGTCAGTTTCTCTACATTGAGGAAGTGTGGAGGTGAGGTACCCTTGATGTAGAATTGAGTGCCATTCTCATAAAAGAACTTGGACCCGACAGCCGAAATAGTCGGCACGGCATTGACTGTGGCGGCCTGCAGACCAGCCAACAGGAATGGCACCGAAAATGCCAAGGAAGACAACATGATTATGGAGTAAAAGGTGTGGAGTACAATGGACTTGGAATTGAAGTAATTCAGAGAGAAGTTTCTTCTTCTCTCGAAATATGTCAATTGATTTGAATGATAAAAAGGCAGGTGCGATCAGGACAGGAACAAAACAGAAACTTCGGGGTGAACTACGGAAATGAAAGCCACTGCAATTCCTTGATTTGAGCCAAATTACCTGCAGGGTTAGCTAGCGTGCTTCATTCTTGCCGAAAATGCCAGGGATGATGATGTGAGCTCGATGTTGACGTGTGAAGATTCATTGCAGAACAGCAACAGCAACAGCAACAAGCAAGTACGACATTTAGAAATACAATACTACTGTTGCGTACTCGGTACTCGGTACTTCGTACATGAACGTAAATATTTGTTGACCCCAAACAAACGTGGGGGGCCGTTAGCCCTAGCCCCAATCACGTGGCACAGCATTGAATCACATTGGTTACAGTAGTTAACTCAAGGTAAAGGAATAACATGAGTACTCCGCAACTTACAGTAGATATAACTTGGGACATGTAGCTTCTAGAATTCTAGAACTCATCTCTGTATTTGATTTCACACACGTGAACGTTGATCATTCCACACGTTCCGCCCCTGAGCCTGGAATCAGCCAGAGTCCCACACTCAAGACTATAGATTGAGGCGTTGAGACATTCTATAAATGCGTTAAACAGATAACGTAAATAGCCCAGTCAGTCTCACAGCACTCTCTGTACTCAGTACAGGGTAACGCACAGTATGTATTAAAATCAAAATTGCCTGCATTTTAAACCCTGTCAATCACTACTCTTCTTGCTCTAGATGACCCCCCTCATACACTGTACCCACTCGACTCTAACGGGGGAAGATAGTCATCAAACCTGGCACACGGCTTGCGATCATCGGCGGTTTCTGATTTCTCTTTGTATCTTTGTCTGAGTTTTCACTAGAGGAAACTGGTTGATATCCTGGTTACTGATAGTCTTGGGCAGCCAACCCGAACACCGATCGGGTCGGAATACAGGAGTCTGAGACCCCTATCTTTCGATAAATCAACGCTAATATAACGCCATCGCGCTTTGTTAAATCTCCCACGAGCCACGTTACCCCACTGGGCGGTCTTCGGCGGTCGCCCTGGGGCTAGAACGGGGGTCCTAGCCCCTATAGTAAAGGGGACGATGAGTTTGTAGTGTATACGGAGGCTGAGAGCTGCTGATAGCTGAGGAGGCTGTATACGAATTTCCAATGTAGAATATCCATATACTACTGTACTCTGTACAGAATAAGCTTATGTATACTTAGGCCTGTAACCGTAACATGGATGTGCAAGTCCAGACTGTCTCCAATCTCCACCCTCCACCCATTCCGGACCAAGTCCGCCAATGATCAACGCCACTGGCAAAGTGTTCGTCAGCTAGTGGACCCGAATTGCGATCGACTCCTCTACCCTGGACTGTGCCCCCAAAACGGGAGGCAAGGCCTGATCTACGACCATGACGTTTCCGCAAAGGGGGAACTATATTATTCTCTGATGCCCGCATCCGGCCCCTGGACCCTTATGCCTCCAGATCCCTCTGTACGCCCTACATATACATGTATAACCTCATTGACATTGATCATTGATCAGAACTCAACATGTCGTCCCCCTTCCAAATCCCCTCCCACGCTCAACTCGAGCTAGAGCGCAACGAAGCCTTCTGCACAATGCGCGAACAACTCCGCAGACAAGAATGTGGCATGGAACGACCGAGCTTTTGCACCGCCCATCGCCACTCCTGCACAACGACAGAACAAGAGACTTTCCGTCTACACCGCGACATCATCCACACCCTCCTCGTCCCCCTCTTCCTAATCAACCACCAAGCCGAGCGCGTCGCCGCCCGCTCCCTCCCCAGCAAGCGGGCCGCCGAACCAGAACGCGCCTTTCGAGGCGAAGCCCGCAGTGCCTTCGCCTGGCTCAACTGCATCCTCACCGAGGAACACGACTGGTACCTCACTGCCCGCTGCCCAGCCTGCATCGTCCTGCATGTCCTCCACTCCGAGCCCACCATTCGCTTCGTGACTGTCGCGTCCCAGCTTGCTGGTGCGCGCTCGGGTTTCCAGTGCTGGTTGACAGCGCTCGAAGCTGCCGTCTGCGAAGATCCCTTCTGGGGCGACGCCTTCTGGCCTGATATTGAAGAGCGCGCTTCTCGCTTGACGGATGGTGTGCAGGAGCTCATTTGCCAGTGCTACGAGCTCAGTGCCACTCTTGATAACCCGTCCCGGCCTATGCCTTCCGCCAAGTCTTCCATGCCCGCTTATGGCCGCTCTGCTTCTTGCAATATTGCCCTGAAGCCTTCCAGCTTTGCGAGGAAGCAGGTTCGTCTTACGCGCGAGGAGCAGAAGTATCGTTCTTCGCTTTGGGGTTGTTCGCAGGATTTGCGGCAGCCGCTGGCCGGCTGTACTACTGCTACTCAGTCTCGGCGCCGGTCGCTGACTTCTTGAGGGGAAGCGGGTTATGTTGTTATGGTGAAACCATCATAGCCAGCATATGCATTTTTATCTCTCTTTAGCCACCGCTGGTGGACTACACACATGCCGACCGGCTTGTTTCAAGCAGGCAGTGTAACCTACACACACTTCCCGATCGGGCCTATCCAGACGGAACAGGCCCGTCTCGATCATCGAACCAGGTTCTAAATAAAGTTCCTCGCCTCTTCGGGAACCATCGGGAATAGTGTCCCGAGACAGACATCCACGCGACCGAGACAGATCTCACTACGCAAGGTTTCTCGGATCTGGAGAACGTGAGCCGTTATTGTACCATGATGCAAGACCTAGAACCAGATCCATGGACTGTTTCTGTCCAGTCTTCAAGGGTCCCATTCGCCGATCGGCAGAAGAATCCGGATTGCCTCAGGCTGATGCATGATCACATATACATATTTAATCTTAATACAATCTAATCACATCGGAATCTCCATATTGCAATGTAGCAAGGAAGGTAACAACTATATATGTACGCGTGGACAGGGTGCACTCATAAATATCAAATTAAAGGTTTCAACTCGGTGGCAAGTCACTTAACCTGAGACCGGTGGAGTAGTCCGGAGATGGAAACTGGGATCAGAACCAGGCCGGGGCGCACAGTGGAAATTAGTCAGGTCAGATGTGTTTCGCGAGTGTCTACTGGAATTGAATCAGTACTAGTAGTCACTTATGTAGTCCACTTAGATCGAAGTCCGGGGAATGCGAACTTCATGCGAACCCTGAACAAGAATAGACTGTGGAGAGAACAAGATTTATGGGCAGCAACACAGGCAAAGACAGACATATGCCCAACCCCTCAGTGGCGGAATAAAAGATGTACCAAGACTTTGTTCAGGGTACACTCCACACACGACCAGTTGGTACAGCTACAAGGAAGTCAAAAAGCAGTCAGATGAGAAAGCAATATGTGGCAGTCTGGTTCAGGTAATGAGTTCATTTATGTGGGAGACTTCAGACACTCAACTCGATGCAGAACCGAGAATGATCGCCGCCCCGTGGAGCTAACGAAGCCACCGGTCGCTCTAGACTACACATTTTTAGCACTCTCGGGCCTCATAACATCCTGAACAGGGAATTGTGGTGGACAGAGTGGACTCATTCTGACAGTTAATTTAATAGACTATCTTCTCTCTTCCATAGTAGTGATCCTATGCTAGGCTCTATGTAAATGCCTGACTGGAATTGTGCGGAAAACGATGACTCCATGACTGAATGGTCTAGACCGACGAGTCTGGCCCAACCCTTGCCCCAGCTGGTACCTAGTACTTGTCTTTTCACCCGATCGCCCATACTATCGCAAGTACCCAGTACTCTGGGCCCGTCAATTTCCAGGCCTTCTTCTTTCCTTGTCATCCCTTCTTCTCCCTCATCTCCATTTCTTTCTCTTCTCTTCACATCTCTACCCTCACCCTCACCCTCCCCCTCCCCTCCGGCCTCTGCTCCATGCCGACCATCTCCTCCCAACAGCGGATGAATCGTCAACCCTGCAATGGACAGTGGCCTGTCGCCGTACCCGAGAATCTGACCATGTCTGTCCCACCAACTGTGACAGTCGACACACAAGCACATCTTCATTCCAACGATACACAAGAAACTGTTAGCTTTGCGAGCCCCTCCAAGATCCGTCGACGAGCCTCCCAAGGATCCCTGCGGACTAGACCTTCACCAGTCTCCCGGTTCCTTTCGAAGAGCTCCGTGGCCGTCAACTTTCCTTCGTGGGAACACCGCAGTGCCTCCGGCTCACGGGAATCCCGTCCCCGATCGGCTGATTCTCGTCTCCGTCTCTCTACCACTGTGTCTCGCGGGCCGAGACCCTTGACTGCCTCTCCGGCCTGGAGTTCTCCTCCCGCGTACCAGTCGGAATACCCCTCCACATTGCCTCCCACCCCGCCAGAAGACGATATCCACGTTGCCTGGAACCCCAAGTCCGATATGTTGTTGTTCAATGCGCACCCGCATCAGCATCCGACCTCCATGAAGATGATGGACAATGGACCGGGTGTGGATCACTCCTCCACCAATGGTGCTTCAGATACACTGAGTAGTCCAGATGGACTCTCCCACGGCTCCTCCAGTTCTGGGGGTAGTCCTGGACCTCACGATGAGATGGACTGTCAGCAGGACATTGGCTCATGGCTGGATCATGGCATCAACTTGACTGGTAGGTGTGCGCTCATTTCGACCTGGAACATCACTAACAGTTAGTAGCATCCTCACTTGGTTTTGCCAACCCTCGAGGCGAGGCCGTCAAGATCGTCTCCCAAACTCTTCCTTATCCCCGCACATCCGATCAGTCCGTGTCACTACCGAAGACCGATAGTGTCTTCTGCTCCATGGTCCAGGCCGTGCACAACCACCTCCAACCGGGCCAATCACCATATATCAATGTCACCCACGCAGTTCCTGAGCAGTTCAGTTTGTCGAACTTGCCTCATTCTCCTCCTAGTACTCCTCGCTCTCCTACTGCCGCTGAAGAATATTTCAATGCCACTGTATTCTCCAGCGCAGCAGTCGTTAGTGCATACCACGATTACCGTGGGCCTCTCCAACGGCAAATGTCCCACACTCCCATGCCCATCGTTCCTCCTCACAGTGTACACATCTCCGTGCTCGAGCGCTATCTCCCTCCTCCCTCCGCGCAGGAGTACCGCGATGTATTCTGCCCCACCCGTCCCTCATTCCTGGTCGACCGAATGAGCGAGCTCTCGCCAAACGGTGGATCTCTCCTCTTCGTGTACCCAACCAAGAAGGGTGCTTCAACCTTCAAATCCCAATATCTGGGACCCATTCTCGACCCTCTGCTCCGTCAACTCGTGGTGGTGAACGAGTTGTCAGCAGATGTGGGCCGCTACCTCGGCAAGCTCAACACGGTCTCGCAGATGGACGACTTTGCCACAATGAAAGCAAACATCGTAGCTCTCTGCGAAGCTTTGAGCTCGCCCTCCTCCAAATTCCAAGTTGCAGACGCAGGCCGCGGAAGCACCCACCTCGACCGCAATCTTTGGGCCGAGTGGTTCATCCACCAGGAAAAGGCCCGCATGAAGGAAGTCCTCAACCTGTACTGGCAGAACGGCCGCCGCCACCCGAACAAATCCATGAGCTTAGGTGGCATGTCCGGAAAAGAAATTTCACCCGCCATGCTCCTCAGCGAGATCTTCGACGGCATCCGCAAGCGACGCTATTGTGAAGACAGCGAGCCGCGCGACGGAATCGAGCTCGGCGTGTTCGTCATCCGTCGCACGAACTAGGCAGTCCTACTCTCCTCTCTCAGACTCGATACACATACCTCTTCCTCTTCCACTTCACTTCCATTCTCCACCACCTCATTCCACCATAGCATATTTTAACACATCAGCTTCTGGTTCAGCTTCAGCTCAAAAGACATGGGACACGGCGTCCCCGGTGTTGGTAGGGCCTGTGACTTCTTCAAACTTTGGCTCTTGTTTTGTTTTCTTTTCCCGTGGGCATCTTGGAAAGATCCCACTGCATGACTCCCCCTCGGCTTCTTTCCTCCAGCCTTCGGAACGAACTATGAAATACCCCGGTTGTATTCGGCGATTCGGGTTTTATGACATCTTTTTTTTTTTTCTGTCTTGATGATGGAGAGATAAATATACACGTTTTAGTGGCAATATATCTGCTTATATAGCGCACCTTTTTTTTTTCTTTCCTGTATATGAATGTGTAGTGTGAAATGAAATTAAGGGATCCTTGACTGTAAATAACTGGAAATAAAGGGGTTTTCTCGGAAGATTAGGGGTCTGCTAATCGGTGGACTGTGCTTGTCTATGCTGTTTCGGGGTTTGTTGTTGGGTGCGGTTGGGCTTCACCGGTTTTTGGGTTGTCTTTTACTGTAGACTGGTGTGGGTTCATGTAGACCACAGTAGACTAGCTTATATGTATGGGATGAGATGACATTGTGATATCTTGGACAGTAGCTTGCCTACTGTAGGATATCGGATATACCGCAGTCATGAGACTTGAGAATGGCGCATGGAATAAGGGTCCTCCCATTCCATGTGGATGGTTTCAGGAAATATAACATAATACAAGGGTAGAGACTAGAACTAAGCAAAACCCAATACGAAACAGACCGACACTTCACTCAGTCCTTCGAACCCGCATCTTCATTCCGTCAATTGGGTTGGCTGTGATTTGCAAGACCTATCAACCGATTAGTGTTAGCATCCATCTCAAGAGAATACCCACACCTTATCATCATATAATCCTATACTGCGGAAATCCTATACTGCAGAAAGAACGAAGAACAAGAAGAAACTCACTTTATAAGCCCCCTCTCCCACCCTGAACCGCCCATCGTCCCCAAGAACCGGAGAATCCCCATCAAACTCAAATGAACCAAGACCAACCTTTTCCCAGGTATACCGTCTAACAACACAAACGAGGACAGCCGCAGATTTGCTCTCAGCCAGTTCCTGTCCGATGCAATTCCGTGAACCGCGCTCGAAAGCGCGGATTGCACTTGCTGGAATCGGATTGGATGGTTCGGTGGAGTCTCGTAACCATCTCTTCGGTCTGAATTTTTCGGCAGAGAGACCGTAGATGGTTGTATCCCATTGGATTATACTTTCGCAGTTGTAGAATTACTAGTCCGTCTCGGAGGACTTCTCCACCTTTGGGTTGGTTCGGGTCCGGTGTTTGAATGGTGAATCCACTAGCAGGTGGGATAATCCGCGCTGTTCCGGATGGAGGATATAGACGGAGTGTTTCTTTGATGACAGTAACCGTGTAGGTCATCTTTGGAAGGAGGGTTGCTCCGCCTTAAGGAGTATTTCTTTCGTTGTGGCTGGTGAACTGTCACACCCTAACGGGGTTTCAAATTCACTTTTCATAGCGGCCAATGCATGTGGTGTTAGGCTTGATTTGTAGATTTCCTATTGCAGGAAGATACTTATTGTATCAGACAAAGAGGAAGGATTTTGGTTGGTCGGTTGGCTGGGAGATTATTATGCTAGGGATAATACCGATGATATCAGATGATGTTAAATTGGTACACAAATCACCCAGTATAACCAGAGCTGTCGTTTAGAGGTGCCCGGAGGGTGAGGCGTACCGATATGGACATTCGGCTTACTAGTCATGATAACATCGTTCAGCGACTTCAGACGACCCAATAGAAGTGATGGTTTCAGCTGTGGCCAGTCCTTGAACTGCTTGATTCGGTGGTAATTGAGTCTTTCGTAAAAGTAGACCACTGTTGCTAGCATCATATCGAGTCTACCATGAATCATACATGTATTGTAGAATATCGGCATCAAATCGATAAATACATCGAGTCAGGGACTCACCAAGAACGAGCCGTTTTTTCTCCCCACATACGGTGGCCGTTCAATAATCACCTCATTACCGTCCTTTGATAGGTGAAGTCATATGTTTTCGGTATGAACCCACGTTATTCGCCAGGTCATATCTCACCACTAGTCTCGTATATTTGGTTATTAGAAGTGTCTCCCTCTGAATATCCCCCTTGCGCCGTCCATTTCGATACGTCATTCGAATTTAGGCAGACTGTTATTTCTGATTTCATTAAAATTGCTTAGTTGCTGAATTAACGGTATAATAAAGCACCTTATAAGTATAATGTAACGCTGAGGAAAGCCATATACGGATAGAGAACTACTTGCTTCTCTGAGGGATGGTTGGATCAATGTAGGTGTTTGTGCCCTTCCAGACTCAATACCTGTGTTGTGTATAACTTTCAAAGTCTCAACAATATTATCAGTGATATTACTAGGCTGTGATTTTTATTTTAGTACTTTGTTTCTGCCAGAAATGATGGTGGGTAAACAAGCCATCCTACCTATTCCGGAGAACAACTATATTCTAGGGTTGCTGAGCTTGTGGTCATGTGTTTGAATGTCCAAACAATGGAATTGCGACAAAGCCCTACCCCCAAGATGCTCAATAATATACCTTCCCATTCATAATACCACTCACCCCTCTCAATAATCTCTTCCCCATTAAAGTCTCCCGACTGACCTTCTTCATGTACTTCGGACCGGCGAAACTTTCTCCCGGCCATACTTCTCCGACGACCCACCCCTCAAGCATCTCTCACTAACACCGACGCAATCTAACGTTTACTCTTGACCACACTCACTAAACACAATGTCTTATCCGAACGCGGCTCCCACCAGCCCTGGTGGCGGGGCCAGCGGTGCCCCCTCGAAACGCGACAAACGTCGCACTGCGCTCCAGGAGCGCCTCCAGGAACTCACCGCGCAGTTTAGCCATAACCGCGACATTCAGTTCCGCCAGCAGCTGCACGCTTTGCAGTGTGATATGACTCTTATCAACAACGCCGACCCCTATGGCGCTGGCCCTCTGCTTGACACCGCTGACTCTATTGCGGCCCTTATCGAGGATACTGTTGGTGGTGGCAGCAAGTTTGCTAAGGAGATGGCTGGACTCGCTGGGTCTTGGTACTCTCGCTTTGTTCAGCAGGTCAATCAGGTTAAGGAGACTAGAGATGCTACTCTGACCGCTACTATGGTGAGTTGTTTATCGGTTATCGTGGTGACTTTGGCTAATCGGACTTTTTTTTTTTTTTTGCAGAATGGTTACAACGATATGCTTGAGCGACAACAGCGTGAACATGACTTCCGGGTTTACTTTGCAAAGGAGGAGTTCAATCACCTTTCTTCTACGCTGCGCGAGCGCTTGATTCAGAGCATTTCCAGCAAGAAGGCCCGTCTCATGCGCGAGAAAGAGCAACTCGATATCGCGGACACCAATGCTTTGCTACTTCACCCCAATCAATTCAGCATTACCAACCCCGCAAGCCCCGGTGGGATCCACAGCAACCGCAAGACTCGTCACACTCGTCACCGCGTTGACCTCGACGAACTTGGCAACGGTGTTATCTCGGAGTTGAATAAGCGCAAGCGCAAGGCCCCGGAGGAGGAACCTGGATCTCCTGCGCGGGATACGGGCGATGCTACTCCCGCGAAGCGCGCAAAGGCCGAGATTGCAAAGGAGCAGGTCGCACCAACATACTCGATTCACTCCTTGTTCACCGATAAGGAGCTTAGCGCGCACGCCAACCATGCCCACGTCGCTGCGGTTCACTTTTTCTCTACTTCCAAGCGTCCAGATCACGGCTCCGGCGCTGTGACCAATGGAAACAATACCGACGCGGAGGACACCCCCGAAGGCACCGGCAATGAAGACAATGGCACCCCCAGCGCAGCAGACATGATGCGCACTGCAAGCCACAATTACCACGCCACCCGCTCGACCCGCACAACCGCCGCTCACAGCGCTCTCAGTGCCCTGGCCGATCTAGCCGATAAGCCCGCAACCCGCCCTAACCTCCCTTACCACATCCTCTCCAACTACCACGCACGACCAAACGGCAACGCCCCACCCCTAACCTCACTCATGACCGAAGAAGTCGACGACGACTGTGCGCGCATGAACCGCCTCAGCAACAAGCCCTCTTCGTGGATCGATCACTCCCTCGTCGAGCTGGTCGCCGCCCCTCTGCCCTCTTCAGACCTCATCGACGGTCATGTCCCCGACCCCAATACCTACTCACAACTCCACCCCGACTTCTCTCCTGCCATGGCTGTTGACTGGACTCCTGCGGCTCACCACCCCGCCCTCGAGATGTTTCCGCCTACTGCTATGGAGCGTGAGCGCAGCCGCAAGCGCACTCGGAACCACTAAGGATTGTATCAAGTTCGAGGTTCAATACGGTGTGTTTGATAAGACGAGATAATATGGGATGGACGGTTTGGATGGATTGGTTTGGTGTTTTTAACAGGAGTCATGGGTCTCGGTCCTACATGTACCCACGGCGTACTTTCGAGGTTATTGCCATTTGAACATATTAGCGCCCTGTTACTTTCAAGTGAATGCGTTTGAAATTCAGTCTTTAGCTGTGTATAATCTACGTTGACATGGTAGTCTGCTATAACTGGTATGTGTAGCGCGAAATACCTAACGTCGTCGAGACCCTCTTCTATGGATGGGGGAAATCTTCGGCTACGTCGTCTCTGGCCTCTCTTTTTAACCCTCTTTTAAAACTTCCTACCAGCCGTCGAATAACTTGTAATTCTCTTCGAACAAAAAGCAATATATGTAATTGAAGGTTTCCATTTCCTATTGTTATTCTGGGTGATATGGATTGAGTAGGCTGTGCTCAGCATTTCTATCACACTGCATAAATACCTTTAGCCACAGTCAGACACATTTTGAAAATCTATTGCTAGTTTTATACTATCTCTGATATTCTCAAAGCTTCACTTTCGAGCTCTCTCTTCTCATCAACCGTTAAATCACTCTTAGCTTTGTCAATTCTGATTCCCAATACAATAAACACAAGCGCAAAGTCAGCATACGCAACAGCAAAACCAAAATGCCACCTGGTAACTCGCTTTCTGACCAAGGTGCTTAGTACTCCTAAACGGCAAAATCAGCAAATCCGAGGAAGAAGCTGATACCCAGGAAGACGAGACAATTGATCAGACCACCACCACCCGCTATTCCTTGCTGATGATTTGGCAAGCTGGTAGTGATGAACACATTGCTCACACTGTATGAGATGACGATGCCAATAGTGGCACATACCATAGCAGGGAATACCCAAGCCCCAAAAATTTGGGCTGGTAGGCATGAGAGCGAAAAGGAGTGCACAGATGAGATATCCTGCTGTGGAGAATGCCAGCAGTAAAGTACATGATAGGTGACGAAGTGTGAAGCCTCCCACTGTGGCTAGAACGAGGCCCCCAATTGCCATGGGTGCGAACCAAGCAGTTGTTAGGAGGGGAGTTGCGCCTATAATAGTTTTGATACTGTCTTTTGTTAGCGATCATTCGAGGATGATCAACTGGATACATACTAGAAGCTCGCATAGAAGAGGTAGATTCCGAACACCCCATATGAAAAGAAGAGTGACACACAAAGTGGTTTCATGTACTTCGATGCGAACATGTCAAATGGCAATAGGGGCTGTTCTGCGATCCAACCTTCAATATAAAAAGCAGTGCATAACAAGAGACTCCCAATAGTGAATGTGACGTAGATGTAACGCGTTGCCCAACCACCAGAAGCATGAGAACTATCCGTGATACCAAAGACTTCAAGTAGCAGCCCCGGGACAATTGTGATCAGTCCCAACCAGCCCATCTTGATTGCCCCGTGCGTTATATTAGACTTTGTAGCATATTTGTCAAGCGGAACAGTGAAGAAAGCAGTGACAGTCACAATGGCCAGAAGAATAGTGCCAATATAAAAGTCCCAATTCCAGGGAAGATATTGTCCACTCAACCCAGAGAGAAAAATACCCAAGAAAAACCCCATCGGAGAGCAAGCCCCGTATAGACTGAAAAAACAAGGTTCTTTCGTGGTCCTGGTCGGTAGATACCACCCAAGAGCATGACACCTGATGGTAGAAACGCAGCAGGTCCGAGCTCTTGTAGTGCCCGGCAAAAATTGAGCATTAGATAGTTCCGGCTGAACCCACATATCAAGGACCAGATCGTGTACCAGAGAAGTCCGCATACGAAGACGATGCCTCCGCCGTAGATTTCGGCGGCTCGACCGAAGGGCAGGAGAAAGGCTCCTGTGACAAATGAGAATACACTTGCTGGCCATGTTTGGGAGCCGGATGGTATGTTAAGGGCTGTTGCTAGTGTTGGTAGAATTACGTTGAACCCGCTGATGAAGTATTCCTGCATGTTGTTAGTATACTCATTTAACATGGAACCTCACTGGAGGGAACTTTCACCCATCATCATTGATGCAAGCAGTGAAAAGCAGAACTCGAGCTCGACTGCTATTGTTTTGAACTGTTCTGGTCTTTTCCTTCCCAGTATTTCGACGTCAACTGTCGTTAAATCTGCTGTCTCGCAGCGATCCTCATTTTGTGGCTGTTGAGATGAAGCCATGATATTGATTGACCAGAGCACTAGTGAAGGACCTAAATTTGTCAGCTTAGCCAAGTGGTTGAAGTTGAATCTAGAGGAAGCGACGGAATAGTTGGTTTTTGGGGGTCGTGTAATTGTGTCAAGATGTTGGTCGCGGATCGGAATTGATTTTTCTCCTTCTTCTAGGGTAACTATCATCCTATATGTAAGCTGCCAGGTTCATAATCTAGTGAGGTCGTATAAGAAATCCCATGGTTTCCACGATTGTAAAACTTATCAATAGCCTTCGCGGTTCCACTCTAGATCTGTTGTTTTAACCTTATGCGGGATACTAGTTTCAATCGGGTAGCCAAGACGCTAGTGTTGTCGTCAAAAGTGGGTCCGAGGGAGCTCTTCGGCCAAAACTCCCGCTACATGTTGCATACAATCATTCAGTGAGTCTGGAAGCGTCGTATAAAAAACAAGTTGATTCGTGTTATCTCAAGTTCTGGAAAGGACATTCATTTCCAGCAGAGATTGAACAAATGTTTTGATAGCACAAATCGCAATACCTGCGATCTTATCACCATCACCAGCGTCTGGATCAAATGAACAGACCGTGAGTGACTTTGGTAGTGACTGCCGGGGTACATTATTCATGCATTCAATCAAATCCGACTCAAACATGCCGCCAGGTGACGGATAATCATTCACTTTTCCGTAACTCTCATCAAGTACATCCAGATCCAAGTGCACCAACGCCGGGCTGTAATCGCGAGTTTCAAGGTGTGACTTGAGCTCCGCAGGGAAGTTAACCTCTTTCGTAGTATCACCCCTGATAGCCGTCATACCGGCATCAATCACTCGCTGTCGTTGGATATCGGATTGGTCTCGTAATCCACAGTACAGAAAACGTTGATAGTCAAGAGGCTGGAAGCCAGGAACAGAGCTCATGAGTGTTTTCCAGCTTTCACCACGAAGCATTGATAGCCCCATTGCATCGAAATAGCCGTTTTCGTTGACATCCGGAGAATCGAGATCATCATGGGCATCAAAGTAGATGAAAGCTAGATCCTTGATCCGAAGTCCACATGCAACTGCGGCACTGGCATAGCAATTCCCAGAGAGGACCAGAGGGAATGTGTTGGTGTTGACGGCGCTCGTAACGGCCTTTGAAATGCGGCGCATGATTTCGAAGCTCCGGCCGATTTCTCCTTCAAATTCATCAACACGTTCAATCTCATGCAGATGAACTTTGATTCCTAAGCTCTCAAGCTCTTTGACAATTCCAAGCGAGCAGATCCGATGGGGTCCATTTCCTACTCGGTGGTCCCGAATTCCAACATGGTATGGGGAGAAGATTATGGTGATGCCATGGGCAGCCATGTCGCTTGTCTGATTTTGTAACTGAAGAAATTGATCAAGAGCACTTGAGACATACAAATATCAAACCATTAAAAGGCACATGGAAATGCAGTGAAGAATAGAGTTGGACTCTTCGTGGAGGCGCTGTGGAGGCGTTGTCAGTACCTCCACGATCCACCCAGATCTATGACGTCGTTGGAGATATCTACGTGGAAACTCACTCAATTGTCTGCTTTTATATCATAGCTTTATTATTGCGGAGAATGTATTTGTCACTTCTGTCTGGGGTTGCTTCAAAACTTTCACCCACGTCATGTGTTGTCATGACGTTGCGATGGACCTGTCGTGGGCTAATTTGGATCTAAAAGGACAATAGCTTGCAACGTAGTGCTACGAAATTTGACGAGCAAGACGCTAGCCAAAAAATGAACTTAGAGGTTCTGTCTTACTGACTACGGATTATATGGCAATCAAGGACAAAAAAAACCCCGTGGATTGCCACTGTAGAGTAGCTCAGCTCTGCGAGCTCTGCGTCATCGTCTCATTTATAGGAAAGCTTTGCGCAGCTCAAAGCATTGAATTTTCCAGCTTTTACCAAGCAAATTAATTCCATAAAAATCATTGAGCCGCGAATATGAGTCCGAACGACAGTTGACAAGGCAACCATAGAGCCGCGCTGTCTCGAGCTCTTTGCCACAATCGAATCTCAGTTTAAAGCCTCAAATTTCGATAGTGATAAATGGTACCTTACAGCGCTAAGCTCCATCTCGACCACGCCTGAATCACACTTTGCCGGCCAGCTATACCTATATCTGACAAGTCAGCATGCCTATTAGACGACCACCGAACGCCAGAAGCTGATTTGGCGAATGTGGGAGGTGCTATTCAAAAATATTGGTCCTACAGCACTCCCAAAGCCAACTGAAGCTCTCATCATATTACAAAGCTTCTGTCCCCCGACCATTCCGCTTATTCCTTTGCCAGAGAAAGGTGGCATTGCGACGGAGGAAACCATGTCCGTGACATGAGTTGGTTGGAGACATTATACGCGCAGAACATAACGGCGCTATTTGTTCATAAAACATCGGGATCTAGACGACGTGGATACCGAGATAGTTGTTTTGCCGGCGGTCATGGGCCGAAATCTGCCACGGGAGACATACTGGCATGCACGATGGACAAGAAGACTTGGACTATCCAAAGATGATGTTCGTATGGTTTTGCAGTGTGTGCAGTTGGTTGCGTAGGCTGGTGGTGGGAATTTGGATCGCGTGCCTACTATGGATGCTGTAGACGCAGATCTACAAAATTCTACTGGCAATCAGCCGATGAAAATAAAATTCGCATCTTCAAATCGAGTATTCCCAACATACCCTCGATATTCCAAGAAATAAAGACGAAACAAAGAGAGGCACAAAGAGAAGGAGTTTTGTTTGGGCACGAGGCGCTTACCTAACCACCTCGAGGACGACGTTTCGAACCGCATCGGGAGACTTGTTTATGTCTGCCCCGCGTTTTTCTCTTGCTTTTTGCTCTTGAAGCGATATTCTGTTAATAATTCCTAATATTGGATTGATCGTTGTACATTCGAACGCATTCCGCAGGGCGTGCTCTCCACCCCCTTGGCGGCACGCGTGCCTCCCGAAATTCCATCGCATGAGTCCGCCATGTCCAACTCCACCTCGTCGCGCAGTCAGTCCTCCTCCCCCGATATCCTGGGCCCACCGGGTGACGCAGAATACCTCATTTCTTCGCCAATGAAACCTTTTGTTGGACGCCAAAGCTGGGTGTCCCCAGCTCCAGTGAGGCGCCATCAAACTCCCGCGAAACGAGCTCCCGCGAGACAAACCCCGGCGAAGCGGTCGCGCGCCAGCCTCAGTCCTGCTAAAGGCGCGCATTCAATCCAGTTCAACGATGTTATACTCCCCGGATCGCCTTCAATGAATTTTGATGGTCGCCAGAGGTCGATCTCTCCGGAGAAGCAGGATGGAAATGTGAGCCCGTGGCGCATTCGGCTCACGCTCGAGGCGACCCAAGATGAAGAGGACGAGAATGAGAACCAAGCTAGTCCGTCGCGCAAACGATTAAAACCCTCAACAACCACCACTATGATCCCTTTGAAGGATGAGCGGAGTCCATTGAAGGAGAAAACACCCGCAAAGCGACGAGGCCGTCCACGCAAATCAGAGGCCCAGACACCGACAGATTCTCCATTCCCTGGTAGCCCTGGCCATACTCCCGGACCGCGATGGGAAGAATCTCAGCCACGAAAGCGAGGCCGACCACCCAAGGGTACACCCAGACCGAAGGCGCAGGATTTCCAGATGGTGGAAGATCAGCCTACACCGACTGTGGAATATGATCAACCTTTTAGTCCGATGAATGTCGTACCCAACAGTGACACTGGCTTGGGCGAACAGCTCAGTCCAATGGATACTGTTGCTAGTGACGCCAATCAACGATCAAGTCCCATGGACACCATCACCAGCGATGCTCATTGGGGTCAACAAGGTAGCCCGATGGATACTTTTGCCAGTGGTACCGACCCGGGCTTACAGCCCTTCAGTCCGGAGGACGATTTTATTCATGATAATGTTGACGTTAACCGCCAACCCAGTCCAATCGACCTAGCCGCCGATCCAGATTCTGAAGAGGACTCCTGGGGGAACTCTGACATGTCCATTGCTGATCTTCGAGATCCCACTCAAACGATGACCGAAGAATTTAATAACACCCGTCGTGAATATGGGCGCACGAGTCTGGAGACACCTGTCATTGGCGCCACAGAACATCACTTCTTGGACAATGATGACAACATACATTCGACACCTTCCAAAATGCCATCTCCTTCCCGTGAGAGAGCCATCGCATCATCTAGAGCGTCTCACAACACGCAAAGTCCGCAGCCACGTACATATCCAACTCCGACTCCCACCTCTTCGCTGGCCGAAGAAGAGAGTCAAGCACAACAAGCTGATGCTGAACAGCCCTCAGAGAGGAATGGGCACCCTGAGACTGATCCGCTTGCAGATCCAACAGACGACCATGAAGAGTTTGATTCCATCATGGAAAGTGAAGGGTTTACTATGGTTTCCCTTGATACCCTTCCATCTGCCAAACAATATGGACTTAGCTCTAGTACTCAGGCTGGAGATCGAGGTTTAAAGCCGAAAGAAGTCGGAGATCGATTGAAACGCAGACTTGCCGGAACGATCGAAGACCTCCGACGCGATACTCGTGATCCTATATCTCTAAGCCCACGTACAAATCTTGATTTTATGAATTACGACGGGCCAACACCTCGTATTCGGCCACATGCACTATTGCGATCGACTGAGCGACCTTCCGTTAACTATCTCACCGAAGTCTCCTACCCGCAACTCCATGATGTACAGTCTCCTATCAAAGCACTTGCCCCCCCAAAGAGGAGAACATTTAAAAGTCTGGCCAAACTTGTTCGTACCGGCATTGCTTTGCAAGGTCTGTTCAGACCAGAACAAGACGAATGGTCCGACCAGAACGATGGCAATCGCAAAAGACAGCGGTTAGAAAGAGTCTTCAGCTCATTCAACCCTCGTACTCGACGCGAGCTCCGGATCGCCTTGGGTCTAGGGCAGGAACTTGCAATGCGGCGAATGATTGCCGATGAAGAAGCGGCCGCTGCGATTGTGGCAGAGCGGGAGGCCTACGCAAAGCGCCAAGAAGAGGAACGCCAGGCAGAGGAAGAACGCCACGCCGAGGAGGAACGCCGAGAAAGAGCAGAGCGACAAGCCCGGGCTGAACGCCGAGCAAAGGCAGAGCGCCTCGCCGAGGAGGAACGCAAAGCACGGATAGATCGTGAGGAAGAGGAAGAACGCCAAGCGCAGGCGGAACGCTTAGCCGAACTGGAGCACCAGGCAAAGGAAGAACGCCAAGCAAGAGCAGAGCGACAAGTACGGGCTGAGCGTCGAGCACAGGCAGATCGCCTAGCCGAGCTGGAGCGTCAGGCAGAAGAAGAACGTCGGGCGGAGGAAGAGCGTCAAGCACGCGCTGAACGACAAGCACGCGCTCAACGTTTGGCACAGGCAGAACGCCAAGCCGAGCTGGAGCGTCAGGCAGAGGAAGAGCGTCAGACAGAGGAAGAGCGTCAGGCAGAGGAAGAGCGCCGGGCAGAAGAAGACCGCAAGGTAGAAGAAGAACGCAAGGCAGAAGAGGAACGTCAAGCACGGGCTGGACGTCGAGCAAAGGCAGAGCGCCTAGCCAAGGAGGAGCAACAGGCGCAGGCAGAACGTCAAGTAGAAGCAGAGCGTCTTCAAGCAGAGGGGGCAGCAAATGACTATGAGCAGCAGCCAGAAGAGCCAGCCTTTTACGAGTCTGGTGACGAGAAAGTAGAGGAGGTTTATCGGGAAGACCCTTCTGATGACGAAGTGGAAGAACTAGACCTGTTCATACCATCGCCACAACCCAAGCACAATAACACCATGCAACAAAGCCCGATGTCTGTCCAAAGATCACGGCGAGAGGCACAGTGGCAGCTTGAACGAGAAGAAGTCAGTCGCCAGGCCTCAAACTCAAGGACCGCAGTTTACATCCAGAGTGATGAAAGTGATGCTGGGGTCGAGGAGTACGAGGCCGTTGTCGGAAGGTCGTATGACGAACCCGCACCGGATGGTGAATCGGATTTTGAAGAGCCTGAGGATTTTAAACCTGATCTTGTGCCTGAACCCTTGCCCCGTGAACAGCAAGCAGCCGATTCCGAACCTCTGGATGAGCTCGAGGAGGAAGATGGCTACGATGATATCTGGCAACTCGAAGCCAACGACCACGACCATATCTCAGAACATTCCGAAGATGAACGCCTTCGAGAGGAGGCCGCAGAAGCTGCCAGTCCTTGGAGAGATCTTGCAGCAAACTCAGTGCGTCAAAACCAGTGGAGCTCGTCTCCAGGCTACGTTGATACGGAACGTGATAGTCAATTGTACTATGGCCCATCTAAGGTTCGTGAGCTCCGAGAGCAAAAGGTTGATCTGGATGCTTTGCTCGCGGAAGAAGACACGCCGAACCGTGCGCAATACTACAATGGGACGAGCACCCCTCGCGCTATGCTAAATCGAAGGCTAGGGACCCAACGGTCCCTCCTAAATGGGTCTCCTTTGAAGGAGAGGAAGGAGAACGTGTCCCGTACCCCGGCGCATATTCGTTTGCAGCCTCTCTCCCAATCTCCAGACGTCCCCCAGGCCGACGAGTCTCCTAAAGTCTCTCATCAAAGCCCGCATGCGGAGCACTCATTGGAAGAAGAAGATGACGACAGTGCTTCGAACGCTGCTCTTGATCGATCTAAGTCTGCTGATGCGCCTTTAACATCAACTCCACAGACTCGTCAGCCCAGCGGAGGACAAGGGTCATCCTGGTTGAAGAGAATCACCAGTTTTACCCCACAATGGCTGAAAGCTCCTACCAGAGCACGTAGCTCAAGCGTCACTACTATCCCCGAAGAGTCAGAGTATGAAGACGACGATGAAGTGGCTCAAATTGAATCCGCGAGGGGACTTGATGGGCACCTTGATGATGCACCACTCTCTAGGCAAGGAAGTCAATCACCTGCGAGCCCTTGGCAACAACTCACTCGATCTCCTCGAATGCAAAAGGATGATCAATCTGCAGTCGAAGATGAGGAGTCATTCTATGAAAAAAGCGTGTCTGGAGAGCCTGTGGAGGATGCAACCCCAGCGAACGATCTGCATGAGGCGTCTCCAGGGCCTAGACCACTTGCTGTCTTCGGTTACTTCTCGGATGCACATTATATCGCTCTTCGCCGTATCTACCAAATAGCGAAGCGCTACCCCGAGCGTTTCCAGTACTTCGACTCTCCAGGTCGGGCTGCTATCGTCGGTGATTGGATATGGACATCAGATGGCCATCACGGGGTGCCCATTACAGAGATCCAATTTGCTATTATCGACCGATTCGCCCAGGAACTTTCTCGGGCAGATATCCAATACGGTGGAAGTGGACAGATCGATTGGACGGAAGCCGATCTGCATCGGAGACTCATTAGCATTATCATTGGCGAGCAGATCCGAGAGGAAAGGAAGGCCAAGGCCAACCGGGGTACTTCAGTTGATACATGGCGATGAAACTGTTAATTTTGTCTTTTATCTCTTTGTCTCATTCTTGGTCCACACTTTGATGTTCGAGCAACATCTCCCTCGGAGTCAACGGTTTGTTTTGGAACGGGACTGTTCTTGATTTGGTTATGATTCCCTCACGGTTATTGGTCAGGCTTTTGTGTAGGATTGGGTTTTTTTTCTAGGCGTTTTGGAGCTTCGTTTTCCTTTCTACTTTGGGATTCTAGCCTCATTGTTGGACATGAATGATTTCTGTACATGAAAGTAGTATAAATTTCAAGTTTTCCATATCACAAAGTACCAATTCTCGGAAGGGGATCCCTGTGTTCAAACGCGAACACCCTGTAAGAGGCTGGATATTGCAGATTGAACAGATAATTCCAGCCAACCGTGACGATAGCCTGCGTAGAGGTTCCTTATTCTCCCGAATACCTGAAGGGTGGCGATATTCACAGTGAAGCAAATCTAGATCTTTGACAATACAGCCCCCAGTCCAGATCAACCATCAAAGTGCCTCAAGAAAGCTCTGTCTCATTGCCATCTCAGACGAGTATGTCACACCAACCCTTCAACTGACACAAACACAAACAATATACGTAGTCATTGAAGTTCCAACCAAACCTGCAGCACTCTATCATCTAGACCAACCAACAGCACCTGCACGATCGTGTCTTGTCGCGTGGCCAGCCAAGCAGAAGCCGGGGAGCCTCGCATCCCCCACTTCCGTGGGAGGTGCCCCTGCACCACTGTTTTCGTCCTTGGGCGTCGGTCTGGCTGGGTCTAGAAGTACCACCTCGGATGAACTCCAGCCTTATAAAGCAGGGATGAGAAGTACGATGGAAGAAGAAGTGATTTACCTCTTTACACCAAGTCTTCTGGAACACTGCTATACTTCCACCGTCTTATATAGTACTTCACATCATTGTATATCACATTCAATGCCCCAGAACCAGTCATGACCATGTTTACAATCGTCCAACGTGCCCTCCCGCCGCTGTCCCTCCCCTGGCGACGCCGAAGTAGCCTAAAAGGCAAATCACCAGAGACAGACTTTGACCTCACCAACAACGGCACCGACACCGAACCGAACGGCCCAAACGCCGAACACATTGCATCTACGGACCTGCACAGTGACGTCTCGCCATCAAGTCCCCTGCAGGCCCATCTAGCGGTGAGAGACGATGCACGCGAGTCTGCAGAATTTCTCCAACCAATATGTGCCACTCCGAGTAATATGTCTGAATTGGAATCGGATTCGACTTCCGCGCGCTGCTCTCGTTCCACTGAGAAGGCTCGTTCGGCGCGGGCTGAGTGTGCTCGTGCTGTTAGTTGGGCGAGTATTGTCCGCAGTCAATGCCGGTGGACATTCGAGCAGGAGAAAGAGCTCCTGCATGCACAGAGGCAGCTAGCGAGGTGTCAGAAGGCCTGGAGCTCGGAGCAGGAGTTGTGGTTGACTTGTGTAAGTGAAGTTTACTTTTTCGACCTGCAATATTTTCTATTCTGGGATTATGCTGTATTCTGTTCTGATATACAATATTAACCTTTGCTTCTTCGCCATGGACTAATTTAACCTTCGTTCAATAGGTTCAAGCCCTGAGTGAAGAAAAAGAATCCCATGTAGGTTTCCTCTCAATGCGACATAAGCAACACTACGAAGAGCAAGTGCAATTTCGAAAGGCCTGGAGGCGACGGCGATCGTCATCTGGGGATGAAGAGATGCAGAAGACCGTGATCGAGAATTTCAATCGATCGGGTAAATTACGTCGCTTGCAGCGGCATGGCTATTTGGGGCCCCGGTTGGGCACGACTGGATCGACGCCTGTGGCGGCTAAGGCGTAAGGCTTGGGATCGTCTTTGCAGCATGACTATTGAAATTCTGGGTCTGGATCTGAAGTGACGATTTATTGCATGGATTGGGTTTGTCTTGGTAGTGATTTGCTTAGCTATTGTTTACTTTGCATGTAGATGAGAAGTTCTTGTGGAACAGTTGTAATGGACAATGAAGTAAGCCAAATTTCTGTCAACCTGTTTTGGCTCTCTAGAATCTAGGCTCAAGTAGATTTGCCACGTCCTACCACTTTAAAAAAAACTGTGTCTGGAGGCATCTATGCTTTGTTCTTCTCGCCAGGCCACTTCCTAAACCAATCCGTCAAACTATCGATAGGCGTAGCCATCAACCCAGTAGCCGTCTCAAATGGTGGATGATTGGGCACAAGTGGATGTGATCTAGAAGGAACAAACATCTTAGTTCGATCCAGAGATTTCGTCAACGCCACACTCTCCTTTTTAGATAGCATATCCTCAAGCATAGGCAAATCCACATCTTCCTCATGCCTAGCATGAATCTCAAAATCCCTCAGAAGATTCTTCAATGTAGGTATAAATCGCGGGTCGGTAGATGACAGGTCTTGAAACATTTTGAGCTGCTTTTTGACGCCCTGATGTTCCAGTCTATTCCTATCGACTGTCTGTTGTCCTTCTTTCAGGGATTCGATCAGGACTGGGTAGACAACTAGTTCTTCACCAACCATGTGCCGAGCTAGTTCCCAAACTAATTGGTTTTGGAAACGGGTTTGCTCATCGGGATCGGTTGAATGGAGGATTTTGTGGCTGTGGGATTCGAGTTCCTGGTGATCGTGTTTTATTGCTGGGAGGATACGGGAGTGTGTTTCTGGAGATGAAGCTGTGTCGGTGAATGTGCGTAGCGATGGTTCTACGCTACCTTTGATGGTTGGGGCGGGTGTCTTCGTTGTGGTTCTTTGGTTGTTTGAGATAGTTGACATTGGGAGCTTGGGAACGATGAGGTTGGCGGGGTGGGTTGCGAGCGTACGCCGAAGCATTGAAGCTGAGAAATAGATTTTCAGTTCGATCTTGCAAAGCTGGGACTTACACTACAAGAAAGACGGATTATGGGCTCGTTGAAGAATCTCCGGTAGTGAGTTCCGCTCTTGCCTACTGTCATCATGATGTAGCCACCTCACAGTTAGCCCTAACTTCTTAGGAACACCAACTGCTATATACAATTTAAACATCATATTTTAGTGCATGTGATTCTTATTATTACCTATGATTGATGTTTCAATTTGATGATACAATGCAATGAAAAGAAATCACCCAAACACTAAAGCTCTGACCTCAATACTTTCTCTTCCCCTCGCCCCAACAGGCGTCCTCTCATCCCAAAATGCCGTATGAGGAACCGACTCCCCCACTTCAGCTTCGGAGCCCGAGGCTACCGCTGAATCAGAGCACTTGAGCAACAAGCGCTCGTCAGGTGTCATACCAGACCAATAGTACCACCTCTGATCCTCATTAAACTTCACCCCAAGAGTCTCCCCAACACGATTGGGATACCGATGCTGAACGGGAACCAGATCTTCAGAGTCTACAGACGTCGCCGACGCAAACGCCAAGGGCGCGGATTGCACTGGCTCGTCTGTGAGTGAGCGCCAGATGTTGATGATGCGATAACGTCCTTTCAGTAGCTTTTCTGCTTCTTCGGGGTCTGATATGTGAAGTCTCACGCGGTCTGCAGCTGCACGGCGTGTTTGGTCGACGTGCACTCGAGTTACAGGTTGGCGAGGTGCGCCATCTTTCTGGCGGCGAATTGTGTGATCGAAGAGGACAACTTTGTGTGCCCCTGGTATCTTTGATAGAAGGAGAGACTCGACTTCTGGATAGTAGATTTCTCTGATGGATGTCTCTGAGTCAAAGGTCTGGTAGGTTGTTGATGTGGGTATTTGTATAAGAGTTTGGAAGGCATCTTTGTCTAGCGTGAAGTTGCCTTCGGCGTTGCGGATGTCGGTTATTGTTATTTTTTGTTCATTTTCCAGGTAGTTGCGCTGAAGTTGGCCCGGTGCTTGGGGTTCGACATAGTTATATGGAGCGGAGTTGTCTAGAGGTGGGGCATAAAAGGTAAGGCCCGCTGTTGCTGAGCCTCGAGGGATGTATGTTGGATCTTGGGTTGTTGTAGTTATGGTTTCGGTTGTAGTGGTCGTCATTGTGCAGGTATGCAACTTGCTCTGCCAGTAAGGTAGATCTCTGTACAATTTAATTGAATCCGTATTGATTCATTGCAGGCGTGGAGAATTATAATGTTTTATATGGCGAGCAGCAATGCATTAGTGAGCAACTTTGTACCTCGCATTTGTCAGGAATGCGGAGATGATGTACCCGAGGCTGACCTCATTCGCAGATACGATCACATCATCGGCCTGATTAGTGATCAAATAGAATAAGTTACCATAGGCTTACTTGTGATTCTACATGAATCTTGATTTTGGATGGCCGTTTCTAGGAACTAGACTAGATAGCAGCCAGCCATCTCCATTCATATGTGGACTGCCGACCAATCACCCCCTCAAGGATCACCTTTAAGGATCCACCCCAACGAGTATCGGCAAGGCACGCCCAGTGATCAGTAGAATGAATATTCTACTGTTTATACGTCTGCAAAGGTGAATGTGAAACATAAAGTTTCGCCATGCAACATTTTGATTTCATGTCCTGAGAGAAGGCCTACAATGCAGCTAGCTTGACAATTTAGATTCACAATTCGTCTTTCGTCTTCTGTGCACGGAGACGAAGCATAGTAACGCCGTGAGCGTCCACCAGCGCGGCAATTGTACCACGTTCTTTGACTGATCCAACCTTGGAGCCCATCAAATCTATGGAGTTTGATGGAGGTACTTGTGCGATCATCTTCTTGGCACTACCCGTGCTCCGTGTGCGAAATGCTGTTGCATTTGGTGACATGGTCCTGTTCAAACCGCGACCAACCATGGCATTTGCGGCCACATCACTCAATCTGTTCGCCCAAAGGTCAGAAATTTCCCTGTCTTTTCTAATTTCTCCGGAAGTGCCTAACGGATCATCATTCCAGAACCGTCTATTAGAGAAGCGTTCATCTCGCGACTTTTAGAGCCTGCATTAGGGAAAAGATCGAGCTATAGCTCGTATAGTTCGTTGTGCGTATGGTTCATATGACAAACACAATACATGTAGTATGGCATGTTACGATGTGGACTACCCAGGATGGAGAGTGGCAAAGCTTGTTCTTGTTGGCATACCACCCCCATCAATATGTATCTTATTAATACAGATCTATTTTAGGTATTTCCCCTCCCCCTCCCCTCATATGGCAGAGAATTTTATATACCGTGGATCGGTTGGGGTAGGAAACGACTGATAGCCTATGAATGTAGAGACGGAAATGAGCGAAATACTAGCAAAGAATCTAGGCTCTTTCAACAAGGAACACACGTATATCAAACAATTCTATCGGGCATACGTTCCTAAAAATGTTGAGTTGAAATAAACGTCTTTGGGGGTCTCCCTTGCTGTCGTCATCGGATTTCGGAACGGGTCCATTTATAGACTCCGGCGACCAGGGAGGACCCTTAATTTAGTGTCTTAATCTAACATACAGCTTTTCTAAAATGACGTTTCAACACTGCTTTTCATCGACTTTCCCATATCCAAGGATCTGAAAGAAACAAGGGTGTTCAGCTGTAGACAAATCTAGAAATCTAAGAATTCTAGAGTTGGAGCCGGGGTTCGGCCGAATCCCGTCAAGAAATCCTCCTCGATTGCCTGACGTCTGGACATCCCAACAGTTCAACATTTTATTGCTGGGAAAATGTCACTTAGAAATGTAGATAGATCAATTAAATTGAAGGTTTTTGCAATCGTAATCCTAATTCTATTTCTTCTTTAATCTTAGTACTGGTGTTTGCTCACCTTCAACATTCGAGCCTTATACTTTCCATACAAAACACCGGCCTCGACATCTCCACAATGAAAGCAACCGAGCCTAAAGGCCAAAAGCTGCACATCAGCGAACAGCCTGTTACCTTGACTAACTGGCACAAACATGTCAACTGGGTCAACACCTCCCTCATCTTGATCGTGCCATTCTTTGGCTGCATCGCTGCATTTTATACCAAGTTGCGAGCTATCACTGCCGCTTGGGCTATTCTCTATTACTTATGGACCGGACTGGGTATCACTGCTGGCTATCATCGCCTTTGGGCACACCGTTCATACGAAGCGTAGGTATCTTTCCACTCCGGCCGTCGGTCATGAGCAACTAAGCGCTAACCGATGTTAAAATCATTAGAGGTCTCCCTCTCCAAATCTTCCTCGCATGCGTCGGCGGTGGTGCAGTACAAGGTTCCATTCGATGGTGGAGCGCTAAACATAGGGCACACCATCGATGGACCGATACAGTCAAGGACCCCTACAGTGTTATGAAGGGAGTGTGGTACTCGCACTTCATGTGGATGGTGCTAAAACAGAACCCTAAGAACCGCGGCCGAACAGATCTTTCGGACTTGAATGAGGATCCTATTGTCGTTTGGCAGCATAAGAATTATGGCACAGTCATTCTCGTCTTTGGAATGCTGTTCCCAATGGTTGTGGCAGGACTAGGATGGGGTGATTGGAAGGGTGGCCTAATTTATGCCGGAATCCTTCGGTTCTTGTTTGTTCAGCAGGCTACTTTCTGTGTCAATTCTCTTGCCCACTGGCTGGGTGAACAGGTCAGTATACTCCGAACCTCTTATATCACCGTGCGCTGACAAGTTCTAGCCATTTGATGATAGAAACTCTCCTCGCGACCATGTTGTCACCGCACTGGTGACCCTGGGCGAAGGCTATCACAATTTCCACCATGAAGTAAGATCATGCCCATTGAGTCCCTTTGCATGAAAGCGACTAACGCTCGTTAGTTCCCCTCTGACTACCGAAATGCCATCGAATGGTGGCAGTATGATCCCACCAAGTGGTCAATCTGGATGTGGAAGCAGCTCGGCCTCGCAACTAACCTGAAACAATTCCGGGCAAACGAGATTGAAAAGGGCCGTGTGCAGCAACTCCAGAAGAAGGTCGACCAGAAAAGAGCCAAGCTTGATTGGGGTGTCCCTCTAGAACAGCTCCCTGTTGTTGACTGGGACGACTTCATTGCTGAAGCGCAGAGTGGTAAAGCTCTTGTGGCTATCGCTGGCGTTGTCCACGATGTAACCGACTTCATCAAAGAACATCCTGGTGGTAAAACCCTCATTTCGTCGGCTCTCGGCAAAGATGCCACTGCCATCTTCAACGGCGGTGTGTATAGCCATTCCAACGCTGCGCACAACCTTCTCTCCACAATGCGGGTCGGGGTAATTCGAGGCGGTGGGGAGGTTGAGATCTGGCGCAAGAGTGAGAAGCAGATATTAAGTCAATACACGTAGAAGAGACATATACAATGTTGGCGCTGAGTCACCTGATCGACATCACTTCCTTCCACGTCCCCCCTGTTTTCCCCAAACTTTTCCCAAGTCAAAGACAAAGAACCAATTCGCGTCTACTCCACCGGAGTTTTGCCCTCCAATCTCACGGGCTAAGCACTAGGGTAACATTATTCCGTGCCGTCAGTGGCGCCTCATAAGCTTGAACGGGACCACAACCCCCATTTACATGCCCCAAAGCCTCCGGGGCTCGGATCTTCCCCCTCTTTACCAGCCTCCGCCCGATCAGGGAGCCCAATAGCTGGCCTTGGACACCTTCATCGGATAAATCCTCATCGCGCAAAGCTTACCCCGGCTTGTCCCCGCCTCCCTAGCGTCAAGCCATGCGGAGGTAGCTTTGGAATGTTTGTTGCGGCACGTAGCTACCCATAAAATGCCTGCATCCCTCGGTTGCTTCCGATCTTTACTCTTTCCTACTCGGATCACGCTTCGTCTTCTTTTAATCTATGCTTTCTTTCTATCGGTAATCATTCTTCTGGGAATCAGGATGCATTTTAAATCTTACGTGACCGCTGCCCTGTATGGGTTGCCCGCCCTTGCTCAGGCTGTCCCGTCGCCTTCTTCGCGCGGCTCGGCTTCCTCGCCATCGGCTGCTAGCTCCAGTGACCACTTCAAGAGCTACACCATCAAGGCTGAGAACATCACCGCCAAGCTTATTCCCTACGGCGCGCGTCTCACCTCCTTGACCGTCCCCGATCGAGATGGCAAGGTCCAGGATGTGGTTGTTGGCTATGATGACCCCATCGAGTACCTGCACGATAGTGAGACCAATCGCACCTTCTTCGGCGCAGTTGTAGGTCGCTATGCCAATCGCATCAAAAACGGTACCTTCACCGTCGATGACAAGACCTACCACGTTCCTGAGAATGAGAACGATGGTGTCGACACCCTTCACGGTGGCTTCACTGGCTACGACATGCGCAATTGGACGGTCACCGCCCACAGTGAGTCTGCCATCACCTTCAGCTTGCTCGATCGAGGCTTTGAGAACTTCCCCGGCGATGTCATCACTCATGCCACTTTCAGTGTCTCCACTGAGACCACCCCGGAGAACCCCAAGGGTCTTCCCCAGCTGACTACCAAGCTGGTTGCTCTCGCTCTGACTGAGAAGACTCCTATCATGCTGGCCAACCACATCTACTGGAACTTGAACGCATTCAAGGAAAAGAATGTCCTAGAGGACACCCTGCAGCTGCCTCTCTCCAAGCGCTACATCGCCGGAGACAGCATTCTCATCCCCAACGGCACCATCTCTGATGTCGACAACACCTACGCGGGATCATTGGACTTCACCACCCCCAAGACAATTGGCAAGGACATCAAGAAAACCACCGGCCTCTGCGGTGCCGGCTGCACCGGCTACGACACTTGCTTCTTGGTCGACCGTCCCACCTCAAACGCCCCTGACTCCATGATCACTGCCCTCCGTGCTTCATCCGACAGCACCGGTATTAGCCTCGAGGTCGCCACCAACCAGGCTGCCATCCAGATCTACACTTGCAGCGGCCAGAACGGCAGCATCGCCACCAAGAAGTCCCAGGCTAAGCGCAACAAGGCTGATGGTGGTGACGCCGGCGCTACCCACGTCAACAAGTACGGCTGCTTCGTTATCGAGACCGAGGACTGGATTGATGGCATTAACAACCCTGAGTGGGGCCGTGTTCCTTACCAGGTTGCTGGCCCTGACGATGGGCCTGTCATCAACTGGGCTACTTACCAGTTCGGTACAATCTAATCCCTTCATCATAAAGAGTCATGCACATAACTGCATTTGAATAATAATAAATTTTTCAAGTTCGCCACCTTCCAATTATATATCCGTAGACCGTATAGTACTATTCGCATGAATTCATTGGATGAACAAAAATTTTCACATAGTTTTCAACTCAAGTATCTACAGCTTTGACAATATTTCGGACCATTCAACACCACTCCCCTTGACAATTTCGTCCTCCCAATAATTCGGATTAAACGTAATCCGGTTAAGAGGATTTAACCGATGGGCTCGGTTGAACAAGTCCTCATAGACGCGACCATCATACCGACCGAGTGCGCTATTTCCGCCACTAAGGTTAATAATCCTCACTCTTGATTCGCATGTTACTGGGGCTCATCATACCTGTCAAGCAAATAATCTGGAATCATCCATGAGTCCACCAGTTTGACTCCATGTGGTCTTATCCGACTCATCAGGTCTTGGATTCGAGTAGGCAGGGCATCTAAATCTGATTGTGAGATGGCACTGAATCGGAAGACTGGTCTCTGTTAGTTCTTTTAGTTCTCGGGCCCTTCAGTACTTCGTCTTACAATCATAGCCTTCATTTTCCATGGTGTTCAACGCGAATAGACGATATAGATCCCATAAGATGGTCTTGATCGAGGCTGAGAGGGTCTTGTCGGCGGAAAGAGCTTCAAAGAAGGTTGTCACCATAATTGATTGAGATTGTGCTATATTCTCACTTAGTTCATTTGCATCGTAGAATCTCTCGGTCTGAATACATACCCCGGCTGAGTTTGTGAAGCTGGATAAGAAGACTGTTCCAGTCCTTCTTCTTGATCACTCGTTGCTCGTACGCATCGTATGCCTGTCTCTCGTCAGCCTCATGAACCTGTACCAGGAGGAAAATCTCCGACATACCAAAGCAGTAGCCCTCAACTCAAAGCTCTTCACAATATCACGATCACTGTTCAAAATATCATGCCCCCACGACAAGCCCCCAGCATGCTTCTCCCGAGCAAAAGCTCTAAACCGAGCATCCATCTCATCACCACCCTTCCCTTCACCCTCAACAGCAGCACCCATTTTTTTAATCAAGTAACCTGCAACCTGCTGCGTAATCATCCAATTATCCCCCTCAACAGTCGGCTTCGACAAGTAATCATTATTGAGCTGAATTAAGCCACTCCCACCACCAAATCCATGTCCCCCCATCGCTCGTCGACAACTCTCAATCCCATCTGCCGCAAGCATCGTACAGAGACTTTTCAGTCCGGAGGACATGCTATGCATGTAGGCTAGTGATTTAAAATCACCTTTCTCAATATCTTCTCGTGCATTCTGATATACGGTTCGCATGGCTTGACCCGTGTAATGTAGTGCGAATGTTGTTGCTAGTAAAGGCAGGATGCGAATTTGGACGGTTGGATAGTCCAATACTGATAATTCTGGTCCGCGCTTGTCGCCGTCTCGGTTTTGGAATTGCCGGCGGACGGTTGTGTAGCGTGTTGCGACTGTTACTGCTCGCGCGAGGACGAGGCGCGCGTGGTGGACTATGTTTGCTCGGACGTAGGTCAGGGAGCCGTAGACTACAGCTGGTTGGGCTGGTTTCGTGTAGAGGCCTGTTTCTGGGTTCACATTTGAATAGCGGGATAGGAGGGCTGAATGGGGCACTCTGGATTGTTGTCAGTCATGCTGGGAGACAATGGTGGATCAATAACTGGCAATTGACATACCGACAATGATCAAATAGCATATATGCATTGTCCATAGTGATATACCCATACTTCGGCCCAATATCACCAACAACAATACCCTCCAAAGGCAAATGTGTCTTCATATCTCTAACCTGGACAATAAATGGATGCGGACCATGCGAGACAAACCGATCCGAGTCAGGCTCAGGAAGTAACAACTGAGCCACAACAATGGCATGATTAGCAACTCGACCTAGACTCCCATTCCACCATTTACTAGCAGTAAGAGTCGGACTATGTATCACAAACTCTTTGGTCTGGCTATCCCACCGCGCCTCAAGCTCCAAACCACGGACATTACTGCCGTGTCCAAGTTCAGTCTGTGCGTATGCACCTATGATCTTCCAGGACTCGATTAGGGGGACCCAGTATGCGCGCTGTTCTTCGCTGGCTTGTTCTCGGATTGTTGTTATGAACATCTCCATATGGAGGAAGTAGGGGGAGACGTCGTCCACTAGGTACTCGGCCATCTTGTAGTCGTCATGGCTCCATTTGTATTTGTCACTTAGGCGGCGGAGAAGCTTTGCTCTTACGAGTCCTAGTTTGAATCGTTCTGGTCGGGATAGGTTTTGTTGTTTTGTTTTTGAGAGGATTTCTTCTTGTTGGAGGATTGGTAGTATTCGAGCTTGTCGCTCTAGGAAGCCATCTGATGATAATAGGTGTTTTCCGAGCTCTTCGGTTGAGATGTTTGATTGTTCTCGCTCTTTTGCCAGTGTTGATGGCCCATCTGGCTGGCTCGGGCGAAGTTTATCTGTAAAGTCAGGCATTTTGAGTAAATGATTGAAGCTGTGTCAAGACTTCCTTTGTCAATAACTAGAAAACTGCTCTGAATGTCTCATAATAAATCAAATAGCCACGGTGTTTTACTCAGACCTATTTTCCAAAGAAAAATCACCGAGTGCCGAGTGCCGGCATATCCCCGCGGGGTAGATGTAGATCGTAGTGAAGTAGCCGAATGAACTGAGCTATACAACAAGCAATTGGCTGGAGAAATGAGCGGCTTAATTCCGAAATCTACTCGAAGATCATATAGTCGAAGGCACTCGTGGGATAAAATGGATCGAATACCCGTCCCGTAGATTCAACAAGAAGTTCCGGTTCAGATTGCACTATTTAGCAATTATGGGAGATCGTACTCAATTTATCCCTGCTCATTTAGGAGAAAATGTGCTACCAAATATGCCATTCTTTCATAGACTGCTGCGTTCCGCGCAACGCAAGCCTTCCCCAATTGCGATTCGAGACCTGAACGCTGGTCTTGAGAAGACATACCGTGATCTTCTTTCAGATGTCTTAGCTCTGCGCAAGGTATTGGAAGGAAGACTAAGCGTTGAAGCGCGACGTGATCTAGCCGCCGACAAAGAAGTGTACATTGGGTTACTTGCTCCCGGAGGCTATGAATACACAGTTGGCTTCATGGCTATTCTTGCACTTGGTGCAGCTGTAGTTCCAATGGGTAAGTCGCCCCCTATAAAAAAGAAGAAAGCAGATTGAAGCTAATCAAGCGCAGCTGCCGTGTTACCAGCCGAAGAAGCATCATACTTCCTTCTGAAAGCTCGCTGTGTCGCTCTACTTGCCAGTACAACCAGCGAGCAAACCGCCAAGTCAGTTGTGCAATTTGTATCAGAAAGCAAAGGTGTACAGATCCCCTGCATATCATCTATCGCATCATACTTCCGACCAACTCTCCTCCCAGCAGACGAAGCAACCATTTCATCCGACCTCGTACCCGACATGAACAGTGCAGCATTGGTAATCTTTACATCTGGCACAACCGGGCCTCCAAAAGGTGCTGTCCAGCGCCGCAGCTACCTGACCGGTAGTGGCGAAGCCGATATGGACCACTACCGCATCACGGATCGAGACACAGTCCTCCATGTCCTCCCCGTCCACCACGCTTCAGGTGTTGGGTTAACATTCCTTCCATTCCTAACAGCAGGTGCATGCATCGAGTTCCGCAGTGGGAGTTTCGATACGGCGTGGACGTGGGAACGCTGGCGTCAGGGTGGCCTTTCGTTCTTTTCTGGTGTGCCGACTATTTATATGCGGATGATGCGATACTTTGAGGAGAATATTGCGCATCAGCCGACAGAGATTCAGGATCAGTATATTGCCGGTGCACGTGGCATTCGGGCTATGCTTTGTGGCACTTCTGCGCTGCCGGGGCCTGTTCAGGATTTTTGGGGTCGGATTCGGGAGAAGCCTATTCTGACTCGATATGGAGCTACTGAGTTTGGGGCGGTTATTAAGACTGATCTGGATTCTGAGGGTGTTCCAAAGAATAGTGTTGGGCGTGTTGCCGAGGCCGTTTCGTTGAAGCTTGCTGACGATGGGCATCTTTTGGTTAAGTGTCCTTATATGTTCTCCAAGTATGTGTGACGCCTCGACTTTGTCTTTGTCTTGTTACTAACAGCTCTCCGAATAGATATCTCTTTGACAAGAAGGCAACGGCAGATGCCCATGATGCAGATGGGTACTTCAAATCGGGCGACATTGCCCGTCGCGAAGGGAAATATTATTTCATTCTCGGGCGTGCCTCAATCGATATTATCAAATCCGGGGGGTATAAGATATCTGCATTGGATGTCGAGCGCGAGATCTTGGGTCTGGATTATGTGTCAGAAGTCATGGTCGTGGGCGTTGAAGACGAGGAATTCGGTCAACGTGTTGCTGCCACTGTTAGTCTAAAGCAAGATCGCAAAACAAAACGCAAAGACCTGACCCTTGCGGAACTTCGTGATGACTTACGGAGTAAAATGGCCGGGTATAAAATGCCGACTATTCTTCGCATTGTTCACGGTGAACTTCCTAAGTCGGGAACTGGAAAGGTACAGAAGAAAATCTTGGGGCCTCAATTCTTTCCGTCGAACTATCGAGATTTGCCCGAGATACAGACTTGGAGCAGGCATATTCAGGCTAAAATTTGATTGATACATTATAATACGAGACATGGATCTGTGCACAGTGCTGTGAAGTATCGAACAGTCTCTACACTGAAGCGCTACATCAAGAACGCTATTTATGCAGCCTTTTTATCCCATTTTGATGCCTATGACTCTAGATGGCGGATTTAATTGTGACCGCCAGTGTCCACCTATGCTCAAGGTTAGTGACGTCGAGGATCTACGGGGCGTACCATCCAAGCAGAGTAACGCATAATTGTTACCATGATTCCTATCATCTCAAGTGAATGCCTATCGGCATGCAATCTATACCTGATTTATACAATTCCCCAACCCCCAGGTCCTGGGAATGATCAACAAGACTCGGCTCCCCTCCCGGTGATGCATCTATACAAAATCGGGTTCTCTGCCGTTCGAGGATAGATGGCATAAAATAGAAATGCTGGATTTCACTTTCCCCTGATATTCTTTTTGATATTCACCAATAAGTTCTGTGCCCGCAAACCCGCATTTTCTCCGCAGCGTCATCGAACATGTTATTTGGCCTGGTGGACACTTTATCCTGTTTTGGCATTGAAATCCGATTTTGCATTTTGGCCCTTCTGAGCCTTTTTTTTATTCTTTATTAGCCTATTATGAGGCTTATAGCTTGGTGTAGGCTATTACTTTGTTGGTATGCGAGATTGAAAGGATTGGGTTTGACTATATCGATTCTGTAAAGTAATCCGCCTCGTGTATAGTTCAACCGCTTGATTCGGTATGTGAACACCTACAGATCCTACGATTGAAAACAGTTGACAAATTAGTTGTCCCCATTGTAGCTTTTAAGGCTTTTCATATCAGGCCTTTCGAGTCTACAGCGGCAGAAAGCAATGAATTGAATGATGTATGTAAAATTCTCTTCTTTTCACAACAACATCTATGTACAGCTCTATAGGACCTCCATTCCTGCTGGATTCATGTAGAGTTTGAGTTATCAGCGCAAGTAAAGGGGGACGACTCTCCAGAAGCCGCTATAACCCCGAGCACAGTTCCGTAAGTGCCCGCTCCAGTCAAAAAGCAGCCTATCACTACGACAAAGAAACTAAAGCATACCATGGGTAGCCAGGCTTTAGAACTGTGTCTTCCTCTAGACCAGTTGTCATATAGCCACATGCAACCATATGGTTGGAAACAGAGGATTGTTCCGAGGAGTGCACCAATCAGTGATGTCAGGGCGTCAAAACCAGGGATTGTGCTGGATATGATGTATGCAATAACGGTTATGCTTCCTGTGCAGCACAGCCAAACAATCCAGTGTGTTGGGGTATTGCGATTCAGATGGCGGGAACCGCGTAGGAGGCGGACGAAGATGTACTTTGCTGGAATCTATAAAATGTGAGACTCTCTGAGCGTTCTAGAATTTCTGCATATCTTACATGCGTGACAATTGTAGAAGTGACAATTAATCCTGGGATTGCAAATCCATATGAAATCTTCTTCACAAGCCCACCAGCGGATCCAAGAGCCGGTGAGGCAACATAAGAACCACAGTAGTAGTAGACAACACATGCGATGACCAAGTAAATAGAGGTCACACCGGCTTGACAGATAAGTAGGGCCTTTGTGTACTGACGAGGATTGCGCATCTCAGACACAATAGCGAAGAATCCTGGCGTGCCTGAGAAAGCAAACAAAATATTGCAGATACCCGCCATACCCTCTGCGAAGGTCGGGTTGCCGACAATCTTGAAGTCAGAATTCCAAGGTAGATCATCCTTGGGCGCAGCAGCAGGACGATCCTGGACACCGACGGCGATTGTGACCACCATAACTAGAGACATCAGCAGATCGTCAATACTTTTATGGTAGAGAACCTACTCGCAACCAGGATGCATGGAAGTCCGATCCATGCAAGCCAAGTGATGCGTCCAAGGGTCCGTATACTGCTTCCACTAAATCCAAGGATGGCTGCAATGGCTGCAAATCCGGCAGTGCAGATGCCGTGTGAGGAGACTGCATTGAGGCCGATTGACAATCCCAGTATGCCGGACGCACTGACGAAGATCCAATCTATTAGGTCAGCTTAGCACAATAAATTGCCGTAAAGAACACATACAGATACAGAATACAGCTCCTAGAAACCAGCGAGCAATTGGGCCAGCCATCAAACCCCCCGCATCGTCAATTCCATATACTTCACGGTGGTTCAATTTAAAGATTCCAATCACGTAGCCGGACCACGTCGTTATAGCAGAAATAAGAAGAAGACAGATGGCACCCGGGACCATACCGAGGGCATTGAAGGCGGATGGGATCGAGAGTATTCCCAGACCAATTTGTGACTTCGCCATCAGAACAGCTGTTCCAACAAAGCCCACCTAAAAAGAGGTCAGTTAATATCCGGAGGGTCCTGGGTATGAGCATCTGATCAGTACATTGCGGTAGTTTGGCCCTTTTTCTGTGATTTCTCCAAACACGCCATCATGGTTCGCTGTCTGGATACGCTTGACCACAAGTTCGTTGTCGAAATTCTCGTCATCCTTCCTGTCACGGTCCTCTTCTAGGGAATGTACTTCGGAGATATCCATTTCGCCAGGGGGGAAGTCTGGGAGCACGGGTTGGAATCCGTAAGTCTACATGTTTCTGGACATCGGGGGCTTTTATAGAGTCCATGTCTGTTCAACCAATGGGGTTCAAATGAGCAGACTTGCTGGATATTGACTGTGGGGCAGTCGGAGAGAGGAATGTCTTTCATTGCATCCCCGCACGAGTGATTTCATGTCAAGCCAAGTGTGAATGTCTGAATATCCCCCGGGTATCCTTCCCGTAGAGTGCAAGTTCCACCGGGGAAAGGTACCGCTATGTGGAGCCTCAACACTTTGGCCCCCATACACTATGGGTGTTGCAACGCGTTTACAGTTAGTGAAATAGATAGAAATATCTGCATAGAACAGTAGATAATCTGTACTCAATAACTTGTCTTTTGGTCTGTTTATCTTGTCAATTGGGTGTGTTACGCGGCTCATATTTGCGGCATACAGATGTTACATCGAGGCCAAAGCGTGATAGACACTTTGGTTCTATGGCCGATGTGGAGGTTTTCTAATATACCGGTGAACCTTCGTCTGTTCATTGCCGAAAATGTGCTAAATGGAGAGCCATTCTCATTGCCAAGTAGTGTGGGGGAAATTAACCTGGATATGTACTTCACACTATAACTTGTCATACAAAGGCCAGACCTAATCAAAGCCCTTGAATTCATCATCATCCTTTTTGCCATTGGCCTCATTGGCCTTCTCGTTCGCCCTCTCAGCCTGCCTAGCAAGACGCTCCTGTTCGTTCTTGGCACGAATCTCCTCCAACATGCGCTGTGTTTCTTCAACCTTCTTCTTCTCCTGCTCGGGCAGTAGCTCCCACCTTTCCTTCTCCTTGCGAGTCTTCTTGACCTCCTTCTTCTTGAACTTCTTGTCTCGTTCCTCGGCCTTCTGACTCCAAGCCACACTTTCAGTAGGCTTGCGCTTGGTTCCTTGCTCGGCACCTTCGCCATTGGCAGCCTCCGCCATAGCTTCTTTGCGTCGCTTTTCTTGTTGCTTGTCTTTGTATGTGTAGCTGTCCCAGTCGATCTTCATACCTAGTGTTTTGTCGCCGGTGAATGTGCGCAACTCGGGCATCTTGGGGAGCTTCAGGAGACCCCAGGCCAAGCCGAGAGCTTCCCAGTCTAGGTCTGCCACCCGGAAGATACTGCTGGCTTGGTGCTTGCTGTAACTGCGCAACCAACTAACAAAGGCTTTTTGGCCCTTGTCGTGCATGGCGCGATCTTTGAGAACGGCTTTGCGTACTTTGTCTGTAGCTGCTTTGGCCTCTTCGTCGGTGAATTCGGTCAGATTGTAGGGTGCGACAGGGGTTTTGCGGATTTCTAAGAAAGGAACATAGTCTTCCTCGCGTCCAGGGTGGATGAGAACAATGCTGAGGCCGCGACGACCGGCACGGCCTGCTCGGCCACATCTGTGGATGAAAGTTTTGGGGTCTGATGGCGGGTCAATCTGGACCACAAGATCGACGGATGGAATATCTAGTCCGCGTGAGGCAACGTCGGTGGTGAGGAGGATTGCGGGAGTCGTAGCGGTGGTGAAGCGGTTGAAGTTCTTTTGGCGGACGTTAGCTTGATGTTTCCCGTGCAGTGGCACCATGAGGAATTCATCTCCCAGAATGATTGGTAGAATAGCGGCGAGATAGTCGACACTTGAACATGTCGATACGAAGAAGATGGTCTTCTGGGGTGTGGGTTGGACTGTGGAAAGGATATGCTTCAGGATAGCATATTTGTGAAGGGGAGGGGTTGTCAAATAGGTCATTTGCAAACTATAGGAGAGTCAGAATGAAATATCTAATGGTTCGGGTCTAGAACATACCTTGCTGGAGTGCGCTTATCCTCAACACCAGCGCCTCCTTTCACCTTGACGGCGATCTTTACTGGGTTTCGAAGACCCACTCGGACAATCTGATCAACAGCTTCACTGATACTGGCACTGAACAATCCTGTCCGGCGCTGCTTAGGCAATCTGCGAAGAATCTTCTGCAAATCCTCCTTGAATCCAAGGTCCAGAAGTCTGTCGGCTTCGTCAAGGACAAGCATTTCGAAAGAGGACTGAGGGCAGTGGACGTGAGGCGATGAAAGCAGCTCCAGCAGTCTTCCAGGTGTTGAAACCAAGACATTGGGTGATTGCTTGAGGAACGAACTCAAATCTTCCGCCGGAGAGGTACCGCCACCCAGGAGGAGTTGTGGCACGACCTTCAAAATCGATGAGGAGGACTTCGGACGAGGCGCACCATCTTCAGTAGGCTTAGTGGCCACAGCAGAGGCAGGGTGGAATTCCAATAGCGAGAGAAGAACTTGGTAGATTTGCGAGGCCAATTCTCTGGTGCCAATTATCAGCAACAAGCTCTGTATTGCTCATGCGCCGCACTTACCTTGTGGGAGAAATGATAATAGCTCCAACATGGTGCTTCTTGAGGGGTTCGTCAAGGCGCAGCAGCTTTTCAACTATTGGGATCAAGAAAGACAATGTCTTTCCACTTCCAGTGACAGCTTCCACCACGACATCCTTGTGTTGCATAAACAGAGGGATGGCCGAGGCCTGGACTGGGGTCATGCGCGTGAAGCCCATGGAGCTCACGGCGTCGAGTGTCCATTCGGACAGAGATGGCTCAAGGCCATCCCAGGCTCTCGAAGATGTCTTAGGAGGCATCTTGCAAGAACTCCGAATTCTTGAAATTGTCTTGAACTGCTGAGGCGCAAAGAAAAAAAATCCGTTATCGATTAGATACGGCGCACGTGACTGCGGCATTGGGCGGAAATGGGGATATCTTCGTTCTTCTCTCTTTTCTACAGCTTCGCTCGACTCGCCTTTTCTTCGTACTCACATTATGCGCTGGGCTGTCTTTTGCTTCAAGCTTTTCCGTCTCTAATTGTCGATAGGGCACCGTGTCGTGCCCAACCCGCCCATCATTGCTTCGTTCGCGAATCCACTTATACCATTTGGCTTATTTGCCTGCGACAGTGCAGATATCTGTACACGGCCACTATCCGGCGTAATACCAGTCGCATCGCTCCCCTCATTCGCCTTGAGATCATCCGAGATGCCCACCTCCCCAAATACCGTCCCGGCAACACCTCGCGTGATCTCCCCGACACCATCACTTTCGGACCCATCGGAGACACATGATGGATATTTCGCACCGACGACACGGTCCGCTGCGCGCCGACAGCGCCAATCTGAAAATACAGGGAAAGCAACAGGCTCAGAGCGGACGTCAAGGTCCTCCACAACTCCTTCCAGGCCCGCGCGCCGATCAAACCCCAAGATCCCAGCTTCGCCGCCGCACACGCCCAACGGCAATGCTTCAAACGGCTATTTGTCGCCACTAAGCATCCAAGATACGCTTCGCGATCTCTCACGGTCGCCATCCCCTCTCGGACTTATCCCGCTCCATTCGCGCTACCGCTCCTTCATTCACCGCCATGAAATTCCCCGCAAACTCCTGCACGTGTCAATCGGGTTTCTGACCTTGCAACTGTACAGGTCGGGCGTGCAGACGTTACAAATCACCCCGGTACTCTTCTCTGCCTTGGTACCTATCGCAGCAACGGACTTGATCCGCCATCGCTCTGAGAAGGTCAACAAGCTCTATATCCGATGCATGGGTGCGCTCATGCGCGAAACTGAGGTTTCGGGCTATAACGGCGTCATCTGGTACCTCCTTGGAGCGTACGTTGTCCTGCGCTTCTTCCCCAAGGACGTCGGAGTTATGGGCGTGTTACTCCTTAGTTGGTGTGACACCGCTGCTTCAACATTCGGCCGTCTCTACGGCCGCTATACCCCTCGTCTCCGAAAGGGTAAGAGTTTGGCTGGCACTATGGCCGCTTGGGCTGTTGGTGTTGCCACTGCTGCCGCTTTCTGGGGTTGGTTCGTACCATACGTCGGTACTTTCCCCAACGATCCTGAAGATGCCTTCATGTTCACTGGACGGTTGAACTTGCTTCCGAACTCGGTTCGCGGTCTTCTAGGCTGGGATGCCAGTGATTCGGCTGTCATCACCGGGCCTCTGGCTTTGGGTGTTATGAGCGTCGTTTCTGGCGTTGTCGCTGCCGGCAGTGAGTTCATCGACATGTGGAGCTGGGATGATAACCTGACGATCCCTGTCCTAAGTGGAATTGGACTATGGGGATTCCTCAAGGTATTTGGATAGAGGGTTAATTGATATACTCTTGGTTTCTTGGTTCTCAGCACAGCACTCATACCTTTCATCTAATGTTATTTTGCTGTCTTATATTTTGGACATGACTTCTTTCACATTTTCTCTACTTTCGGGCATTGCGTTGCATCAAGATTCGGATTCTGCTTAGATAGGGGCGTGGACAATGCTTCGTCGGTTTTGATGCTACTTCTCAATTCTCTTCAATGGATATACACGGTTTTTATGTTGTGGTTATTATCTGGACGGGCCGTTGGGCGCTCTGATTATACGCGCAAATAGTCTCCCGTTTGATAGTCCTGACTAAGTACTTGAAATCAAACAAATTATTGAACGCCATGTCTTCTTTGGCTCTGAGCCAAATAGTTGATAGTTCCATCAAATGCCACATGGGTGACATACTGTATGCGTCTGTTTAAAATCTCAAATACCGGCAAGAGTTCGTGACCAATGCAAACGTTCAACTCCAATGTTCCAAAATTAAGCCAATGGGTATAAGAAATACTAAATCAAGTCGAGGATGCTCACACGTGGAATTCTCTTCTTCTTTCCGCTTCGAGCTCTGCTATCGCCTCCAGTTTTGTCTGCTGTGTCCCCAGACTCGATGCTCCAGAAGCCATTGTGTAGAGTGACATTTTCTAAGTGGCCCACGGTCTGGTGCTCCTGTTTATTGCTTGTGGAATCCTTCGGGGGCTTTTTGGTCGCCTTCTTTTGCTTCTCGACATGGTTTTCGATTTTCTTCGATGATGTTGCATTCTCGTGGCAATCTTTGCCTTGTGGTAGGACCAAGTCCGCTGAGTTTGATGTTTGCTCCGGCTCAGATACCGTCTTCTTAGAAGACAGAGCTGGTCTGGCAGTCTCGGACTTAGTGGTCTGCGTACGGACCTTAGGTTCCTTTGTCTTTTGCGGTGTCCGTTGACGCAATGGTTCAGCTGGTGTATCTTCACCGCAATCATCAAGCTTCACAGACAGCGAAAGGGTCTCAATGGCCCTTTCGATTTCATCAACGATTAGGCTTCCCTCTTCACACTTGGGCTCAGTTTTTTTCTTTGCCTTAGATAGAGCCTTCTTCGATGGGGATGGCAGAGCAGTCAAAGCCCTTGCTGGTCGTTCCTCGGCCGAAGTTTCTGAGTCACAGTTGTCTGAAATTGAGTAGCTCATTTTGAGCCCCTTGGTTTGCGCTGGCCTGGATGGACTTTGGTTTGTTTCGGCGAGTAGAGGTTCTGGTTCTTCGATTTCGATCCCATCATTCCCCAAAAGCCCACGCCTTGACCTGATGCGAGACTGGGCTGCCATGGGGTGATGTTTTATATTTGCAGAAGGGGACAACACAATGGAAGAAAAGGAATCCAGAAGGTCGTCAATCTCCTGGAATGGGTAGGACATCATTGGTGTGGCACCCTGCTGGGAGTACATACTCGGGGAGAATGGATCATCTCCCATGTCCACGACATTTGGCGAAGTAAATCCAGTACCAGAGCCAGGCCTGGAAAGAGGGCTTTCGGTCGACTTTTTCAAAGTAGCTGCTTCCAGCAACTGTGTTTGTTTAAAAGCGGATAATTCCGTTGTTTCCTTGGTAAGTGTCCCGTATTTCAGTATACTTCCTCTTTTCATCCCAGGATCAATTGGACCCTTTTTCTTAGGTTCCGTCCGTCGAGTTGGAGTCTTTTTAGTAGGTTTCTTTGCTTTCTCGGCTTTCTCGGCCTGTTCTTTTTCCCATTTCTTGACGACGTCTGGGACACCTAGCCGTGCAATGGTCTCAAAAACCCATACTTTTTCGATGGCAAAAGGGTCAAAACGTTTCGTCACACGGGACTTTGATGATGTTGGAGGAGGCTTTCCCGAGGTCGTCTCTGTCTCATCTTCTTCTTCTCCCTCTTGTGGAGCTGCTTGCGATGGAATAAGCTCGGATTGGAGCGGTGGGTTTGGCTCTTCGGCAAGAAGATCTAACCCCACAACATCTATAGGCAGCATGTCCAACTGTATTTCTGGCATTGCGTCCGTGCCGAAGCTTGACCGAGCTTTATAGGCTTTTCGTAATGTGGGTGGACATTCAGGAACAAATGAGAAACCCGGAGCCACGCCTCGCACTGGTCTCTGGAGGCGGAGTCGGTATGAGACGAGAGGTTCGGCCAACAGCTTGATTACTTTTCTTGCGCCAGATCTATAATTCCACTCGAAATTATCTGCAGTAAAAGATCTGATTGCCAAGGGATCAATATCTCGATCCCAGGCCTGCGTGAGACGGCTTCTCAGAATTGTCATTTCTTCATCACTGGAAACCTTTGGCTGGGCATAGTACTCAAGGATCGTTCGATCGGGGAATGTCTCGGGAATTCTGACGGCTTTGTGTTTTGTCGAAAAGTAGCCACTCTCATTCTCCTCCAGTTCGTACTGAAGACGCTCTCTCCACTCGGTCAATCCTGTTTCCACTGAATCCGCGTCCAGCTCTTGCAGGAGATCTTCACCAAACCCAGCCTTGGCAATCTCTGCAGCGAGTTTGCTTCCACATTTTGGTACACCAGATGGGAGATAGTCTCCACCACTCAGCATGGCAAAGAGAATCATTCCCGGGCGGTCGAGGGGTACATTTGAAGGGTGCCCATTCTGTCCCATTGCATAACAGGTAACATGAGTTGCAGAAGATGTGCCACTCCCATTTTCTTTTGAGAAGTTCATGATAGTCAAAGATGACCCAAACATCAAAGCATCAACATCATTGCTCATCACGGCATCCACAATTCCTGCCTGTTGCAGGCGTGCACACTCGGCTTCTGCTTCGCCGGGTGCTTCGTGCCATGGGAATCTGAATCGCTCAATGAGGTCTTTTGAACGTCTGATGATCGGGGCACTGCCATAGCTGCGCACTGAGACTACTTTGCCTCTTTTGAAAGCAGGTTTTTGCCGTCCATCATAGACAAAAAGGGGATGGACTGGCAATGCGAGCAATTTGAGCAGCCGATAAAATAGAGTACGCAATTCGGGATTTCTTCCTCCCCGGCCTGCTTGTACTTGGAACAGCCAAATAGAAATGTCGACGGCGATCCGAATCGGCCTTGCTGTTCGTTCCAAGTGCGTCACAGCCAGTTTAGCCAGAGAAACGCGCTCCCCTGCGCCGATAGCATTAATAAGTCTAATTTAATGTCAGCAAATCTGATTCAGCATCATCAAGGAAGTTGAGATTTGGGGTGGAGCGAAGATGCATCGTGTTTGTCCTCACTCCACACCAGAATATATATATATCTCCTCAGCACGCCTAGGTCATACTCACCCAGGAATACCCATTCTGCAAACCCCAAAATGATGCAGCTACAGAGCCCAAAAACAGTTGTTGCGCCTCGCCATGTGGTTTTGGCGATGTGCTGGTGAACGGAAATGAAGTTGTTGATAGAAGTAAATAAACCACGGCCCGATGTAGATCCGTTCCCTTCCTTCGAGCTCGCGACCTCACAACAGCAACGAATTGAATATTTGTTCAATAACTTATTAACTTCTCTTTCATCTTCATCCGATGGCGTTCAATTTCTTACCTGCGCACCGGTGAAGCAAATCCTGATCGCTACGAACCTCCGGATTTCTATTGATCCGAATAAGGAGAGCAACGCGCCCGAGCTCATCACCACATAATGGCGACCGATTCACCTTCGATGAGCGCCAGTAAGCGCAGCTCGGCAACATCCAATCTACGCCACAGCCAGACTGCACGACCAGACTCCCCGCATACACCGCAGCAGCAATTACGTTCGGGCAACACCTCATTCACCAGCACGACATCTCCGGGCTCGTCCTTTCGAAATGAAGACGATGCAATCATATTTGAGATAGGCGCACGATGGCTCCGTGCAGGCTTTGAGGGAAACAGCGCACCCGCCTGTGTTATCGGGTTTGGACCGGAGGACTCGAGGAGAGTGGGGGACTATCGGGGATGGACTCAGGGCAGCCTTGGTGCTGGACGGCTAGCTCAACCAGTTGACGCCGAGGAATGGGCACGAGCATATGAATTGTGGAGGCCAGACTCGCGGGAAGTTGATCTGGGTCTGGTCGAGGACAAGATTGAGCGCGCGTTCCGCGAGACCTATAACCAGTACCTATTGACGGACGCGGGTACGTCTCGCCTAGTTCTTGTCCTGCCTTCGCTTATGTCGCATCCATTGCTTTCGTCACTGCTATCTACGCTCTTCAGTCGCTGGCGATTTCCGAGTGTCACTCTTCTGTCGAGTGCGACTATGTCAGCTACCGCTGCTGGACTACGGTCTGCTTTGGTGGTTGATCTTGGGTGGGCTGAAACTACGATCACCGCCATTTACGAATATAGAGAGATGATCACGAAGAGGACGACACGAGCCATGAAACAATTGATGCAGGAGATGGGCCGGCTTCTTACTGAATTGGCCTCTGGCGGGAATCAAAACGATGACGCAGAGGACAAAATATCTGTCGGATTTGCCTATTGTGAAGAGGTAGTCAGTCGATTTGCCTGGTGTATATTGCAGGCAGAAGAAAGTTCAGCATCAGAGCAGACATTGTCGATCCCGTCTCCAGCAAATCCCGAACAAGAATACATGGACGTGTCGTTCGCACGCCTCACCGAACCTGCTGAGAAAGTCCTAATTGCACCGGGCACTGCAGAGCATGAAATGGATGATGAAGAAAAATCGATCCCCTTGCTTATTTACAATACACTCCTTACATTGCCTCCCGATGCACGTGGCACATGCATGTCACGCATTGTCTTCGTGGGTGGCGGTTCTCGAATTCCGGGGCTGCGTCAGCGAATCCTCAAAGAAGTCTCATTATTAGTTGACCGGCACGGTTGGAGTCCAATCAGAGGCAAAGCTCTCGAGCGCCTGCAGCAGAGATTGGAGGGCTTGAAACTCTCAGCTCGTTCACCTCCAAGCGGCACCGAGACAATTAAGAGTAATGGGAAAGCTGCGAACGACGAGGATGCTTCATCGGGAGACGAAGAAAAGCCAGATCCCTCCAAAGAGGAACCTGAACTGGACTTCGTGGAACAAAAGCTTCGCAGACAGAACAAAGACATTCCAGTCCCTGTTCAAGGAGTCTTACGCGAAGTCGAATCTCTTGGACCTTGGGCTGGTGCAAGTCTGACTACCAGTTTGAAGATCCGAGGAATGGTGGAGATCGAACGAGAGAAGTTTCTACAGCACGGATTGGCCGGCGCCACACGAGATATTGATCTTCATGTCCCTGATCGTCGATCGGGCTTGAGATCCGGTGGTGATCGTTCGAGTTGGACATTGGCCGGCTGGGCATGAGAACTATGTACAATTGGCGCCACATAACAACTAAAGATACCCCATGATTCAACCAGCATTTTCAACCTTGATTTTCTTCAGTAAAGCGGTCTCATCTATTGTAAATGATCTGGCGGGTCGAGCTGAAAAGCGTCAAGCGATAGTCCGGCATTGCAGCCTCGGCTTCTAACGCGGGGAAGAGACCCACGTCCCCTGATTGCTTTACTTGCACAATGTCAAGCACTACGTTCCCCCAAGTATAGGATGTTGCACGTGATCTTGATGACCGATTGATCGGTTGGCTCTCGGTGGCCCATCAGTAAGTTGCGGCGCCCCATAATCGATTGGTGCCTGGTATGTCCGTAACACTAGCGTCTTACTTCTCTAAGACACCTCGTCGCCTAGCAATCTAGTTTTAGGCAAACGTAAACGGGATACCACCTTCTAGAGTGATCTTCTAAAGCATATTTCCTTAAAAGATCTTCCGGACTCGGTCTACTATCGCGATATTGAACTTTTCTACCTAAAAGACCCTTAAAGTAAACGTGATATCTCTGTGCCATCATCGAGTTTCGCAACCTTAAAAGGTCGACCGGAAGGTGCTAACGGGTAAGCTAAAATTTTGATTTGAATTTCTTATAGAGCAACTTAAATACTGATTCTTGCTAATAGAACCAAATTCTTTATACACGGCGATTATCAACTGGCATATTGCCCGAGAGCTTAAATCATTGCCTTCGATTTCCGCGATAGGCACTGATCTCGCTCCCCAGAGCTATATTACTCACTCCAAGTAGCTGTATGTCCTCCATGAACTATAAATTTTACTGTTGGGGGCGACTACGTGCATTTTCAGGAATATACATGATTATGGAGGATGAATGAAGATATGATCTGCGGGGCCCACATGGTGCATCTGGGTCCTGTCTCCTTTGCTTCCTCGCGCTAAATCTTGTATCTAGAGTTAACTATAGCTTGTTCTCCATATTGATTATTTATCTCAAGACACTATCCACCTCTACGTATATGTGAGACCCTCAGATGCATTGCCTTACCATAGGTCCTAGGGCCTGGTATGATCCTAGGTTTTACTCGCGAGAGGTGATCTGGAACAGGTTCTCAAGATTTGACATTAAAAGCAAAAAGAATAGGTTTCTTTACCTTCACCTCAACAAATAAAGTCTCTTTTGATGTGTATTTCATAATCAACATGCTTTCCTATATTTGTCACTCTTTCCGTGCTTTACCAATTTGCAGTTTGGGACTAGCGTCACTCTAAAGCTACACTAATCGAATTGAGAATATATACAAAATGCACGCAATAGAAAGAAAGACTTACTAATCAAATAGCAAGCAAAGAACAGCCCGTAGAGTCATAATGTTGATAAGCGATAAAATGTAACGTAGGATTTGGCAAAATCTGTATTCTCAACGATGATAATAGTAGAATGAAAGAAACATCATAGAATAGCTGATGGGTGGTGAAAACATGAGGGCCAAATAGTAAGAGTAGACTTGCGGTTGGTGATTAAACGATAAGTTCGCTCCGAAATCCGAGTACGGAATATTGATCAAATCTCTACTTCCTGGATTTAAGGTATGCCAATTGTGAAATTAATGAACACAAAAAGAATTTATTTTTCTAAAAATAAAAAAAGGTCGCTCTACCCACACATGTAGTTGACCGATTCATCCAATGTTTACACATCGGTCAGCTGTCAAAAAGGAAATTCTACTGCGGCAGCCGGTCGACACCAAAGCTCCACCTAGGGTCGATATTGAGCCCAATGCCGAAAATTGAGGCATTTTGGAAGACCGTGCACGGGCCGAAGGCCTTTTTACGATGGGGCCAAAGCATTATGGAGACCATGAGACTAGAGAAAGAAATTGGACTCCATGCAGAGACTTTACAGGGTCTATATAGTTTCATATGTGCTACGCCTGTTTAGTCTTGGACTGTTATTCTCGAGGTTAGTATGTTTAATACTGATATGTCTTAAACACAAGTTCAGCCGGCAGTATTGGTCTATGTAAAGGACACAATCGAAAGCCTCATTCCCACCAATCTTTCGCCATGGTTCGGCCGACGGGTGCCTTCGAAGCTCTTGCACGACAATGGAGATCCCATGTTCAGATCTTGCTTGTTTTGTGTTTTGTCACCTTTGCAAGTGCCCTTTCTGATAACAGTTCGGCAATCTCTGCATGACCCGCAAGTTCAAGCAGCGGGTCATACCTTAGGCTCGGAAAGTGGTTTTATGCCGTAGACGAGACCTGCATGGAGATCTTTATTCGAATGGGATGATGCAATGCGCGACATAGCCAGCACACTCGGCAAAACGAAGCGGGTCACCAGCCGCCAGGTACGCCATTTACACGGGAAATATATTGACATTGTTAGGTGCGATGTATCTTCGGCGAAACTTCCGATGTATGTTTGAACTGTCAACGGCATCAATGGCCTTGCTTGTGAGTTTCACGACTGGGAGATCAATCAACTATCGGTTTAATAACCTCTACCCAGTCGACGGGAACGCAAGAGAAAGAGAGCACAGGCCGATGTCACCCAAGCAACTAGAACAAGGCGAGTGACCTGGGGAGAGTCAACAGTGAGTAATATTAGCCCTTGTACGGTCGAATCATCCTTTACAAGTTTCGAAGGGACGACTTATGGCCGGAATCAACTCCATGACAGAAGCGAAAGCAGCATAGCCGAGACTAGAGATGCTCTACCAACCCATGGCATTCGGTGGATCGGTATAGATCATTTGGCCGAGTCTCGAGCAGCGGGCGATATTCCCTCGGAGTATCGGCCTCTTACAACAGTCTTGGACCCGAATACCGGGTTTACCATGGGTGGTATGCCGCAGGACATGAATAGCGACTTCTTTCACAATCAATACCCGGGCATGGGAGATTGGCTTTTCAAGGATCTCGACTGGAATGGTGAGATGACTTGGTAAATGCCAGAGACTACATGTAAGGTCTACAGGAAACAAAAGAACAATGCATATAGAATCACCATTTATGAGATTATAGTGTTCAATCTATCTACAGTTTCTCATGTTCCGGCACTCGGTCAATTTCGGTACGAGCAAGTGTGGGGATCTGGGGCGGGGGATCAACCACTCGATGCATACATCAATGCATATGGCTTCTAATCCTCTGTACATCAGCCTACTCTCATTCTTCTGAGCATCGCAATTCACCACATGGCAGACATTCCAGCATTCAACAACCTATCCCTCGAACGACATGGCAATGTCTTCGTTCTCACCATGCAGAAACCACCTGAGAACCGACTCAACTCAGCATATTGCCAAGAAATGATTCGAGCATATCGAACTGTAGAGAGGATTCTTGGCTCCGGGTCTGAAGGAGCAGTGATTACACGCGGTAACGATACTAAATTCTGGTGCACCGTGGGTACAGACGATGTTGATGAAGACCAACTACTCACAACTACCAGGGACTCGAATTAGATGAATCAGATAGGAACCCATTTGCTAATACTGATGGCTTTTATCCAGTCAGTTATTAATAATTCCCACAGACAGTTAACATGTTATCGTCAAGAGCCCTGATTTAACCAAACTCATAGCTCATCCATACAATCCTCGACTTTCCCTTCCCAACAATCGCCCTCCTAACAGGTCATACGTTCGGCGGGGCCTGTCCACTAGCTCTAGCTCATGACTACCGGATTATGAACTCGCGCCGAGGTTTCATCTCCATGCCTCCTGTGAACCTGGGCCTGCACTTTGACGGAATCGGCGCCCTACCTCGGCTGAAATTACGCCCCCAGGTTGCACGTAAGATGCTGCTCGAGGCGCACAGATGGACTGGTAAAGAGGCTCTGGGGGATGGGATTGTGGATGCTGTTGCTGAGCCTGAGGAGATGCTTGATGTTGCTCTCGAGACGGGTGCGAAGTGGGCACCTAAGGCGAAGATGGGGTATGTTTACTCTTTGACGCTTGATACGATGATGGAATTATTCATAGATGGACAGTTACTGATTGCTTTGGATTTAGAGTCTATGCTTTGCTTCGCCAGGAGCTTTGGGGAGATGCGATCAAGAAATTTCAGAAGATTAGTTATGTTCATGGCCGTATAACTTCTGCGCCTGCTAAGGTCAAGATTTGAGTTGACGATGATATGGTTTTGATTCAGTTGTTATTTAGGGTTATATTATACGATCAAATGTTTCCACATCCCAACGTTCATGAAAGACATCATTCCATGCCAATAGGACCTATATATCCATCAGCCAGTTAGTGATAAATTGGCCGAGGAAGTCAAGCCAACGCAGACCCTTCTAGCCTATACATGAACTATATAAATGTTCAATGAATATTGTTAGAGGCGAAATGGTATCTCTTTAGAATGAAGTAAATGAAATATATCCCTCTAGGTAGACTACCTCACCCTCTGATGTTCTCATAATCTGCAGTAAGCGTCTCCCGGATAATTGTCAAAATAGCAGCCACATCATCATCACTGAGTCTCAGATCCCTCTCTTCAACAATAGCATCCAGCAAGACCATAGCAGTAAAATCACCAGGGTTCATCTCCGCTGCCTCACCTTCATCCTCCGCATCCTGTCCATCCCCATTCGTCTCATCTACCTCCATGGCCGTCTCGCCATTAGCTAATTCCACATCAGCTTCCTCGGTAGCTTGGGGTGTAGCACTCAATCCCAGACCGAGATTCAAGATCATGACGACCTCAGCTTTCGTCAGTCCGTAGGGCTGTAGGCGGGTTACTAGATCCCGCAGGGCGGTGTCCATAGGTGTTGGTTCTAAAGAGGGGATTGTTGGTGGCAAAGATGCTGCGTCTGGGTCTGTGATTGAGGTTTGGGCTTGTAGTGTGCCGGTCATGGCGGCTTGTGATTGCGATTGCGAGGATGAGGGTCGGGCTGTGTAGCGGGGGTATCTGAGAAGGTGGGGAGAGAGACGGTTTGCGTAGTTGTGGATCTGGAAGGAGTTAGCTGGCGTCTTATACTGTGGTCGTCTTTTTTTGCGATATTGCGGTTGGCAAGCGCAGAGCAGCTTCTTATCGATGCCGCTTTATGTTCTTGCTCTTGGGGCAGGTGCGCTGCGCCGCAATGCCCAGAAGCAAAGATTGGAGGATAGGTTGAGATATCTTACCTCCTTTACAACGGTATTATGGTCTCTAAGATCGGGACTAGGGACCCAATTGCGCGAGTTTGGCGGCGGGTTTGGCGGCCGGCGGGGTGGATTGGAGGTTAGGTATGCCAGGACCTCGACATTAGTCAGGACGGCGGTTTGAGGGTCAATTATCTATGATATATAGTTAGAATATATCCATCTTGCAATCCCGAAGAGACTTACCCTCATCTTGTCGGTTTAATATGGGAAGATAGGTAGGTGCTAGAGCTGTAACTCGATAGTGAAGGAAAATTGTTTGAACTGCCGGCAGAAACAGGCGGTGTCTTTATCTCTTGCTGCATATCATTTCGAGCTTCTAGTATAAAGCAAAGATGCTTGGATGAAGAATGTGCTGCTACATCTATGACTGTGCATGCAGTACAGATGCAAGCACCTAAAAGTACAGTACGGTACTGAAGTATGAACAGATTATTCCAGCTAAAACTGTACTGCCTTGTTCCTAACGAGCACCCTCTGCGCCAGTGAAAGACCGGTAGATCAACCTTTAAAATGCCCCAAATATACGAGCGACAGGAAGATCAACAAAAAACAGAAATGAAAAAGAAAAGTGTGATATCATACAGATCCCAGGAAAGCCATCCGGTCACAGTGCAGAAACTTTTAAAACACGCGCTTACTCTCCCTTGCTCTTCTTCTTCTTCTTCTTCTCGCCATCGTCCTCAGAGCGCTTGCGCTTCTTACCCTCATCCTTGCTGGACTTCTTGGACTCCTTCTTGGCCTTCTTCAAGTCCTTCTTGCTAACTGATGTGGGATTACCCTCTGCGTCAAAGGTGATTTCGCCACGCTCGAGCTTGCGCTGGTATCGCTTCACGCTGAGACCAGCCTTGGCAGCCAGGGCCTCCAGGTCTGAATCCTTGCTCTTCTTGGACTTCTTCTTGGGGGACTCGTCCTCGGACTCGGAGTCCTCCTCATCAGAATCGGCATCAGCCATCTCCTCATCCTCAACCTCCTCGACGAGCTTCTTCTCCTTCTTGCTCTTCTTGGCGGAGGCAGGCTCCTCGGAAATCAGAGCATCGGCATCGGAGTTGTACTTGCGGGCCTCCTTCAGGTCGAACTTCTCAGCCTGGACACCGTTGGGGGCGATGGCAACACCGCGAGGCTTCATGGGCTTGCCCTCCATGCCGGCGAGCTTACGCTCAAGGCTGAAGCGGGCTTCGTTACCGAGAGCGGCCTTCTCCTCCTCGGTGACATCGTCAGCCCACTCAGCGAGAGAGTCGACACGGATACCCAGAGAGGCCTTGGCGGCAAGGATACGGGCCATCTTGCCCTTGTTGCGTCCAGTGGCCTGGCCAATGAGAGAAGCGTGGTAGATCAGACCGTACTTGGGAGTGTCGTGCTTGGTCTTGAGGGCACGGAAGAGGGCCTTCTCGGCACCCAGAATCTGGATGGTACTGGCAGGGCTCTTGGAGAGGTTGGTGAGGCTGCCGGCGTGGGCAATGAGACGGGCACCAACGAGGTCACCGACAAGGGCAGTCAGGTTAGGGGCAATGGCGTTCATACGGGAGGTCAGGTAAGAAGCGAGCTGGGAACGGTACTCGGCGAAGCCAACAACCTGCTCAGCAAGAGCCTGAATGTTCTCGAGATCATCCTCGCTGATCTCGGTACCCATGGAGCGGTCGGCAGCAGCCTTGACAGCACCCTCAATCTCCTCGGGGAGGACCTCAGCGAGGTCAGCGGTCTCCCAGTTGGACCGCATACCCATCTTCAGAACGAGCTTGGCGTAGGCAATGTTGTCGTTGAGGATCTTAGCCAGCTCGGGGAAGTGCCATCCGTACCATTCCTTAACACGCATAGCATAGGTGTTGAGCTCCTTGTCAAGGTCATCCAGAAGGCCAATGGCCTGGACGATCATGGTGTCAATTTTGTCGGGGGAGAACTTGAGCTTGTGACGGGCGAGAGAGTGGGACAGACCAAGGGACATGGTGGACATGTCACTGGGCATCAAACCGGGAATGAGGGTGGTGAGGTGCTCACGGATGGCACGGTAGATGTCGTTAGTGGTGGAGTCAGCGACGAGTTGGATGTCGAGGCCAGGGAGCTTGCTAATGGCATTGCCTGTGGGACACAGCGTTAGCAGGCTATTGTTTGAGATACAATTGGGATTACCAACCGAGCTTGACATCGGCAACGGCCAGAGAGACCTTCTTCTCCTCCTTGATGCCATCGAGGAGCGAAGCCAGACGGGGGGTGACCTTGCCCTCCATAATGGAGGCAGCCTCCTCCAGAGCTGTGGCGGCACTGTCGAACTTCTGGAAGCTCTTCAACTTGAGACTATAGGTTGTGTTAGTGACATCGTTGCCGATAACAAAATTTTTGCGCCCGCTCAGAGGATGATTTATCCCCGCTCAGAATTTGCCTGAAAGCGTCTGAAAGAAACAATTGACGTACAGGTTGGAAACACCCTCAGCGGTGGAAGCCTCCTCGGCGATATCATCACGCTTAAGGAGCTTCTTGTCCTTAGCCTTCAGCAGGGCATAGCCCGCGCTGGTCTCAGTGAGAATGAAAAGCGTCATGGTGCGCGGCCACGGCGTGTAGGGTTCGAAAATATAATGATGTAAAGTGTTCAGACAATGGATGAACAAAAAATCGAACCGAAAAACTGAGGGCTGAAAAAATTAGGCGTAGGCGGCGACCACCAGTTGTCGTTGGAGAAATCTAGAAATTTTGCACGGAAGAAAAAAGTGCAAAAGCGGGAGCCACAGGCGTGGCTGAGGCGGTGTGTGGCTAGTGGGTTATGTAATACCGTGCGTGTCCAGGTCGAGTAGAGCTACAGAACAGCTTCCCGGTTCATCTTCTCCACGTTCACAATGGAGGGCCTATTCTTTAATGTTAACGGCGGGTATGTGGTCTAATTGTCTTGTTTCTCTCAATAGCCCACCGCTAACTTACCCAGATACGTCGAGGGCATTGTCCGTGGATATCGGAATAGCCTGTTGAGCGGCCAGAACTATTCTAACTTAGTTCAATGCGAGACAATCGATGGTACGCTATATTGACCCTATCGACTTTATTGTCGATCCCATTATCCCCTCTCGAGTCTGACACTTAGCCCCACAGATGTCAAGCTCCAGCTCGCTCCCGCATATGGCGATTTCCTTGCCTCTCTACCCCCGAACCCCTCCACCTCCGACCTTGCAGGTCGGATGACCGACAAACTAGTGTCTGAGTTCCGGTATCTGATCGCACAAGCGACGGGCTCATCAGCCAAGTTCCTGGAATACATGACATATGGCTACATGATCGACAACATCGCACTCCTGATCACCGGTACTCTGCACGAACGTGATACCCGGGAACTTCTGGAGCGATGTCACCCACTAGGATGGTTTGAGACCTTGCCTGTGCTATGTGTTGCAACCAATATCGAAGAGCTCTACAACTCAGTGCTGATTGAGACCCCACTCGCCGCCTATTTCAAGGATAGTCTAAGCCACCAGGATCTGGACGAGCTGAACATCGAAATCGTCCGTAACACTCTGTACAAGAACTACTTGGAGGACTTCTACAACTTCATCAATACCCACCCGGACTTCAGCGGCACGCCGACACAGGATGTTATGGCTGAGATCCTGCAGTTCGAGGCAGACCGCCGCGCTATCAACATCACTCTCAACTCTTTCGGTACCGAGCTTTCCAAGCTTGAGCGGAGGAAACTCTACCCCGAGTTCGGAAAGCTCTACCCGGAAGGCAGTTTGATGCTGTCCCGCGCAGAGGATGTCGAGGGTGTCGCTCTGGCCGTTAGCGCTGTAGCCGACTACAAAGCATTCTTCGATTCCGTAGGTCTGAGCCAGGGCGGCGGTATGGGTGGTATGGGTGGTGGCCCTGCAGATGGCAAGAGTTTGGAAGACCTGTTCTACCAAAAGGAAATGGATCTGTCAAAGCTGGTCTTCACTCGTCAATTCACTCCGGCGGTAGTCTACGCTTGGATGAAGCTAAAGGAACAGGTAAGCATTCTCAAAGGACTTCTTTCCATACTTTACCACGGACTAACATACTTCAGGAAATCCGGAACGTAACCTGGATCTCGGAGTGCATTGCCCAGAACCAGAAGGAGAGAATTGGAAACTTCATCTCCGTGTTCTAAGCTCAAGGCATAATCTATGATATTTCCTGTTTCTTCCACCTCTTTGTACTTACCCATCTTCCTGGCTGGTATCTTGGTTTTTCTGCCAGCTGCTTTTCGTTGTATCGAGTACCCAGTTTGTTCTTTAACGTGAGCGCATCAACCTCTTTCTCTTTGACCGGGCTTAACTTGGCTCTCTTCGGTTTCGGCTCTCCTGCTTTATCTATTTTTCGTATGAGGCATTTATGCATGTGTGCTACCTTTATCCTTGTGATATAGAGGAAAAAATATACCAGGTATCCATTTTGTTGGTGTACATTCTTGTCCCAGGGTAGGCCCGAGATCTAGATCTATAAGTACATGGTGTATTTCTTTCACGGTAAAGCCCGAAAGGGAAGCCCGAGAAGACAGCCCGAAAAGACGGCCTCAATTTCAGTAGACAATTTACCGAACAGAGACAGAGCGAGAGAGATAGAAAAAGACATGGGTCGGCCTCCACACCGCGAATCTTACGGCCCCGCGGAGCAGACAGCGGAATTAACCGCGATAGTCTAACCCGAGACCGTTGCTTATGCAGATTGAAAAGAAAGATTCCAATTTCGTTTCAGGAGGGCTCATATGTGCAAATGGTAAAGGGTGTGGCAGAGATAAAACAAGAAATATTCGAGACAAACATAGAGGGAAAGCCAGCCAGAACCAGAGCAAGAGAGAGACGCAAAAATCAGACCGAACGCAAATTCAGGGTACCAAGTCTACTGCGAACCTGGATCTATGACAGGAGGGAGGGGGAGAATTGTAGGTCGAGATAAATTTTCATGATATCGGAACAGGGACAATTCAGCAATTCAGCAATCAGTCATACTGGAAGAGAACGCTGATACTTTCACCGTGGTGCACACGGCGGATAGCCTGGATATAGGTTAGCAATGATGACGCGGGAGAAAGCGGATGAAAGACTCACCTCGGCGAAAACGTGGCCGACCTCAAGGACCTCGAGCTTGGGGCACAGGCGCAGGTGCTCCTGCTGGTCCACGCTGTTGGTCACCACCACCTTGTCAAGGGCGCTAGCGTTAATACGCTCAATGGCGTCACCGCTCAGGATACCGTGGGTGACCAGGGCATAGACTTGGGATGCGCCCTCCTTCTTGAGGAGCTTGGCGGCCCGAGTGATGGTGTTTGAGGTGTCCGCCAGGTCATCGATCAGAATGGCTATCCGGTCACGGACGTCACCGACCAACATCATGGTGGCATTCTGGCGGTCTGTGATCTTGGTAGGGCGGCGCTCCTGCAAAATAGTTAGATCAAGACATAATTGCCTGGGTGGCGTCAAACACCGACCTTGTGAATCAAAGCAAACTCCATGCCCATTTGGTCCGCAATCGCAGTAGCGCGCTTGGCACCACCAGCATCGGGACTGACAATGACAGCCTGCTTGTAGTTGGGAATGTTGCGCTGGATGTAGCTCTTGAGGAGGGGTCGGCCGTAGAGGTTGTCGACTGGGATATCAAAGTATCCTTGGTATTGCGGGTCGTGCAAATCCATGGTGATGATGTGATCGGCGCCAGCGCAGGTAAGCAAGTCTGCGACCAGGGTACCGGCTTGCGCAACCCATTGCTTGTATCCAGGGCGCGGCTGGAAGGAGTTGATCTTCGAGGAAGTATTGCTGGCAGCCTCGTCGGCTCCATTGGACGCGGACTTGAGGGAATCTGTGGTGTCGCTGCGGGGCAGACCGTTGCGGCGCTTCACGGGACTGCCAGTGCTTTCCTCGATCTGAGCTCTGGCTAGGCCCTTCTGGAGGTTTTCCATCCCATTCATCAAACCGAGGCCCTCGGGCTTGCCGGGACCAGGGGTGGGAGGAGTGCTCTCAAAGGTGTAACCGCCATTAGCGGGGCGGCCAGGAGCACCAGCCTTGACGAGAGGAGCACCGGCCTTGTCGTATGGGATATCACTTTGGCGGGAGTAGGGGAAGAGAGGGAGAACGGCGGTTACTCGTCGTGCCGAGGCGGTCTTGCAGGCGGAAATGGTGATGAGGAGCTCTAGCAAGTGGTCGTTGACTTTGCCGCCGCCAGATTGGATGATATAGACATCCTTCTCACGGACCGACTCTTGAACTTCAACCCGAGTCTCACCGACGGCAAATTTGGAGAGCAGAACTTCAGCGGGAGGGATGCCGAGTACACCGCAGATAGTCTGTGTCAACTGGGGGTGGGAGTTTCCTCCAATGACAACAAGGTTGCGAACCATATTGTCTGGTTGTGTAGGTGTAGCGCTCGTGGGAATTGGTAAGAGAGGATCAAGTGGAGGTCAGAGAAAGTTGGAGGGGAAGGAAAATCTGGGGCGGGATGTGAGGACGAAAGGTCGAGTCGAAAGAAAATGAAAGGGCAAAAGAAGAGTTCTTGAGATTGAGGCTAACAGCTACCTCATGGCGGAGCAAAGACCGAGAGTTTGGAGAGACCAAGGCATAAAAAAAAGTGACGCTCGTGTGAGTCCCGCGATGGAAAAAAGCCTGGAGTGGATATGGGGGCCTCAGGCATCAATCCGCATGAGGTAAGGCGCATGTCGTGACGACGCCCCAGAAAACGGCGGCGTAGGAACGACCCCCAGGTACAAATGTGCCATTGTAGATATAAACTTCCTTTGCAACAGAAAAAAAACAATGATCATATCCATGCGTGTCCTTGCGTATCCATGCGTTACTCCTGTGCTCCGGTCCCGTAGTAACTAGAAAAATAAAACCCAAAGAGAACTGTTCTGTTTACAGCTGGCTCCATCCTTCATTCGCCGGTTCCAACCTCGCTGGAAGGCAGTTAGCATTGCATTCGGAGTGGGATAGTCTGGTGAGACTTACAGATCAAGCTGTACTCCGTTGCTCACTCCATAGTCCTCGAGGGTGAGTTGATCTTTGAACGGACGTTCGCCTTGACGTTTAAGGAGGATTTCGTGGGGTTCACGACCGATGCGGGCAGCCACCTGGGCTTTAAAAAGTTCTAGATAGAGTCAGTATGATACGGCTGAAGCTGAAGCTCGAGGGACGCACTGATGGGATCTGAAGCAAGACACGGAATCGCAGCTTTGGTTCCCAGACGATCATTGACATGGACGACAATCATGGGCTCGGAAGATTGGTGCACGACAGGCTTCTTCTCTTTCTTCTCCTTCTTTTCCTTCTTTTCTTTCTTGTCCCCACCTTCGCGCGGCGCATCTCGATCATCGCGTCGTCGCTGATCACGGTCCCGGCTGCGATCTCTGGGTCCTCCGTAACGGTCTCCGTCTCTATCGCGATGTGGTGATCGTGGTCGATCGCGATATCCGCGTTCTAATCTGCGCTCATCGCCGCGGGAATCGTCGGTGCGACTTTTGTCTTTCCACCGGAAACCTCCAGACTTTTTGGGACGGTCTCGGTCGCCGTTCTCCCTTGGCCGGGGAGATCTGCTTCGTGATCGGTCACCCATGCTGTTGTATGAGGGGAAATAAGTTGTGTTGTTGCCCGACAGGCCAGACCTAATGTAAACGGAGAAGCTGATGGGTCACGTGGCTGTATGTAGCTGCCATCTGGTGCACTACTCCCAAGTAGGACTAGTGCGTATTTGTTCATGAGCTTCTCCTGCGTCGAGAAGTGGTCTCTGCGTCTGTGTTCTAAGTCCAAGTCTAAATTAGACATTGCAATGGCATTCTGCAAATAATTTTATTGTCGTCACATCCTCCTCTCAATACCGACAATGCCAGGCCGATTGAAAGTCCGTCGGCCCTCTCCGACCACCGTCTCCTTCACGGTTTCCAATGCGCCGCAGCGATCGAATTCCCCCGCCAAAATTCTATTCGGCCTCCAAATATTACTGCGTGCAGCTCTGTTCTTCTGCGTAATAGGTGCTGCGATTGCACGACTCCGGCACACTTTCTTCTATGAGGATGGGAGGGTGATAGCCTGGCCAGCCGTGTGGTCCAGTCCGCTCGGAGCCAAGGTGTGTAGTCTGGTGGACTTATACAACCCTTTAGCTATGGTGGCAGGTGGAGTTTTAGTCATATACTGTGTTTTCAGAAGAACCTATACTGGTACGTTGAGAATGGCGGGCTGGAATGGTCTATTCTATGCATAGCTAACAAAGACCGACAGAGGAGTCCCTCCTGGTTATTCGAGGATTTGGTATCCAGACCTCGACATCGTCTTCAACGTACCTTTCGACTGCGGCAACAAGGTTCATCCCTACTACCCAAATCCAGGATATTGTTATTCATGAAGCTTTCAAGGGCTTCGAGGTTCGCTTCTATTTGGCTGTGATTGTCGAAGGCGAGACTGATGCACTGGTCGTCTTTCCGGTATGTGATCCCAAATGCGTTTCATTTCCAAGCTGACCTTTCGACTAGCACATGTTGCCCAAGCGGGGGATATTAGAGCAAGTGTGGAGGGGCTCACGACGATGTCTTTACGATTCGAAGTCATGACGTGTCAAGATTCTATACAAGGATCGTTCCTTGTGTATGATGAACATATATTCATGTTTTAGGCCTAAGCGCCATTTTCAATCGCTATGTACAGTTGACTTAGGCTTGGGCCAACTTTGCCGCAGCCTCTTCCTTGTTTGCCAGCTTGCGCTGCTTTGACACAAGTCCTCGGGCATTTTGAATCTCCACGGTATCCATCCTGCCTTTCTCGTTGACGGGGACATATTTTCCGTGGGGACGAGTCTCATTTCCCCCAACCCAGATCTTTGCGCCCTTGTTTGACTTCTTGGGGCCATGATTTAATGATTCGCTGCCAGTGTTCTGCGCAGCACTTTGGTCACCTTGGCTGACAGTCAGGTCCAGGAGAGCACCCGCTAGGATTTCATCGATCTTGCGCTGTCTCCAAACCGACCACAATTTTTCAACGGCTCCCCGCATACCGAACTTGCTATCGCCCTTGGCGGTCGTGTTGTTGTTACCGCGGGTGTCGCCAGCATAGATCCAATCCATGGCATCTACACGGTTACCCGAGTTCTCATCGGGGAAGATACAGTCCCAAAGGACAAGAGGAGCATCATCAGCCATTTCATAGGTTGGCTTTCGGGGATTTTTCTGAATATCCAATAGTTCAGGCACAATAGATGGAGACTCGAGTCCTTGTCCCACCAGGAACAAAATCGCGACCATGTGCCGCACTTGGTGCCACAAAAAGGCAGAACCGTGGAGAGTGAAAGAGTACACAAGAGGAGTGTTCTGGGTGGTCGTCGAAGGAGGCGTCAAATCCGCTTCAGCAGTCGAAACCGCTTTGGCCTGGAACCCGGGTTGTCCAACATAACCCACAGGGTTAGTCTTGGGGTTGACAACCTCAATATCGGAGTGGAAGATAACGCGTTCAAAGTTCTCAATCTGCTTGCTGGTGTCCAGCTTGCAGAAGTTCCGGAAATCATGATTGCCCTCGAAATACTTAGCTGCTTCGCGCATAGCGTCGATATCAAGCCAGCCCTCACGGTACTGAGCACGCGGCCCCTTTCCGTTTTGTGCGCGGTTCTCGAACCCAGGGGCCCCAGGCGTCGGAGAGAAAGCAGGATTGGTGAAAAAATACCTGTATCGACGTTCGCGGCAAGAGAAGCGAGCATTGAACCCTTCAGGTGGGTTAGGGCACCAAGCCAAAACACGGATATCTTCCGGAAGCACTCTGTTCAGTACTTGTACATAATTCGTCTCATCAGCAATATCATCCCACTGCTTTCCACCAGACCCTGAATCAATCTGCATCGCATCATCGCCCTCGGCGGAGGGCTTAGGTTTCGGTCGTGAGCTACGGACCCTCAACCCAATAACTTGTCCGAAGGCGCTCACTCCCCGATCCGTACGTCCTGCCTTGGAGTATTCACATCCATCCCAGTAAAGGTGGTAAGGCCGCAAAGCCCGGGGCTCGACATCGTCTGGCTCATTGCCATCCGTAATTTCGGGGAAGATCAGACGTGTGCGCCGCAAAGCCTTCCACATAACCTCTTCGATTGTAGGCAGCGGTGTTACATTGCCATTTGTATGCTCAAGTCCATTGTATCGCTGACCGAGGTATGCAAACTTGAGCGCAATGTACCGCGTCGAGTATTTGGAGGGATCGAAGCTGCGATCGTTCTTGTGGACCCGTGAAGGCGCGGGAGTGTGTGTGATATCGCCTTCCGGGGGGGAAAGGGGTCGCTTCTTGGACAGGTTGGAGGTTTCGGGGTGTGGGATGTCAGGTTCGCGGACGTCGGTAGAGATGGGCGCTTGAGGATGGCGGGGTGTCTGCGACGGGGCTTCTGTTGGCGCTTTGAACTCAGTTGTTTGGGAGTGGAGTTGGCGCTCTAGCTCGGTGATTCGGGCGATCAGGCTGGTGTTACTCCAGGCTGAGTAGTCTGTTTGTTCTTGTTTGGTATCCGCCATGGTGGGCGTGGGAGTATGGGACTGGCAGAGGGATCGCGTGTGCTTGAGGGTTTGCTGAAGTCTGCAACTCAATGGGAAGAGCCTTGCTGACGATTTCCACATGCCACGTCCAGCAACTGGGACCGAATATGGGCCAAGTTTAGTTTGATGTCGGTCTCGAGAAAATCGAAGTTGAAAAAGTCCGCGGAGCATTGGTGTATTTCTGTAATTAATATCTGTACGGTACTGTAATTATGTGGGCTTGAGGGCCAAGTTGTCATGGAATTGTTGTATACTCATGTATTCAAATGTATATAATGTGATACATATGTCTCAGCACATCTTCGATATATTTCCTTTTCTCTTTTGAAGATAACATGGACGGGTTTCTATATATGGGAGGTATAGAACACTTTCTTGCCGGTGTATGTCTGATTCGCCAAGCTTGGAACCTTACCTCGAAATGTCACCTCATCAATATCTAAAGCAACCCATGAGCACATATTATCTCCGTGGCTAGCTATTGCTAAAAGTCACTAATTCATACGATTCTGGGTTCGCGTTCGCGGTAGAAACCCGCTATATATTTATGGGTTTCCGGTCAAGCATCCTTGCAAGTTGGCCAATATCAAGGAAGTCGAGCATCAATCGCATCAATACACAGCCACGACATGTCTGAGATGGGGAATCAACCCGAGGTAGACGCCTCAGTCTCTTTGCTGCTTCTTGGAGATGTTGGTTGTGGTAAATCGACCTTCCTAGCGTGAGTAGATCTTCTGCATGTTACCCCAGTATACCATTGAAACTTGCTATGAAACCCATCACCTTTACGGGATATCTGCATATACAGTCGTCGATAATTACATGGAACTTGAAAGCTAATATGATACAGTCGTCTAAAAAATAGCAGGCCATCCCCATCTGCGCAGCCGAGCGCTAGGGCAAATCCCCTCGAACTATTACGAGATAGCGATCAACCTTTCATATACGATATTCGCTTTTCAAAGAAAACATTCACTCTAGAGCTATACGACACATCTAATCCCAATCAGCATTGGTCAACACTCAAACCCGACTTGGTTGTTCTGGCATTTGATATCTCCAACCGAGAGACACTGGATGGGCTGAAAGCGGTACGTATAACCTATGCAAATAGTCGAGAGATCAAGTCTAATGAAAGCTCGGTATGTAAAGTGGCGGAACGACATCACTCGGTACTTTCAGTATGGTCACGGCGAGCGCCTACCGGTCATGATGCTGGGTCTGAAAAGGGACCTGAGGAGAGAAGGCCCAGAAATCATTTATCCGCAAGAGGTAATCTACCATCAAAGGGTATCATGTTTCCGGTATCACTGACTAACAGGTCTAGGCTTACCGCATTGCTCAAGAACTTCGTTGTGATAGGTATGCCGAGTGTTCGGCTGTGACAGGCGAGCTGCTTCCAGAGACGTTCGAAGATCTCGCAAGGTTGGCGGCGATGACGACTACCGAAAAGGGAGGGCAGACTCCTGGTACGTCGTGTGTTATTTTATGAGTTCCTAGTTCGACTGTGTATTCCATACCCAGTGTACGCGGCTCAATCGCTTAAGTTGAATGATGGACCTTTTGATCTCATATAATTCCATGTACAGAGTCTTGTAGAAAATTCCAGCGCAGAAGAGCAGAGCAGGCACAGAGTCAATGGCAGTCCCGAAACATCCAGCATGGACCGAACATACACTCATAAGCTCGCCGGAGTCCAACCGAAATTCAAACACAGGAAGACTGTCGAGATGGGAAATGTACGACGTGAATGTCCTTGGTGTTTATCTTTGGGTTTACTGTGCTTCCAAGAACAGTCTTCACACTACGAATCTACTGGATATGATACGATACCAAGCACAACCTTTTCAGATTACTAGAATAACATGCAGGGAGAAACCAAGGTAACGATCAAGTCCACCTTGTGAATTGACAGCACAGGGCTTTCCCCCAGAAGCTTCGTAAATAAAAGCAACTGGATCTCTTTCCCTCATAAGCGCCAGTCAATGATTGACTTTGCTATTCCTCCCCGATGCAAAACAAGGAAATAAAAAAAATTTGCTGGTAAGATGAGGCCACTGAGGCAAAAGAATTGAAGGGTTCCCGGTGAAAGCTCGTTTTCTTCTGCTGTTTTTCAGTTTTCAGTTTTTTTGAACATTGCACACAGACTAGGATAGACATGTCAAGGGAATTTGCGGGGGATTGAAGTCCATGAAAAGACTCAAAAGTAGAAAAGAAAACAAGAGCATTCTCCGATTCCCATGTCTCCAGGGACGCAGTAAATCGTCAATCTCCCCGGATCGCCAGACTTTTTTATTATGTGATCAAACTTCCCCCCTCTCAACGACTATCCTCGTCACAGTGGAGCAATTTACCACTTGGCCTCACCGGAGGCGGGCTGAGCCTCAGCCCACTCACCGGTAGGGGCGGCAGTGCTGGTGGCCCAGTCACCACCGTCAGCCTCCCAGCTGGTGGCACCAGCAGCGGCAGTGGCAGCGCTGGCAGCGGCAAAGGCAGTACCGGGGTTACCAGCACCGGGGGCGGAGGCGTCCCAGTTCTCACCGGCAAAGCCGGACTCGACGGCACCGGCACCGATCTCCTCAGCACCGGGGACCTTGGTCTCATCGGCGATCTCCTTGTTCTCCTCGGCCTCGGGGTCACGGTAGAAGTACAGGTCAACAACGGTGTCCCACTCAGTCTCGCGGGTAGCGAGGGTACCGCGAAGACGGAGGACCTCACGGGCAAGCATCCACCAGACGAGACCGATGGCGTGGCGACCCTTGTTGTTGGTGGGGATGGCAACGTCGACGAAGTCGGTGGGGGAGTCAGTGTCGCAAAGGGCAATGACGGGGATGTTGACGTAGCTGGCCTCCTTGATAGCCTGGGCGTCGGTGCGAGGGTCGGTGACGATGATCAGGCGGGGCTCCTTGAAAGAGCGGGTGATGTAGTTGGTGAAGTTACCGGGGGTGAAACGACCAGCAATGGCGGTGGCACCGGTGTGGGAGGCAAACTTCAGGACGGCACGCTGACCGTAGGGACGAGCGGAGATGACACAGACATCGGCGGGGTTGTCAATGGCGGCGATGATACGGGCGGCCAGGACGATCTTCTCCCTGTTCCATCGCAACACAGATTAGACACAAGGAAATTTAGGAATCGATTAACAGTTGCGCATACCAGGTCTTGCCAATGTTCAGGACGTTGACACCGTCAGGGCGGAGCTTCCAGAGGTAGGGCTCCATGTGCACCTGGAGGTTCTTGGAACCAAGGTGGCACTGAGCAGCAAGGAGCATCTCAATGTCCTGCGAGGTAGGGTTGAAAACCGGGGGGAGCTGGGAGGGGGCCATGATGGGCGATTGATAGATTGACGGATGTAAGATCAATCGTCTGGCTCTTGTCGTGGTGATGGAGGGAAAAAGGTCGAAGCCAAGCCGCGAAATTGTTGCACGTCGCGATTCGGGGCAATTTTCGCTTGCGTGCGCTAGGGCTAGGGCTGGTATTATGTAAAGTTTCCTTGGCGCTGACCAGATCTCGTGACCTTGTGCCTGAGGATGTAGGTTCCCAAATTGGTTAGTGTGATTTACCTCCGGCCGCAAGATTTCCCGACGAAAGGTTGATGCGAAAAGACGTCGAGTGCTACTGGTGTATCATCCACTCCGAAGCTATCATCCAGCATGCCTCCGCGCATTTCAGTCCAGCCCTCTTTGAAGGCTTTCACCGGTATGACTTGCAAATCCAGTCTCAATCAATTGTTGCATCTAACCAGGCGTTCAGGATCGTCTTATGGATATAACCCATTGACCGCGGCCAACACTTCTATTCGCGCTGCATCCAGCAAGGCTCAAGTTCGGAGGAAACATGATCCTTTCTTGATGGCTCAGGCGCGTCAACGCAAAGCCGCCAATGTTTCTCGCCAAAAAGTCCTTGCGGTGGAACGGGAATCCTCGTTGGGCGACCCCGTGAAGAGCCGGCCGACACCCTTTATACAAGAGGTCACAGCAATCCATACCGAATCGCACATTCCCTCCACCTTGAACGCAGACCTCAACTATTACCTGAACTCCAATGAGCTGGATGCCGCCCTGGGGTTCTCTAAGGACTTGACAGAACCTCTTCAGGCCGTCGACCGCGACACTGCCGATCCTCAAGCCGAGAAGGACGCACTTGCCGCTCACAAAGAAGCTCACCAAAATGCCCAAGAAGCGATCAAGCGAATTGTGAACCTTAACAATGGAAACACCAAGGACCGGGTGCGTCTCAACATCATGAAGTGCATCGAGACATTCGGAAGACATTACACAGACTCGGTTCTACCACCAAAGCCTTCGGCCGTGGCTCATGAGTCTGCTCCTGTTCACCCGGAGCGGGCACCTCGCGTGGGACCCGATACCGGTTCTCCAGAGGTCCAAGCAGCGATCTTGACTGTGAAGATCATGAACCTGTCCCGACACCTCGAGTCCGCCAACAAAGACAAGCACAACAAGCGCAACATGCAACTACTCATTCACAAGCGACAGAAGTTGTTGCAGTATATCCGCAAAAAGGAGCGGGGAGGACCCCGTTGGCAAAACCTAATGGAAACATTGGGACTGTCTGATGCTGCCTGGAAGGGAGAGATTGCTCTATAATGGGTTTATTTTTAATAGGATGCATCTACACTATTCCCATCTTACATGTGTAATTGGGTTTGTGGAGAGAGCATCAGCGTATTACCTTGTATCATCTATCTTGGAGCTAGCGAGGGTTACTTTGTTGGTCCATGTCTTTACTTTCAAGTTTGCAGAGCATCTGTACAAATAGCATTGGTTTCACAGTTTTCTCTTCATCCCAAAGCATCCATCCGTAGATAATGAGGTGAAAGGACGACATGGGGCCTGACCGCCTTGTTATTCTGCCGACCTGGAGCATCGATTTTCAAAAGATACAACTTTTGGAAGGAGCAACCCGGGCGAGGACACCAACTCAACTGTGTGTACCTGCTTTTTTTTTACGCCTTCACGTCACTTTGTTTACTTTTCTGCGAATTTCGCGCTTTTGTTTTCTTCCTCTTCCCTCTCTCTCCATGATCAACATCAACATTACGCTTTCACTCTTGACTGCTCAAATGTTTACATCTTGCCTTGCAGGCATCTGACTGATCATATCTTGACTTTCTGCTTTCCAGCTTTCCAGCTCTCCAGCTTTGAAGCCTTTCCAATACCTTTTCTCCTCATTCTCATTTCTCCCTCTCGCCACCCACAGTTCTCTCGCATCTCGCGCACTCGCCAAGATGCGTCTCCGGTCGAACCACGTTCTTCCTGACCCCAACCAAGTTGCTCCTCTCCCTCGCCGTCGTCGACAGACGCGAGCTTCTTCGGCACAGCCAACTGAGCCTGCCACTGAGTCTGCCACTACCACTGCCAGAGCTCCCGTCAAGAAGGTCACCAAGAAGACCCGCGGCAAGAAGGTGGGTATAAGATCCAGACAATTCGACTTACCGCTAACATATGCTTCGAACAGAATACCCGCAAGGCCAAAACCGAAAGCCCTGAACCCGAGATTCCCACCACTTCCACTTCGCCGGCCCCCTCCCCGGTAATCTCCCAGACTCACAGCCCTCTGGCCGCCACCCCGGCCGTCCAGTCCATCGATGACAGTGAGTTGGAAACCCCCATTAGTCCCCAGAACACCCAGGATACCCCCAAATCACCCCAACATGGCCCCAACGAGGTTCCTATCCCACCTGAAGACTTCCCTCCGGTGCCTGAGACGCTACTCGGCGCATCTCTCTTCTCCATTGAAGAGCTCGATGAGCCGGACTCCCCCTTCCAGCAGCGTTCCCGAGAGCGCGCTCGGGAGCTACAGCGGGAACGAATTGCGGAACGAGACCGGATCCAGCAACGAATCCTTGCGCGAATCGCCGAGAATCAGCGTGCTGTTGAGCAGGACCGTATCCAGCAGCAATTCCTTGGGCTTATTCAAGAACCGCAACGCCGTGCAGAGTCACAGCGCATTGCCAATGAGCAGCGTGTTCGCGAATCCCAAATTCCTCCCTTCTCCCTTGTCAACCCCCAATACCCATCCCTCTCCCCTCCTGAAGATGAGGATGAATTCTTTGATGCCGATGAGATCATTGACCAGAAATCCGCGTCGGCCAGGAGGTGGCTATTGCACAAAAAGTACTCTCATTTGCGACGTCCTGAGCCTCTCTCACCCTTCAGCGAGGACCGCAAGTACCGCATCATGAACAACATGGACCTTCCCGATCCCCCAGAAATTTGGACCAAAATCAAGGAAACGCAGGGGCTAACTTATTACGAAGACCATTGGGGCATCAAGCGAGTGTACCAGCCAGACCAGCCCGAATCTTCGCCCGCCAAACGACAGAAGTCATCAACCGCTTCCCCGGCTTTCCTCTCATCTCCCCGCACCCGTAGAGCTTCCCGCAAAACTTACGCAGATCGCACCCGCCGCCGACAAATCGAGGCCAATGGCCGAATCGACCGGACTATCTTTCGCCTTCCTGAACTGCTTGCTCAACAACAGGCAGATGCTGCAGCGAACACAGCTCGCTTGTCCTCCAATTCAGATGACTCCATTCCTCCCATGACCCCACCGTCCGCCGCACCTGCACCCGCTCCCGCTACAGTGCATGCCAACAATGCCAACGCCAGCCTGCCGAGAACAATTTTCAATTCACTTACTCGTCGTTGGACCAGCCTGTGGGGAAGGACCCCCGCCGAAGAAGAGGCTGCAGAGCAGCCCATTGGTACGACTTTTACCCATGAAATCCTTTTCTATAGCTCACATCATGTCTCAGTGGAAGAACCTCAAACCCCCCGTGCTCAAAACATTGCCTCCGACCCACCCGCATCTGCCCCCTCGGCATACTATGCCGCGCGGTCAAGACATGAGACTTCCAATACAGTGACACGTCGACAGACCGGCAATCCTCGCGTCCGTCGTCGCACAAATGCTCGTCCTTACTACCCATCCCGCAACTACGACCTCTACCCTCGCGGTTTTGACGAAGCCCTTCTTGACCGTTGCTTCGCCGGCAGCACCGCCCTAGGCCAGCGCAAAGTCCCCGCTCCGTCCCAACAGACACAAGCACATGAAAAGGCAAAAGCAGCAGAAAGTGAATCTTCAAACAAGCGCAAACGTCAGCCCTCCCCCGATGTGATTCCAAACCCTCCAGGTTGCAGTTACGGCTTGCATGATGACTACTTCACTTACGACGATGACGACGAGGCATGGGCCGCTGAGGAACAGGCACGCCGAGATGCCGAGAAGACCTCCACAGTTTCCTTGGAGCCTGCCACAAAGAAAGCCCGGGTGAACTTCAATCATGCGGGGCACTTTGAGGTGCCCGACTCATCTGATTCAGAGTCTTCTATCCTTGCTCAACCACCCGTGACCAACAAGGTCAGCGAATCGGTCAACAAATCGGGCCATTTTGAAGTCCCCGAGTCATCGGAATCAGACGATTCCAGCACAAACCACAGCACAGACAACAGCACAGAAAACAGCACAGACAACAGCACAGACAACAGCACAAATATTAGCCCAACGAAATCGTCCAGCCGCAAGACCCAGGATGCGCGATCAAAGAGAAGCCCCTCCCCTCTGACCAAGGCTCGTCGCACCGCCGAGCAACACAAACCCAAAACCCCCAGTCGTCTCCGTGCAGCTCACCGTTATTCAATGGATCCTGTTGTGATGGAGAACTTGAACAAGATGATGACCAGTGATAATCCCGCTGAGCGGGAAAGAGCTGCAACCGTCCTGCAGGCTTGCCCAACCGGGGACCTCCGCCAAATCAAATGGCCCAAGACTAAGACATGGGTCGCCAAGATTGATCTCTCTTGGAAGGACGTGAACGCACGCGACCGGACCTTTAACAGATTTATGCAAGTCGGGGGGCTTGACTATGATAAGCAGCGCAGAGACCAGGCGCACGAGCGGTTCAAGAAGTCGGTTGCAATTCTAGCCAAAGCTCGCCGTAATGGCCAATGTGCAATTGTTTAAGTTGAATGAGTTTAAGGTGAATGAAGAGACAATCCAGGTTGAGCGATCCTCCAAGGCTCGCCGGGATGGCCCAATTTAGGTTGATACTCCAAGGCCGATTGATATGTTTGGATACTGTGTGGAGTAGTTTCTGTCAATTTATCAAATGTTCAGTTCTCAAGTCAATCGTCCTCTCTATCCCTGCTTTACTTGTAATCACTGCAGCAGACCCGGCATAAGTCTGGGGATTTTTTGAACTTTCAATCGTTTCTTCCCACTATCCATGCTATTTTGTGGACGATTTGAGACGAGCTTACGGTGAGAATGTCATGGCAATACATGCATCTTCAAAATGCTATCCTGACGGCAACGCCCTCCTCCTAATATCTCATTTCTCTCCATCAACTCAGATATGCCAAGCAATCTATTGAAGGCCTCCCCCTCTTCCAGTTGCACGATATATGATACACCGACGGCAGAACCATCTCTCCAAAATGAGGGTTGGATCTCCCCAGTTGCCTTCAATAGAATCACAGAGTCGTTTCTACTCTGTTCCACGTGAGGTAATGGGACCTTCACGCACACTTCAAGGGACTCCTTGTTCTCAAGTAACTCTGTCTCATGGTGGCCCGAAAGCTCTACGTGCTCCTCGGACACAGAGTTGGAGAAGACAAACCACCGAGATACATTGAACCCAGTACTCTATGCTCAAAGTTAATAGATCCTTTTTAGGAGCAATGGAGCCCCGATGAGATTGAAGTTCTTGGGGCACTGAGGATCTCAACATTGTCTGGTCTCTCAAAATCAACTGGGCCGCTTGATGAACAAGTTTACACAGGGTCTCCTCTTCTTCTTCTTCTTCTTCTTCTTCTTCTTCTAATATCAAATCAGTCTATTGTTTCTGAGGTCTGAGGTGGTGGTATCGTGCCGTAAAGAAAAAGTAGAAAGAACAGGAAAAGAAAAGAAAAGAAAAGAAAAGAAAAGAAAAGAAAAGAAAAGAAAAGTGAAAACGCCAGAGACTGGAAATATGCATCCATGCAACCCCAGTCTCGATAATAGAAACTGGTATAAAACAAAATCAAACAAAGAATATCCGGGCACCAAGAATCCCAGTCTTAGTCTCAGTCTCGAGTGAAGCCTACTTGAACAGGTGATCCCTCTCAAAATCCTCCTTGCCCGAAATAAGACTCCCATACTGATTATAAACAGGCTCATCAGGATCATCAGCCTCCTTGGACCAAAGCCCAAGACCATCATCAAACAGATCCCTCTCCTGCCCATTACAAACCTCAGCAAGGGTTATCCAATTCTCATCATCCGTCCAGATCCCACCACGCCCACCCCGAACCTCCAGCCAATCCTGCCCGCCCAGCAGAGCAGATTGTGCCGCGTCGAAGCCGTGTGCGCCACGGACGTATTTGCGTAGCAGGGCGCGCGCCCAGGGGTAGAACCACATGTTCTCCCACCATGTGTTGCGGAGTTTGGAGTCGCCATTTAAGTGGGTTAGGGCTGGGATGTGGCCTGAGTGGACATTTGTCATTAGGGGGCTGTTGTGCCAGGAGATGTTTTGGGGATTGGGGAGTTTGTCAAGTGTAGCGTTCCAGACTGGGCGGAGGGTTGATTCTTTTGCAAAGCGGGATTGGTTGTATGGGTTTGGGAGGGTTGCTATGTCATTTGGGAGGAGGAGGCGGTGTTCGCGTGGGACGCCGTGTTGGGCTTGGAGCATGGACATTTTCGTTATGTTGTTGTATTTTACCCATTCCACGTCGTCGCGGGACATTATTTGGTTGAAGAACAGTTGCGATTCGAAGTCCACGCCTATGCCGTACTCGTATCGGTGGCCTGTTTCGAGTCGGAGGCTTATTCCGGTTATGTTTGCTGCGTCGGATATGCCTAGGAGATGGTAGAACCAGTCCTTGACACCGTTGGTTGTGCGGCGCCGCTCCAGTTCTCGGATTACTTCTTGTCGTCCGTAGATCTGGGTTAGAGCTTTGTGGTCGCTGGAAACCTTGGCGCGTTGGTCGAGCAGTCGCAGGACTTCGTCGTAGATCAACCGGACATCGGCTGCTTGGCCAATTACCGCTCCGGGATTCAACCATTTGGGTCGGTTCAGGTGCCCATCTGGATAGGAGTCCGTCTTCCAGCCATACACATCCGGAGGCAAAGTGGAATCAGGGACAGAAGCGCAACCGGGGTCGTCCTGCAAACCCGGGAAACAGACCTTGCTCGCACCAAATAGCACCCGCTGGGTGTACTTCTGTACACTCTCAGACACCGGCCGGTCATCCAATCCGGCAAAGCCAAACTTATCCTGCAGCTTGTGGTTGTTGGCCCGAATGATATTCTGGAATCGCTTTACCAGAACCTGTGGCGGCAATTGGAAGAAAGTGTCCAGCCCATCTACCATCAACACAAAATCGCGGTCATGCACGATCTTGCTGTCGCGGAGGTAGTTCCGTGCACGGGTGATCTGCTCCACCATGCGCTCTGTCTCAGTCGCCCCCGGTGCGTCATGGCCGTATCCAACTAGTGTAGGTGGTGGATATCCCAGTATCATAGCCGATGTAAGCGTGCGGCATACTCCACGCGAGCCTTGCGAGGCGGGGACCAATAGATGCAGCCGTGGGTTGGGCTTGTCCAGGTTGTGTGGGAGGGTCTGGTTGACATTGATATCCATCCGGGGAGGGAGAATAACCTGGACATCTTCAGGGCGCTCAGGGAAAGGATGTTGCGAGGGGAATTTGGTCCAGAAGTTGGGTTCAGGTCGCTGGCGGGTTGGTTAGCTCTAGCTCTCTCGCTCTTCAGCACTAGCATGGGATTGCGGAATATTCCTCCGCGGAAAAACCACTTACTTTTGACGACGAGTGAAGCATATAAAATACGAGGATTAGTGCAAGGACTGACAGGGCAATTGTCTTGCGCTGTGTACGGGGACGGTGGTAGACCTGCCATAGCACCGTCGTTGCCGTCGACTTGGCATCTGTAAGTGGCGCGTCGACTGACGCCATCGTGCGAAGATGAGAACTCAGAGAGGTGAAGAGAACATGTCCAGGAACAAGAATAATTAGACATACGCACTCGTCAGCCTTGAGTGGTTCAAGTGGAGAGGCGGGCTGCGATCGGCGCGACGTTTCCGGTGTTGGTCCGCCACGTTATTACTAACTGGAGATGTTACAAGTATATCAGGTAGATGTTGACACTTAGAACATTGAATTACTATACAGGACATGTGGATATGTACATTCCCTCACTCCAAGTATATCTCCTCTCGAAGACGTTGCAGATTGCGAAACAGGCCACCGGCCGGCGCACCACTATCACTATCCCGCCTAGTCTCCGGCCTGGACCTAGATGATGCACGCTGATTCTGCTCAGTCGCAGCCTGCTGCTGTTCCAGAGAGCGGCGACGATCATCCACAATCTTAGCAAGACTATCCACAAAGCGATTGCGCGCTTTCTCTTCCGCTGAGCCATTCCAGACAGTCGCCAGCAGTCGAACAGCGTCAACGCGCCGATTGGCAGCATCCAGTCCGGCTTGTCCGCCCCCTTCGCTGTCCAACAGTTCTGTCACTTCCTTCCGTAAATTCTTCATCATTTCTTGGCCCTTTTCTTCGCGATCGCGGCCGTCGGCGTCAAGGTCTGGTCCTGAGACGGAAATTAAGGAGGATGAGAAGGAGGTTTCTGATGGTGGGAGCGGCCATTCCATTGCGTCGCCGAATGTTTGAACGACATCTTCTAATCGTGATCGGACTTGGTTCAGGGTTCGTAGGTTCGTGATGTATTCGGGGTCTGCCGGGGGGTCTTTTCGTCTGAGGGTGCTGCCTCTTCGTCTTGAGCTGGCGCATCCTCCGTCCGTTCTAGCTTGCGCGCACCTTCCTCTGGGATGAACTTGTTGATTTCCTCGCGCAGGACTTCGGTTAGGGTTTCGGATAGCCCAATTGTCTCGCCTCTTAGTACCTCGACTTCGTAGGCTAGCCGTCCGCCGCTTCGAAGGATCTCATCGGTGAGTTGGGATAAGGTGCTCGAGAATCGGATGTTTTGCGCGTTGATCTTAGAAAGTAATGACTGGACTTGTGCGGACAGCTCTGTCAAGGGTACTGATCCGGGTGCTCGAGAGGCATTGGGTTGTGAGGATGCCACGGTCAGCGGTGAAAGGGATTCATTGAGGAAATCGGCGGGGTCGAAATTCGGGTCGGCGAAGTTGGGGGTGACATCGGGTGTACTGGATTGCTGTGCGCCTGCTCGAGCGCTCGAGCTATATGAGGACGCCATGTTATGTGTTTGGCAGCAGTTCAAGATAACAATATTGGGGAGAGAGCTGGCCTCCGCGGGGATATCTCCACCGCTTGTACTATTTCGGTATAGCGGTTGCCTCTTTCGGATGAAGTATCTTGCCGCTTTATGCTCCGATCTATACGCTAACAAAAACATTGCCTTCAATTGTCTGTCATATCTTCAAAAGTAAACAGAATCATTAAATATCTATCATATGGCTAGGCTATATTACATATTGCCCAAGGGCATACATATCGCTTCTCACATGCAGGGCAAAAACATGCATATACAAACCATAAAACTCAGAAACACCCAAGAAAACAAAAAGGAAAAGGGTATAATACCAAATAGATCAAAAATCAACCATAAAGTTCATGCACAGGCTTCGGCCCCTGGTCAGCCGCCAACTCTGACGGATTCGTCGAGCGCGTGAATGTGCCAACACTCTCAGGCGCCGTCTGCTGCGAACTTCCACCAAGCTCACTAGCCTCCGGATGCGCGGAGCGTTGATAAGACGGCTGCATACCCTTTGGTGTCTCCTTCTGTGCCTTGCGACGGCGGAAGAACCAGAATGCCAAAGCGGCGATTATGAGCGCACCTCCTACGCCGACGCCGACCCCGATGCCGATGCTTGCGCTTTGGGATAGACCGGAGCTTGAGCTTGAGCTTGAGGAGGCGTCTGATGTGGAAGCTGGCGAGGAGGTTGAGGATGTTGTTGCTGTGCTGGAACTTGCTGCTGATGCCGATGTTGATGTTGCCGTCGTGAAGAGACTCGAATCTGTGGCTTCTACTTGGATTTGGAGTGGCTGCGCCCACATTGTGATTGGGCCTGAGACTTGGGTGCTTTCGTCTGATACTTGGCGGACGGTCACGATTGTTGAACTGCTCGATGGGAACATGCTGGTGCATCCTGCGTATGTGGAGTCTTCACCCATAGACATGGTCAGGTATTCGAAATTGCTTTTGATTTGTTAGTTGCAGATTGCGGTGTTGGGGGGTTTGACAGTACGTACGAGGGACAGCATTGGGCTGTAGTCACTGGGTTGTGGATTACCATGTTGGCTGTGGTATATCCCTCCGGACAATAACCCGGACTAAAAGCAATAGACGCCATTTGTCGTCCGAAATGGGTATATCCCGAGGGGAAACAGTTCGGATCGGCATTGTCACTCGCGGCGGCGTTTTGTAGTAGCAGGCCACTTGCGATGTTGTTTGCGCCTGATGGCTCAAAGGTCCACGAGCTTGAACATGAGGCTGGTGGTGTGAAAATTGTTGTCATTGCCAATGTCGTGATTCCATCTGTGGAAACACTCGACGTTGACGTCGCGGCGGATGACATGATACTGGTCGCGTATGTCCGCGAATACTGAATTTCGAGATCAAAACTCACCAAAAACAATTGCAGAGCCCCGAGGGAAAGGGGGACTTTATGTACGGAGTCAGTTAGAAGCGCAGCCCCACTACTAGACTGTTAGTGCTTATTTTCTATTCAAATTCTCACCGTGGCCAAGTTTCTGAGGCTCGACTCTGCCACAAATTACGGGCAATTGTAGTATCCAGGTTAGTTACGTTATTCAGTTTCCCAAGTCATGATTGGCTCTAAGTAATCGCTAATACTGCAAAAGCCCAAGGCTTTTCAGCATTGACGTGGTTGGGGGCCGATTTGGGGGCCAACTCGGTGAATGCGAAAATATTGGATAGATCTGCACACTCAACTTGTTCACCCAACAACCAATTAGAGGCCTATAAATTCTCCATCATGCTGCGTGATTAGCCCAGCTTCAGGGGTCTGAGCACGTTGCCAACGTGCCACGCGTCACAATGCAGTAAATCGCAGGCTAAGGGAGGAACATCGGGGTAGCAGGGGTCCTATAGCCTCTTCAAAGGAGGTGACGATAATGTGCTGGGGTCATATGCGTTTCAGCCACAATATCATGCAATGTTCACCAGCCATTTGGATGTCTTAGTCGCCCGGGAAATTAAGTGGTGGGGTATTAGGTGCAAATTGTCCAATGAGACAGACGCCTGACAGTCTCTCGGACTCATTAGCTATCTATAGCCATCGATTTACGATAACTGAGCTGGCAGATGCGCAAGATATCTTGCTGATGGTCTTGGTCTACTAGAAAGGCCTCAGCCTCGCAACCTTATATCGAAGTCTAATTTGGCAACTGAAAAAAATACTAAAATCGCATTAAATTGCATTATACTCACTTGGGAATAGGCACCAAAGCATGTAGTCATAGCCATTAAAAAGCTGCAAGAGCAGCAAAAAAAGAAGGTGGGTATCGTCATAGATCCGTCGCGTCCAACCATAATACAGAAACAGTAAAAAGTAAAGCCCAAGCAGAAACCCAACATAGAAATTCCATGTCAGACCATCTGTTTGGACAATATAAATCACAAATGGAAAAGGTCATATCTTCATGTCGAAAGGGTATTGACCATTTAATCAAAGACAGGTCTAGATGTCCTCAACCACGCGGGCGTTCATCGCGCGCTGGAACCCATCATCCACCTGGTCTGTAGCGCCGTAGTTGCTCGGGCCTTCGCCGGCCGAGTTAGCAGCGTTAAGCTGGTTCTGCACGGTCTGGTTCATAGCAGGCAGGAAGATAACCTTGCTGTTGGCAGTCTTCGCCATGGCTTGCATGGCCTCGAGGTATCGGATCTGCATGGCAGGTGCAGAAGACAGAATGTCTGCAGCCTGGCGCATCAACTTGGCAGACTCGACTTCGGCGCGAGCGGCGATAACCTTGCTCTCACCGATACGCTTGGACTGTGCGGCCATGGAGAGCGAATCCTGCAGGTCGCTGCTGAAGATGATATCCTTGATGAGCATGGACTCGACCTGCACACCCCAGCCGGCGGCGACTTCCTCGATGATCTCCGATGTCGACTGCGCGATCTCCTCGCGGCGCTCGATCACGTCCTGGAGCACGCGGGCACCAATCACATGGCGCAGGGTGGTCTGGGTACGCTCAACGAGCGCTTGTCTGACGTTGGCGATACCAAATGCAGCCTTGTGGGGGGAGATGACTTCGTAGTAGATGACCGAGGTCAGGTTGAGAGTCACGTTGTCCTTGGTCATGCAGACCTGACGGGGAACTTCGACGATCTGGATCTTCACGTCGACTGTGGTGATGTGCTCGCTGAGGGGGTTGATCTTGACGAGACCGGGATCAACTGATCGCTCGAAACTAATGTTATGTTAGTGATGATTCACAATGGCGACTTGATTCTATCTTACCGTCCGAATCGCGAGACGAGACCGACCGCGCCTTGGTCGACGGGCTTGAAGGGGTTGGGGCAGCAAATACAGCAAGGAATAGCTCCGAAGAAACCAATACATTCACCCAGACCGTGGACTATGGAGGATTAGATGCGAATACACATAAGAGAGAGGCTGACGCGACTTACTCATCGCAGCGTACCAGCCGTGGGCCTCGGGGTTGTCATCATCGTGTTGAATGCGAGCAGCGTACTTTGGCTGCAGATCACCCATGCGGGCAGGCTGGACATTGACCAGGCGTTGAGGGACCTGAGGCTGCTCGGGGGCTTTGCTAGAAGTGGCGCCGTTTGTAGACATGATGTATAGTGTGGGAGTTGGATAGAGAAGATGAAAGGGCGAAGGAGGGGATGGCAGGGTTTAAATGCAACGCCAGCCAAGTACTCCGTACATACGGGACTGGAGCTGCACTCCGCAGTGGAGAACAATCAACCTCAGCCTCAGGGCTGAGTTCGCCGATTATCCGAATCGTCATGACTCTAATCAGTGCTTTATACTACCCACTCGTCATTCATCTCTCCAAACTTGTATCTACGATAATATGAGCAACTGCGTAAATAGGATCCTTCCATTCCTCTTCCTGTTCCTGTTACATCGTACATGCAGACTGGCATGCACATTCCGATACAAATATCTCATCGTCATACCACTTCCAGACGTCTTCTAGAGGCCCACCAGGGCGCAAGGGCGCAGGGGGGGAGCAAGGCAGATTCGGTTGGGCACATTTGGGAACGAGCGCGAGAACGAGCTGCATTCGGCCAAGCGCCCTATAGTTCGCGCCACCTGACTTGGTTGTCCATCCTTTGGCCCCCAACTCTTGGTCCTTGGCGGGATGATCGTATTGGAGGCAGTGCTAACACCACATTGGAAACCTTTGTTTGCTATGGGGCTGTGTATAGGTCGGACAGTTTCGCAACCCTGGAACCCAGCATTGTCCTACTTCGGACATCCCAGTAAGGGTTGCTTCGAGTGGGATGACATGGAGTATGGAGAGTGTGTACCTGACTATGGTCTATAGCGCACTAATATTGATCCTATTTCACCAACTAGCATCATTGGTCTAGTGGTAGAATTCGTCGTTGCCATCGACGAGGCCCGTGTTCGATTCACGGATGATGCACATTTCTTTTTGCACAATTTTTTATTGCCGACCGATCGATCGAACATCATTATCGTCTAGGTTTCTTGTACAATAACAATAGCCTGCTCTTTTTTTCAATGGCTTCTATCCTTTCTTTCGTATGTACTACCTATACATAGAAGATTTATCAATGCAAGCTTGTTTGAATTGGTGAATTTTCGTGTACCAAAAGAGGTACACAAGTGCACATCCACAAACGAAATATATATTTACCCAACGTCCAAAAACACAAGAAGCATGGTTCGATCTGGTATTGAATAGCAGTCTATTTCAGAGCAAACCGATAAAATATAGTCCAAAATCAACAAATATCAATGGAAATCACCTCATAGCATGTGAGTCAGTACTAGTCCTTAAGAAGACAATCCTACGCCGTACAGCTCACGGTTCAGACAGCACGACATGTACTCGCACGAGAGAACAGATTCTCGGATAGTTAATTACAAAAGCGCCGTAGTCATCCTATCAAAATGTATGTATAAGTGCTCACATTGGCCACTGCGTTGCTGACGCCATCAGACTCCAATTTCACGTCTTTCATACAACATGCGCGGGGCTGAAGTGGCATGCAGGTACCAAGTACAAGAAATATAAGTGCCTCTCATTCAGTATTACAAGTACAATTGCAATTGATTCTTCAATTCCTGTTCCATCCTCCATCCTCCACCTCCCCCCCCCCCCGGAACCAAACCCTAACAGGAACCAACCACCAAAATGACCGAAAAGAAACAGCTCATAATCAACGCATTCGCAATGCAATCCCCAAGCCACCTAAACCCAGGCCTATTCCGCTACCCAACAGACCAAGGCCCCGATTACAAGAACATCAAGCACTGGATCGCCCTAGCAAAGAAACTAGAAGACGCCAAATTCCACGCCATCTTCTTTGCCGACGTTCTAGGCGGCTACGATGTCTACAGGGGACCTGTGAGCCTCGATCCTACCATCCCCGCCGGTGCCCAGTTCCCAATCAATGACCCGCTGTATAGTGTTCCCGCTATGGCGGCTGCGACGGAGCATATTGGGTTCGGCGTTACCGCGTCGACGACATATGATGCCCCATATGCGCTTGCAAGACGCTTTTCCACCGTTGATCATCTCAGCAAGGGTCGTGTTGGGTGGAATATCGTTACCTCGTATTTGGATTCTGCGGCGAGGAATTTCGGTCTGGATACGCAGGTCGAGCATGATGAGCGGTATCGCATTGCTGATGAGTACCTCGATGTCACGTATAAACTGTGGGAGGCATCGTGGAGGGATGATGCTGTGACTTTCGCCAGAGATGGCTTCAAGAACCAGCCTTATGCTGATCCAAAGGCTGTTCGCCAGATCAATCACAAGGGGAAATACTTCCAGGTTCCTGGTCCGCATCTCTGTGAGCCTAGTCCTCAGCGCACGCCGTTTATTCTTCAGGCTGGTACATCCACTTCTGGAAAGGCGTTCGCGGCGAAGCATGCCGAGGCTGTCTTTTTGCATGCGCAGAAGCCGGAGCTTGTTCGGCCTTCTGTTGATAGTATTCGGCAACAGGCTGCTGAGCTTGGGCGGAATCCGCAGGATATCAAGATCGTGGCTGGGGCGTTGGTCATCGTTGCTGAGACGGATGAAGCTGCGCAGGCCAAGTTTGATGAATTGAAGACTTATGGTGATCGGGAGGGGGCCCTTGCTTTGTTTGGTGGTTGGACTGGGTATGATCTGTCGACCTATGATGATGATCAGGATTTCCGGTTTGTGGAGTTGCCTGCTGTGCGGAGTATGGTAAATCACTGGGCAAGTACTGTCCCTGGGACTGAGGGTCAGAAGTGGGATAAGAAGACCATTGCAGAGTATTTGACTCTTGGTGGCAATGGGGTTAAAATTATTGGCAGTGTGAAGACCGTTGCGGACGAGTTGGAGCGGTGGGTTAGTGTTGGTGATGTTGATGGGTTTAATTTCAGTTATGCTAGTCTGCCGGATACGTTTGATGATGTGATTCAGCTGTTATTGCCTGAGCTGCAGCGTCGTGGGCTGTTCTGGTCTGATTATGCTGTCAAAGGAGGCACTCTCCGGGAGAACATGTATGGCAAGAAGGGTCAGGCGAGACTCCCTGATGCGCATCCTGGGGCGAAGTATTTCTGGAAGGAGGGAGAGGAGGTGCCTCCGTATTCATTGGCGTCTAATTAGATAAATAGTTTGAGCAATCAAGAACAGGCTAGCACTTTCAGGTAACACGTTCATCCCAGTACAGTAGAAGCAAAGTATCTGTGTTAGGGTTAGTCCAGAGAGAGAACGTCAGCTTCCCCGGGAATTCACCAACAGTTTTCTACCGAGAAACCTCATATTCCCAACTCTGACCCGACTCGACTGCCAATTCTCGGCCCCACAGAATCTGGCCGTGTCCGAGACGCCGAATTGGTTAGTGTGGCCGAAACGCTGATGTTAGTCTATACAACTTTCTCCACTTCTGCGGCGTTTTTAGACTCTGATTGGTGTGTCGCCGCCGGTTCTCCATCCTTTGCGTGAGCGGGTGACTGAATTCACTCTTCTCCCCATGGCACCGTCTGATCCTGGGGCATCATTGCGGGGTTTCTCGGGGTAGAGATGAGCGAGTGTGTTTTTTTAATTAGTTGCGTTTGATTTTTTTCAATCGGAAAATCCGATGCTTTCGGCCTGCGGTGGCGGCTTTCGGGCCATGGGACTTTTGATATTTCCTTTTGACACTTGACTTAAGCGTGTATTCTTTCACTCTCGAGGAACAGTCTTGCACCATGCAGATCTCTCGCTGTGGTATTCATGGTTTCCATGAAGTCCTTGGAATTGATACCGATGAGATTCGCTTCTACTGGGCCATTGAGAGCAACGAACGAGGTGCTGCCCAAGTCGCCTATCGTGTTGTTGTGACGACAGAGGCTAAATCTCTCGAATCAGAGAATTCGGACTCTACAGTCTGGGACTCTGGATGTGTCGGGAGCAATGAGCAGAGAAATATCACCTGCAAACCCTTCAGCGGGTTCCAATCTACCTGCAGTCATTTTTGGAAGGTCACAGTGTGGGACCAGGCTGGAAATGCCTACCACAGTGCGGTCAACCACTTTTTTACTGCTTATCCGCGGTCTCATCTTTTGCCGCCGTATAGCATGAACCAGACCTACATGCCTCACACCAGTCTGATTTTCCGCTCCTGGTTCGAGGACGAGGCAAATCGTTGGAAAGCAGTTTGGATTGGTGATGGAGGTGATAAACCAATTTACCTGCGCAAATCTTTTGAATTGGCGCGACGACCAGCGAGGGCCATTTTGTTTGCGTCTGGTCTTGGCCATTTCAACATGTCTGTCAATGGCCAGGCTGCTTCGGACCATCGCCTTGATCCTGGCTGGACCAACTATCACCGTCGTGTCCAGTTCACTTCTTATGATGTGACAGACCAACTTGCCGCAGGTCAAAATGCCCTGGGCGTTCATATCGGCAACGGGTTCTACGCTGGAGACAAGGGCGATGATCGTTTCTTCTGGCCTATGTACGAGGACAATACGTACGTTCGGTACGGAAATGAGCTTTGCTTCTTTGGCGAATTGCATCTTTTCGACGAGGATGGAGAACATACTGTTCTGATCTCAGATGCTTCGTGGAAAGTCAGGAAGAGCGCCACCACGCTGGCCAATATCTACGCATCAGAGACGCACGATCGACGCTTGTATCCCTCGAACTGGGACTGTGCTGAGTTCGATGATGTGGAATGGGCTCCAGTGAAGCCTCTGACTGGACCCAGAGGCCAGATTCACTACCAAACTCAGCCTCCGGTTGTACTTCACGAGACCTTTGAGCCGATTAAAATATTTAGTCCAAAGAAAGGGACCGTCTGCTACGACCTCGGCCAGAATGCATCCACCATGGTCAAAATCGCAGTGGAAGGTACCGAAGGCGCAGAGATTATCGTTCGATACTCTGAGACTGTAGGAGAAGATGGCTTGGTTCTGATGCCCGATCCTCTGTTCAAGGAGTTCGAGACAGGTGTCTTCTCCCGAATCTTCTTGGCTGGCACTGGGGAAGCTGAGGTTTGGGAGCCAGACTTCAGCTTTACCAGTGCTAGATACATCCAGGTGGAAGGTGTATCATTGGCAGCCAATGATCAATTGCCAATCATTCATTCCGCAGTTGGTCGTCATATTTCATCCGCTGCCAGAAAGCTCGGAACGATGAAAACCGACAAAGAAGATGTCAACTCGTTGCTCAACGCTCTCTACTGGTCGTTTGCTAGTAATTTATTCAGCTATCACACGGATTGTCCTCAGATTGAGAAATTCGGCTGGCTGGAAGTTACTCACCTGCTGGCTCCTGCCACACAATACATCCGCGATATGGAATCCTTGTACAGTAAGATTCTTGATGATATCCTGGATACCCAAGAGCCCAGCGGTCTTGTCCCAACTATGGCGCCCGAAATCCGCTACATGTGTGGTCCCCTGCACGATACTATCACCTGGGGCTGTGCCTTGTGTCTGCTTCCTGATATCTTGAAGCAGTACTACGGCTCCACACATGTCATTCCGAAGATATACCCAGCTGCAGTTCGATACATGGAGTACATACAGACCAAAGAGCGCAAAGGTGGATTGATCGAGCATGGTCTTGGTGACTGGGGCCGAGGCATTGCCTTTGGTAACAATCAAGCCAATATTGAAACAGCCATCTACTACCGATGCCTCCAATGCGTCGAGATGATGGCCCGTGAGCTCGGCAAGCACGACGAAGCCGAAAAGTTCAATCAATGGGCTGCACGCGTCTATGCCACCTACAATCGCCACCTCCTGGTGACCGATGACGCCTCTCGCCCCTACGCATATTACACCTCGCTTGACAACTATCCCGAGCGAGATCGCGATGCCATTGCTCAAGCAATGGCTCTGCAATTTGGTCTTGTGCCTGCCGAGCACCACAAAGACGTGATGGCCGCGTTCCTGGACGATGTATCAGACGGCAAGATTCGCGCCGGGGAAATTGGCCTCCGATTCCTCTTCAACACTCTGACTGATGCAAAGCGACCTGATCTCGTGCTGCAAATGGCTAGACAGGAAGAACACCCGTCTTATATGCGCTTCTTGCGCCGGGGAGAGACTACCTTGCTTGAATTCTGGCAGGATGAATGCCGCAGTAAGTGTCATGATATGCTGGGTACAATCTACGAGTGGTTCTATGCTGCCGTTCTAGGTCTGAAGCCAATTTCGGATGCATACCGCACTTTTGAGATTGATCCTCCTTACAATTCGGAGTTTGAGCATGTGAGGGGGTCCGTTGATTGCCCTTATGGCTTGATTGAGATTGAGTACACCCGTTCCGAAGGTACCGTGACTTTGAACCTCACAGTTCCCTTTGGAACGACAGCTACGGTAAGACTACCCGGTGATGTGAAGAAAGCTGAATATCGGAGGAAGGAGGTAGAGAGAACTTCCGTGGAGGGAGGGGACTTAAGGCTTACCCATGGATTGTATATTGTAAATATTGAAACTCTATCTTCTATGACTTGCTAATTCCCGCTATTGAAGTTAATGTTGACTATGGGTTCATTCTAGTTACATAAATCCGGTCTCATGCAGTATTCGGAAGGCAATGAACTTCAATAGATCCAGCGCTCTCGATAGATGAGCGCATTGCTTTCATGAAGCGCCTCCAAGGATGGTCTTTGATCGAACTCTGCGCCAACTCGCATTAACGTGGATAGAAATAATTGGACCAACTCAAACCACTCGGCCATTTTCCGCTTCTTTACCTCTCGGCACTTTGCCCGATCTTCTCTTGAACAATCTGTGTAAAACCCCCCCGCAAACCCCAAGAACACGAACAATCAACGTAGGCCTGTAATGGCGGACGCGGAATAGATAATATAAGCCCGCAGCCGCAGCGATGTTGAATCCAATATAAGCCCACCCAAGGCCCCAGTTGCGCCATCTTTCGTCGTAGTCTGGATCACAGTTTAGGTTAGAAACAAGTTGATCACGAATACAGCAAGGTGCCGAAACGGATTTCCTAGGAGAAAGAGTAACAACTTACAGATCTTACTCAATGCCAGATACTGGTCTGCATTTGTGAATGCACAGTATTCGCAGTTTTGTGTGGCGGACGGGTTGTAAAGCTGCCCGGGAGCTTTTGCTAACCAGTCCGCCAGGTATTGACCACACGTCTGGCCTTCAGGAGGGTTAAACACGTTGAGCTCACGATTGGAGCATTGCACAACTTGAGAGTGAAGGGCATTTCCGCACATGCCCGCAACCAAGTAGGTTAAAGGCGAAACGCGGTACATGAAAATCCAGAATCCAGGTAGCGCAGTTGGAGTCTGCATCACTCCATTGAATGTCAGGATAAGGGTAAACGCCAATGTTGCGACAGTGCCTGTGTAGTGTGACGTTAGACTCAGCCAGAGGACTATTTTTCAATGGAATTTGGGATCATACCTCCTGTCTCGGCATCCGGCAATGCGGAAATAACAAGTCCGGCAAAGGTGGACGTAAACACAAAAAATTGTATCACAAATAGAAGCATAAGTGCTTGTACCTGAGAGTCCTGGCTCGCTCCATAGATGGGATAATAGTAGCTGGCCCAGACCAAAATTCCCAACAAGATCTGATACGGTATCTCAACAGCTATATTGGAGGCAATGAAAGCTGCCCACGAGTATGCTTTCGAGGGTCTTTCACGAACCTCGTACAGCGAGCGCTGAGTGACGAACTTCGGCATAATCCTGGAAAGAAATGTTATTTTTGCGAACGTGCAGATATGCCTGTATTGATGTGGAGGTCCAGACTTACTGTTGAACCAAGGTGGAGAATATTGATGTGAGCATAAAGGAACTGAAGAGGTGGTTTTGTATCCCTTGAATGGACGTTCCTGGCTTGAAGTAGGAGAAGCCGATGAATAGAGCTGAAACAATACCAAGCATGAACTTTGCCCCTATATAAGAAGGTTCACGCCAGTATTGTTGGAAGACCCGGTAAGTCACCCACCGAATTTGATCGAGTAATGGCATGGCAAATTCGTTTTGTTCCCCGCGATTCACAACACCCTCGTTGGGGTTAGAATCAGGAGTAGCCTTTGACGTATGTATACGCAACAATTCGGCTTCCACTTCACGGGCCTCGGGGCTGTGTTTCCAGACGACTGGCCAGTCCTTCGAAGCATGACCGGCAGCACCGGCACCAATGATCTCCAACATATATTCAGCAGGCTATTGTCAAAATTGCCAAGTCGTCAGCACAGTTTTTGAAACAATTTCTCATGATTGAAACTGGACTTACGTTTTCAGATGAAACGCATTTTCTGGCGCCATTTCGTTCAAAATAGTCAAGCAGTACTCTTGACTGCTCTCCAATGTTACCAAAATATACGGTCTTTCCACCCTTCGCGAGGAAAAGAAGTCGATCAAACTGCTGGAACAAGATCGCACTAGGCTGGTGAATAGTCGAGAGAACAGCCTGCCCATTATCTGCGAGCTTTCGAAGAAAAGCGCAGATAGACCATGCACTCTGTGAGTCGAGTCCGCTGGTTGGTTCGTCAAGGAACAAAAGTATTTCTGGTTTTGCTGCAAGCTCAACACCAATAGTCAAGAGCTTTCTCTGCTCGACATTAAGACCTTCTCCAGGTGAGCCCACGACAGCCTCTGCAAAATCTTCCATTCTAAGCATTCTGATGACTTGCTCAACGTAAGAAAACTTTTCCTTTTTAGCGACACTTTTAGGCTGTCGAAGCATTGCACTGAATCTGAGGGCCTCTCGAACGGTTGAAGTCGGGAGATGTACATCTTGCTGCTGCACATAGCCGGTTTCTCTTTGAAAGTTTGCAGGCAGAGGAGAACCGTTCACCAGCATATCACCAGTGACGATTCCAATTGAGACTCTTTTTGCCAAAACATCCAGTAAAGTGGTCTTTCCAGCCCCTGATACTCCCATCAGCGCGGTTAGAGTGCCGGGTTTGACCCAACCAGATACGTTGTCAAGAAGACGGCGTTCTCCACCCTTCACAGGAATGTCGTAACACAAATTCTGCCAAGTGACAATGCCGTGGTGTTCTGGAATGGCACTGTCCATGCCAACAGGTTGCGTTCCGCTACTTCCTGCTGCTATGTCGAAGGCCATAGGCTGAGTGGTCACAGCTTTCTCGGTATCCTGGGCAGTATTCAACACGCTTTTAGGTACGTGACCTCGGCGATAAATGAGAAATTCAGCAGCGGAAGTCGATGCTGAGTTCAGCTCAGTTCCAATCAGGTAGATGGAAGCAAAGAAGATCCAAAATGCAATGAGAATACCAAGGTTTCTCCACTCGTGGGAATAAGTATACCGATACTGGGCGTAAATAAAGGCATCACCAGACACGGTTCTCGCTCCTGAGATCGCACCAGGGATAGAACAGACGAAAGAATTGTCTGGCAAGCTCGGGTACCCAGGGATAAATTGTGAGCATTCAAATTCTTGTCCGTGAAACTCGTTGGCGATGAGACTTTCGAAGCAATAAAAGAGAGGGTTGATCCATCGTATCCAAGAGAACCAAGGGTGCATTTCCGGGACGGGCACCACGAATCCGGCATATATCACAATGCCTAGGATCATGACTCCGGCGAGTGCCATGGCCTGTGCAACAGTCCGGGTCAAAGCCGCAAGAGTTCGGAAAATACCGGACATAATCATGGTTGCCAAAAAACTAAAAAGAAAAAATATGAAGAATTGAGATGCCGTATAGCGCTTCGCAAAGAGTTAGCCTTGCGTGTATAATTCAATAGTTGCACATGATCTTCCTTACCAGATCTCCCAGAAAGTAGAGAACCACGTTGAATACCGCTGCAGATATCAGCTTAATCGGAAAATCTGCAATCATCCCCCCGAGAGCCTCTGCGAACGGGTGAACAAAGGCGTATGACGCTTGTTTTTCCACAATAGACCGCTGGTCATAAAGTGAATTGATTTCCGTAACACTTATTAAAGCGTTGAGTCTGCCGAGGAACGTTAGCATGCAACGAGGTTATATGGTGCAAGCATGTAGTCCAAAGAGGACAAAACTCACAAGACTGCAAAGAAGAGTACTGATCCTTTTGCGAAGAAGCCAGCGGTGGCATTTGGAGTACTGGAATATGTTAAATCAAACGTTCAAGTAACGCATCGTCGAAGATGTTGTATGCTTACTTGAAGAAGATAGACCCAACTATCAGAGACACGACAATGCGACCAACGAGTAAGGTCAAAGTCGAGGCCTTGTCATTCCAGATCCTGCAGAGACCAATGTCAGCTTTAAATAGCGCCGAGGGGCACAATGGCCGTTTACTGGTTCTTTCAGACATACCTTTGGTAGGCTCTCTTGGTACACAGCTTCAGCTGCATTGGTATGGAAATGATGTATGGGCTTTGGGGTCTGACGTGTTTAGCCTGCTGAGAATGCTTTGCAGCTGCCAAATCTCTCTCCCCGCAGCCTCCAAGAGGATATTCAGCCTCATATTGGCTGATTTCTTTGAGGAGTGCAGTATATTCGGGGCTTCTTTTCCAGTACTGCTCAAATTCTTGCGGGGTGCGTGGAACTCGATCCTCCATGTCGCTGCGTGCTTTGCGTTCCTGCGGGTTTGTGATTGACGTGAGAAAATCCCCCGTTGTTTGGCGTGGTGGGTTCACCCAACCCATGCTTGTGAAGTATTTCTCTGCTTCGGTACAGCTGCCATAGTAGATCTGACGCCCCTCGTAGAGGACCAGGACCTTATCAAAAACGTCATAAATGGCTTGGGATGCCTGGTAGGTTGCCACAGCGTGGCAACTACCTATAAGGTCCGCGGAGATCCGCAGCGCTTTAACGAATTCCAGAGCGCTGGCAGCGTCAAGTCCTCGAGTACTGTTATCCCAAGCAGCAATTGGAGCTCTCGCGACTAAATGAGGTGTATGGTCTCCAGTCAGCCACTGCAAATTCTCAAATACTTTGAATATAGATTGCCTTACGCGCCATTTCCGCAATACTGTGTGGGGGTGGTCACGTTAGAATTCTGACTGCCGAAGGACAATTATAATTAAAAGGACCATACCTAACACGTTTCCTTTCTCCACCAGACACTCCTCGAATGTAGTCGTTGCCAACTAGATACCACAAATCAGCCGTCGTGGAGAAAGGTTGCCAACCAATTTCATTCAACTTACCTCTGGTATTGTATGTGTGTGAAAGGCCCAGCACTGCCATGATGACCTGACTGGTCTCCTTTATGAAATCATATCGAGAAACCCCGTGAAGTCGTTGAGATGGCGTTCTAGCTGCGGCCGCAAACTCCAGTGTTTCTCCGACAGTCAAGTGGGGAAAATGCTTGTCCACCTCCTGGTTGTAGACGCATTCGCCTTTGAATTCTGCATGCATTTTCTCTCTCGATATTCCATTGTAATGGACGGTGGAGTCGGGGTGGATATTTAGCCCGTGTAGCTCACCACAGATCGCCTTTTGAAAGGTTGAACAGCCACTGCCTGGCCGCCCTAAAACCATGAGCATCTCACCAGACTTCAACACTCCATCGAAGCTATGCAATATCTGCCTTTTGGGAGAGGACTGTATCAAACCTCTATAGCTGTCGCTTCGAAAGGGCGCAAGTAGGACTGAATCCACAGTGTTCTGCAACTGAAGCGCCGCGCCTGATCCGGATACATTTAAATCTTTGAACACCACGCCCGCATGTTGGCGAAGAACCCCCTCTTCGTCGAGCTGACGCAATCGTCTCTGAGCCCATTTGTAGGGCTCAAACCTGACGCTGCTTGGGTTCATAACATCATCCTCTTCTATTGTGTTCAACGGCGCTTGGGGAGCCCCCGGGGCCCCTGGAGGCACAGAGAGGGTGGTTGCAATCCGGGATATAACTGCCTCATCTTGGTCGGTGATCGGACTGTAAACCTGACGTGTCTTCCCTGGATCCAAAGCTCCGGGCCTGGATTCGGTTGCCTGTAAACTGCGTCCACTCTCCTCAACACTATCCTGAGGGGCAGCAGCCATGTAGAGGGTCTTCACGGGATGAGTCGTTTGAGATGAAGAACGTCTGTGCGGACGATGGGAGGTTTTCTGTCGGATGACGGACAAGTTTGTGGTTTCGAACTTCGTTTTATGTAAGTATAATGCCTCGAAGTGCAGCACATAGAGTTGCAATCCAGACCGTCACTGTAGAATACTGACTGGTCTTTATACTTTGAGTCAGAGAGACAAGTCAGTCTCGGACTTCCGAGTGGCCGTTCAAAGGCAGAGTGGGAATTATCTTCGTATGGATGGCTTAAACCTACGGGGTGGTCTTCGGAACACCGCGCTCGCTCCGATCTCATGACAAGCTGCCGAGAAGTCTCCCGTAGGGTCTGTCAGTGTTGACCCAACATCCCAGGTGCGCCCCACAAATCTTAATCTCAGATCTAGAATAAGCTTCGGAACTCCGCGTTCGCTCCGATCTCATGATAAGCCGCCGAGACGCCGCCGAGACATCTCCCTTCATTGGTTGGGCGGTGTTCACCCAACTCTAAGCTGCGCCCCACAAACCTTAATCTAGGTCTAGACAAAGCCGGATAGGTGATTAGAACAGATGTAACAAATAACAATTTCCATGGCTATGCGACACTCAGAATCGTGAACGAGACAAGGTGATAGAGTATCATATCTTGTTTCTGTTTCGGAATATGTGGTCGAGTACTGGCCCGCCGCTTTCCTCCGACCTCCGATCTTATGATGTCTATTGAAGGAAGTTCACCGCGAAGATTTATCGGCGTTTCAAGGATGGTAATCATCCATGAGTAGATGGAGCAAGCTATAAATTGGCCCACAGCCCGCTAGTTTGTGAAATTCAAATCTAGTGAACCCTCTTTTGGTCTACCGGAAGATCTTACCTATACTGAGGTTCCCACCTTCTCATACAATATCGGGGTGTTCTTTGCATTACGTCTCCTGAAAGCCTTGCCTCGGACACATCAGCCGCCATGGTTCGCACACTACCAAGGGAGTCCAACTTTCAGAAGAGGGAAACTGCAGAGCTAGTTCCTTATTTAGGCCCTGAAGCAATCATCGCGACGGGACATGGAATGAACCTTGGCATTGCTCTTTCCGAATCCGTCCTCTTCCTCGAGAGATATGACAAGGAAGACCCGAGCACGAAGAAATGCACCATCCTTCGAGGACAATTACGGCTCAGTGTCACCAAGCCCACCAGGTTGAAGAAGGTCTGGATTCGCTTTTGCGGGCAGATGCAAATGGTGTGGCCAGGAGGTATGTGCATCTTATAATACGGCCATCTAGCAAGACGATGAATCGCTTACTCGGGTATTTTTCTTCAAAAATAGCAGACTGTATGAGTACAAAAACGTTATTTACCCAAGGAATTACCTACTTTGACCGCGGGGGTACGGCAATGCACCGCAACGACTTTGGAGCAGACTCCTTTGATTTACTGAAAGCACCCACAGCTACAGCCAATGCCCATTTGATGACAACCACAAATGCCTCTCTTCAAGTGGGGCAGCCCGGGGCATCAAAGGTTTGCTTGACGCAAACTGGCTACTCAGTTGAGGATACTGCAACGTGCCATTCGAAATCCAATGAAGCTCAGAGTCAGAGTGGTTCAAAATTATTTCCTGCGGGTGATTTTCTTTACAGTTTCGAATTCCTATTGGACGGCTCGCTTCCCGAAACTATCAAGACAGACCTCAGCTCTATACAATACAGTCTGGAAGCTTTTGTCGAACCCTCACGGCATTTACGCTCTAACCTAACCGGGAAACTGGAGATTCCTGTCGTTCGGCTACCAGCAGAGAGCCCTTTGGAGTTGACTGAGCCTGTTATGATTTCAGGTAACTGGCGCGACCAGCTCCATTATAGGATGGTGATGTCTGGAAAGTCGTTTCCCTTGGGTTCTCAAATTCCTATTAGTTTGAAATTGACTCCCATGTCCAAGGTAGCTTGCCAGTGGGTCAAGGTGTACGTGACTGAGCATGTACAACATTGGTCAAGGGGCAAAGAAGCTGGCCTTCTACAAATACCTTCAAAGAAGGTCCTATTATTCGAAAACCAAGCTGGGCTTGAAAGTGTCAGTACTTACCCAGGCAGTGAAATGCGTATCATTTCGAGCAACAGCAGAGACGGGAGTGTCAAGTTGCCCCTTGAGAATAGCAGCAAGACAAATTTGCTTGGGGGTAGTATGTCGAGCGACACTGGAATAGAGCTCAACGTTCAGCTGCCTAGCTGCTTTGAAATGAAGGACAGGGAGAAGTCGCAATGTCTTTGTCTTGATTCAAAGAACGAAATCCTTACCGTCAGTCACTGGATACAGGTAAAAAAACTCCCAATTACGTGTCAGCCAATGACTTTGTGAATAGTGCTAACATCCATATTACTTTTCAAGGTTGTGTTGCGTCTATCAACGACAGAAAATAACAATAGGAGCTGGAATAGGCCGGTCGAGGTGACTCTTCAATCTCCCTTTCGTATAATGTCTTGCAAGGCTACTCCAGCCAACATTTACCTTCCTACATATGCAGTACGCAATGATGACCCCATGAGTGCTGTGCAGAGAGGTGGATGCGATTGTTCTGGATATGAGCTGTCGGTATTGGGTTCATCTGCCCTAGAAACAGCAGCTCAGCCGCAAAACAAATATCCTCACGTCGACCCGATATCTTCGAAAACATCGACAATGTCATTTCATTTCTGCAAAGCTGGCATTCAACCGCCTCCGCAGGCCCATATACGTGAGAAGAACCATTGTGTTTGTCCCTTCCCACCACTTTTTCGGCCACTATCTTCAGCCCAGGATACACTTGAAGAGATCGAGCTGCAGCCCCTACCTCCTCCCCCACCCCCTACCCCACATATAGTTTGAATGGTCCAGCCATTCACTGAAGATGGGCTATTTGGTGTTTTTGGATACGGTTTCTTCAATTTCTCATTATAGCAGCAGGCTACATTTGTGATCGTGAGCCATGCCGCAAATTTGTACACTTGGGATGTCACTTGCACTTGAAGATATGTTTGATGACTACTGTTCACGTTATAAATAGAATTTCATTTTGTGTATCAATACAGCTAATGATGTTACAGAAATAGATAAAAGGCAACCAGACCCCAAGGGAGCCACGCTAGGTACTACCTAGCGAGTAATTTCTCGTCCGTTTTTCGAGGTTTCCGACTGCTTATTACATGTATTACTATACAATATACCATTTCACAAGGGATTGTTTAGGTCCTATTATATATTCATAGTATCGGTTGATAGGTGCTGTGTGAGCGATTTATGTATGACTTTTTGCTTGATAGGTTCTAGGTCCACTTCTTCCTCTAGATGGATCTGCTGACCAATGGATGAAGAAGAAGAAACACGATAACTTCATACTAAGCAGTCCTAATCAGCGTTGATGGACCCCACCTTCCATTTCAAATTTCCTGGCCTATGGTAATCCTGAAACCCTGCATTGGTGTCCTGTCTTGAACCGGCTAGTTGAAAATAAAAATAATTGCCGAATTCAATTCTCATATTAACAATCTGAGTGACAAGAGCCACCTTGAAATAGCCATGTGTCCATTCATTAGTGAGGGATAAACCCTTCATCTATCTCAACTAGGCCGTGACATATCCTGAGACTCCTGCGTAGGGTTAATGGGCTGTAAACAATGTAAACATATGTGAGCCTATGACTTGCATTAATTAGCATTATGCTAACTTTCACTGTTTTCTGAGGTAATTGAAATACATTTAGCTCGCCCTAGTTTTGAAAGTTTAAACTGATCAGGGTAGTCATGATTGAAATACTCAGAATAGATCAATATTGCAATAATTAAAATCAATTCATGAAGCTTTCTCTGCAGTGTGTAGTTTTACAAGTAATGATTGGTTACTCTACATCCAATTATCGCTTGAAAAATCTGCCTTCTGCTCTTTGAATGATTTGGTTCTGCACACTAAAGGTGCTGTTCTCCTTATCAATACTTATATTCAGTAAAAGGTTTTGGATAAGACATGAATCAAATTCATGTTATTTCAAGTCCAGTCCTAGAACCCTATGCCCAGGCCAGTGGAGTCATGCAACGAGTAATCATTGACGCCAGTCGCCCGCAAATTCGCCAGCTCCCAGTCGAGAGTCAAAGTCATCGCCATATCATCTGGAAAGCTCACATGGTTGAAAACAACACTATGACTTATGTGATGTTCTGAGGGTGGAGAGGAGGTCGAATAGCTCGCTTTATTCTCACCATGAAGCACTTGAGGAGCATGAGGGGGATCTGTCCAGGGATCAGTGTCGGAAGCCAACGGCAAATGGCCGGCTTGAGAAAATGATTCCAACGATGGCGTAGTAATAGGCTTGTGAGACAAGTCCATTTTGAAACCCTGTGATTATATTAGATAATTGCAACACGCCCAGAGCTCAATACCCGTTGGCATCTCCAGGAAAATTGTATCACATACTCCGTTCTCGGTGTTCGTTAAGCCTGTTGTCACATCTTCCCGCGTCTCGTGGTTATTTTTGATGGGTTGCGTTTGATGTACAAGACTTTCGGATATATCCATCATTTTTTGGAATATCTCAAGAAGCAGCACTGCAAGCGATGAGGTACTTATTGTGAGAGCAGGGGAGAGTGAGTCAACAATGGTATGGAGTAGGTCCAAATCATCCAAATTACCAGAATCGTGGGGATGTAGAAGAATGTTACTAAATATCATCAAAAAAGCCGAAAGAGGATAGTAGGACACGCGACTTGGACAAATCAGCAAAGTCTCACTTTGCACGATGGATTCAAAGAAGAAGGAAAAGAAGAATAAAGAAATTGAACGCACCGAATCAGGTTATTGCGGAATTTACCTGATCTGTCATTCAGATTCAGGCTGCCCATAATCCGGGCCGTATCTCTAGCGGCACCGATACATGCAGTACGGCTTGAAGAAACCGCTGAATCGTCCGGGCTCACTTTATGATCTGACTTATCGCTGGCGATTATTGTGCCTCGGTAGCTTGAAAGTCGGTGGAGCGTCGATAAACAATTATAGTACTCTGAGTGCAATAGCACCGCAGACGGAACAAGGCGCACACTGCAATTTAGTGGTTGCCCAGGTTGAATGATTCCGTCAGGCAAAGAGACTCGCCAGTCAATGACCTTCTTATTCAAACGGTCCACTGTTGCTACCCTCTCTGTCCAGGAATTTGACGACGGGCAATGAGCAGAGTACAGTGCGTTATATATCTCGCTCTCAATTTTACTGAGCTTCACAAAATTTTCAAAATACAACGAGGGATCAGGAGTATCGGGATGGGACAGCGGCTCGCAAGCTCTAGGCTCGTCAATCTCGATTTCTTTGTCGCCAATGGCTGGTGGGCGCCCGAGCCGGAGACTCATCATCTTATCAAAAACGTAGAGCACCCAAAAGACGTTGCGCCGCTCGTCGATCTCACGTACGGAAAGATGTGGATCATCGGTTTTCCGGTGCAATCCAAGGGCAATTGAAAGCCGTGCCGCAGCTCCCAAGGCCATATAGCTTGCTTCGACGTCCAGTAGCATTTCCAATAGGAAAGCCTGTACTCAATCATCCATCATGCCCAGAGCTTAGTGGCTAAAAATGGTACTTACCATTCCAGTGAGAGCCTGAACAGCCAGGATTTCCTTGCAACTGAAAGCGAGCTGGGTGAAATAACCATAGCAGTTTCGAAGATAATTTAAAACATGTCCCTCACCTTCGATCGTTCTGTTAGTATGGACCGAGGGAGTGCATTGGCCTCTTTCATCCTCGCAAATGAGCCCTCCGATGGCAAGCACGACGTTGAGTGATGCATACCAGGGCAGACCTACTGGAGGATCGAGTGAATATTGCTGTTCAAAGAGCTTCATGAACTCCTCCTTGTCGAAAAGAGGCATAGTGGAATTTACAAATTCGAAAAAGTCTTGGAAATCACCATCAGTTCTTGGATTACTCAATCAACGCTCGACGGGAACTTACAGTCGATTGCAATATCTGCGGAAGCTTTTGGAGGTAGCGGTGCTTGAAGTTCAGGGGTTAGATGCCGCCACATGCTGATCATTTCCTCAGACCAACTGAGCATGTAGATCCGGGATCGGTTCAAAATAAAATCTGCGAGCTCTGTAGAGCCAATTTGACTCGAAATCCATTGTAGACCACTCGGTGAAAACAGAGAGAAACCCGACGCTGGGCCTAATTTACCAGGTGTTGTGAGCAAAAAATCATGTATTGAGTCCCGGAGAGTCAAACATTGATGACATACCAATAAAGGTAGAGGAGCCGCTCCTATCAGCTATAAGAAGGGATAATCCTTTCTCTCTCTTAGCGGGCGAGGAATGATTTTCCAAGCGGTCATTGGGTGCGTTGACCGCCGACTCAGAGAGTAGCGATTCTACCCTTTCCAGTCGGGTTTTCATTTTGTCAATCGATACTCTTCGGGAAAGAATGAGCGTTCTTCACGATAAGAGGGTATGTTGGAAGCAAGTACCGACGTGAACCAGGCAGATGCCTACTTCTCTTGCGCTTTACAGGTGAGAAATTGCAGCTCTCTCCCCGTTGTAAGCAGCGAGTACAATTTTCACCCTCCTTGATACAACGGACCTGGGATAACATGTAGCGGTGAGTGATTGATCTCGGTTGTGATCGGAATGCGATTGAAGCACATGGAAATCTCATACCTTTGCATACCTGCAAGCCTCGCAGGAAGCGCGCATTGAACTGGTCGTAAGAGGTCGAACCATTTTCGCAGTGGGAAATTATTCCTAGCTTCGATATTACCAAGCATATATATTGCGAAGGCTTCCTTGTTTTCAACGCTGGTTGAAGGTACTTGTTACTTGTTGACTGCTTGCTGCCACCGCCCCGAGGAACAAATTTGATTACGAGATATAATTTCGGGTCTGAGGTGAATGAATCATTATGAAATCATTGCGTCCTGAAGGGGACAACGGTGTCTATAGAGTTATTCAATTTTGGCGGTTTATGGGGCCCACTTTCAGCCTTAAAGCTAAATACAAGCAGCTTAAAGCGTGGTTCAAATACGGTATGTATGTTCATTGGTCAGGTTTGCCACATATGTGGAATGCTACCAGGGCGCTTGAGAAAATGACCTGGATGTTTGTCTAGCTGCCATAAAAGAACCTGACGTTGATGGTTGGTTATGATGTTCCCTCATTTCGCTTTTCTGAACTCCCTTCAGCATCGCGTGCGTTTCGATTAGCTACTTTCACGGTTAACTGAAATACTTTATGTTTGTCTATGATCGCATTCTCTTGTGCATACCGAGGTTTCAAAATGAATTCAAAATCATATACATTTCCAGGCTATCGAGGTTTTCCCCGCATTCCACAGGACCCAAAGATCTGGGGAGCGGAGAAACACAACACAACATGGACACCCGCCACAGTTGATGTTTCCATGGAACCATTATTCAACTTAAAACCAGAGAGACAACCTTTTAGGTTTTATTCTGTTCTACAGAGAATTCGTTCAATTATCCCTAGTTAAATTAGTGCCGCTTGATAGTGCTGCTCTTATGGTTTTGGTCTTTTCTTCAGAATTAAACTTGAGCGAATGTCGTTTATACAAGAGCCCGAAGCTATCGACTTGATAGGCATTTTGACCATCACCGGAGGCACACTTATGTTCCTTTATGGCCTCTAACTCGCTGTAAACATGGTCAATAGTCCTCATTAGTAAGACCCTAAGCCCTTGATGTATGGTAGACTAAACCGCTCCTGTTGTACTCTATAACGAGATCCAATATGCCTCCGTCAAGGGGCGAGCTACCGTCTCGTAGCCCCCTGTGTAAAAGAAATTTATCGCGGTATACCCAGCATCGTGATTATGCTGCTCCACGCACAGATCTTTGGGTGCACACGAATACTCAAGATGCCGAACTCTCTGAATCCTCTTCTTCTTGATTGTGATCACAAGAGGTTATAGTTGTCATTTATATGTCTATTTTCGCGTGGTTCATATTCGGCTGGGGGCGGCCAGCAGCGGCAGAGCTTGGATGAGTCTCAAATTGATGGAGTTGCTGTCATCGTTGTTGATGTCCATTTTCCCTGTGCCGAACGTAAAACGCGCCGACATCGATAAAGCTAGTACGATGCTGATTCATACCGGCTCGAAATTGTGTTGAACTGGCCAGTATATAGCACAATACTACCATAGGGGATTATGCTTCTCCAAGTGGAGCAAGGAGTAGCTAAAGACCAATCATGTCCTAGCACTCGTAAACGCGCCATGGACGTTCTTCTAACATTGTTCGAAGAGTCACTTCTCATCACAGAGCCACAAATCGTATATTAATCGAGACAGGCCGCTTCATCTTTTGCCATGAATCTCTCGGCTACGGCATGAGTTGAGCGATGTTTAGAAGACCAATTAGTTTCAAGAATAGTTAAGTCTAGTCATGGTAAATCAACCCTTGAACAGTACCATAAGAAAGGCTATCATCTATCAGGTAAATAGTTCCAGACAGAGCCAACGCCCAAATTGAAGAGAAAATAGACAGACCGTCACTGCTAGCGTTCAGATCATTGTGTCTTCTTTGCCTTCACATTTTTCCCTCTTCGGCGCTTCAAGGCATCCGGAGTGTATTCGGTGTCAAGGAGGTAGTCCCACCAGCGGAAGCTGCTTGAGTAGTTCCCAATGAATTTCTCATGGTGGAGGTCGTGATGATCAGCACCAGCCCAGAAAGGCAAGAAATGGTGAAGACTGCAAGGAAATTCGTAGCCACTGTGGGCATCGATAGCCTGGAACAAGCGCAACACAATCCAGATATACATAGTGAGAATATGCAGGTTACCGGTGAAAGCACACCAGAGGATCGGGCAGCTGACGGTCCCGAAGCCGAGAATCATCACTTCAATAGGAGAAGCATATTCGGCGGCCAAACCAAATGGTGCGGAATACTGATGGTGAATTTTGTGAATAGCCTTGTAGAGTGGACCCCAATGAAGAGCTCGGTGGATAAAATAGTGCCAAGTGTCCTCCATCACGAAAAATATGGCAATCTGATATGTCATAGTCCAGGGAGACGGAAAAGGAATCGATGTTGATAGACCGCAGAACTGGGCCATTGGGTGGAAAAGCCTAGAAGAGCCGTTACTACTCAATCGGGCCCGAGAGGCAACCGTCAGGTAGAATACCACTCCGTCGAGGGCAGGAACATACCAGATTTGAGGAAGTTCGACGGTGAAGTGGCTCAGAAGCACAAACTTGGCGCAATCCCATTGCTCGCGTAATGAAGGTACTTTGCTCTGAAGCAGAATGTTAGCTTCGATGGCAGCTGGAATTGGGTTGATTTCGGCTAGTGCCAGGTGTTAGGCTTGCCACTTACACTTTGAATCTTGTATCTCTTGAAGAAACCCAAGCTATCGATGAAGATCCACGGAAGAGAGCGGCCGAAGTAGACCAACTCGTGGATAACGAAGGACATGATGCCGGTGGCCAGGACATCATTCTGCACCCACGCATACCATGCGACCCACAATCTCTCTGCCACGCTTAGGTGGGTATTGAATTTGGTGATGTCCTGATATTGGCCCCAATAGGTGCCAGGGGGCAGCACAGTAGAATTCCTAGGAGAAAAAGGGTTAATATACGACAAATTCCACAAAAGAGTATAATTCAACCACCCAGTGGGGGGGGGTGCAAAAAAGCGGAGGAGACACAGACATTGTGGTTCCTAGCAGGTCTTGAATAAGAGAGAAGAAGCAGAAGCTAAGAGAAGGAGAAGACTATTTCGTGAAGAGGGGAGTGAAAAAAGAAAGGATCTAGGCGAGAGTACTATGTGCTATGTAGTGTACAGTATATTCCTATTAAATCCTAATCCTGCTAAATTGAACATACCACATAACTATAGGAAGGTTCCGGGCAGCCAAACACAGGCGGGCAAATACGCATCATCCGATTTAGTGGGGCTCGGATAGCTATCGGCCCGTCTGTGGCCTGACCTTTGCGGCGCTGATGACTTTGGTGTTCCGGCTCCCGGTCTCACCACTTCGGGAATGGATAATTACGGTAATTTTCTCGATCTACCAGAGATACACCAAGCAAAGAGAGTGGAGACTTTCCTAGTGAATTAGGATTAGCGCGGCTTGGGTGGAGCGCTGGGAGAACTCACGGTCGATTGTCTATCAGCGTGCTACAAGCGGTTGCTTCTGTCAAAATTTTCAATAAACGAGGGGGGTTATACTGATAAAGTTTTGGTCATGATACAGCGCTGCGACCCATGAACGGCAACTCAGCAAATAGGGGCGAATTCTAGAGATAAGGCCATGAGTTTTGATCTAGTCGATTGTTGGTTCTCTTCTGCTCGACTTCATGTGTGTGGCGCGAATATTTATCCCATGCAGTACCTCATAATACGCTCTCTTTCCTCACATCATTATTCATGGCTTGACCCTTCCAAAACCTCTATCTTCAAACCTGCATGACGAAAATGGCCCTGAGCACTTTCTTCCATTGCGCCGACTATATTGACACACTATCCGAGGAAAACATCGAAACCTTGATCGGTATCCTTTTCGTAATAGGTCTAATTACGTTTGATGAAACTTTTGAGCTCAGCAAAAAAACTCTTCAATCAGATTTAAATCAGGTGAATAAGGCGGTAGATAGACCAACTTCACACTAGCTTCCGCGTATATTTGCGTAATCGACTCTAAGTGTTAAAATAATGTATTATCCATAACTAGTACGGATTTAGGCTCCGGCTATCGTCCACAATGCTAGAGAAGCTAGGCAATAAAGTCCTTAAATACAGCAGCATCTATGGAGCCATGGAAAAATACGGGATAGGACAATGCTAGCCTAAGGATATGCAGGCAATATTTGATATCGCTGGTCTCGGTGAAACTACGTTACTTGCAAAGGCGTTCTACCAAGCGGTGCCCAACCCGTGCGTCTAAAACCGGCTCGTTTATCACATCCGGATTTATCAACATATATAAGGTGGTACGATTGAAAGTCGGATAGGTTGTGCAAGTAATAGTCACGCAAATCGGCATTCTACTCTCTTGCGCGTTGTCGAGCAGACTTTTTGGACCAACCTTTCGCAACAAGGGCTCGTCTAATGCTAGAAACAGTGACCAATATCTAGAACTCATCCCACAAAAAGACAGCCATCTCGTCAAGGTAGAGCCCTAGCTTTTCTAGGAGGTGGTGGCACAAGGCTTCTGTCATCTACGGCGTCACAGTTCGCTTCCGGCCTATTCGCGTTTGGGGGGCGTAGATACTTCCAAATTGCCACAGGTTTCTGCGGATATTAATGATTATTAGCTTGCTGCATTCAGCTTCTTCGGCAATTTGAGATGTAGAAAATGAATGGCTGTCTATCATGTCACGAATAAAATTGAGCTTTGAAGCAGGGAGCCTTGGAGCCATGTCAATTTTTGCGTTGAGTTCCAAATTTCCTTGGGTGGTTGAGGGAGGGAGATTTGTGCCGAAGAACAAGAAGTAGGGACAGATCGCTTGTGTATACGAGTTACATGTAAAATAGAGTCTCGAGGCCACGTAAGGAAAGGTATGAATAACGTATTTCACAAGCGAGCGCCGCACCCAAGCGAGCGCCGCAGTCAGAACACCATAGTAAATGTGATATTTTACAACATCATAAATCAATAGCCAACGACTTTCACTATCCTAAATTATTGCCTAATATTCGTGATAGCTATTATAATATATCGTTATAGTATATAATAAATAGGTACCCTCTGATATATATTTTGAGCTAATTTAGCTAAATTATAGATCTATTTTTCGGAATCCTATAAAATAGGTTAAATCTTAAATCGTCGTTGATATAAGCTATTTATTATATAAAGGAGGCATTATATACCTAGTATTAAGTAGAATCAATCAATGGTTGTTGAGTTATGGCGTTGTAAAATATCACATTTACTATGGCGTTCTGACTGCGGCGCTCGCTTGGGTGCGGCGCTCGCTTGTGGAATACGTTATAGAAAGTGGTCTACTTTATGGGCTAAATTTAGCACCATCCAATCAAATTTCTTCTTTTGCGGATATATTATCCGGGAGAGGACTTGTGTGTTTGTCGAGGTATAGCTGATTTCGAAAACTACTGTACCTCAATTCGTCATCCTTCACGACATCTATCTCTCGGCCTACAAATGCTTTCAGCTTCCCAGCCACATTCAACAGAGCCGTAGCTCTAGTAAGCTTAATACAGGTTTGATTAGCACAAGTGGGCTGTATTGTCGGCTTCTACTTACCTCTGAGAGTGCTCTTCACGCCTCCCTTTAGCCTTGGATTGCTAGGGGAGATAGAATGATCCATTCGTAAAGAGTTGTTTAGCGTTCTACTTGGTTCGATTTCGGCATAATCATTACTAGATAGTTTTTTAAGCTTCGGATAACTCTTACGCGTTGCTAACTGGTCACTGTTAAGAATAATGTCAGGACCCCTGTCCTGCACAGAGAGATAAGGTGGACTAAATGCGTGCGGCATTTCAGCAGTATCATGAGGGCAAGACCAATAAGGAGCTAGAACGAAAGAGCGCAATAACATAGGAAGAGAGGGAATACAAAGCATCTTATAAGATCTCAACCGGGCTAAGTGTAAAAGGAGGGGACTCAGATTTGGCTGCAGAGGGGAGTCATCTTCGGCATCAATTCCACGGGTCCTCATATTCTAGGTGTAAAAATTGAACTATAGAAATAACTCGAAGCGGAATAGATAGAAATTTGAAATTCCAAGTCTTTGACACTGAGATATTCCGAGTCACACCTCGTTTAATCCCGCATCTCCACATTCCGAGCAGAAAAGACGAAAATACCAGTCACACCTCGCCCATGGCATGTACTCCAACCCCACAACCATAAATGTACCGGCAACAATAACGGACCTGAATGTAAGAGCTTATTCCAGCTAGTCTCCGTGTTCGGGAAAGATCAGACCGAATGTCTGTGCCCTCGAGGGTCTCGCCGTGGCGAACTCGGGATATCCGGTGCCTGTGGGTCAGGCCCTGAGGTCTATATAATTTCGAACCCCACGGGGAACATCCCCAGACTCTGAAGTGGCTCTATCATTGCATTCTTCGCCATCATGACCAACCTCAAGACTTTGCTAACGGCAACGTTCCTGGCCACTGGAGGTAACTACTCTATCCTATCCAATCCAGCCTATACCAAAGAACCACAACTAATCACTCCCAGGTTTCCTCTTCGGTTATGATAGTGGTATCATCACCTCAACAATCGGTCAAACCCAATTTATAAAATACTTCTCCAACCCCAGCGACACAGTCACCGGCGGAATCGTCTCAGCCTTCCAAGGCGGCGCCATCCTAGGCACAATCATCAACATCTTCACTGGTGACAGACTCGGCCGAAAATGGTCTGTCTTTACTGGTGCTTGTATTTCCTGCTTTGGATGTGCCTTGCAGGCTGGCGCTGTTAACATGACCATGCTCATTATTGGTCGCTTTATTGCTGGTACCGCTGTTGGTATGCTCACTTCGGTTATTCCTATGTATGCTGGTGAGATTGCCGAGTCGTCGTCTCGTGGCATGATGTCTGGATTATTGCAGTGGATGTTAAGTTGGGGTTTCCTTGTTGCCCAGTGGTTGGGCTATGGGTGTTCGTTTAACGAGACTCAGTTCCAGTGTGAGTGTTTCTTTCCTTGGTGACTCTATTGTCTTCATACTGACACCTCTCTCTCAGGGCGCTTCCCTCTTGCTTTCCAATGTGTCCCAGGTCTTGCCCTTATTAGCGGAGTCTTATTCCTCAACGAATCCCCCCGCTGGCTGATGGAAAAAGATCGCCACGAAGAAGCCCTCGCGGCCCTCCAAAATCTGCACGGCGACGGAACCCCCGAGAAAGCTGAATATATCGAACTGGAATTCCAAGAAATCCGCGAAACAATTGCAGCAGAGCGCGCCCAGACAAAAGTCTCCTGGACAACCATTCTCCGCAAGCCCTCATGGCGCCGCCGTCTCATCCTGGGCTGTGCCGTGCAAGCCTTCGGTCCTCTATCCGGTATCAACGTGATCAACTACTACGGCACGCGTATTTACTCTTCCCTCGGAATTGACACCCAGACTTCCCTTATGATCATCGGTATTAGCGGGGCCCTCTCAATCGTCTACTGCACCGGCGGTCTCTGGGCTCTTGAGCGCGTCGGCCGTATCAAGCCACTCATCTTCTCTGCAGCTGGTATGGCCGCCGCACTCGTCTGTAATGCGGCCATGTCGCAGCATTTCAATGAAGATAACACGAACCAGCTGCGCGCTATGGTGGCCATGAACTTCGTTTTCAGTTTCTTCTATACCTTCGTTGGTATCATTTCTTGGGTTTACCCTGCTGAGATTTTCCCAGTCGACGTTCGTAACCAGGGTAATTCTATTACCACTTTCACGAACTGGACTATTAATTTGGTCTTTGCACAGTTCTCGCCTAATGCCCTGTCTACTATTGGATTCCGTTATTTCTATGTCTTCTTTGTGTTTAATTTGGTTGCTATGCTGTCATATATCTTCTTCTTCCCGGAGACTAAGGGTAAGACACTTGAGCAGATGGATATCTTGTTTGGAGATGAGGCGCCTGCTGGTCTTGAAAATGAGAAGGAGACTGTTGAGGTTGTGGAACATTCTAGTAAGTGAGCGAGTCTTTTTGACTGGGGTGTGCTTGCTTCGCCGATGAAGATAGTGAGTGCATGGGGGGTCTTATGCCTGTTGTTGTCCGATATGCCAGAGAATTCAATATGAATTATCAATATCTACTATTCCCAGGATTTGGAAACGGGTCTTTGCCATGATATCTTTGCTTCAGGGCTTCGGCCACACTTTTTGCTAGCCTTAATTCGGACTATTTAGTCTGCTGCTACCACCAAAACCGAATAATCCACAAAATTCTCTATCTCAAACAATCGATTTTACACATCCCACCAACCCTCCATATAAGACCTCAAATCAATCTCCTCGGGCAATCTCAAATGAGGCGTCAAGTCAGCACCAGGCGTAATCTCCTTAGAAGTCCACCCATTCCCAAACCAAGCAAACCGATTCCCACTAGTATTGCCATAAGAATATTCCCAGTCCTCCCAGCGCGGATCCCGTCGAAGATAATTCGCATGCGATGCACTACCAGGGAATAATCCATGAATCCGGGAACCTGGTTTGCCACCATTATACCACGAACTACAATTCGCAGACCACACAGTCCGCGGATAGAAGTTATCGCAGTATTCGACGAAATCGTCTGTGGCAGCTTTAGATGGCGCCATGCATTTGATGCCCTGGCTGCGTATTTTGCGAAGGACTTTGGCGATGTATGTTACTTGGTTTTCGATGCTGTTTGGTACTGTCCCGCTGTGGCCTGAGGAATAAGGCCCGCCTAGCCAGAGGAGGTTTGGGAAACCCGGTGTTGCGAAGCCCAGGTAGGAGTATGGGAAGCCGAAGTGGCCGTCGTGTTTCCAGGCGGCTTTTAGGTCGAGGCCGTTGGCTATTATTGAGAATGGGGGTGCGTGGTCTATGTTTGCTCCTGTTGCGCAGATTGTTATGTCCACTTTTCTTTCTATGCCGTCTTCTGTGACTATGCCTGTTGGCGTGAAGTTTTTGATCGTGGTTTGGATGTAGTCGACGTTTGGTTGGGATAGGGCTTCGAGGTAGCCCGGTCCTGGTGTTGGGCGGCGGCAGTTGGGTGGGAAGTCTGGGATGATCTTTTCTCCTAATTCGGGTTTGTCTTTTATGCGTTGCAGCATTAGGTTCGTCCATTTCTCCTTTAGGGCGTGGTTATCTGGCGTGTCTTTGAAGATTGCGCCGAAGCGTTGGAAGTAGCCTGTTTCGACATCGCGTCGGTACTCCAGGTATGCTTTGGGATCTTTGAATGTCTCCAATTGGGACTTTGAGAATAGGTTTGGCTCCAGTCGGCGGACTCCTACGTTCCCGCTGCTGAAAGAATCTGCGATCCAGGTCGGGTTCCGGGCGTAGTGGTCGACGTGGCTGGCAAGTGGCTGGATTGATGGGAGAACCTGCAAGCCAGACGCGCCGTTGCCAATGAGAGCGACTCTCTTTCCTTTCAAGTCAACACTTGGATCCCAGTTGGAAGAGTGAAATAGACCTCCTTTGTAGTTGTTGATGCCCTCGTAGTCGGGCAGTTTCCAGGCATTGAAATGGCCTATGGCATTGATCACGATGTCCATTTCCTCTTCATATATCTATTTCATGTCAGTGCTGTTCCCCAATACTGTTCAATTGAAGTTCCTACTTTCGAGCCATCAACGTGCTCAATGGTGACTTTCCACTTCCCTTTCTGGGACTTCCATTCAGCCTTTTGTACCTTCTGCCCTGCACGTAGATATCGATAGACATTGTGCTTTCGTGCGACCCCCTGCCAGTAGTCTCTGATCTCTTTTCCCTGGGCAAACTCCTCGGTCCATTGCGTATTCGGCGAAATGCTGGACTGGTAGGCATGTGCGGGAATATCACAACGAACGCCAGGGTATGTATTCTCAAACCTATTCATGTTAGCAACTTGCTCCTCCGCTTGAAAGGAAGAAGAGCTACCATGTGCCGCCCTGAGATAATTGTTAGCTTATGTATACAGCAAGAGATTAATTAACATACCACATCAGCATTTTTATCATAGATTCGCAGATCAAGTCCGGGCAGTTTCGCTGGGAGCATCACTCCTGCTGTAATGCCTGCCAGGCCGGCTCCGATAATGCCTACCTTGATGGGCTTCACTTCATCAATTGGATGCTCCTCCAACTGGAACGTGGAACTCTTTTCCTCCGGTGAAGTATCGACCGCCTTGTCCACTGTCACGGTAGTTGGGCCCTTCAAGTCGGGAGTACCCTGGGTGGATTCGGGGACATATCTAGGATTCGAAAAGGGAATGTCTCCCACAGATGCATCCACGAGGGCCATAATGTATATAGGAGTGTTGGATCACTATGTGTGTAGTGTGTAAGGGGAGGAGTGAGAGGTGTCTTGTACACGAATTCACCCCGCCGGTACCTGCACGTCATTCGGAGTGTTTCAAACGCATTCAATTCCCCTCACATCTGATCAATGCTTGTATATTTGCATATTCGCATATCTCCGGCATTTCATTGGCTGGATTCGCGCCATCGTGGTGCATAATGACGTGCGGGGGATCTCAACATTCTCCCCACTTGACTCGCCATTGATTTACTTTCTTCAGATAGAATCTCTCGGCCGACTTGTATACAATTCAGCTAATTCGTATGAAACGCTACTTTGGAGTCTAGCGGTAAACGTTCTGAGGTACAAGATGAGTGTAGGGCCCGAGACTGCCCGTGCTCCGTGTTGATGTTAGAAGCCATGCAAATGCCATTCTATAGTATCTAGTTTGCGTATGTCTAGCTAACGATCTATCCTTTAAGATAGATTTTATTTCACACCTTGCCTTCAGAATTGATAACAACATTTTGTGCCTCGAGGCTGCTAATATTCGACTGCTCCTCATGCGTCTCAGTCTCATTCTGATTCCAATGACCAAAGACAGCAAGAATCGTAAACGGAATTGTGAAAGCCCACAACGAAAAACCCAATACCATCTGGTTCAGATTAGGCCAGTGGGTAGCGCCCACAGCGTAGGCAATGGTGCCACCAATGGACTCCCACGATCTCAGGATGCCAGTTGTTCTCGCGATATCGCCATCACCTTGTGCTCCTTTGATGTCGGCCATCAGCCAATAGATGTAAGTCTGGAGCATCTCATAGAAGAACTTAAAGAATAGGTATACGGCGAAAGCTGAGTTGAAGAAGGGACCATCGCCTAGGTCGAAGGCGGGTGCTTCAGTCATGCGGGATAGTTTCACTTGTGTGATGGCATTCCAAATCCATGCTGCTGTGATGAAGACGAGCACGAAGATGTATACACCTTTGGACCTTGTTTCTCTGGGAAGATGATTAATGTCGAGAGCTATACCGGTCAATATATTGGCTGAGGCTCCGACCACGGCTGTCAGGAAAGATGCAAGCGCTCTGGGGCGGACGGTGAAATATGCTGATTCTTGTCAGTATTATAACTTGAGAATGATGAATTCAAGAAACGTACAGGTCAGATAATTCCCTTGGTAAGTTGTACCAAATTGCCCAGCCAGAAAAACCGGGATAAGCAACAGCATGTACTTATTCTTCAGTTGCCTCCAGATGGCGCGAAACTCAATACCGAACGTCGTTTTCTTCATGTAAGGGATCTTAGTGTGATCACTTCTAATAACATCCTTTGGCTGCGATAACAGCAATGCAAATGGAGCACCGAGGGACGAAATGGCAACAAGTCCTAGGTATGTTGTGTAGGTAACCTTTCCGACATGTGCAGTATTGACATTGAGGGCGAGGGATATCGCACCACCAACGAGTGGTCCCATCTGCCGGATACCCATCCAGATTCCAACATATCTAGCCAATGGTTAGCTAAGGTTAAAATAATGTTCGATGATCTCCACTTACCGGCCCCTTTTCTCCTCCTCTGGGTATCCAACTGCAATGGCAGCCTCACTGGCCCATAGAAGAGACGCTCCAATTCCACAGAGAGCCGCCCCAAGTAAAAGGAACCACTCGTTGCCATAGCGGTTGTTGCAGTATAGACCGGCGGCATAAGGAGTGTAAAATGCAGCTCCGATGAATAAGGTCCATTTCGCTGTTATCTTGTTGGTGACTCCACCAGCAAGGAAACAGCCCACTGACATTAGTCCATATGTCAATGCATTTGCTGCGTTGTTGAGCAAAGGCTAGATAGTGTCAGCGATATTTCAACCTTCAATTCTCCATGTGCCTTACACTAGCGTTGCCTCCTGCTCCGAGATTGTTGAGGGCGGTCCAGATCCCGGGTTCGCAGAAGGCGACTAGGCCTACTACGATGATCTGTAGAGGGCATGACCGGTATAACGATTTTGCTCGATCGAAAGCCATGGTAGCTAGGTGGCTTCTGCCAAAGTTATGTTACCGGGGAAAGAATATGCTAATGAGTTTCTATACCAAACCTACATAGCACGTCAAGACCCATAATGCTCGCGATACATGTTTAATTCGACTATATTCAAACCCCCACATCATCTTACATTCAATTCTAGCACAGATGGGAAATGTCCGACAATAGCAAACACAAGACAAGGCAATTTGGTGCTAGAATCCACAACGGACCGTATCTTTCTATTCCAAGCGTGGGGGCCCTAAAAAGATCGAGGGTAAGATCACATAATACTCCACCAATATGGTGAATCGTCAAAAAAAGTAGTGTTGAAATGATTCGCCTTGGGGTAAAATGACACCATCGAATTCTTGGCAGACCAGATGCACTTGACATTTTCTTGCCTTGTTATCATCTCAAACCACTGTACATCTTCCACGTCAATACCCACCAAACAGCCAGCCTGCTCATTCCATAGCATATTCCGCATCAATTTCCTTGCTTTCTTTCATCTTTTCCCTTTTCTTTTTCTTTGGGGGTATCCCTTTCCTGGTATTCCATGATATATCTAGAGGGATTAACCTAGGACTAAAGTGACGGTATCACAGGAGGGCAATTGCGTACAAAACTGAATGCGCCTCTGAAAAACATTGCGGCGGGTAGCATGGAGCGTTCTTTACCTTTCTACCAAATAAGTCGATTGTTGAAATCCTCGATTTTGTTTGAGGCCTTCTCTTTTTCTTTTATTGTAAAGCCCCAAAGTAACTCAACAGATTCCAAATTTCAGTAAAAGCCGTCAACACAGCTTTTGAACAAGCCTTCGTCACCTGGGTAAGGAAACCCTTGAGGATATGCTATCCCAGCTGCTCTACAACTCCCTGAATTCTGGGGTGCATCGATGGACCAAACAACTGCAAGCTGATGACTCTGTTTCCCCCTCGCCAGAGAGTATAGAGCAGATTGGACTTGCGCGTGTCATTATGGATGGGTGCTCATTTGCTTATTTGTCTGATACTTAGTTATGTTCTTCCTCAGTATCAAAGGCATGGGTTGGGGAGTTTTTGGCTCGTCGGGGGTGTTGCTGCCGTGTATTCGAAATAAAATATGCCTTACTTGCGGGGGATTACGTTGATTACGGATAATGGGGGTATGCAAGCATTCTATGCTAGGATGTTTGATGTAAAGGCAATTGGGCGGGAGGAGAAGAAAGATATAGGGAAGGATTGGGTCTTTATGTTTGCTAGATCCCCATGCGTAGCCATAATTGAGAATGGCATGTTTAGATTTGTGCTGGATAGTAACACCTTCTGGTCTCATTTAGTTGCTCTCTACCATGGAAGCTGCAAAGGCGTTGACAAGTTCTTTCCAAGAACATCTTCGGCTGTGCCAATATCTCTGTGAAAATGATTAGCCACGGTGCTTATGGAGATGGTGAGAGGGGATATTTTACTTTGGTCCATTAGGTGCCCAGAATTCGCCCGTTCGGCTGATATCAAACCCTTCGATGAAAGATGCAAGTGACTGCGCTGCTTCATCTGGCGTGATGGCTATCAAAACGGGTCAGGAAAATCCATCTATAACAGCTTCGGTATTTAGCTTACCTCCACCTGCATCCCAATACTTATCAAAGCCAACACTCTTAGTCATCTCGGTCCGCATAAACCCAGGATGAACCAAGCCCACAGCGATTCCTTTGGCCTTCAAATCCAAGCTCAAAAGCTTTCCAACCATATTCAAAGCTGCCTTACTCGCATGATGACCAAAGTTCCCCCCACCCTCTTTCTCATGACGGAGAGTGATACTCCCACTCTCACTGCTAACCAGTATCACTTTACTTCCCTGATCCAGTAAGCCGGCTTTGACCAGATTGTGTACCACAAAGACAGGACCAATCGCGGAGGTGGTATACATCTGTACTTGCTTCTCCCAATTTGGAGAATCAAATGTTTCGAATCCGAAGTACCCCGCTGTGATGATAACGGTTGACAGCTTTTTGGAGGGAAGCTTTGAGACAAGCTTCTGTCCCACGTCTGGCTGAGATACATCCACTCCTGTTAGCCAGGTTACGCCTTGGTCTGGTTCTGGACTTGATGACCGCGCTGTTGCATATACATGGGTGGCTGGCTTAGACGAGTATAGCACGCGGAGAGAGGCCCCCAGGCCTCGAGTGGCACCCACGATAAGAACATTAGACATTTCCAAGTTGATAGTGTATAGTTTAAGCTCTGGGCTGTTCAGGTCTTGATATTTGTTCAAGTTGGAAGTTGCGCTGGAGATGTCACACCATTGCCTCCTAATGACGTAATTCCATATCACGTTATGTGAAGTATACAAATAGGTACACGCTAGGATGCTTGGTTGACATCTCCTTGCTTCAAATTTACACCTGTTTACCCTTGTTTCTTGGGTTGTGACTACGGAATGGCTACACAAGCATCTGTAGGCTAATCTTCGTCGGCTTCCTTCGTGGTTTTCTGAAGTACCATGTATAGTTGCAGAATTGAGCCTGGAGCAGCAAATTTATCATGGGCACATGTTGCACATACTTTGCCCCGTTCATCATTCAATACCGCTCGAACAGTCACCATCTGTCTGCCAGCATTGATTACAGCACATCTCAGCTGTACTTTCGTCCCGAGTGGTGAAGGCCGATGGAAAATGGCAGATAGCGAAAAGCTGACGCCAAAGTTGTTCCAGGATCCCGGCCGCCCAATGGGCAACAGAGAGGCTGAGTCGAAAAGTGCGGATGTCACTCCACCATGTAGGTTCCCATCTTTGTGGCACATATAATCGCGGATGGTGGATTGGCAGGTAATTTGCTGTTGCGTGGTGTCGATTTTTGGCAGCATGATTTGCTGGGATGGAGGAGAGTCAAAGCCATTCCAGATAGGATCATTGGTCACAGATGTCAAATATGCATGTACACGATCGGGCAACGAGAGGGAAATGTCTGTGTTTTGATATGCGTGGGTCGTCTTTGACAATATTTGTCTCGAGTGGGACAATGGAACTTTTGAAAAAGGAAATTTGGTAAATGATTGGCTCAAAATAAAGAGTTATATGAAAGTTCATATCTACTAAGCATATAGCCGGTCCCCGATCCCCGGGTTGAGATGCCTTCATTTCTGTGAACTGTGTTCCGGGATTCAAATGCCGTGTTTCTGTGGAGAAGCCCGGCGAGGACTGAGAATCTAGTCAAATACGTACATTGTGGTCTATTATTTGATTAATTATATCTGAAGAAGATAGGCAATATAAAGAAAGTGGTTTCTTTGCTGTTCTGAAGAGTCATGCTTACAATGACTATACTGCTTGGGTTGAGAAGGAATCACTTCATCTTATCATTGTCGAGCAAAGAATAGAACTGGACCATGTACCCATGTACGTATAATAAGGGTCATCAATGTGCACACAGTGCCATGAAGTACTATACAGTGCATTGCTTCATGCACTATGTTTTCGCCTAATTTGGCTTCTCTTCTTTCCTCTATTTTATACTGCTATTATTACATCTATTGCATCAGATTAAAAGTAATTCAATGATGAAAAGGTCCCTGTTGTATATGAGACGAAGTGATAGCATCTAGTTTTGATAAAGAGCATACGCATACTTCTAAAATTAGCAGATGTGATATAGATAGCATGTGTTTTCCGAGATTGCTGTGCCACAGAATTAGACTGATATCCAAATCCAAGCCACATTGCTTGAACAAATGCGTTCCCTCTGTTCCCATATTGTCTGATGCATCATCTTATACTTCGGTCAAAAACTTGGAATGACGCGCGGCTTAGTCATGCTATTTAAAGAGTGAGAAGTCTAATCCAACTCAAGACTTCGATAGCTCCAGCGACGAGCCAGTCAATTCATGCGTGCCAGGGCCCAAGAATGACTGGCTTTGGCAAACTCGCGCTCTCTGTCCAAAAAGTCCGGGCTGCGATCCACAGGAGGAAGGCGGGCGCCAAGGACGGTCCCAAGCGCGGATCTGAGTTAAGGTGAGATCAGAGCGTGAATCCCTCCAGCTACAAGTCTAATTAATTCTCTCAGACCAAATCATGCCGGTCTACCACCTTCCTCGCCGTGGGACCTCCCGGTCGAGATCCAAATCACCATATTTGCTTATTGCGGCATCACCGACTTCCACCCGTTAAGACTCGTCTGCAAGGCCTTCTGCGAGCTGCTCACCTTCAACGAGCACGAGATCGTTCGCCGATACCTCCGACAGCGTCGCCACGGCACCCTCCCCTCCCCGATCGACAATGATCGCACCTATACCCGCAATCCAGCGGACGATGTCGTCCTCTTGTCCGACCTGTTCCCGCCATTCAAGAGCGCCAGAGGTGGTCACCTCTACACATTCAAGTACCTGCATGGGCTACGGCGACGGCAGATGCTCTGTTCAAGGCTGTGCTACTATCTTGCGGATCGCATCCTTGATCGCTTTGTGCAGACCGAGCCCGCGGTCATGAGGGCCTCGTTCCCTACGAAGAAAAACGAACGCAATGCCCTTGTCAAGCGCGGCATAGCTAGCATATGGTTCCACCTCGCACCTCTAATGTAAGACGGCGCATTGGTTCTTGCTGAGGCATATCACTAACAGATCCTCGACCTAGGTACTATACCCTCTATTTCCTCGAATCATACGCGTCAGCGAGGCGTGAACACACAAACATGCTTGTGCAAAAATACGAAGCTGGTCATCTACCAGTACCCCTTCCACTAGAAATCCGACAGAGGATGTACCGCGAGTTACAAACCCGAATACTCCAAACTCCTCCCTTTACCAACACGGCGACATTGGTCGCGACACACCATTGCATGCATTTGCTAGTTTCATATATACGATATACCATGTCATCCGAAGGACCGGTCGTAATGGATGATTCCTGGATTAGCTCATTGCTCACGCTGGCACCGTTCGTGCGCATTGTGGAGTTCTTCTCCGCGGAGATTGGAGACGGCGGGAGCCAACGTACCCAGCGCAAGGACTTTATGTATAACTTCTATCATGACATGACGATGTACGAAAGGGATCATATGCATTCGGCTGTCTTTGCTCGTGCCTCTGCGCAGAACTTGCATAGTTCTGTTGAAGATATCTGGTTTGCTGCTGCCCATGCTGAGTTGACTGCTCGCCAGGCTATTCCTCATGAAGTTGAGCATGTTTGGGTTTGGAATGGTGTTCCTATTGTTTTTGGGTGTCCAGATTGTCACCGCACTAGAGGTTGGCAAGCATGACACGATGTTGGTATAGGTGTTGGTGTTAGCGGCGTTGGACCTAGACTTTTACTGGAGATATAGGAGTTGCATGGGTATTGAAGCCAATTGCATTGCATCTGAGTCATCTATTATATCTTCTATAATCTCTTCATAGCTGCCAATCGCAAATTACCCGATTAGGTTTGACATATGTTTGTAATGTTTGCACCGGCACGCGTCTGTATATCGTCGATTATCAACTTCATTCAACAAGCTCGAATATAGCATGTGAGCAATAATAATCAAATGAAAAACAAAGCCCCAATTTTCAATAATGGAGCAAGCAGATATGATTCACTTATTCAACACATCGTGGACCCTCCACCGTCTCTCCCCTCTCCACCACGGGAAAGACAGCAAGACCCTGTTAAATGACGAGACCGCCCTAAGAACATACGCAACGCGTCTCCGGGATCATCTAACCGGCGATGCTCTAGCCGGATTGCAAACACGCACAGCTACAGCAGAAGACGACGCGCTCTCTAAAACAGGCGCTCTGAAAGATTGTTTCTGGCAGCCAATCTCAACACGCGACGATGCGCCCAGCACTGCATTCCCGGGAATTCTGATCACGCTCGAATATGAAAACATCATCTACAAAGCTGCTCTACTCGCCGAGCCGGAATCAGATCCCAGTCACCGTAAAGACTCGACTTCCCTTCCGCTCCTCTTAACCAGATTCCCCTCTGCGCTGCGCCAAACCTTCATCTCATTCTTGGCGACTAATTTCGATACTTACTGTTCGAATCTCCGCCTTTCCTCTGCTTTCCTCTGCTCCGGCTTAGAGATGTACGTTGATGTTTTGCGCGAGAAACGGGGATCCATGGAGGATGCCATCAAGGAGCTACAGCTTACGCTTGCCTTTTCGGCGTCTATCGCACCGGATTTGAAGACTCTCAATGTCAGTGTTTCGCGTGTTTCGTTGGCTGAGTTCCTGCGTGATCAATCGGCGCCGAAATCGCGTACTTTGCAGCAGAAATTGAAGAGCCCTTTTATTGCCAATCTTACTGATTATCTGGAGACTCATCTTGCTATGAAGCTAGATTTGGATGGGTCGTCTGATAATAAAGTTTCCAAGAAACATGTTCGATTGTCGAAAGTTGCTTGTGCTGCTTTCGTTCTTGGCAGTGAGGGACGCTTGAAGCTGGTTGTGGCTGGTGATCAGGATGATGGGGATGGAGATGAGGTTGGGCTTCCTTTCGAAGCCAGTGGTGCAATTCTTCGGTCTATTATCCGAAGGGCCGTCATTGGAGATCAGGCTGCTACGTGAGATTCTTGGTAATTATTTGTGACGGCTTCAAAGAGCTACACGTTACGAAACTTCTGCGCGCACATCAGAAAACCGCTTCAACCCACAAACCATGAACAGCACTTCCTTGGACTCTTAGACTTTCTGGCTCCGCACTGCTGCCGAATACGGAGTCTGTTCATCACAATCGCCGGTGAGCACAACTATGAGATGTTGAGCCGCTCAATTGCTGTTGTCACTACGCTGCAATTGGCTTGCTTGTGTCTACTTTAGTTGCAAGTGATAGCTGGTCCAATTGACAAAAGTCTTTGCATGCTCAGAAGACCGAATCAAAAGGCCCTTTGAAATGGAAGCTGGTATCTCTATCTCTAATTTGTGAAACCCTCACAGGTGGTGGAATCAAAAGAATCTAAGTACCACATGCCACTTGGTTTCTCTTCGAGATAATGAAAGACTACGCTTCAGCAACTTCCAATTTTGTCTAGGTACCTAGATAACCGAAATGCAATATATCACAAGATACATGAATCATACATGAACTCATCTCTAATCTTAGCAAGGTAGAATCTAACTCTCATCTGTCTGTTCCTCGGTTTCCGCCAACCGTAGTGCTTCATCGACACTGGGCACGAAATGAGTCAAACCACCACACTGCTCAACAATACCACTGCGCTCAAACATGCGGAATACATTACTATTGGGCAAACGGCAAAAGAAAACTCTGACACGCTGCTCTGCATATGCATGCACAATCTCCGAGAGGACCTGGGTACCAGACCCATCGATACTCGTCACGCCGTGGACATCAAAGATGATATTCTTGTTATGTTCCGGAGAGCGCATCCGCGGCAGAGAAGGATGAGCACGACTCGAGCCGTAAAGTTCCAGACGGCGCAGGCGGTTCTTGAGATCGCCTGTGTTGGCGAATGTGAGGGGCTCAGGGACTTTGACGATTAGGGCGCCTTCGACTAGTTCCACATTTTCTGGGTGCAGTTCGGCGTTGTCGAAACGTGCTGGTGTGTCCGATACTTTTCCTAGAATCTGGATGCGTGGTTTGGTTGCGTGTCGGATCAGGATTATCACTGAGAGGCCGATTCCCAGGGCCATGCCTAGTTCGAGGGAGTAGAATATTGTTGCCGTGAAGATCAGGAGCATTAGAACTAGTTCTGTCCAGCCGCGGAGACGGAAGAAGAACATTAAGTCTGTGGGACATTCCTCAACTAGCGAGTATGCTACAACGGAGATCATGGAGGAGAGGACTGCTTTCTATCGGGAGTTAGCATGGCTGGAAGATCGCTAGAGTATAGTTGGAACGAACCGGAAGATATGAGAGATAAGGCAATATCACCATGATGCAGAGGAAGGTGATGATGCTCACAAAGACGCTAGTCATGGGAGAGCGAGCTCCTGTTTGAGAACTGAGCTTGCTTCGTCCGTATCCACCAAAGGCAGGAAGAGCTTGGAAACAGCCACCAATGACATTCGCCACGCCAAGTGCAACCATCTCACGATTGGCGCTCATATGCATTCCCTGGATTCCATCGGAGCTTCCTTCACCCAGTCCTTTAGCTGCAACCGACGACTCGAAGAAACCAAGAAGTGCGATGATGAAAGCTTTGCTCATGGCTGTCCGCACATGTTTCATGTGAGAAAACTGGAAAGGCCAATTGAAGGCGAAAAGTCCCCCAGAGCTGATCTCTGTCGTTCCAAGAAGTTCAAGTCCTTTGGACTCCCAGTCAAGCTGCCAAGCCAAAACTGCTGATAGGGCGACGACAAGGAAACGATCAGGGAAGTATATCACTTGCGGATAGCGTGGAACGAGCCACTTCTTCAAAGTACTGTAGCACATTGTTAGAGGGTTACAGTGATATAAAGATCAATGGTACATACCGGAATACCATGATAACAGAAAAGCTGACGATCGAGACAGTGGCAGTAAGCCCGTGGGCTTTTCCAGCATATCGAGCGATGAACATCAACTTTTCAACACACGTACCGTGGCTGGCACCGGCCTCTTTGGCCAATTCTGCAAGGCCCAATTCGGGGATGATCTGGTCTACAAAAATGACAAAGCCAATAGCAGTGATGAATCCTCGTAGGAATGGCCGACTGAGCACATTGTCTAAGAAGCCTAGACGAGTCAAACCAGCGATCAGGATCATGCTACCGGCCATGGCAGTAGCAACGCCTACCACCATAGCGTTTGCAGCAGGATCATCCTCGCCTGCATTTCCTTGCAACACACTTGCTTTGACAATGGCACCTGTGAGCAGGGAGCCTGCAGCCTCTGGTCCAACTATCAAAAGGGGACAGCTGCCTAGTATGGCATAAACCATAGGATGAATCACAAACGAGTACAGGCCACTGATGGGTGGCGCATGGGCGAGGTTTGATGCTAGAGAAAGGGCCATCGGTATATAGATAGAGGCCACAGTCAATGCGGCCATGATATCTCCACGTAGGAGGGACCAATGGTATTGTCCAACCCAGTTGAATAGAGGAACGTAATAGGATATGTATCTGTAAGCTACTGTTAGTACCAACTCGGTTCCAAAGTCGAACTAATGACTCGGGTCCACCATACTGCTTTTTTGTATCATTCATTGAGAGCGTAGTCAGAGAGGACTTCATCTGAGATGGAGTCTCTGACTCCGGGCATGACTCTGGATGGTCGTCGATCCCTCTAGGACCACTGGTACCACCAGTCCCTTCAGTTCCGGTATATCCAAATCCATCGCCCGAGCCGCCAATGTAGGATTGCCGCCCATCCTCTACTCGCGGAGAGAAGGTGCCATGGCTGCAGCGCCGTTCTCCACATGCGGGATCTGCGTTGTGATAGGATTCCAGAAGCCGAGTTCTCACTTCCAGTCCGCTCGAGTTTCCTGTGAGAATTCTGCGGTGTGTCGATCGCTGGGCATTATTGCTGGAATTTGTCGAAATTCCGAGCCTATTTTGAGGGGAGTGGAAAGCATCAACAATGCGGTCTCGTAGCGTCCGACGCCCGTCGGACTCGGGTAGTAAGGAGCTGGTCTCAGACATTGTCTAACAGCAAATAAATGATCAAAGTAAGATTGAAAAGTCCAAGTGGCCCGCCATATGGTCTCAATAAAGCAACGAATAAATTGAGCTTGGAAATTGTGAGTCGGTCAAGTAAGGGCGCGCTAGGGACTGATAAGCGGGGAAAGTGTTATCACGGACTCGATCGGAGATATAACGCCGCAAAGTCGGAGAACAAGAACTGCATCGTCTAACTGTCTTTGTCCGATTCGATGCGACTGTTACTGGGCTTGTATTCCGACGGCCTCTTCGTCCAGGTAAGCTGTAGATCGAGAGCGGTGAGTCACGTGATATCACCACTCGCGGGTCCCGTGACTAACAATGTGGGTTTTGTGAGTCCGCCACAAAGACAGGTGAATTGTGCTCCCATTCAAGTCGCTTACCCCCTTCGGTCTTTTTACTCGGACCTTTCTCTCTCGCTTCATTCCGGAGATCGACTTGATCCCCTGGACTCTCCCGTATACCCAGTGCCTTCATCTGAGATTTCGCCGAGAAAAAAAGGAACCCCGCCAAGATGTCTCTCACGAACTGTCGGTTCTACGAGGACAAGTATCCCGAGGTGGATAGCTATGTCATGGTCAATGTCAAGCAGGTATGGATCACTGAGACATAATTTGAGTTCAGAACCAGGACTAACTTCTTGCGAACGAGCTAGATCGCTGAGATGGGCGCATACGTCAAGCTGCTCGAATACGATAACATCGACGGCATGATTCTCCTTTCAGAACTTTCCCGCAGACGTATTCGCAGTATCCAAAAGCTCATTCGTATTGGGCGCAACGAAGTTGTTATCGTCCTCCGTGTCGATAAGGAGAAAGGCAAGACTACAACAGTCAACTGGGTGACCTAAAAACTGACTGGATGTGAAGGTTACATCGATTTGTCGAAGCGCCGTGTCTCTCCCGAGGATGTGATCAAGTGTGAGGAGCGATACAACAAGAGCAAGGCTGTGCACTCTATCATGCGCCACGTCGCAGAGGCTACCCAGACTCCCCTTGAGACCCTATACGAGACTATCGGCTGGCCCTTGGACCGGAAATACGGCCACTCGCACGATGCCTTCAAGATCTCCATCACGTATGTTTTTTTCCTCCATGCACACGAGCCGCTCTGACATACTTCACTTAGAAACCCCTCCGTCTGGGAAGATATCTCCTTCCCCAGCGAACCCGTCAAGAAGGAGATCCAGCAGTACATCAGCAGCAAGCTCACCCCCCACCCCACCAAGGTCCGCGCCGATATCGAGGTTACCTGCTTCGGTTACGATGGAATCGATGCCGTCAAGGATGCCCTCCGTACCGCCGAGGCCGACAACACCCCCGAGAACCAGATCAAGGTCAAGCTGGTCGCTCCTCCCCTCTACGTCCTGGCCAGTCAATGTCTTGACAAGAAACACGGCATTCAGATGCTTGAGGAGGCTATCGTGAAGATTGGAGAGCGCATCAAGGCCAACGGTGGTAACTGCACCGTGAAGATGGCACCCAAGGCCGTCACCGAGCACGACGATGCGATCCTCCAGGAGCTTATGGAGAAGCGCGAGCGCGAGAACATGCAGGTCAGCGGTGACGAGAACGACTCCGAGAGCGACGAGGGTGTTCCCGAATAAATTGTGGGTCACATCTCTGAGTCGAGGGGCATCCAGCGCTGATCGGCGCTGGCATCCAAAAAGGGAATCAGAGCCAAAGGAGAGTTGGGCCACCACGGATAGAAAAAAAGCTTGCACATTTGGGAGAAGGGCTCGTTGGCTCAGTGTGCTAGAAGGATTGCAGTCAGAACTCGCCCTTCAAGGGCGGTCGCCTGCACCTCGGGTCTAGGGATGATTTATCCACGCCCGTGTCTGCGCTGCATGCCAATTGCGGTCAATCTTCGTGCCCGTCTATCAAAGACAGTCTACACGAAGCAAGTTCTGATGTACATATGTGATGCAACCGAGACGTTCAATGCCAGTGATGCTTTTAGAGTCGCCAATACATTTGCGTGTAGTCCAATTCAATAATCTCAATAATTCACTTAACCGACCAAGTTGATATAAGTCGAATGGCGGGGGAGTTTATCCCTAACCGACGATCATTGGCCCCAGCGCTGAACCTTCTTCGTCCTCTTCTTCTGATTCTCGATTTCCATTTTCCTGCGCCTTTTGTTAGTTTTCTACACTCAAGCACAATGGGCCATTGGAGGACTTTTTTCAATGCGGACGCCGATACAGGCAGGGTGCGACACCGCGTCGAGGTGGAACGTCGTCGACGTACGTCACCAACATGCGCCGTGGAACACCGCTAATCAATCTCAGTGCTGCCCGCCTACGCTGCCGACGAGTCGCACCCATCTGGCAGTTCGAAAGAGATCGCAAAGATCGCACTCCGATTGAAATACCAGATTGAACAGGTGGTCTCCTGTGAGGTTGAGGACAGTGTCCTGACCGACCCAAACAGTCGTATCATAACCGACGATGTGGTTGCAACTGCTAGGAAAGCTGGCAGTGATGACTACAAGGCCTGTATAGTTTATTGCCTTCTAGTCTGTGTGCGATGGTTCAAAATTCAATCTACTGTTGAGCTGTGGGATTCTGATCTGCACGAGGTTCGAGCTGTTGCTTGCGAGGTCATTGCCAAGCGCATGTACTACTTCCCTGGCGATACTCATGTTTGACTGTTGCTTACTATCTACAGTATCGAGTCCGAGCAGGATCAAGATTACTTGCTTAGGGACATTCTGCTTAAACGATACTCTATCTTCAGTGAGGGTGTGGAGACTAATCCCGCCAATGTCATTGAACGATCGGTGGACCTCCACGCCTTGAGGATCATCGGCTCTTCTGGATACCAGAAATGTATTCAGTATCTGTGGAGGGGCTGGATCTGTCAGGAAGAGGGTAATCCAACTAACTTTGTTGACTACCAGGGGAAGTCCAATACCAGCTATTGGGCGCATTTCCACCCTGATCGCATGAGGACTCCTCTGTATCAGAATATCTGCCAGATCTTTTTCTCGTTGGTTTACCTTGCAGTTTACACTGCGGTGATTAACACTGTCAATCCAACTGGTGATCTGGATATTGCAGAGGGTGTTCTCTATGGCATGACTCTTGCATTTGTCTGTGACGAGGCTGTCAAGTTCTGGAAAGTTGGGCGGAACTACCTCGGATTTTGGAATGCCTTCAATTCAACCCTCTATGCGATTCTTGTGGTTTCCCTTGTTCTACGGTTTGTGGCATTAGCCCATTCACCCGACACCCAGGATGAACAGCGACAGTTGTACAATCAGCTCAGCTACAACTTCTTGGCTTTTTCCGGTCCTATGTTCTGGATGCGCATGATGCTATATCTTGACTCCTTCCGCTTCTTCGGTGCCATGTTTGTTGTTTTGCGTGTCATGATGAAGGAGAGTTTAATCTTCTTCGCTTTGTTGTTCGTCGTTATGGCTGGTTTCTTCCAGGCATTTATCGGTATGGCTCAGGTTGATGCCGATGTCCCCATCCATCGAAATATTCTCCAGGGAATGGTGAATAGTATCATGCAGAGTCCTGATTTCGACACCTTCCAAGAGTTTGCATTCCCTTTTGGCATCATCCTTTACTACGTGTTTACCTTCATTGTCATGACTGGTATGTTCATTTGGTGTTTTTGGTGAAAGCTAGCTAACCTTGTCAGTTCTGTTGAATATCCTCATCGCCTTGTACAACAGCGCATATGAAGATATCTCCGGCAATGCAACTGACGAGTACATGGCGATCTTTGCGCAGAAGACAATGCAATTTGTCCGCGCTCCGGACGAAAATGTCTTCATCCCACGTACGTATTTGAACCGGTGTCATGGACAAGGTCACTAATTTCCATGTTAGCATTCAATCTCGTCGAGATTCTATGTCTGGTGGCTCCATTCGAATGGTGGATGTCGAAAGAATCCTATGCCAAGATCAACGACTTTGTCATGGGCCTAATTTATTCGCCTCTTCTCGTCGTTACGGCCTGGGTGGAGACTCGTCAGGCCCATCATATCCGGCATAATCGCCGTCACGGCGAAGAGGATGATGACTGCGCCCAGGAATGGGAACATATAGCTGATGAGGTTGACTTTGACCTTGATGATACTTGGAAGCAGCAGGTCACTGAGTCGACTCCGGATATCAAGGTTGACAGTTGCACCCATGAGATTAGGGAACTGAAGAAACAGGTTGAGGATTTGACGAAGATGGTGAAGGCGCTAACTGAGGGGAATATGATGGGTAACAATGGAGATGGTGGTAACTAGAGCGGGAGACACATATCGGTGATATGTGAATGGTTCCTGTGACATTATGTTCGTTTGCTTTTGCATATGAAACCTGGTTTATGAATATACAAATATACAATTGAACCACAAAACCCACCTTTGCAAATTTCACCTAAAAAAAGGCCGTCCCCACACAGCCCTCGAAAATAGACTTGATATGAAAACAAAAGAAAAGCAAAAAAAGAAACGCTCACTCGAGGACGGTGTTTAGGAATAGCCGAACGCGGGGGTCGAACCCGCAGCCTTAAGATTAAGAGTCTTACGCTCTACCGATTGAGCTAGCCCGGCCGGGCTGTTAAAGGTGCATGAATTTATGACTAGATAATCCAGATTCTCCGCCCGCTGACATAACCGTTAGCGCGTCGAGCGGCGAACCCTCTGGAATCGCAGTATCTAAAGGTGGCTTCTTCTGATAACCTGAACACTTCCTTCATTGGAACCTTACTTTCTCTGTTTTCCTATGAGTCTTTAGATTGTCTTTGTTCGACCCTGACCGTGGTCACTAGATTGCCAAAATGTGAGTTTCGCGCTGAAACCCCCGAAAATCTGCGAACTAACAACATGCAGGGCAAAGCTCGTAGACGACCCTCAGATCCAATATGCATCATTGCATAACCCGCTCCCTTGGCAATTCCACCTATATGTCTGGCCATTCCTGATCACCTGGCCCGTCTTTTTCGCTTTTTATCTCTCCCCCGAGCGTTATGACACCTACATTCAGGGACAGGAATGGACCTTCGTCTGGGCGGGGTCTATCATCACGATCCAGTCGCTCACCTGGTTGATGACCAAGTGGAACATCGACATCGACACTCTGTTTACTACCACCCGCGCCAAATCTGTCGACTCTGCCCGTCTTATCAAGGTGGTTCCCATTACCAATGCCGGTTCCGCCGAGATCTGCACCCTGATCAACGAGAACGCCGGCCCTAAGAAGACCCTTTCGTTTCTCTTCCAGAAGCGCCGTTTCCTGTTCTACCCCGAGACTCGCACCTTCGCCCCGCTTTCCTACGTCCTCGATGCCGAACCCAAGCCGGCTCTCAAGACTTTCCAGCTGACCGAGGGTTTCACGTCGAAGGCCGAGATTGACCGCATCCAACACCACTATGGCGATAACACCTTTGATATCCCCGTGCCCGGATTTCTCGAGCTGTTCCAAGAGCACGCCGTTGCGCCTTTCTTTGTCTTCCAGATCTTCTGTGTTGGTTTGTGGATGCTCGATGAATACTGGTACTACTCGCTCTTCACCCTGTTCATGCTTGTTGCTTTCGAGAGCACTGTTGTGTGGCAGCGCCAGCGGACCTTGAACGAATTCCGTGGAATGAGCATCAAGCCTTATGATGTCTGGGTGTACCGTGAGCGCAAGTGGCAGGAAATCACCAGCGACAAGCTCCTTCCCGGCGATCTCATGTCTGTCAACCGCACCAAGGAGGACAGTGGTGTTGCCTGTGATATTCTCCTGATCGAGGGCAGTGTCATTGTAAACGAGGCTATGCTTTCTGGTGAGAGTACTCCTCTCCTGAAGGACTCTGTCCAGCTCCGCCCCGGCCATGACTTGATTGAACCTGATGGATTGGACAAGCTCTCTTTTGTGCACGGCGGAACCAAGGTTCTCCAGGTTACTCACCCCAACACCGGAAACGATTCATCCCAGAAGAACCTGGCTAGCAACATTACCGCGGCCCCGGACAATGGCGCCTTGGGTGTGGTTGTCAAGACCGGTTTCGAGACTAGCCAAGGTAGTCTTGTTCGCACCATGATCTACTCGACTGAGCGTGTCTCCGCCAACAACGCCGAGGCTCTCTTGTTTATCCTCTTCCTTCTGATCTTCGCCATTGCTGCTTCCTGGTACGTTTGGCAAGAGGGCGTTATCCGGGACCGCAAGCGCTCTAAGCTTCTCCTGGACTGTGTCCTCATTATCACGAGTGTCGTCCCTCCTGAACTGCCCATGGAACTGAGCTTGGCTGTTAACACCAGTCTTGCTGCTTTGAGCAAGTTTGCTATTTTCTGCACTGAGCCCTTCCGCATTCCCTTCGCTGGTCGTGTTGATGTGGCTTGCTTCGATAAGACTGGTACTCTCACTGGAGAGGACCTTGTTGTCGATGGTATTGCTGGACTCACCCTGGGTGAGGCTGGTTCTAAGGTCGAAGCTGATGGTGCTCACACCGAATTGGCCCAGGCATCTGCTGCCGGAGCTGACACCACTCTTGTTCTCGCCAGTGCCCACGCATTGGTGAAGTTAGACGAGGGTGACGTTGTTGGTGACCCTATGGAGAAGGCTACTTTGGAATGGCTCGGTTGGACTCTTGGAAAGAACGACATCCTTTCATCCAAGGGTAACGCCCCCACCATCGCCGGTCGTAATGTCGAGTCTGTTCAAATCAAGAGAAGATTCCAGTTCTCCTCGGCCCTCAAACGCCAGAGCACTATCGCAACCGTCACAAGCAACGACCGCAAGACCTCCAAGAAGACCAAGTCCACTTTTGTTGGTGTCAAGGGTGCCCCGGAGACTATCGGAAACATGTTGGTCAACGCACCCCCTAACTACGAAGAGACCTACAAGCACTTCACCCGTAATGGTGCTCGTGTCCTTGCTCTCGCCTACAAGTACCTTTCCTCTGAGTCTGAACTCTCCCAGGGCCGCGTGAACAACTACGTCCGTGAGGAGATTGAGTCCGAGCTGATCTTCGCTGGTTTCCTTGTCCTGCAGTGCCCTCTGAAGGACGATGCGATCAAGTCTGTTCGTATGCTGAATGAGAGCAGCCACCGCGTTGTCATGATTACCGGTGACAACCCGCTGACTGCAGTCCACGTTGCGCGCAAGGTTGAGATTGTGGATCGTGAGGTTCTGATTCTCGATGCCCCCGAGCATGACAACTCTGGAACTCGCATTGTCTGGCGTACCATTGATGACAAGCTCAACATCGACGTTGACCCCACTAAGCCCCTCGACCCGGAGATTCTGAACACCAAGGACATCTGTATCACTGGCTATGCTCTCGCCAAGTTCAAGGGCCAGAAGGCTCTTCCTTCTCTGCTCCGTCACACCTGGGTTTACGCCCGTGTGTCTCCTAAGCAGAAGGAGGACATTCTTCTTGGCCTCAAGGATGCCGGTTACACCACTCTGATGTGCGGTGATGGTACCAACGATGTTGGTGCTCTCAAGCAGGCTCACGTTGGTGTTGCCCTTCTCAACGGATCTCAGGAGGACCTCACCAAGATCGCTGAACACTACCGGAACACCAAGATGAAGGAGCTATATGAGAAGCAGTGCAGCATGATGCAACGTTTCAACCAGCCCACTCCCCCAGTCCCCGTCCAGATTGCCCACCTGTATCCCCCCGGTCCCTCCAACCCCCACTATGAGAAGGCCATCGAGCGAGAGTCGCAGCGCAAGGGTGCTGCAATCACTACTGGCGCTGAGCCCATCCCGACTATCACATCTCCTGGTGCACAGGCTCTGCAACAGCAGAACCAGAACCTGACTCCCCAGCAGCAGAGACAACAGCAGGCCCAAGTTGCCGCTGCCGGCCTTGCTGACAAGCTTACGTCCTCCATGATGGAGCAGGAACTGGATGACAGCGAGCCCCCCACAATTAAACTGGGTGATGCCTCTGTCGCTGCTCCATTCACTAGCAAGTTGGCCAACGTTATTGCTATCCCGAACATTCTTCGCCAGGGTCGTTGCACTTTGGTTGCTACGATCCAGATGTACAAGATTCTTGCTTTGAACTGTTTGATCAGTGCATACAGTTTGAGTGTCATCTACCTTGACGGTATCAAGTTCGGCGACGGGCAGGTTACCATCAGTGGTATGCTTATGAGTGTTTGTTTCCTCTCCATCTCCCGTGCCAAGTCAGTGGAGGGCCTCTCCAAGGAGCGCCCTCAGCCCAACATCTTCAACGTTTACATCATTGGATCTGTTCTTGGACAGTTCGCCATCCACATTGTGACTCTGATCTACCTGTCTAATTATGTTTATAAGCACGAGCCGTATGTTGATTCAGTTCCCCCTTCCAATCACACATGCTGACATACCCATAGAAGAGATAGCGATATCGATCTCGAGGGCGAGTTCGAGCCGTCCCTCCTAAACAGCGCCATCTACCTCCTCCAGCTGATCCAGCAAATCTCCACCTTCTCGATCAACTACCAAGGCCGTCCCTTCCGTGAGTCCATCCGCGAGAACAAGGCCATGTACTGGGGTCTCGTCGCCGCCTCCGGTGTCGCATTCTCTTGCGCCACCGAGTTCATCCCTGAGTTGAACGAGAAGCTGCGCCTTGTGCCCTTCACCAACGAGTTCAAGATGACCTTGACTGTGCTGATGATCTTCGACTACGGTGGCTGCTGGGTGATTGAGAATGTTCTCAAGCACCTGTTCAGTGACTTCCGCCCCAAGGATATCGCTGTTCGTCGCCCCGACCAGCTCAAGCGCGAGTCGGAGCGTAAGTTGCAAGAGCAGATTGAGGCTGAGGCTCAGAAGGAGCAGCAGCGTAAGATTTAAAGTGGTTGACCATGTATGTATACATAGAGGGGGTTTGCACGTTTCTAGAATTGTGATTGTGCATGACATTTAATACATGATTTTGCCTCTCTTGTGGAGGCTTTTTGCTTTCCGTTTCCAATGATTTACAGCTCTATTCATGTAGCTATATCATAAAGCATAGTGATGTAATGGTATCTTTGTATAAAGATCGGACATTCCCCCCATTCGGACTCGCAGCATCACCGACCCCACCCTATGATCTCATGTTCTTCCTTTTCACTCTTCCTTCCATCTTTGCTACTCACATATATTCATGACCATGGCAAACTTAACCCTCCAGTCAAAGTACAAGTTGCAATCGGGACATGAGATCCCTGTTCTCGGATATGGCGTGAGTAGCTATCATCTTCTCCGCAGACGCTTTGAGCATGCTGACAATGTACTATGAGGAATAGGTTTACATGATGTATGTTCCAATCCCGTTTAGTAAACTGGTAAGCCACTAATCACGAAAAGTTCCCCATCCAAGACCGAGAAGGCTACTGCAGAAGCCCTCGATACTGGATTCCGTCATGTACGTTGATATGCAATTGAGCAACCACACGCCCGCCAATACTGATGTGGTAGACCAGGTGGACTCGGCAATCATGTATGGCAACGAGAAGCCATGCGGAAACGCAATCCTGAACTCTGGACTAGATCGTTCGGAGATCTTCTTCACGACTAAGATCCCGCCTGAGTCTATGGGCTACGAGTCGACCAAGCGAGCTATCATTTCAAGCCTACGACAAGCTGGACAGGAATACTTTGACCTGTATGTACCAACGTCAGAACAATCACAATCCCAATCCCTCTCACGATCCCAATCCCTCTCACGATCCCCAGCGCAGTCAACAACCAAATCTACCCCAAACCACTCTAACAACTATACCCAACAGACTCCTCCTGCACGCACCCTACGGCGGCAAAGGAGCCCGCCTAGGCTCCTGGGACGCCCTAGTCGAAGCCCAAAAAGCCGGCAAGGCAAAGTCAATCGGTGTATCAAACTACGGAATCCACCACCTGCAAGAGCTAGAAGCATACATCCAAGCTGGCGGAGGCGGCCAAATCGACGTCGGTCAATACGAGCTGCATCCGTGGCTGGATCACTCTGATATCGTGGAGTGGTGTCAGAGTAGGAAGATTATTGTTGAGGCTTATTCGCCGTTGGCACATGGGACTAGACTTCGAGAGCCTGTTTTGGTTTCTATTGGGGAGAAGTATGGGAAAACGCCGGCGCAGGTTTTAATTCGGTGGAGTTTGCAGATGGTGGGTTTCTTGTTCCTATTTCTATGTCTTTTGGGGGTGTTGATTGCTGATAGCTGGATTGTTAGGGATTCGTGCCTTTGCCCAAGTCCGTTACGCCGGGGCGGATTCGGGAGAATGTTGATGTGTTTGACTTTGAGTTGGGGGCTGCTGAGATGGAGTTGTTGGACACTGGGGAATATGAGCCTACGGATTGGGATCCGACTGTTGATTCTGATTAAAGGGGAGAAGTGAGAAAGACGTGAGAGTAGAGAGTAGATAGAATTATATAGAAGAAGAAGCCTTGGAGGAACCGGAGTTGGATTTGTCATGAGGGGTCGCGGGGAACATTTCCCACTTCTTCTCGACACAACTCCCCGGACTTCAGGTTTTCAATCAATCATGAAGTTGATCCTCTCTAGCTCGTAAGTAGTTCCATGCGCCAACTGGTCCACCACTAACCATCGCAGAAATCTCATGCAAGGCGGGCGTCAGTCCGTCATCCGCCAACCGCTCACGCAGAAATCAAACGTCGAACTAATTAATTCGCTCCGGTCGAACTTCCTCGCCTGGCAACAGATCGAATCGGCAAATACAAATGGAAATGGCCAGTCAAATGGTTCGCGCCCGCCCGCAAGTTCCTGGACGCACCAGGGCGAGGACGGTCTCTATATCCCCGCGATCGACTTCTCACAGCCTGGACTGGCCGAAGAACGCGATCAATACGATATTACAGTGAAGCTATTCTACCTACCGGGGATTCCGGCATCAAGGCGTTGCGCACACACGCGAGAAGCAATTGATTTGGTATTGAAGGAATTACATGTCAAGTCTATTGATCTGCTGATCGTCTCGTTCCCGGGAATCCTATTCGACGCCGACGACGACAGTGAGGAAGAGGATAGCGAGGCAAGCAATGGGGAGCCGGATGATTTCGATAGCATGGTGCAGACGTGGCATGTGCTGGAGTCGCTCCACGAGCAGGGTATGATTGCGCAGCTGGGCGTTGCCGAGTTTGGCAGCGAACGGCTGGCCCGCTTCCTGCCTCATACCAAGGTCAAGCCCTCGGTTGATCAAATCAATCTGAAGGATTGCTGTGTCGTTCCCAAGTCTTTGATTCTCTATGCGAAACAAGAGCAGATTCAACTCCTCACTCACAATGACTGCAATGATATCCTTCCCGTTGGCACGACGCGGGAGTTGCTCGGTCCTACGGAGAAGGGTGCTGGAATTCTGGCCTCCTCGCCTGATGCCGATGATGGTATTAAAGGCGATGTCGAGCCGCAGTGGGTGGTCAAATATACGGCAGTCGTTAAGGATCGCGGGGTCGTCGAGAACAAGGGGTACTTCGCGTTGGCTGATGTCGGCACCTGTGTCAAGGACCAGTCATGAATGTTCTTCCTTTTTTTCATTTCTTTGCATCGTCACTGGGACATATGTCGTGACAAGCGTGGCGTTCTTTTTTTTTTGTTTTGACTCGGATGAATGTCAAATCTATCATATCTGGGCTGCATCCCTTCTCAAGACCTCATAAGACTGTTTTAACCAAGCATGCTCCTCTTGCGACCTCTCATGCGCACATCTTCAAGTCTCTTCAGTGCAGAAGGCGCACCCTTGTAGCTCTCCCGGTACCCAAGCAGCAATTCATCGAACAGCGGCTCAGAGCGCGGATGCGTACTCCCAATCGCCCGCTCAAGCACATACAAATCCACCGCGCGGTCCTCATCCTGCGCACTCTGCGACGCAAGCCCGAAATCAATCAACACAACATCCCCCTCTGTAGAAACCGACTCTGCACCAGCACCATCTGCACCAGCAAATGGCCGCAGCATAAGGTTACTTGTAGTCAAATCTCCATGCACAACCCCAGCCTTATGCAGCGCGCCAATGGCAGCGCCCATCTTCTTAAGCAAGCCGCGCACTTGCGCCTCTTCCCGTTCGATCTGTGACTCGTCCAGGGATGCCTGGTTGTTCTTCATCCATGCTTCCCATTTCTCCAGCACGACGCGCACCACATCGCCTTCAATCCATTCCATCATTAGCCAGGCGCCACCCCACCCGCCCTCCTCGCCGCCGTGGCCCTCCCAGTCCAGGGCTAGAAGGGCGGGCACGGATACGCCTTCCCGTACTAGTTTCGCGAGGCATCGTGCTTCTTGGAGAATTCGTTGGCGGGTTAGGCGTCTGTCAAGGATTGGGTGGCGGTAGGGTTTTGATGGGCGGATCTTGAGGGCTGCGGGGTTGGAGGGGTTCAGTGAGGTTGTTTTGTAGAGGTGAGCTTCGGCTCCTTGGGTTAGGAGGGTTGGTGGTGGTGTTGTGTTGTTGAAGGGCGAGGGGAGATCGGGGGGTTTGTAGTCTTCCATTGTGAGGGGGTGTGTGGAATGCGAGGAGGTTGGTGAGGTGAAGTTTGAGGTTCGAGAAAAAGTTCTAGCGGGGCTCGGAGTATACGCGACTCCGTTGCTCTCCAATTCATTTTTACAACGATTATAATTATGAGCAATGTCATAGCCTTGAACAAGCTGGTCTGGGTATTATGATTCCAAGGATGTAGTTACCGGTAGCCCCGAGAGGCTTTTGGCCTTCAGTCTCTATTGTAAATTACATAAACTCACAGTTGAACTACACGAACTGGAAGTACGGAGTAGACCATGTCAATTTACATGGAAAGAAGTAAATACCCTCCAGATGAATAAGTAATTGAAGCCAACTAATATATCATATAGCTACATAACAATCACCTAGGGAATCCCATTCCTCCAACCCTATATACGGATATGGAAAACATCTGTCTCCACCAAACAGCACGCAATAAAAGTTATAGAAACCGAAAAAATGCCCTAGAATCATAACATATGAAGATCAGGCCGAATATTAGCCAACCTACAAGTTCCCTGATACATCCTCTCAAGGGTCGATCGCATAATCTCAATATCAATAGACTCAGCAGCCCAATGCTTCAATGTGCGCAGCGAAACCCGAACAAGACCAGCCCAATTGGGCGGCACGCGCATCTGCCAAGTTCCTGGTGTCCGTGACGCCTCGAGCTGGTATAGCACGACGCCGATGATGTGCAGGGCGCAGGAGAAACTGGCGCGGATTACGTTCCAGATCCACTCGTGGCGAAACTGGTAATAGTAGTTTGGGATTAGCTGGACGCAGTTATCCACTGCTTTTTGGGCTAGGCCGAAGACTTGCAGCCATAATTGGTTGTCCTGCTTTATGAAGGTTGGCATAGTCTGGAAGTGCATTGCTAAGTAGAAAGCTGGTCTGTAGATCCGTTCTAGAGCCATGTGGAACCGGCCGCGGAAGAAGAACATCAGGTCTGGATTGTCTTTCGGCGATTGTATTCCTGCGATGGAGATTTGATACCTGTTTCGAGTTAGGGTATGGGTGGGTCTTTGGGGAGCCGGGGGGAGGGGGAAAGGGGAGGAGTATAGGGGAGCATATACCATGAAGTCACGACACTCTCTGCTGCAGCTGATCTTTTCAGGAGATCAGGGATATCTTTAGTCCAGCCTTTCTCACCCTGCCGCCACATATCGGCTAGCAGGTCATTAGTGGTTCGGCGGTTACAGATAGATCCTATGTAGAATTTCCACCCCTTTTCCTCTTCGGTGCCGCTTAGTTTAAATCCCGGCTTGACTGCAAAGTCCTGGGAATCATCCTGCATCTGGTCATAAGAAGGAGGTGTTTTGCGGGAGAATGTTGGGAATGGATCCGAATAACCTAGGCTTTCAAGCCCGCTACTCCAGAGAGGGAGCTCGCTTTGCATTTCACTGTAAATGGTTAGTATATGGCTATCCAACCAGACGACGAACCTACTGCTCGGCTTGAATACAGGACCAATATAGACGAGACTCCAGGTTATGATAGTTGTCATCGGCAGTCCATTGTTCTCTACACAAAGACCGTAGCCGCACTTCTAGCCTGCAGGACGCTTGCTGGAAACAGAACCAGGCTTGCAGAGGACGCATGGCATGTCTGTGGTAGCTACCAGCAAGTAGGAAGCACTGGATATCAGTCGGGGAGGTGTGTAGGAACCCGAACCGCTGCTTCGCTGCGTGGAAATAGGTTTCAGCTAAATCCATATTGGCGTCTGACATGGGAGGTGGCGGGAGCCGATCAAAGTCAATAGTAATATCCTCGTCGGTCAATGGTACAAACTTAGACGAAGTAGATGATGCCAGGGCGCACGCTAACAGCTGCAGGGCAATTTAGCCGAGATCTTTACAAGCATGTAATCGACGTACCACCTGACAGGACGGACCGTCCCATCCAAGACCCTGGACGGTGACTTCCTCAGCATATCGCTCGAGCATATCGAGGTCAACTATGGGGTTTCTCCGGTGACAGATCATAAAGTATTTTTTGCAGAGTCTAGGGATCTCATCGACAAAATGTCCGCTCCCCACTTGTCGGGGAGGAGGGTTATTTGGTGGCTGACTATCCAACGAGTCCAGCAAGAATGAGCGGATATGCTTCTCTGCTTCAGTTATGACTTTGTTATAGATGGGCCAGCGGAGCATATGCTCCCCAGAACTTGCTATGTAGAGGATTCGGGGGTTATGATCCGGTCCCCGGTCCTCAATACTTGGAGCCGTGGTATTGCTATGCGGAGCGCTCCCCGACAATGATTCTGTCAAGGGACTAGTGTTCTGCATAGCAAGCTCAAAAAAGGATTCTTTCAGTGAGCGGCTCGATGATATGGTCGAGCCCTCCGACTTGATTTCCTCCAGCAGACCGGCGATATGGTTCAAGCGAGTGAGAACCTCCTGGTTCGATGGATTTCCGGAGTCAAATCCCGTCCTAGAAGCTAAGGTCAATGCCCAATCTATTCATCCAAGATTTATCCTTCTTACTGGTTCTGCTGTGGTGAGGTTTCGGGATAGTTGCACTCGACCCCCTGTACAGCGCAGTAGCTGCACGTTGGCCTAACATTGTCGCATCGAGTCTTGCGCAGCCGACAAGTCTGACAGGCTGTCGGGGCTCGTGTGCGGATCTCACGCTTTCTAGCGAACTTCGGATCGGCAATTTCCATAGTAGACTCTACCTCTTTCTGGACATTCAAGATGCAATTCGGGGAACGTCGGGGAGCCGTCGGGGAGATTGGAAGAAGGGTGAAATAATAAGTGTGACCCAAGGACATTAGGGCGTACTTAGGGGAGCAATATCTCCGCGAGGGCTATCCACTGGAACCCGGGTTGGAGACAAAGAAACACGCGGCGGCCACAAAGCACCAGATGGATCGAGTGCTGACGGTTGTGGCGCTGGCCGGATGAGGTCAAGACTCAGAGCGAACAAAGAACTGTCGTTCGTGATATGATGGCCAACCCCAGTCAGGTTAACCCCCATGGCTGCCTCAGGGGGTTCACGATGCTGATTGGAGGGCGGTTAATTCTTTCGTGACTCTGGACAAGGGTGGGTGTGATGGTACCCAAGAGTTCCTTCTGGACTGGGGAGCTTGCCAAAGTCACTCGAACCCATCAAGCCTCCATTGCTTTTTTCGTTGGTTTGCAGCGCCTCGCTTAGGAAGCCTTTTCGGCTGTTCCAGAGGATTGAAAGGGTACTTGTACTTGAGGTCCCAGAATCCGAGATATTCCGGGGGGTTGGGGTTGTAAGATGCCGTGAACGTTTGTGTAAGTGTAAAAGCCTTTTAATTTTTGAATACAATCTGGGAGAGAAGAGAAGCTTGTACCTGGGATCTTCTACAGTCGAGTTAAGAATTAGCTTCACGCCCGCACACACACCCCAACCTACTCATCACGGGACCGATGTGACCCTACTGTTGAAATGAGCTTATGTTGAGAGTCTCCGGATCTCAGCTGACTATCAGGTACAGTCCGAACCTTCCCTACATGAAACAAGAACTTCATAGTGTTAGGTCGTCATCAAATTCACTAACGCTCATCGACAGTAGTCTGAGTAGATAGATGTACAAGCCGGGGAAACAGGGTCCAGACCGGGGCCATAAATGGCAAATTCAAACGCCGAGGTAATGCTGATGGGATACAAAGTCATAGGTCAACTTCACCGAATCTTCTTCTTAGGCCTCCGTGCCAGAGGGGCATCGCAAAGTTCAGACCAAGTGTCTTCGAAGACGGTCTTGCGCGGGCCAATCTGCCCTTCGTAGAAGTTCAACTTGCGCACAACCTCCATGGCGCCTGTGCCCAGTCCCACCGTCTTGCCCATGATGATACATTCCGAAACACCTTCGATGAGGTCGGTGCGACCAAGACCACCGGCGTCAAAGAGGTGATCGGCAGTCTTCTCGAATGAAGCAAGCTGAAGCACCGAGTCTCGCATCTTGGCAAGTCCGAAGCGAGTGATACCTAAGACTTCACCCTTGTAGGTCATGACGTCTGCCAGGAGCTGCATGTGACGGGGATCAATGTCCATGTCCTTCATGACTTCACTGATTTCAGTGATAATGGTGCTTCGAGCTGCCTCGATACCGAGAACCTCCCGAGCTTCCATAACGTTATTGGTTTTGGTGTGAAGTCCATCCACACCTGTAGTAGTCATACATTCCCTCAACCCGTAACCTTCCACGAGCAGAGTGTTGGTGGTAGATGTCTCGTCTGTTCGGATGATGGCGCGGGTAGCGCGTGGGTGACCCAGAATTTGGATATGCGGAAGGATACGCTTCAGATGCTTCAGGCGCAGGAAGGGGTCAACACTCGTGGCCGCGATCTCAGTCTTAGATAGGCCTGCTTTGCTGGCCGGATCAAGATCCATAAAGATCTTAATTGTGTATTTCGAGCACGAGAACTTGAGATCGCCTGCCTTAAAGCGCTTGTGGGTCTTGATGGTATTTGCAATCTGGTGAGTCTTGATATCAAGTTGCAGATCGTCAATCGTCTGTTGATTGATATGAACCTTGAGATAGGCATCATCTTTGTCCCAGCATTCCGTGATGGAGTGAATGATGTCTGCGAGGTAGGTCTTTTCAATTCGTCCCTTGACAATGCGAGCGGCTGCGACAGACTCTTTGTTGACCAGGTCGCAAGCAACAACGGGGGTACTGATCTCCCGCGAGGCGTTGATAATTTCCTTAATACGGGGAACACCTTGAGTAATACTCATACCGGCGACACCAGCAAAATGGAAAGTTTTCAGCGTCATCTGTGTTCCGGGTTCACCAATAGACTGGGCACCAACGGCACCAACAGCATGACCAGGTTCGACCTGAGCCTTCTTGTACTTCAGCAGACAAGCAGTAATAAATGCTCTCAGCGTCGTATTTGTCAGTTTGCCAGTGTGGTCCAGGCCTTGACGGCTACGCTGGTCGGAGGGATCATTATCGCCACCACGCGAGATCAACTTGTCGGCCTTGGCTTGCACGTATTCCTGGATTGAGTCAAGGAAATCACGGGCACTTTCGAATTGATCAATACCGTGATCACTGCGGTCCATGTAGGCAAGATCATTGCCTAGCAAGTCCTTGCGCTGCAGCTTCGCCCGCTCCTTGCCAAGCATCTCTTCGCAGACCTCCATGATCTCAGCAGGCAACAAACTTCGCTCGTCGTTGTTGTAGGTAGTAGACTCGCAATGAATGAAAGTCCGCTCGAAGTAGACGGGCTTAGCCTTACCCTCCATATCCACGGGATCCAGTTTGTCGTCACCGTATTGAAACTGAACAATGGCGGCAGACGAATTTCGGACGGTGTCATCGTACATTGACGACAAATCTTCAAGAGACTTCATCAAACGACGAGACATGTAACCGGTTTCAGCGGTCTTGACAGCTGTATCGACCAGACCTTCACGACCGGACATGGCGTGGAAAATGAACTCCTGAGGCTCAAGACCGGAGAAGAAACTGTTGCGAACGAAACCCTTCGATGGGGGCTGACGCGCATTCTTGGGAAAATGCGGCAAGGTACGGTCTTGGAAGCCGTCCTGTACACGCTGTCCACCAATAATTTGTTGGCCGACAAGGGCAACCATCTGGGAGACGTTGATACTGGAACCCTTGGAACCGGATGTAGCCATGATCAGGGGCGAGTTGTACTTGCTGAGCTGCGCAATACACTCGTCACCAGCTTGCTGACGGACCTTACTAAGAATACCAGAGAGCTGGTTCTCCATAGTCTGCAGCTCGTCACATCCAGGGTACTTTTCCAGGGTACCGGCCTTGTACTGGGCAATGACTTCGTCACACTTTGCGTAAGCTGCTTCGACCAGGTCATTCTTCGACTGAACCAGCCTTGCGCTGGGGTAAACGTCTGTAATACCAATCGAGAAACCCATGTTGGTGAACCATCTGGCAGAAAGTTTTGACAAACGATTCATGCCTTCGGCGGCTGCCGGAGGACCGAAATCTCTGAGCATAATGTAGAAAACGTTGTCCTTCTTACCGGAACCAATTGTAGACTTGTCCATAACACCACACATTACTTCTGAGTTACGGATGACTAGCCAACCATCATTGGGGTCCAAGTCCTTTGGTCGTCCATCCTTGGGCATCTTGAATTCACGGCATGCAGCATCAAGGTTGACCATGACGGGGTCATTCAAGTTAGGGCGCATGAGAATGTTGAAGACTTGTTTACCAGTCCACAGCATCTGAGGCTTCATGACCGATGGCGGAGGGAGGTCGAATCGCGTTTCTGGGCCAAGCATGTAGAGACAAATTTGGGTGAAAGCCGCACGGTTGAAGAAATTGTCCTTGCTACTCAGCATGTAGGCGGCACTAATGAAATCTTGAATGGCGGAAATGATAGGCTCGCCATTTTTCGGAGTAGCCAAGTTGTTCTTCACACCCATGAGCTCCATCGCCTCTGCTCTGGCTTCTTCCGTCTGCGGCACATGAAGGTTCATTTCGTCTCCGTCGAAATCTGCGTTGTAAGGATTGCAGACACACTCGTTCAGACGGAATGTCCTGTGAGGTCGGACTTTGGCAAAGTGAGATAGAATACTGAGCTTGTGAAGGGAAGGCTGTCGATTGAACAGCACGATGTCGCCATCCTCGATATGACGCTCAACCATATCACCCTCTTGTAGCTGGTCGGCCATCCACTGGGTATTACCGAACTTGAGCATCTGCTTAAATCCGTTTCCTTTCTTGACAATCATGTTCGCTCCAGGCCATTTGGAACTTCCATTTGCCACACGTTGCTGTAATTTCTCTTTGTTGTATCTGGTCACAACTTCAGGGTAGGTCATGTTCTTCGCCACTAGCTCGGGAACAGCAACCTCATCGACACGCAGATTGGGATCGGGTGAGATGACAGTTCGACCAGAGAAATCAACACGCTTTCCGGACAAATTACCACGGAAACGACCTTGCTTTCCCTTCAATCGTTGAACGAAACCTCGAATTGGCTTTCCAAGATCGGCTTTATTGAGGCCGGGCACATCACTGTTGATGTAGACAGCAATTTGAAGCTGCATGTAGTCCCAGCATTCCATGATGGTCTGAACAGGAGCACCCTTGAGCAAAGCATTCTTAAGGTTGATGTTGCTCTGCACAATATCACCCAGCTTAGCTGTCAAATCATCTTCCGTGGACGCAGAATCTTGTCCCACTGAAGGTCGAATACAAACTGGAGGAGCTGGAATGAACTGCCAGAGGAACATCTCCGGACGTGCCTCCTTTGGGTTCATACCGATCAATTCACAGTCGGAGTCTGACATTTTCTTGAAAAGCTTCAGCACGCGAAGAGCATTCAAGTCATCCTGTGCCTTTTTGAAATGTTTCTCAACCTCCGCATTCGCACTTCTTGCCTCTGCGAAAGAGTTGTCAAACACATCCTTGCTAATAGGTGTCTGCTTTTTGACAGAAGTTGAGGCGTTGAATGCGCGGAACTTGTCGTGCGTGATCTTCAGGGCGCTAGTTCCAGTCTTCTTCACGACACCGTTGATTGCTCCACAATTTCCACACTCACGAGTTTTCCGGCAACGTTCGTTGATTCGTTTCGCAATCTGATTCCGTCGTAGATTATCGAGGCCGGGGCGGCGCATCTCTTTAAGGAACGCACGGCGCTCGGCTTCAGGGAGTAGGATGTGGGAGCATTCCTTGCAGATTTCTTGCAAGATGCTGATAACGCGCTTGAAATAACCGACGTGGAAAGAAGGAAGGACGAGCCTCACATGTCCGAAATGACCGTTACAGTCTTTGAGGTTGTTTCCGCAAGTGGCGCAAGCGTCGGTCTTATTCGAGATACCCATACGCTGGTCGAGAGGTCCATGGGCAACCACTGTTCGGGCTTGGTCCAGGTCGAAGAATTTTCGATCGGAAACTTCCACCACGGCTTGGCCGACAATATCATCATTGGTTCTGTGAACAAAAGTCTTCATTAGCGATCAAACTGCAACTAACCATCACGTCAAGCGTCTGTGGATCAGATGCGTACAAGACACCAAACTTTAATTCCTTGATCACCTTAGGAACGCGATCAATGACCTGGGCCTTGCCCAGGTCTACCTGCGCACCCTCTGGAGGCTGCATCGCCGTCGTCAAATGCGGAGCATGGCAGGGTGACTCAAACAGATGCGATCGGCATGGGCGGGTGTCAGCCGCAATAACCAAAATTGAAGGTTCAAAATAAAATCCTCGAGTCTCTCGTTTGAATTTTCCCCTAGCTGTAAGCCACAGAGCTTGGTCGAGGACTCTGAGACGCGGCGAGCGGAATTGGAGATGAGCAGAGAAAGAAGTTGTATGGCGGGGTCCGACACGAACTTTTTTCTGCCGGCGAAGCTCTCACCGCCGTTACACTGCATCTATGTGAGGAGGCTAGTTGTGATGATTATATTGTACATTTTAATGCTATTCTACATCTTTATTGAGCTTGGCCTATTTGGCCAAGAACGCTTGGAATGCCTTATGTTCGATCACCACATTACCAACGGCCCGCAACCTCTTACGGCCTTCTTTCTGCTTCTCAAGCAGCTTGCGGCGCCGACTCACATCACTGGCATGCAGCTTGGCCAAGACATCCTTGCGGTATGGCTTGATAGTCTCGCGCGCAATGATCTTCTTACCGACAGCAGCCTGGATAATGATCTCAAATAGCTGTCGGTCGACATGCTCCTTGAACTTGGTAACCCAAATTCTTCCTTGTCGGTTCACCTGGCTCAGATGCATGATTCGTGCTACAGCATCTACCGGCTCTTTGTTGACCAAAAGCTGTAGCTTGACAATGTTACCCGCTCGCCATGCAGATTCTTCGTAATCCAGACTGGCATAGCCCTTAGTGCCTCCTTTCAGCTTTCCGAAGAAGTCATCAACTAAGTGCGCTAGAGGCAGTTCATACTTCATGATGACCTGGGTTGTAGTGAAGTACTCAATGCTGACTTGCTCGCCTCGGTTGGCTTCACAAAGCTCAATGACCTTTCCTAGGTATTCTTCCGGGAATGTCAAGGTGACCAAAACATAGGGCTCTTGGACCTCGGCAACCTTGAGCCGGACGCTGTCGTCATCGGGGAATTTAGCAGGGTTTGTGATGATGTCCTCAGCGCCATCTTTCCACACGACCTTAACCGGGACGGAAGGAGGTGTAATGATGATACTGGCGCCGTGCTCCTGTCTGAGACGGTCCTCAAACACGGAGCAATGGAGAGTGCCCAAGAATCCCATACGGAATCCGGCACCCAAGGCCTCGGATGACTCTTTCTGCACGGTGATACTTCGGTCATTCAGGATGAGCTGGTTGATGCTGTCCTCCAAGTGCTCGAAATGATCCGCATTCACTGGATATACTGCGACGAAGACCATCGACTTTGGCTCTTCGAAGCCCGGTAAAGGCTCTACGAGCTTTTCCGAACCAACTCGTGTGAAGGTATCACCAATCTTGGCTTCTTTGCTCCGCTTCATGCCTGGGTTGAAGTAGATGTAACCGACCTGGCCTGCACGGAGGACAGTTTGCGCGGTCTCTGTGGGGTACATAATCCCAACTTCACCCACATAGTACTTGAGTCCCGTAACGAATGAGACGAGTTGCTGACCTGCACGCACTTCGCCATCAAACACACGGACTAACAAAATCACGCCCTTGTAGGAGTCGTACCAAGAATCCACAAGCAGCATGCGCAGAGGCTTTTGGGTATCGCCTATAGGTCTAAGGAAAGTCAGCAAAGATGGATATTGTACCACGTAGGCTCCATTTGAACTTACGCAGGGATCTTCTCCACGACTGTCGGTAGCACAGCTGGAACATTCAATCCAGTCTTGGCTGAAACCATCACGGCGTTCTCAGTGTCAATCTCAAAAGTGCTCCTCATCTGCTCCAGAGCCCGCTCTGGATCCGAAGATGGCAAGTCAACCTTGTTAAGGATAGGAATCAGCTCGAGGCCTTGCGCAAAGGCCAAATAGAAATTGGCAACCGTTTGCGCTTGGACACCTTGACTGGCATCCACCAAGAGAATGGCACCACCGCAACTGGCATAACTCCGTGACACCTCTGCACGGAAATCCACATGGCCTGGAGTATCCACCAAATGTAACAAGTAGTCCTCGCCCTTGTGGTTATAGATCATCGTACACGTTTGTGCTTTGACTGTGATTCCTCGCTCTCGCTCGACATCGAGTTTGTCCAAAACTTGTTTGTTCATTCCAGGTTTGATTGTGCCCGTCAACTCGAGGAGTCGGTCGGAGAGTGTGCTTTTGCCATGGTCGACGTGTGCGACAATGCAAAAGTTGCGATAGCGTTCAATTGGGATCGCGGAGATTCGTTGCTCGAGATCTGTGTCCAATTTAATTGGCGTTATTTTTGAGCGTGCTGAATATGTGCCCGATGTAGAGAACGATCGCGTATATCTTAATGATGGAAAGCCAATTGGTGGTTGAAGGCTAGCGGCCTGGCACCTCGGCGCTGCGCTCAACCATCGGCCTAACCGCAGACATCCTCGCATTGAGGCTTTTGTGGCATAGAAGCAATTGGTAATGCGGTCGAGATAGAGTATTCGAGTCAGTGTTTCAGTGCTGTAGAGGTCTGGGGGTTGCGGAGAAAAAACGGGCGCGGGCGGTGACTTGCGATTTATTGCTGCGGTGACTATCGACGTAAACAAACCTCTCCCACTTTCACCTCAAATCCTTGATCTGCCAGCACACCATGCCTGAAGCAAAGGATAAGTCAAAGGTGCACAAACTGTCCATCAAAGGTTGGTCTCCTGTCGCCCAGTTTTGAAATCCCAAGCTTACAAGATAACAGGATCGGCGAAGCTTGTGTCCGAATTCGTGAGTATTGGAATCTCCGGACAAGGGCATCTCAGCTAACAGCTTCAGTTCGAATATTCAATCAATTCGATCCTGTGAGTGAAGTCTCTAGAGGCCTCAAGGCACTAGCTTATCGCATTGACCGCAGTTTCCAACGAGGTGTCTATCCCCCAGAGGATTTCATGACGTACGTCTTGCCTTCCCTTCCCTTTGAACATAGTCCAGCAAGTTAACCAAGAGTAGGATTAAGAAATATGGCCTCAATATGCTCGGTTCGTTTATTGTATCTGTCATGGATTGATGACAAGCCTAACCCCCACGCAGTATCGGCCGACGACCAGGTCAAAGCCTACATCAAGAAGATCATGTCGCAATTGAATAAATGGATGCAGGGAGGCAAGATTTCCAAGCTCGTGGTGGTTATTACAAGCAAGGAGACTGGAGAACATGTGGAAAGATGGCAATTCGACGTATGTCCTCGGCCTTTCACTTGCTATCCGCCTCGGTCACTCATCATGATGGTTTAGGTTGAAATCTTCGGCAAGCACTCCAAGAGCAAGAGTGCCCAGAAGTCTACTGACAAGGAGAATGCTACACCCGGGTATGTTGCATACTATCGAGAAATTCTATTGATCATTTCATTGATAAAACTTTGCTTTTACCAGAGATGCGGATCCCCAAGCACCCGAGCCTATCGAGAAGAACGAGAAGCAAATTCAGGAGGAGATCCAAGCTATTTTCCGCCAGATTACTGCCTCTGTCACTTTCCTCCCTGTCCTGGATGGCGATTGCACCTTTAACGTCCTCGTCTACGCCGATGCCGATTCAGATGTGCCTGTGGAATGGGGTGACAGTGATGCTAAGGAGATTAAAAATGCCGAGAAGGTTCAATTGCGCAGTTTTAGTACCAACAACCACCGAGTCGGAACTCTGGTTAGCTACCGCTTGTCTGATTGAGTTCTTTGTGAGACGTTATGATCAAATACGAAGGGTCCTCATGGGTTGGCGTTTAGGGAAGGATCAAGGTATTCAACTTATCATTCTAGAAGTTTTGGAGTTTCCAATGAAGGCTTTCTAGTTCTATGACTTTTATTAGAGTTTTGTGCTAAACATTCTTGTTCGCATCTTATTCACAGGGAGGGATGTTGTCGAATATGTTCTGGTATGGTATCAGAATTACAAAACAGGACCCTCGAGTGATCAATTCGACAATAAAATGTATCAAACCAGGGGTGCAACTGCATAAGACCATGGCAAGCTTTCTCTCCTCGGAAACCATTGATTGCAATGATTACCACCGTCATATCGGATCAGATCCAACACAACATCTTCTAAGCCTAAATTGGAGGACATTTCGTTCTCAATCCCAGGAGACCAGCCACGCTTGACTCGTTTTCCCATGAGATCAGCATTAACTCCGTAAAGATCTTGTCTCCAAAGTCCAATCCCGTTCTTTGCCTCGCCTTGAATCAATGTTTCCAAAGGAGTCACCTCCTCTGGTGGATTGATTCCAATCACTGCGACTTTCTGCTCATCAAATCCTTCTTCTGGCTCAAAGCCAATGCGCACAAGTCCCAAGGCTGGAAAGTGACACTGCATGAATCTTGCACGCTTGAATTCGTGTGTGACAACGGTGACTCGTTCAGGGTAAACCCCTGTGTGTTCCCGGAAACGTATGATGGAAAAGAGGACGTTTTGATATGAGTCCGTAGCGTATGTCTCTGTGATGACTCTCGATAGGTCAATTAGGGGAGTTCCAAGGCTGTCTTGGAAATAATTGTTGTCTTTGGCTAGATTCTGCTATGCATCAGCTTTTGTTTTCGTGGCAACAATTGGAGAGGAACTCACGAGGTAAGATTCGCCTTCAGATAGCTCAGTCCTTGGCTTCTTGGTAGGTCCTCTGTTGTACGTTCAGCTAAGCTCAAAAGAAGTACAACGAGAGGCTATTACCCGGAGAGTATGACGATGCCCTTGGGATCATCTTGCGCAAGCTTCAATCCGGCTTTAATATGGTTGGTGAAAGTAGGCGTTTCTCCCCTCTGAAAGGGTTCAATTAACCTAAATAAGGTCAAGTGTGAGATTTTATTTTTCCATCGCACGATGTGCTATCTCAATGTACCATTCTTGTTCAGAGCTTCCAAGTTTGAGCCCCCCTGTATAGATTGCATGACAGCAGACAACTATCAAGTGGTTTGAATTTGTGAGGCCATGTAGATTTGAGGTCATGATAAATGAAATACATCAGATCGTTGGTCACATCATCTAAAACATGAGATAAATGAGACGGGGCGTACGGCAGTCTGTTAGTGCCATCAGCTCAGAAGTCGTTCTTCCCCTATATCAAGATTTCACCGCCTTAGCTACCGCCTTCAGTCATTGCTGGGTCTGGGGGTCTACACCATAATGTAAGGCACTCAACAACCAGTGAGAAAGAAGTGAAAAAAAAAGATGAGAAGGGAGACGGAAAAAGAGGTGGAAGGGGCGGTAAGGCGTCTACAGCTTCCCCGATATTTCGGTGGAGCCTAAGCCTCTTTCTTTCTGTTGTAATTCTGCCATTCTCGACTGTGCGGAATTAGTCCCCAAGCAATTAGAGACTTGTCTTGCTCTGCTGTCAAGTCCAACCAAGCAAGCAGATCCTGACGACGTTCGGGCTGTCTTCCATTTCTTGCAGGGCTGTCAGGCAGGCTGGGGCGTTTTCTGCTTGGGCTAGTTGACAAAATTGAATGTTGCGCCTAGATTTATTGCGTTGAGGATATCTTCTCTGTCCTTGTGTTGGGAGTCTATCTAGTGAGGGCACTAGACCGTGTTTGCAGGCTTGGAGCATGGCGTCGTGGTTGAGCGTGGAGATATCTTCCCCTGTGTGTGTGCTTGGTAATCGATGGCTAGTTGGGGTATATAGTGTGTTTGCGTCTGTGATGGCCTGCACCTAGAATTGCCGGATCCAATCGAAGGATTCCCTCGTCAATTATGGCGCTGGGGTCTGGGTGCCGATGAAGGCCTCATCTCGGTTTGTGTGGATCCAGCAAAGGGCTAGGAATCCTACTAATAATCGGTTGACTTCATCGTAGTTTCTCCGTATAAGATGTAGGATGGTGACGGGGTGTTTGGTGGGGTCCAGGGTGGGTCCGTCTCGGATTGAGTACGCGCGCTTCAGACGGTCGATGTCTCTGGGAACTCTTTGTAGACCAGGTTTATGAGGTCTTCTTCTGAGCAATTGAATAATGGGCCTGCGTGTGCGCAGGCTTCTTTGAGGGATTGGGTTACGTCCATGCTGGGGTGCTCGATACGACTAGAATGCAGCCTGTATATGCTGCGTCACAGAGGTTGAGTGATTTGGGCCTATTATTCGTTCTGGAAAGGTCTACGGATGAAATTCTTGTGCTTAGGATTGTAGTTCTTAGCTCTGAAGTAGCTTTAATAATAATGTTATCCTAGATATACATGTTTGCCCCTTTGACACATGAATCAGTTCCAACGGGCAGAAAATGCATCAAGTAAAGTAAAATGACAGAGAAATGCGTCTTCGCTCTTTGAAAACATGCAACGTGCTAGAAATATCAAAGCACAATATGTGCCCTCCCGACCATGAAACGCACCCATGTGGTAAACGCCAACCAGAGAAGTACTAGTTGTGAAAATGCATATCCATGACCCAGTACGACAAATGAAAATCAGGTAATAATGCATAGAAGAAGGGCAGAAAGGTAGAGATTGCCGCTGCAGAAATCGGAGAACGAGGGTATCAGTCGAAAAGAAATTGTATGACAGGCTCATTGAGCATCATGGCGGAAAGTACAGTTATCGCCCTTACGACACTTGCCGTCGGCCCAGAACTTGCAAGCAACGAGTCCAACCTTGTACTATTTTGGCACTGTTAGCAATGGTCATCAAAGTGTGGCTAAAGTAAACTTACAGGCTTATCAGTAACCCTAGTACGCTTCGAGCGACTCCATTGAGGGTCAAATTCACTGTCATGCTGCGGGGCATCGCGCCCTCGCTTGCGCTCATCATCATAGTCATTGCCTTGTGGTTGGAATTGACCACCAAATGGCGGGAACATAGCACCAAGGTTGGGTGCCATGCCTGGCTGTGATTGACCTGGGGGTTGGAATTGTTTCATAACATTTAAGATCTGATTGAGATCAACCCCTTGGAGACCACCGGCAGGCATCTGTGGGAGAACCGGCATTTGAGGCTGTTGCTGTTGAACAAACATGTTAACTGCCTGCTCATAACCGGGCATTGCGGCAGGCTGGTTTGCTACGGGCGGTGGGTTTGACTGCGCCTGTCCAGACACACTCTGGACGATGTTAAACAAGTTGGAAAAGTCATGGCCGGGGGCAACCGGGTTAGGTTGCTGCGCTGGTTGTGTGGCCACAGGCTTGGGATTAATGTATGCGTAATAGCGTTCCTCTCGGGCCTGCACTGTGTCAGCAATGAAGTATTGCAAATACCATGGAAGTACATACCTTGATGTGGTCAGGAAGCTCTCCGAAAGGCACTTCGTCAAATTCAACCTCGTCCGGGTCAGGGGAAGGTGGCTCCTTGGCCGATGCAGGCATTTCTGCAGGAGAGGTATAGAATACCATGAGTGTCGTTGATTCCCGATGCTCCTGTGCCTCCTTTTCGGGGCTTGTTGGAAGCTGTGGACCGCCGCGTTTAATGAAACTCTGATCTTTTGGCTCCTCAAAGTCAAAATCGATGCCTATAATGGTTAGGAAGAAATTTTTATAAAATAGGAGGGACGACTCACCTGACAGGCCAGTGTATTCTTGGAAGACGGTCTCGCGCATACCACCAAGATCATCCTCTTCGAGTTCATCCATATCCTTATGGAGCTTGAGCACACTACCTTCACCCTTGATATCTCCCAGGCCACGTGCAGATCCATCACCAGGGCCTATTTCCTCGTCGGGGTCGTGGGTGAAGAGTCGAACCTCGGTAAGAGAATCATCGGATTTCCAGGTCACGCGCAACTTACGACGCTCTTCCTTGCGTAATCTCTTGCTACGCTCCTCTTCGGTCTCTGTTGGCTGATCTTCTGCTGGTTTGGGGGCTGGTGCTTCCTTGGGTTTGTTGAGATCTGCCATCAAATCACCAAAGGAGAAAGCAGGTTTTGGAGGCGGCGTCTTCTCCTTGGGGGCAGGACTGTACAAAGGTTAGACAAGTTGTGACTCGAACATACATTGATACATACGCTGTTTTGGCTGCGGCGGCTGCAGCAGCCCTCTCTGCATTGGTAGTTCCTGGCCTCTTGGATGCCGAGCCCAATGCACCAAACAGACTGATTGGCTTTGGTGCCACTATGTTGGCTTTTGGGCGCGCAGGAACAGCCTTGGCTTGGGCTCCCTTAGTGCCATTGCCTACGGCTGTTTTCGACGCGTCTTTGTTTGCTGTCGCCATTCTTTTTGTCCCAGCCTGCAGACTTCCGTCTGCCTCGCGTGGACGTTTCATTCCAGCTGGATCAGGCTTTTCAGTAATTTTGACATCTTCTTTAGGAAGTTTGTCATTTTCTTGTTTACGTTTGGTGGAGGCGGTGGCATTGTCCAGAATCTTTTGAGTGAGATCTTTGACTTGCTGTGCACCTTTCTTCAAGAACTTAGGGAGTAATTTTGAGAGGTTTGTCTTTTGCAGCATGTCCTCTGTCATGGTAGAGAAGCGTGCAAAAAGCTGGAAGTGTCAGCCAATGAATGTCCCATGTAAACTTGAGAAGAGACTTACCTTGAGCAAATTGATTGTCAGGGTACCTGCAAAGTCTGCAGCCTGAAAGCGGTCGACCAAGAAGGAGTACAGAGCTGCCACAACCATAGGGTGCTCTCCCAGCCTACATAGGATTCACAATTAGTCTGGTCCAATTATACCAATGATTGATGTTTGCCAATGGAAGAGCACAAGCTCTTTTCTAAATAGGTCCCCCAGATCTCAGAGAGCGTCCTATGGCATGTCTGGAACTAGGAGCTTCCACTCTGGGTCTGCATATTTGCCTATCTTCATCCAGCACATATAAGACCATGCCTATTCGGCAACAAGAGCCATTGCACTTGATTCTAGCCATGACGATGCGTTTGGATTTATCCCAGAAAAGAATTCATACGGAGCAATGCTCTGTGGCTTCAAGTTCATATAGCCAACGCCATAGAGGGAAAGGGGAGGTGCAGGGGATGGGAAGGGGAAACGTACTTGTCAACAATGACGGAATGACCCATTTCTAACGTTGTCGTTGCAATTTTGTCCATTATCCGACGCTGAGAGATGACATATTCTTTCACCTTGGCAGCTTTATTATTATCTCCTTGGTTCTCGGCCGTTTTCATCGCCTGAACTTGTTCTTTCCATGCATCTCGAAGCGACTTGACGAGATCCTTGTAGGCCACCAACGCATTCTTCACCTTCTCGGGGCCGGGCCACTTGTTTCGTGGTGACCACACCGCTTGCACTGTATCAAATTGAGCTGCAGCCACGGGGTCTGTTGGTCGGGCAGTGGGTAATGGGAAAGGCTCATCTGGAGCCTCAATTTCAAGGTCCGATTCATCGGAACTTTCACTTTCTGACTTTGACGGGGCTTTCTTTGGACCCTTGGTCTTTGGTTGCAGTTTCTTAATAGGTCCCTTCTTCGTCTGAATCACAACGTCTGGCACAGGCAGACCTACATTTCGTCAGCGATTGATCGAAGAGGTCTCAATTGGTCTACACATACCTGTGGCCGACATTTCGGAAGCTGGTCCAAGCTGTGGTTGGACTGTGAGACCGTGCTGGTAATAGTCAAAATGCCGGTCCCTTTGATGGAAATCAGTCATCTTTCTCATAATTCGCGCTAGATGTGGGGACTTACTGCTCGGTTGGTTGTCTCTGGAAGTGCGAGGGGAGAGCATAAACAAGACCATTTGCCAAAGGAGGTTGGCCAGATGCTTGTGCGGGGTTCAGAAACTGTGGGTTGATGGTGACGTTGGGATCTGAATCAGAGTAATCGTTGGTGAGGTCAATCGTGTTTGACTGCTACGGGTTAGATTTCACGAGCACACCAGGCAACGACGTGACTTACCATCATCTCCTGGGGGAAGCCTTGGGGTAGTGTGTATTGTTGTGGCTGCAGTCGTCGGGAAGGTGCTGCTGTGAAGGTGTCTTGGATGGGCAACTGTTGGTGTGGGGGAAAATACCCCGGCTGAAAAGAGTATGATGGAAAAGCAGATGACTCCGATGCATTTAGAGGACGAGAGTCAAAATTCATCTGCCCATACTGGGGAGCTTGCGGTTGCTCAAATTGCGGATGGCCCCCATAACTTCGTTGTGACTGTTGGAGAGGAGTCTGCGCCTGCCAAGGTTCATGCATTGAGGTATAGATGCCATGGTCTTGTTCTGGTCTAGGGGCAAGCTCTCTCTGATCCTGAAATACAGGATGGTCCCAGCCAATCCCTAAAGTGTTCTGTGATGCAGAATCATGTTGAGCTTGGGCATTTTGCTGGAGTTGCGCATCAGGGGTCGGGTACATAGCATCCAGAGTATCCCAGTAATCTGGAGGCAGTGTATCTTGGTCATTGCCCTGGGGCAACCCCTGCAAATGAGCGGATTGCTCCATGATAAAGAAGAGTACTCAAAAGTTTAAGCTTAACTATGGAGTATCACGTAATCACGTGTAGACCCCTTGTGTTCACCGCCTGTTCTCACCGCCTTTGGAAATAGGAAGAAAATATGTCGGAGGCCGGAGTAAGTTTGCTTCCGAATGAAGTTATTGCTCGGGGAAGCTGTCTGAAGAGTTGAAGAATTAGACGCGGCAAATTCACTTGATACGCCTAGAATATCTTCAGAATTGAGTACTGTCGTACCTTAGAAAGAAAACAGTTCGCTTTCAATTTATGGTGCCTCAGGCATCAATTTTATTCCCCCAGTACTCTGTACTGCGAGTCACTGTGTCGTCCTTGGCCTTGCAGCTTATTGACTCCGCAGTTGCGAATACAAGTCTAGTAAGACGGTCCACGGGTTCTCAGGATGTTCAAGAGCCTCTTCTGCCCTGTGTCCTTTCCTTGACTTGGTATCCTTTCCTGGCACTCTGTGCACTCCCTGCAGAAGCTCTCTGCCTTTCTGCTATGTTTTGTCTCTGGAAAGACTGAGTATCAGAAAAGAGAAAGGCTCTCATACGAAGGACCACTCTAGATAGCCATTCGCTTTACGAAGAAAAGAAGGGAACGGGGGAAGGTGTTGATGGTTAGAGGTGTGGAAAGGGTGAAAAGCTGTCGTCAGGGCGGTTAGCAGTTTACAGTACCGTGATGGTTTGACCGCTATGGCAAGTCACGTTACGTGGCAGAATTCCGACATGTGATCTAGCTTCCGGGGGGGGAACAGTGTCAACAGTCATCATTTCGGAGGGTTGCGCGTATATCTCATATCTCTCCTTGCGCAAGTGGTACATGCATTGAAGCTCTGGCTTAGCATTTCCCCAATCCTACACAGCGCTGCCAGCTATTGTCATGGCCTCGCAACCAATGTCCCTCCGGGACCGACAGGTCGGTAAGTGTCGCAAGCTGGACCCTTAACAGCCTATTCTTAACTGACAACTGCCTTGAAGCGTCAATTCAAAAGCTCTTGAACTTAAACCATGATCCGCGACCTTCTGATGATAACACGATCGACCAGTCCGCCGGTGGTCTTATCTCACACTCCACTCCGATCTTGAATGAGGACGGCGACCCGATCTGGAAGGTCCTGGTGTTTGATACCATGGGCCGAGATGTCATTAGCAGTGTTCTACGGGTTAATGACCTCCGCGCATGGGGTATTACCATTCATCTGTATCGCCACCTCATCCCCTACACTGACCTCATGGCTAACCAGGAGCTACTCCTAGAAACCTCCACTCTCAAAGATACCCGATTCCCGATGTTCCAGTTGTCTATTTCGTGGAGCCTACCCCCACCAACATTCAAGCAATTACCCACGATCTTTCCCACGGGCTCTACTCCCCGGCCTACGTGAACTTCTTATCATCCGTTCCCCGGCCACTTCTGGAGGACTTCGCTTCTCAAATAGTCACCTCTGGTGCATCCGAACACATTGCGCAGGTCTTTGATCAATATCTGAACTTCATTGTGGCAGAGCCCGATCTATTCAGTTTAGGGCTCGGTAACGATGCATACTACAAAATCAATAGCGGAAAGACAAGTGATGAAGAGCTAGATGCGATTGTGGATAATGTGGTTGGCGGATTGTTCAGTGTTAGTGTGACAATGGGTAAGCACGTTCGAATTTCCATTATTAGCATATCTGACTGACGGGCAGGCACCATTCCCATCATCCGATGCCCCAAGGGCGGCGCGGCGGAATTGATCGCAACAAAGTTGGACCGGAAGTTGCGAGACCACATTCTCAACTCCAAAGACAACCTCTTTTCTGGAAATCAGAAGGCTCTCCCAGGTGTGCCATCATCTCGGCCAGTTTTGATCATTATGGACCGGAACGTCGATCTTGTTCCAATGCTGTCTCACTCATGGACATATCAATCACTCGTGCAAGATGTTCTTCAGATGCGTTTGAACCGGATTACTTTGGATGCGGACGAATCGGGCTCGGGTGTATCAACTAAGAAGTCTTATGACATAAACAGTAACGATTTCTTCTGGCAGCGCAATGCCGGAGCCCCATTCCCACAGGTAGCTGAAGACATTGACGCTGAACTTACGCGGTACAAGGAGGATGCAAATGATATCACGAAGAAGACTGGTGCTTCTTCAATTGAAGATCTCCAAAATGATACCAGCGCCTCAGCACAACACCTTAAGGCTGCTATTACACTGCTCCCCGAGTTGAGAGAACGCAAGGCCGTTCTTGACATGCATATGAACATTGCCACCTCACTTCTCAAGGGTATTAAAGACCGTCAGCTGGATAACTTCTTCGAGTTGGAGGAGAACATCACAAAGCAATCGAAGGCGCAAATCTTGGAACTGATCAATGATGGTTCTAAAGGGAGTGAACCATTGGACAAGCTGCGCTTGTTTGTTATCTGGTTCCTGAGTACTGAGATTGAACTCAACCGCTCAGAGATGACTCAGTTCGAAGAGGCACTTACCAAGGCTGGTGTGCTCGATATTTCCTCCCTCGCCTATGTCAAGCAGGTGCGCGAAATTACTCGGATGACTATGATGACCACAGCCGCTCCAGAACAGCAATCTTCAGACCTGTTCCGTGGGTTCTCATCCCTTTCAAACCGTCTGACCGATCGCATTACCTCGGGCTCTCTGGGTGCCAACTTTGACTCGCTGATTTCAGGGGTGAAGAACTTCCTACCAGCAAATAAGGATCTGACTGTGACAAAGATCACCGAGTCTATCATGGATCCGGCCGCAGCATCAAGCTCTGCCATTGCAAAGACCGAAAATTACCTCTACTTTGACCCAAGAAGCGCGAACGCTCGTGGCGCTATGCCTCCCGCGTCTGCATCTCGTAACACACAGATGCCCGGTGGTATAAGTGCAGGTCCTGGCACCGGTGCCAGCTTCGGCCAGCGCCGCCAAGCCTTCAGCGAAGCCATTGTCTTCACAGTCGGTGGTGGAAGCATGGATGAATACGGCAATTTGCAAGACTGGGTTCACCGGACAAGTGGCCAACAAGGTGGCGAGGGTACACCCGCTCAGCGTGCGGGAGGCGCCCCTGGGCACCGTCGGAGAGTTGTCTACGGCAGTACAGACCTGATGAACGCCACTGAGTTCCTATCTGATTCTTTGGCGCCTCTTGGTCGGGATAGCTGAACGTAATTGGAAATAGATGGTAACAGGGCTTGAACATGGCTCAAGGCTGTACAACATAGTAAAATTCAAAATCCTGATGTGCAACGTTCTATTATCATGGTCATATAAGCTTTAACCTACTTAGTGTAAGGTTACCAAATGCCGATTTCAGCACATTATGCACGTTTTCTACGAGAAGCGACTCTGGCTAAGGCACTGCCAATGAGCATCTCAACTTCAGACATGCTGTTCCGGACACTTGATGCTCTGCACATATCTTAGTCGTGGTCTTAACACTTACCCTAGTTGGCCAAGTAAATGGCAAAATATGTGACGACGGCAGGAAGACCTCGCTGTAGTCACCCGCTGGTTCACGGCGCGAAAGGCCTTTGAAAGATTGAATCTTGACTTAATCTAGATGGGAGCTTGAAGTAGTCCAAGCTAGCCAATCTGGATGCATAGTTTTAGAACTCCATGGAATCTTTAGAGTTTCTTTAAGTGTGGCTACAGGTAATCATTCGTTCATCTCAAGTTCCATACACGACCTCTGCCGAGCGAAGGAAATGTGAATATTCTTCGTCCACCTTCTTGGGGCAACAGTCTATAAATCAGCTTCCACGATACTCCATCAATCATATTAGTTTCCAGAGTTTAGCTTACTTTGAAATGAGTCCTCGGCAATCCACTTTGCCTCAGCTGGCGAATTCTCAAGACGCCCGGGTGATGTCAGGACAGGGTCATACTCGTGATATCCAACGCCACAATGAATATATATCAATGAGATATAGGATAGCTGAAATTGACATATATCTAATTCCATCAATTTGGAGCACAATACAAACTATATTCACTTAAATTTCGCCTCAGTTGGACAAACAGTTCAACATGACCCACCAACACGGAGACACATGGTCCACGACCTACGACGCGTCCGACGCACCAGAGACAAAGTACGACACAACAGCCTTAGTATATGATACACTAGGAAACTACGAGCCCTCGGGCTACGAGAGCTACGGTGCAACCGGCTACGGAGCAGTGGGTTTCGGCACAGATCCGACTGGCTCGACATACGACACACACGAGACCGGCTATGGCGCCACAGCATATGATCCCAGTACCGGTGCATACGACCAGCATCTAGATTACCGCACCCCGGCTGGCCGGAGACATCACCGAGAGCGAGTTGATCAAAATGGAACCTATCGACACCGCGATGTTGATCGCTATGAGGATGGATCTACTCGTGTCCACAGAGAATATGATAATCCGAATACTGGGACTAGCTACCACCGCGACTATGAGAAGTAATGGCGCTTGATTGGACAATTTGCGTTGGGTTTGGGGCCCGGGCTTGTATATAGATAGGTATGAGTTTACGAATCCTGCATAAATCACTGGAAACAAAGGCAAAAAAAAGATGAAAAGGAAAAACCTGGTCATTTCGGCCAAAGAAAAAAAAGAATCAAAAGCGTTCAAATCATTTTTTAAAAAAATCTAACTTCTTTTGTTGTCTGTTTAAGCTAGATGTGAAGGTGTAGTATGTGATGACAATGGTGGTTTCGTGATGTAGATTCTGCTAGCAGAGAATGTCTCATGTCAACAGGGGATCTCTTGACTGGAATAAATGATCTCAAAGATTCTGATGATTTGAACATTGTCTATGAAGCGTTGTATGCGGTATTTAAAAGATTGAGACGCAGAGTACAAAAGGTACATGCCGAGGTACCCCTTAATGTCAATTTTAGGGTTACCAAGTCCAATTAGCCCAATCCCTGTAGCTGCCTCTAGTTTCCAAAATGATTCACTAAAATCCAATCATCTTCAATCAAACAAGGCCATAAATTGCGATCTTTCATCTTCGCATCAAACCACAGCCTTGGCAGTTGTTGCCTCAGGCCAAAACATGCAAGGCTGACTCCACCGCATCATATCTGGCACTTTCTCCAACTATCCTCCACCAGGCTTAATACTGTCCAGCCAAATGAGGCGCTGAAACAGTTTCTTCATCAGCTTCTCATGCCCCCGTGATCATGTCGCGGAGGACGCTGGGCGGAGGTCGTGTTCTGGGCAACCCGAGCGCTCTCGCATCAGCTCCGTCCCCGCAGCCGAAGCCAAGGGTGCTCTCGCCGACCGCCAGCAGCATTTCCCTCAGTTCACAGACATCTGCATCGCAGTTCTCTTCTGAAACTCAGGATCTCACCTCTCGCATTTCAATAGAGAATGGCGATACCTCGATCTCTGCGGCTCCGGCTGCTCCGGGGGCTCAGCTCTCCTGTCCGATCTGCAGTGAGGAGATGGTATGCTTGTTCCCACCTGTTCGCTGTTAGATGCAAGGTGAAATAGTGCTGACGATTTATAGATGACTTTGCTTCAGCTGAACAGGTATCGACCCATCAACCTCCTCTCGGAACCGCCCCTGTATATGATTAACGCTTTAATAGACACCTCGATGATCTCCACCAGAACTTAGAAGACGACCGGCAAGATGAAGTTAAGGATTGGTTCAAGGTGCAAATGGAGAAGGCGAGGAAGTTCCAGCCCCTGGCGGTCCTCAACCAGAAGTTGAAAGGCCTGGATGTATTCGAATCAAACGAAAACCAAAACGCGCCTCTCGTCAGTCGACCACTTCCAACCCATGCAGGACCCTCCGAGTCCCTGAGACCACTAGATCCCGAAGATCTTATTACAAAGAACCATTGGCAGCAAAGTTGCATCTACGATGAGTGTCTGGAACCATCATGTGGACAACGATTGAATGCCACCAATGGATGCGTCAATTGCCGTAGTTGTGGAAAGCTCTTTTGCGAGGAACACACAATGTATCAAATGAAGCTTTCACGAGCGGCGCATCATGAGCCTGTGCGAGGAATATGGGCTCGGGTTTGCGAAACTTGTTACAAGTCAAGAGAAGGGTATAATGATCATAATGGTAAGGACATTCCTTTTTTGAAGTAAAGGACCAAGTTAACAGGGGATAGGCGCGGCGAGAAACCTAACGGACGCCTTCAAATCCATAAGAAAGCAAACAGTGGATAAGGACTTCTTGGAGATCTCCCGGCTCGAGAAACGATTAACCCGCCTCACCCAGCTCTTGGCGAGTCTACCTCCGGATCAAATACACCCCAGTGCGACCAAATTGTGGTCTCTCGCTTGGCAAAGCGATCAACGAAAAGAGTTGGAACAAACAATTGTCAGTTGGCAAGATGATGCAAGTGTTTCACGGTGTCCATTCTGCCAGCAGGATTTCTCTGGTTACACATTTCGCAGACATCATTGCCGGACTTGTGGACGTGTAGTCTGTGGTGACCAGAATACGGAGTGCTCTAGTGAAGTCGGTTTGAGCATCGCTCGTGGGTTCCAATACTATACTTCTTGTGGCCAGAGTCTAATTTCTAACAGAGCCCACAGCCTCCTCCGAGAAAGGCAATACCGACAATCTAATCAACATTGATGTACGACTGTGCAAGGATTGTAAAGCAACATTATTCGATCGCCGCGACTTCAAAGCAGACATCACGCGAAAGCCATCGGAAATTAGGGCATATGAAAACTTGACCCAATTCGAACGGGGCATCCGTCTTCACCTACCTCGATTCCAGAAACTGTTGGCATCTTTACAAGATCCAAGGCGACCCCCTTCATCTGCTCAGATAGCAGATGCATCCAAAGTGCGCAAGCGACTCATCGACTCTTTTGCACAATATGATGTTGCAGCCCGACGCATACGCGATATGCCAACCAACTCACCGACCCAACAACGGCTACAGAAAGCTATATATCAGCAAGCCAGCAACTTCCTCCACCTCCATATGCTACCCTTGAAAACCCTCCCCAAGATCCTCAAACACGCAACCCCAGCATCGGACAGGATACCTAGCCGAACAAGCTCCCCAAGTACCCCGGTCAATGGCTCTACATCCAATATCCGACCACCGGAGTCTGCTCTCGCCTCTATCAAATATAACAGCGTTGCTGCAAGTGGTAGCAACAGCAGTCTAGCCAGTGAGACTAGCAGTGCTGTCTCAGCCCTAGAAGCAGAAGAGAAATCCCTTCGAGATCGACTGATCGTACTAGAAGAACAAAAGTTCTTTGTGTCGGAGATGATCGCTGATGCCAATCGGCGGCGCAAGTTCGATGAGGTCAGCAGTCTAGCTGTCAATGTTGAAGATCTGAGTCGTGAGATTGATCGTGTTAATGGTATGCTCGCGGGTCTTGATTTTGAAGGGGTTTACACCGGGAACCTGCAACCAAGTACTTGATCTGGTTTTATGTTTGAGGTGGGACATTTGTTCCCGTTCACGCGCTTCTTGCACAATTCATTCCGCGTCTTTGTTGTTCTATCCTCGACACTTGTTTGTTCTCTTATTCTGTGTTCATGTTCTGGCGTTCCAGCACTTTTCTTACGATGATATATGCATAGCATCGGGCGTTGGGTTTTTTTAGGTAGTTAATGTTTTTTTTTTCCTCCATATAATTTGTGTTTGTTCGTAGTATTCACATTTGTTTAGTGGCCTTTTTATCGCCGAAGTTTGTTGAGCATTCTCACAGTATGAAGGTCAAATTATATATTTTTACGTACAATCACTTCATCCAAACAATGTTGATAGTTTGATCCTTAAAAATAACCTACAACCATATCTTTACACTCTCTGTTTCTCCCATTGAAAGTTTGTTAACAGAGCCGAGGCGTTGAGATATTGTTATAAGAAAGAAAAGCAAAAAAAAGAAGAAATGCTCACTCGAGGACGGTGTCTAGGAATAGCCGAACGCGGGGGTCGAACCCGCAGCCTTAAGATTAAGAGTCTTACGCTCTACCGATTGAGCTAGCCCGGCCGGGCTGTTGAAGACGGCCGGCATTTTTTACAATATAAGCCAGTATTCAAATATTGGCCGATTCCATGTAGGACTTCAATGTCGAGTGTTTGTGTATTCAGGGTGCAGATTATGCGCATGGCTAGCGTGCATGGTGGTGTAGTCGGCATGCATCTTGCAGCCTATTTGGCAGTTGCATGCATTACCCATGCATCGGACCAGGCCTGGCCATTGGTTGTGGGGTTCATTAATATACCTGTAACCTCTAGGGTCAACAGAGTTAGGGGTACCGGGGTTGAAAGCATTTAAGCATAAAAATCACAAAGGACGACACAAAGATAAATAAAACGTCATTAAAATAAGTTTCTTAAATATAAGCTTAGGTTGTTCAACAAGGTACATGTATAGTACAAGAAAACCCCAGATACACCTCATCGAGAGGTATCATCAGCGGAAACATAAAACGTCTTCTGCACATTCACCCCCTGAAAAAAAGTGCCGCTATGTTTCGGATTCAGGTCCTCCGTGCTACTGGTCCTGCTACCCCCGTTCGAGGTGTGGACCGTTGTAACTACGGCGTGCGATTCGTCTTCGACGTCTGGGCGCCAGTATTGCGGCCCAGACGGGTCGGAGCGAATGGCGTTAATGCTGGAGAGAGGGACACTGCCACCTGTGCGCTTGCTTTTGCTTTTGCTGCCGCCGGCGGAGCTGGGGTCGCGGAACCAGCGAAATAATGGACGGAGGGTTACGAGGCTGCCGGCTGCGATTCCGAGACTTGCTTCGACATTGGACCATATTGAGATTTGGGCTGTTGCGTCTGTGGATCAGCGTTGTTAGTATGTTTTCGATTCGGGCATGAAATCGGTGGACCATCAGATGGGTAGATGCTTACAGAGAAAGTCGACGTCCTTGTAGTCGTGCAGGAAGGGAATGCGAATGATGACTGCTGCGCTTGCACTAGATTGGATAGGTCAGCATATAATTCATTTGTTCCCCCGGTGCATTGAACACATACACGCAACCCATTCCAAGAATACCAGCCAAGGCAGCCTTGGTCCGCCAGTTCATCTGCAAGTTCCAGACCAACGCGATAGGTAAAAGACCCAGGGTTAGATCACAGAGTGTCGCGGTGACACTGTAAACATAGGCAATGGCGATAATGCTGTCGAGGCTCATGCAAGTGCCGGAAACATTGGCGTGAGGGTCGAGCTTGAGGCGAACCTGCTGCCAGAAGAAGGATACCGGTTGGCATTGCAACGTCAACATGAACCAAAACACCAGGCCGATAGTGCATGTCACGGAAATGACACCCCACAGGACAAGTTTATGCATCTTGGCGATTGTAAGGCGAAGTAGGGCTAATGCGATGGAGATCTTTGCAAGTGCGCATGTCCATACATAGCTGGTCTGGCCGAGCCACCACCACTTCAGATGTTGTTAGTATCTCATTCGAATTGGCTCAACTGCGCATTGCGATTCACGTACAAACATTGCTGTTTCCATTGTACCTCTCTCCACAAGGACCGGGGTTCTCTGGCCAATTCCATACAATGCTCCGGTGATACCGCTTAGGGCAAAAAGGATATTCACCAACTAAATATTCATCAGCAATTGAATTCATCAACAAGTCATGGTACATACCATGGCGCACACCATAAACGTGTCATCCCAGCCAAAGGCCTTGACGATTCTCAGCCGCACGAAACATCGTAGGCAAACCGCAATAAAAGAGATTCCCAGAAAAGTAGTGGTCACGATAAAGATCGACTCACTGCGACCATGCAAGGGCAACATATTGACAACCCAAGAGAACGTATCAGCAATTCATGACCTATATCCCTGCTCGCAGCAATCGCCAAGAATAACCAAGGAGAGAAGAAAAGAAAAGCGATCAACAGAGAAAAGAAAATCCACCAAGGCCAAGCATTTCAGGTCGTGGCGAGAACCGCCAAGAGGGGGCTATAGCGGCGATGTTCTCCGTGTTTTCATGTAGAAAAGAAACTCTTTACGGGGCCAACCCGAGGAAATGGGTGACCTGCCTGCAAGGATGAGGCTAGTTAGCCTTAAGTCGGTTAGCAGCCGTGCATCTGCAACAGTGGCTCTCTCTGTGGGCTTTTCAACCGCGATCCCTGTGGAGACTATGCCGGATCTAGGAGGTACAGTTACATTGAAGTATGAGCTTGTGGAGAGCAAGGTTAGAAAAAAGAAACGTTCCAATAGTCTCACAGTTAGTCACAATTAGTTGACAGCTAGTGACAGCCATCGCCACATACGTGTATGCATGTGTCAATGGGGGCAAACATAGTTCTATACATGCGCTCAGTCCTCCTGTTCGAGCCGGCCACTGGAATTTGGTAGACAATTCGATTCTTGGCCATCTCCACTTGATATCTGCGAATCAAGATCGATCGGTGGAGATGTGTTTTGGTCAGAATCAGGCCCGTCAACCAATTAGTGCCGGAACTAGTCTGAAATAGGAGACCGTTGCTGACAATCGCTTTGAAGTTTGTTCAGGGGGTTCCGTTCAGTTTCGCCTTCCGTAGGCAAACCGCGGATATTAGTCGTGTGCCGAGAGGCAAAATTTGGCGAGGATATGGTAATGCACATGCTACCTAGGTAAGGTATTAGGGAAGTAAAGATGGTGAATCGGACAGAGATCTCGATGTGTTCATCGAGATCTTTGTACATCTACTCTACATCTCCCAAAGGATGAATTGAAGTCTTGTAGCCGATCAGCGGGGAGGAAGATGAAGGTGGGATCTGCAATACTGTGGACAATTCGGAGATTACTTGACTCTTTTGTGGCCCCACCTGCGGCGTACATGCACGCTCGGCAAATCCAAGGGGTTGCAATGTCTACGGCACATACATATATATATATATAGATATTTTATGCGGGAATTATACAGAATAGTACTTGTAGACTGATAGATTAATACATTAGCATATCATTCTTTTGAAATACACATCTATATACCCACATTGCGGGTCTGGGGGAAACACTTCTAAGATTGAGATTAGCTTCAATATCATCTCGGCTATTCCTGGGATATTCTTAGCACAACCGGTTCTTCTAGAACACTGAGAGCATATTTGCAACCATGGATCACGATACGAGGCCATGTGGCTCTATGCAAGGGTCTGAACACTTATGTATGGATTGTACGTGTATGTGGGCTTGTAATGCGGCTTTCCATACACTGAATTTCACAGAGGAAGAATCTAATGGGACCTGCCAAGTCGCATGTCCCTGATTTTAGGGGGTGGAGGAAATAGTAGGTTGATAAAGTGCTGACTGGTTCGTGGTCGTTGACGTTGCATCACCTGACTCGCGTTCTTATCCATACAGTATGCTATAGTTCTAGTACTTGTGGACCCTACATTGACTTCAATGCTATGCAATTGTAAGTTAATCGGTCTCGCTATATAACAGCCAAAATGATTGTGAATTCGCTACATCATAATTGAAACTCGCGTGTTCGAAACCAGATCGCATATTTACATACCAAGGTGCTCCAGCACCATGATTCAATGGAGATGCCTCCAGGGCATGCTTATTTCTTCCACTTGGCGGCCGGGGTCTCCTGGAAGGTCTTCAGGATAGCAACCACCTTCTCCAGAGCAGCGACCTCCTTGGTCAGCTCGGCGTTGACCTTGGGCTGGTCCTGGCCGAGCTTGGCATAGAAGTCCTTCCGGTATGGTGTGGCAGACATAGCAGCACTGAAGATGGGCTTGATGACCCAGGAGTGGTGGGGCTTGAGGGTCTCACCGTAAGCATCACGGAAGGACTTGGAGAGCTCCGAGTCGGCGTTGTTGATGTTGTGACGGAGGGCTTGGGCAGTGAAATCGAGACCGCTGTAGAGAGTATCAGTTAGTGTATGGTTCATTCTAATGTGTGATATGTAATATGCGTTTCTTGCTTCTTGCGTCGCAATTGACTCTGTAAGCTTACCGGACCAGCCAGACGAGACCCTCGGTGGCAGTGTGCTTGCCAGTCTTCAATTCGTTCAGGACAAGGGCCTGCAGTGTCTCGGACTCGGCAGGTGCGGCCAATTGGCGAGTACGGACTTTCTAGAAAAGGGTGAGAAGGTGTTGACAGCAGCTGTAATGGATGGAACCGACCTCGATGTTGCCCTGCAAGTCACTCTTGACGGGGGTGAAAGCGGCGGAACCGAGGACATCTAGCAGGGTTCCTGTATAAGTTCGAGAAATTTCATGCAGTGGCACAGTGCATACCAAAAAGAGTCACAAGGGACTCGGCAGCTTCAAGGAACTCGGTTGTCGAGATACCATCCTCCGCACCGATGGGGACATCGGCGAAGGACTTGTTGATGGTGTCAAACCATGTCTGATCAGCAGGAATAGCGGCCATTTTTGCAGAGGGAAATTGAAACGAAAAGATGAGAAAGAGAGATCAATAAGGAGACGTTCACCGCTGTTGACACGCAAGCCAATGCCAGGTGGGGTGAGGGCGGTGAGGGTTTCATTGTTATGTTTGCTCTGTTTGCAGAATCTGCCAAGCTTTAACTCACGACGTCATCGCTAAAGGTTGCATTTCGATCGATCGCACTATGTTAGCTCGAAGGTTGTTCCTGACTGACCTGCATTGTCTGCCCCTATGCTTTCATTATTACCCTTGCAACATATTTCCCCTCCTTTTGGCCCACGCGGGTAAGAGATTGCCATGAGCACTCCACCGGACCAGGCCGACGGGTCGCCAGGACCTGACCCACGCTCCCTCAGCCATGATCATTACCATGGCTTGCAGACGGGGTCCTATACAGATCAGCAGCTGGTATGTATACCTCCACCGCAAATTGGACCATTGAATAACTTGATATTGATGGATAGCGCCATGCCTCTGCCGCCCATCTGCATATGACCAGCCGGCGGTTTTTCGTCGGACCAATCCCAGAAGGCTGGATTCACGGTCATCGCAAGTCGTGGTACAAGTCTCGACTGAAGCTCAGGAACTATACGTCACAAGCTATTTCGTTCTCTGCGGGCCCGGTTGCGACCCATTACAGCGAACAGGGCCCCCAGGCCGAGCCAATACCACCTGACCTGGACGAAGAAGTAGCTTTGACACTTACAAATACAACTGATAGGGCTGTAGCGGAGGAGGAAGACGAAATCGAAGTCGATGAAGCCACAACTGAGTCTGAGGGGGAGCTTCGGACCCTCACTCACCCCATGGCTGAAGCTAGTGGCGACGATCCCCTATGGGAAGTCGACGCGGAGAATGAAGAAAATGATGATGGAAACGAGACAGAGACCGGAAGGAACGAACAAGAGGATAGTGGGAATGATACGGAGGATACAGACAGCACGCCCAAAGCGAGACCAAGGGAAAGTGACGTGTACGACAACGATGTTGCTTCGTCTTCATTTGTCACGGCCAGAGAAGAAATGTCGAGCTCTGCAAACACAGGGTATACTGCATACACGGGACTTTCCGTCAATACAGATGATTCTACAGACACAAGGCAATCATCATCTACCCTGCAGCCCAACAGAGCACCGACTAGCCACCGCCCAACGTCATATGGCTCACAGAACACACACTTGACAAGCCAAAATTCTGCTAGCCCCCTGACCCCGAATGTATCTACGGGCCCCAGCGAGGCAGACTCGACGACACAGTTGCTGAGAAACAGATACAAGGACAAAGGAAAGCAGAAAAGTAAGAATTCTGGTATATCTCGAGCAACGCTTCGACACCACGACCACGACCCCCAAGATGAAGACAGTGCCCAACAGGGAGATGACAAAAATGGAGACGTGCCACAGCGGATGTTCACCAGGAGGATGGCAAAGCTCAACCTGGATGACAACATTAAGCACAAGCAACAACGGATTCGCTCCCGCATTGCAAAGACACAGGGCACCATCTCGGCCAATCGGCCCCGTCGGCGCAAAGTGCAAGAAGGAGAGATTGTCAAGGCGGAAAGAATGCTGGTCTGCGTTGAGGAGACTATGCAAGGTACACCTCCCGCTGATTACTCCGAGAACGATAGCCTCCGCATGGAAACCCGCACTGTGGACAAATGGCGAGAGTTTCTTGTTGTATGCCGAAAAAGCTCCGCAGAGCATGCGCCATTTGCTCTGCAAATGTATCGCACCCGTGTGATCCCTGATGTGCAACGACCGAACAGCAAAACACTGCCTTATTACGAGATAAGACTCAATCACAAGAATACCCACGTCAACCTTTACTCTCCCTTGGATAAAACCATTGTTCTTTGGTACCCTCGCAGGCGTGGAACCAAAATCTACATCATCAGGCCGAAGTCCGCTGCTCACTCTGCTGAGTGGTATACCTTCATTCGCCAGGTGCTAGGTTGGCGACGTCCAACTTCACTCCCTATCAATGTTCCCGACTTGGGCGTCTCGCTCATCTTCAAAAACCCTTTCAACCAACCTGGAGCCAGTCGAAAAGCAGATGACTCCGATCCAGAGCATGCGGCGTTCGATAAGAAGTATGCTGCTGCGAGCATCATCAGAGAATGCTTGAACATGCTCGAAGGTCGTCCTGAATGGGCCGAGGTATTGAAGGCCTGGTCCAAGACTGAGAAGATGGGTCTTGCTTGGAAGCGATATGATCGACTGGAGTGGGTGTTTGGTGTTAATGAAGAAAAGATGTTTGGCACCATTGCCATGCAGTCATCCCATGAGCTTGAGCTAAGGCCGAGATATCACTACTCAACTGCAGTCAAACAGAATGGCTCAAAGGAGGAGGAACCGGCACCAATTGAGGGGTTCCTTGTACGTCTCACATCTCAAAAGGGTGTACACCAACGGATGAACAAGATGTTCTTCAAGCGGTTGTATTTCTTCACCCAGGATCATTTCTTCTTTTTCTGTCGACCAGCCAAGGCATTGCCGCCGGCACCCCCAAAGTTTTCACCATTAGAAGCTCTACCGCAAGATGGAACTGTGCCATCTGCACGTCAAATTCTTGATGAAATGCCGCTATCCTGGGATATCAACCCGTATCCTCTTCAAGAGGGTAGTATCGCGTGGCTGTCCAACGGCAACAAAGAGTTCATTCAACGACACGACGAGGCGGCCTATGCACAAGTGCAGAGGAATTTCCACAATATCAGTCATGCGGATGGATTTATTGATATGTGTCGGGTGCAAGAAGTTCGAAATATCAAGCGCGGTGGCAGTCCTGCTGATCCCAACATCGACGAAGGGCCTTCTGTGGACTATAATCAAGAAGCTCTGGACTCCCGGCAAGACGATGGTGCTACACAAGAGTTCGATGACGATAGAACCTTTGAAATGGTTCTGGATAATGGCCTTGTCGTTCGACTTCAGGCATATGATGCTGCTAGTCGAGATGAATGGGTTAAGCGGCTCGACGCTTTGGTCAAATACTGGCGTGTTCGCTGTGCAAATGATGCGTCAGAGTTGCAGGCAGTTAGGCGGCGCAATCTCAAGCTTTTGGAAATCGATGAAGCCATGGAGTCGGTTGTTGGACAGTTCGCAAAGAAGTGGGAAGTGAAGAAAGCCGAGGCATCACCGCATTTGCACAATATGTGTTTGCTATCCGGCTGTCGAACTATCAAGGTGCGCTATAACAGAACCACGAGAATTCGTCACACAGAATACTAATCATAACAGATGTCCGGACAACTTTACCGCAAGCCCCGTCGCCACAAGACTTTCAACCAGTGCCATGTAATCCTTACAGCGGGTAAGCTGCTCATCTTCTCAAGCACACTGCGCAACCGAAATGGTACTGAAATACCACACATCCACCAAGAACTTGAAGCAACCATCGAATTGGAGGATTGCTACATCTATTCTGGGCTTCTCACTGAAGATGACCTGCTGTACGCCAATCAGACATTCGACAGTAATAACCCTGGACTTCATGCTCTTCCACGAGTATACCTCGATTCAGATACATTCACTAGCCACGACGAAGATACCGCTATCACCTTTGTTATCTGGCAGCCTTTGAAGAAGAGCTATTTCCGAGCCCAGGAAATGGGAGTTCAGGGCAACGCCAAAAGATCCATTCGACATGTCTCCACGCTAGGCAAACATGGCCGCACAATCGTGTTCAAAGCGCGTAGTCGTGTTGAGAAGGATCGTTGGGTTATGAGCATTTCTTCGGAGATTGATCGTCTCCAGGAGGTGAGACACGAAGATATACGACTTGTCTCTCCTTGATTATTTCTTTCAGCACTGGCATTTTCGCATTTCGGTTATTCGTGATTACTATTATGAATGCCCTTCGCTACCACTGCTTTTGTTTTGGGTTCGGCCTATCCACGCATAGCATAGCACTCATTACTTATAATAGTAATACCATGATATCCACAGACATCTATATATGTACAAGCTCAAATCCACAGCAGCCGCTATAGAAAACAAATCTATACACAATGCAAAGGGCCAAACCCGCAACCCAGCCCATCCCAATCTATCAATTCAAGAAAGGCTGCTCAACCTTAACAGCATTCTTAACAATCCGATCCCGAACACTCTGTCGATGCTTCTCAACCCGACTATTCACATCTGCATCCTCACTCCCTTCCTCCCAATCCGACGCCTTCAACCACCGCATCCGCGGCCCTAAAACCGCAAATACTTTTCCAGTAACCAGACTGAGACTGACAGGCCCATACGTATTACTATCCAGCGTCTTGCGCGGATCTTCCGCATCGCCTTCGAGCCAGACATGGTTCCACGGCACGATTTGGGTCTCCTTTAGACATGGTTCGCGGGTTGTGACGCGGTCGCCCGGTAGACCGATTATGCGTTTGATGGCGATGTGGGAGGGGTTTGCTGGGGATCTGTATTGGGTGGTATGTTAGTTTGGATTGTTCCATAGGAAGACTTGTAGAGTAGCGAGTTGCCATGACGAAAGGAATAGAATAGGAATAGGAATGGCAAGGAAAGAAAACACTAACCGGAAAGTAACGACAGTCCCTCGTTCAAGCTTCCTCTCCTTCCGAAAAGGTAGTAACCCACCCCAAGACCACATATTAACTAATACCATATCACTCTTTGTTTGCATTTGATCATAATCCTCGTTGAGGTAGGGTGTCATAGACGGTCCGCGCACCCACATCACTTGCATGACATGTTCAGGGAAGAAGAGACCGATTGGGATAACGGGTGCTAGCCAGCGGAGGGTTCGACATGTTCGGCGGACTGGGGAGGGGAGGGTTGCGAAGCGTTGGCGGAGGTTTGATAGAAGGCTTGATTTGAAAATCGGGCGGCGCTTTGGTGTTATGAGGGCTGGGCCTTGAACTTCTGCTGGGAGGTCTGGTGCTTTTATTTTCGGAGGTTCTTGGGGTACTACTCGAAATCGGGTATTCGGTGTTGGGGTTGCGCGGTTGCGCGGTTGTGGTTTCGTCATTTTTGTCAGAGGTTTCGGCTGGGTGGTGGTGGTGGTGAGGTGGGTTTGGGTGTTTGCGTTGGGGTAAATTGGATTAAAGGGATATTTCAATTGGCACTCGTCATGTTAATTAAGTCAATTGGGTGTCAAAGGGAGGGTGGATTTGCAATCGGAGTGAGGCTGTATCGAAGAATATCAGATGAGCGCTGATAGGGCGTTTGCACTGTTTGCAGTCTCCCCATACTCGATAGGCATAACTTCACCAGCTTCGTGTCTTGTTTGTTATCAAGAGAGTCTATTCTGATGTTTTGCTTATGTATCGATAAGAAAAATATATGTACGGAATAAAATAGTGAGCTCTACTTTGAAAATTATGTTGGTAAATCATCAGTCATTAAGCTGAAGAAATTCTAGTTTACAATTTCTCCAGAGCTCCCTAGCAGTGATAGCATGGTACAGGAACCTCTGGCTGTTTTGGGGGGTCATTGAACTGTCATCAGAGTCATATCGAGGTCATCATATCACCGCACCCTCTTGAGCCTTGCGCAAGTCGTTCAAGCGGTAAAGCTGCAGTGTTGTACTTCACGCATCGCTGTTCTCAGCTTGATCATCGGCGGTAGGAGGGAAGTATTCACTGGAGATACCGTTAGCTTTTGATCAAGCAGTATACCAAACGGATAAACTCACGGAATCACATCCTCATATGCGTCAACGTCCTTCCGCTCAAAGTTGCAGAAGATGACCCGCTCCAGCTTCCCAATGTTGGCAGGCCCCTCGAGAAACTTACGCACTTCATCGGTAGCAGCCTCTGCAGCAAGGTCACTAGGAAATCCGTAGACACCAGTGCTGATAGCAGCGAAAGCAATGCTCTTCAGGTTATTCTGAACAGCCAGCTCCAGACTGCGCCGATAGCAAGAACGAAGCAGAGCCTCAGGGCGTCTGGGGTCGATGCGTCTCTCACGGAAGTAGACTGGACCAACAGCGTGGATGACATGCTTGCAGGGTAGCTCATAAGCCTTGGAGATCTTTGCATCGCCAGTCTCGCATCCATCCAGCGTGCGACATTCTTCCAAGAGCTCTGGGCCTGCAGCACAGTGGATTGCGCCGTCTACGCCACCACCGCCTAGGAGGGACTCGTTGGCTGCATTGACGATACAGTCGACTTGCAGCCTGGTTATGTCATTGCGGATGATGGAGATGCTATTGTTGAGGCTTTGCGAGGGGTTGAACTGGGATGATATGGGGGCTAGACGCTGTAGCTTGTACAAGAGCGCAACTGTGGGGATCTCAGCGAGGGGAAGAGCCATGATGAAGTGCAGTTGCGTTGCGAGTCGCGAGAGAAAGCTCGAGTGGGGAGCTCTGCGCACGGACCGCCACGTGATTGTATAACTTGGATTCTCCCTCTATTTTCCCTGCACGATGATTGCAAGTCTGAATCTGGGGTCTTTCGGCCGAAGATTTGCTGAATCCCGCATATAAGCCGACTATCAGGTTAGGGAATTCAGATACAGATGAGACATCTACGGCCCCAACCGAAGTCTGATCGGTGTTGACTCCTCGATAGGTATAGCCAACATGAGCAGTCTACGCATCGACTCGAATTAAGTTTAGACTACCAATGTCATATGGACAACGCTCTCGATCCGTCTGCAATGTACTCCATACGGCAAGCTGCATTACATATGCAGGCAGACCAAAAGGCTTCCTGTGCCGCTGAGCCCTGCTCGAGACTCTCAACCCCTGCCATTGGCCATCGATTGACCCAGCCACTCAAAAGTACGGTCATCTCTTTGCCGCACCCAGGCCCAGAGCCAAGCTCGGGATTTGACATCAGCAGGCGCATGGGCATGGGCGTGGCTATCAGCGGCACTTCAACGGAGAGAAAAATTGATTGGAGACCTCGGTGGCACATGAATTTGCCTCTGTAGATCGCAGAGAGCTTTCAAGGGCTGTGCGCTGGACAATGGAACAAAGCAAAAGCGAAGCAAAAAGGCAAAAGAGATGGGAAATGGTATGCATATCGTACGATTCCCCCGAGTTACACTCGGCTAGACTCTCCGTCCAGATCATCGGCGCCCATGGCTGAGTTGGGCTTAGGAGAATTAGGGGCATCTCTCGAAACTGGCCTTCTATCCTGGGCAAGGCCGTATATCGGGGATGAAATAACGGGGAGCATAGGGGATTCGTCCAGCCACAGTGGGTTTGGCCCACCTCTCTCCACCTCAAGACCTGTCAAATCCACAGCCGTTTTTTTCTTTTTTTTTTAGGACATCTGAAGGCCTTTTTGATTTGAAGATTGCCGATCCTTCGGTTGTTCGCTCGTCGATCGCATCTAAGAGTGTCGCTAGTTCGCCCATTCTCCTGCCCCTTGAAGCCACCAAAATAGCCTCGGGTCTTTCTATTGGCGGAGACCGGGTTGGATTGGTCGTGAAATGAGAAAATTCTCCTCGGCTCCGCTCCATCGTAGGAACCAGTTCTCTTTTTCAAGTCTATCTGGGAGCCGTTCTCGTGCAGGAGGAATGGGAAGTGGGTATAGCTCAGGCATTTGGCCCAATAATGAGAGACGGGGCGATTCTGTACTTTTGTGATTTGCCTCTGCAGTTCCTGAAGGAGTTACAGTACAAAAGACATGTAATGAACTACTTGCAGACTAACAATTGGGAATCAAGATTATGGAGACTCTCGTACGGCACCTGGCAGCTGTCACATTCGAGTATCCAATAGCCTGTGGGAGGAAAACACCCCGTTGCATGGTAGCTCAACTGTCACAGAACTTTGTTTGAAACTATTAGACACCTTATTCGTTCCGGCTGTAAATAGATATTAATTTGGCCCATACCCCTTGTCAATGCATGGGCCAAAAGTCTTGGATGCATGCACAAGCACCTGTCAAACCCCCAAACCGGTGCTGCATGCTTCCCTTGGTGCTTTTAACCTCTGAACCTGGCTGAACAAGATCTGTATCGCTGGTGTCTTTGTAAGGTAATAACAGTGTCCAGGAATTGCTTTCAGTTTCTACACCTGTCACCGGTTGATGTGTACTGTACATAGAATTTGGAATAATCCCTGTAGACAGCAGGAGCCAGGCTTAGAAATGTATCACCGACATCATTTTGTCAACCTGTCAGACTGCCAAACTAAATGTACTCTTCCTTGGCACCCGTTTGCATCCTTGGCTTGACATGTCAAGTATAAACCGAACAACTGCCGGAAGGATCGAACGTGCATGCCGTAGATGGAGTCACTGTATCTACTGAATCTACTGAATCCTCACCAAGCCTCACCCCTATCCACCCAGGTCCTGTTTTGAGTGACACAACAAAAGCAACCAACACGATCGTCACACCACGTCGAATAGAAATCCGACCTTGACCGAGACGCGGCCGACCCGCCGGCTTAAAATCGAGATCGGAAGGATTCCGTCGCATGGGATTTGCAACGCATGCATGCTGAGGTGGTTTTTTTCTTCTCTGTGTTACCTGGGCGTAGGCCACGACTCTTCGAGTGTAGCAAGCAAGACCCCAATGTAGATCGTGCCTGCTAAAAAACAATGAAATGAAATGAGTTGAAGGTTTGGAGGTTTGACGTATAACGGTTCTGCAGATGATGTACAAGGCTCCATCCGGGTACCCATCTCGATAAAGAAGATTTTTTGTCCCGGGAGACTTCCGAGCAGGGCTTTCTCCATCTGATTACTCAATTGGGGGAGAGATAGTCATGTTTGTTGCGCCTTTCCTTCCTCGGTCGCTCCGGCTGACTCGAAATCAAGTGGGAACATAGCTTTAATCAGGAACTTGTTTGATGTACTTCTACGGCAACTGTCATCCTAGTGCATGTACATGTAACTGTCCGGCAATTCTCGACACGAGCTCATCGATGTACGTGCTAACCCGCGTCGACCCGCAAAAGGAAAGAAAAAGAGAAAAGCAAAGATAAACTGGAGCCCGGCACGGAATGGTAGTCGCAAGCTACAATGCACAGGCCCAACGGCAGAAGTCTCAGCAATATCATGAGTCAATAGTACGAAGCTTTGACGGGGCGGACAATCTTCGATCAGGCTATAATTATTGAGGCCATTGTGTACTCCGGAAATGAGGAGATAAACGCATCCACCTTGGACTCCACTCGGCGGATCTTCATTAGTCCAAGAGGACGTTTTCTTCATCGCGTGGCTGGGCATGGAGATAGTCGGTTTCCGCTTGTTAAATTCGTGTCGATCGATGGGGGATGTGCAGAAGGACTTAGTTGGTTGTCTCTAGCTTGAGTCCCTTTTCATTTTTATTTTATTTTTATTTTTTCACTTAGGGAGATGAGCGTCATGAGCTTGCTGTAGAGAAGCTGACGTTGAAATTTCGGGATTGCAAGAGGCCCTTGGCGAAAAAGGAGAAGTTGAATGGTCATTGCCTATCTGATGGGGGTTTAGTCTCCGACCATGGCCCATGATATTTCGTAGGGTTTTCTTCAAGACGATCATGAAGCCACACGGTGAGACTCGGGATTTGCTGGGACTTTGTGGAGACCTGACGTTCTAACGGCCTCTTCGGCAGCAAGCGACAATTTTGCCTAATCTCGCCCTTTCAGTTTAGCGCTACTGAAGTGAAATTGAACACGATCGAGGCGGTCTAGCAGTGGGTACTGTGTGTACCCTCAGAGTGTAGACAGACATATGCAAGAGTATCTCTCTACGCTGAATTCAGGATCTCAGTCAGAAAAGAGGCTGGTGAGGTAGCTGCTATCCCGTGTACTTGGACTAGATAGACGCCTACGGCGTCCACGTGGAACACACCCTTGTCGGCACATCGTGAGATTCTAAAGCGGAGCCGTAGTCAATAGTTCCATCCGGCCGAATTAGCGGGAAAATCAGCAAATGACAAGACTCCACGATTAATATCGAAGATCGATGAGATGTTCGGGGGATGCTCCATATGTTGCAGCTTGAATCATGACCCGCTCCCCCTTTTGGCACCTCACAGCAAATCCTAGTAAGGCGGCAAAAGAGTCAACCCTTGCCCTTTCACATAGGATCGGACCCTCCCCCCTCTCTGCAGCTGTCAACTCTCCTTTGAGACTAGAGATCGGAGAGATTCCCAGGTCTCCACTGGGAATTAAACACCCCCTGAGCGCCACAATGCCTCGGACCAAGGACTCGCCGGAGATTTTACTCTGTATGGGCGTGAACCGTGCTGGATTGAGGATGCACGTTAGTGGAGATTTTAGTCTCTTGTCCCGGGGCTATTGATTTGCAGTGAACGGCTCAATCGCTCCCAAGGGGACGGATGCAATATATGCTTGATAGATTGCCCCCTTTTGTGGGTGTTAATTATTCTGTACAGAATACTCAGAGTATTGTGTGCAGAATCACGCTAGAACAGAATTCAGAAGTTGACCGAGATTTTGTAAAAAGATGGTCGCAGGGCCGATGCGCACTAAAATTGGGATCGGATCTTAATCTCTTTCCAACTTGAGAAAAAGCGTTGTCGCTCATTTTCCTTTGCGGTTAGGATTATCTGATCAGCCTTTTTAGCTGGCGTTCAGGTCCCACTGTCTTTCTCTAGTATCCAGAGAGAGTCCAGATGAGGTTGAAAAGGCTTTGTCAGGATCAAGTCATCAGGGGAAACGGTTTTCAACGGTTTGTCGATCAGTCCCCAGTGGTGGCAACAACGTATACTCTGTACTCTGTACTCTGTACCTACTGGATCAGCGCCTCTCTGATACAGAGGAGATTGGGGGCTCTTAGAGTCATCGTCTCATTGGCTGCTGATGTGAAGGTCGTGTGCAGATGTGCAGATGTGCAGATGTGCAGATAGCATCCTTTTTCCCCTCAAAAGCCAAAGGGCGTTCCCGACACGTGAATATCTTCAGTGCCGAAGCCACTTTTCTCGAATTATTACGGTACAGACCGTATTTGAATGCCTATACTTTTTAGTTTGGTTAGATTTGTTGTTTTGCTGTGGAACCAAATCCCACAAGGCGTCTAGTTGATGCACTTCCCAGTTGCCGTAATGAGGCAACCAGAATAGACTCTAGGGAAAACCATTACACTCCGATCTGGTATGATCAATCACGAATGACCAGTTCCGATTCTGATAGTTCAGATCGTAAGCCTTGGGGATATTCCGACTTTTCTCCTTGCCCCAGGCACCCTTTTTTTCTTCTAGATATGCATCTTCACGGGTCTTTACGGGGGTTTGTGATGACCGGAGACTTTCAAGTTTTCTTTTTCTTTTTTTTTTTTTCACCATCACCTGGTGGAGCAGAGATCCTTACTGCATTCATGCTCAGCAGGTGAAGTGACCTACCGTGCATG